TCAAGACTGGTCAAAGGATGGTGCTGATTTTTGACGGAGACTTGAATAATGAGTGGCTGCAGCACTTAGGTTGTGTTTTTGAGCAAGCCGAAGGATACATTTTCACTGACAATGTAGAAAAAGAATTTGCGAGTGAAAATATCACCATGATATTTGAGACCACTTGCTTGGACAATGTTGCGCCAAGTTTCATCAGCAGGTATGAAATAATTTATTTAAATTTTTAAATCTCTATTTGTTAAAACAAATGCAGGTGCAATCTGCTTTACATTGGAGAGAAAGCTTTGGAAGTCAGTCTTTCAAAAGTAAAAGCAGATTTAGGACCGGAAATGATCAATGACCTCTTAATTTACTGTGAAAAATTGAAACTAGTTGGCGAATATTTACATGATCTTGATCCAAACATTGTGAGTGTTATTTTAACCGCTTGATTTGCAGAAAATAAGTTATTTGTTTAAAAGAATTTTCTGCCCATAACTGAGACAATCATGTGCGTTCTTCGGATGCTTGTGCAAAAACACAAAATGGATGGAAAAGAGGCGAATGCTGATGAAATTATAACTGAAAGCATCAAAATTGCAGCTCAAGCATTAAATTCTGACTCCTTACAAAAAACTATAGGCGCTTTAAAAGATGTATTGAATACTGAGTATGGAAAAAGTTATATTTAACAAGAAATTTATAAAAATAAATAGCAGAGCTCTTGGGCTTGACAGTGATGATCCGAAAAGTGAAGAGGAGTTAGAATTTAGCATCAGCCAGTGCACATTATCCTTGATGAAACTAACCATAAAAGAGAGCAAATCAATACTTATAACTGCACCGACAGGTAAATTAATCATTTTATTGGCAGTAAAATTATTTTATAATAATTGTTTCAAATTTTATAGGATGTGGTAAAACGAATGCCTTAAAAATTTTGAAGTCGGATACAGAATTTAAAATAAATCATATTTTTGTGAGCGCCGCCACTCCAATACACGCAACTACCAGAAGAGACTTGCAAAATTTCATTTGCAAAAGTGTGGAAAGAAGGAGCCTGAATAGCGTTGGCGCTCCGAGTGGAAAGATAATCTCGTTCATGATCGACGATTTCCACTTTGCGTCCAAAATGCACTCAGAGTTTTTGCGCCTTTTAATTGACCACGGTGGAATGTTTGAATCAAATCACAGATGGGTTAATGTTGAGGATGTCAACTTCATCTTTACGAAAAACTGTGAAGTGCGGAGAAAGTTGTGTTCGAGATTTTTGAGACACTTTACCAACTTTAAACTAAAAGAGCCAAACAGGGAATCGCTACTCGCAGTTTATAGAGTAAAATTCGAATATCAATTTAAATAATTTTTACATTTTTGTAAACGTTTAAATTTCAGAATTCGATTGAAAATTTTGAGGTTTGCGGATTAGGCGAAGTTTTCAAGTCTATCGTTGAAACTATTTTGTCGGTGTACTTTTGTTTAAAAGAAAAGTTCACCACTGCACTTGGAATTAATATGATTGATCTGCAAACGTTGTTAAAATCAAAAAGCATTCTTTTCTTGGCAACGCAAGGAACTGATCAACAAGATTTAATCAGGTTGCTTATCAAATAACACTTTAAAATTTCACGTTCAATCAAACAAAACTCTGATTGCTCTTAAGCGAGTCTCTAAGCGAAACGCTGAGGGTATTCAAAAATAAGAGCGAAAACTTTGAGGACAATGGAAGTATTATAATGAGAGAGTTCTCATCCAGATTTGGAAAATTTCCTGCAGATTTTGAGCAAAAGCTGACCTACAGCAAAAATGTTATTATGCAGGTAGGAAAAAAAATTGTCTTATTATTTTATGTAAATAATGAGTCGTAATGAGTGATTTTACTTTGATGAATTTCAGGAGTGCCTTTTAGACAGGAATTTCGGAAATTCATTTGTAATTTTTAGCAAGTTTGCTGCATTAGTAGGCCAAGTGTCTCAAGTATTGAAAACGGAAACGAGGAATGTTTTACTCATTGGAGAAGATGGTGTGGGAAAAAGATCGATTGCCAAATGCGCCGCAAAAATGGCAGAACAAAAGTAGGACTCAAAAATTTAAAGGCAAAAAATTTAAGGTTAAAAAAATTGATTAATATTTTCAAGGTGCATTTCCATCGAGGTAGAAAATGACGAGGGAAAATTAAGTGAAAACTTGGAGCGTGTGTGTTTGTCAGCTTTGGAGGCGAAAAAGCTTGTTGCGATCATCAGCGACGCATCAATTTTATCAAACTCCGATCTCACATTGCTTAGTTTAGTAAAATATGGTACTTGATTACTTTAAAAATACGAACAAGAAATAATTTGTGGTGTAAAAGGATGCTCGAATTTTTTCTTCAAAAGAGAATTTTTGAACAAGGCCAGAAAATTGATTGTACAACAGGCGGGAAAGCCACAAAACGACGAGCAATTGGTGGCGGTGATTTCCGACCACATAAAAAAATGCCTCACGTTAATCATTTGCATTGGTTCTGATTCACCAAAGTATATTAATTTAATTAATTAAAGACTTAATTTAAAATAAAAACTTTAAGGTTGGAGCTGTTCGAGCCGGCGAGATATTGCTTCATTTGCCATGTCAAGCCATGGACGCCGGAGGACTATCAGGAAATCGCGAAATCAGTTTTGAACGTTGGCGTTTACGAGTCCAATTTTGCAAAAGCAGAAGGCATTGAATTCGATCTTGCTAATGTGCAAATGGTAATATTTAAAAAAATTTTAATTTAATTAAAAAGTTTTTAATTTAAAATGTAGGTGGTAAAAAATTCTTACAAGAAATGCTTTGAACTGCACAATCAGAAACTACACCTCACAACGTGCATGTTTGTGGACTTTTTGCGTTTGTTCGAATCCATTTACGAAGCTAAACTGAACGATTTTAAGGCAAAAAGAGACAAGTGCAGTCAAAGTATTAAGGTTTGCATCTAACATAAAACTCGAATGTTTTTAACTTAAAATAAAATTTAAAACCAGAAACTGGAGGAGACATTCCAAATGGCGAAGGAAGTGAAACAGGATTTGGACGGAATGGTTCCGAGATTGCAGGAAAAGAGGAAATTGAGCGAGAGTGTGGCAAAAGCTCTGTCAAAGGAGCGCTCCAACGTGGAGAAAACCAAGCTGACGGTTCAATCAGAAGACACAGCCCTTAAAGTAAAATAACCATATTTAAAAAAGTTTTGATTTTGTCATTCGGTGAAAAATCAGGATAAAACAGAGGACGCGAGGGTCATTGAGAGCGAAATTCAACGAGATCTGGACGAGTGCATCCCTGCGATTGAGGCTTCGTGCAAGGCAATGGAAATGATCGACAGGAATGAATTGAAAGACGTGAAAACGACAAATAAACCTTCGTCAATATTGAGGCTGGCCATGGAACCGGTTTGCATCCTGCTCGGTTGCAAGTATTTTTTAAAAATTATTTTTCTTTCCAATTTAAAAAAAAAAAAAAATTGAGGTCTGATTGGGGATCAGCAAAAGCATTGGCGGGAGACGCGAATTTCCTAAAAAGAGCGACGGAATTGGACAAAGACAACGTACCTGAGGCGACGGCGAAAAAGTTGAAGGAGTTCGTCGACAATCCGAATTTCTTGCCCGAAATTATGGAATCACACTCACGATTCTGCCGCACAATGTGCATGTGGGTTCGCTCCATTTACAATTACGTCAAGGTTTTCAGGAGTCTCCTGCCAAAAAAGAGAAGGTATTTTTGTACATATGTTAATTTAAATTTTTTTAAATTATTTTACTAAAATAATGAGCTATAACAATTTATAGTCATGCGGGCAATATTAATTATTTTACATTTCCTTTCCAAATTTTATAACTCCAATATCATATCAAGATTTTATTCAAGCTCATGCTAAAGAAAAAAAAAACCATTTTTTATTAATTTTTAATTAGTTGAAATTAAAAGGTTAGAGTCGCTTGAGAGCGAAATTCGACTTGCTCTGTCGAGACTGAAAGGACAGCAGCAAAAATTAGCAGACATGGATGCCAAAGTGGCCGCGCTCGAAGTCACCCTGGACCAGTATATGGCCGAGGCCGACGCTCTATCCGACGCCGTCCAAGGGGCGCAGACTCAACTCAAAAGGGCTGCAGAAATTTCAGCAGCCTTAGCAGATTTTGATGTCTGGGAAGTCAAGCTGAGAGTATGGATGAGATACATTTTGAACACAAAATAAACTGTAAATTTTTTCATAGATGTTCAACACAAAAATTGATAATTTAATGGGAGACGCTTTACTGTGTGCCGCTTCGATAACATACATGGGCCCGTTGACTGTGAAATTAAGAAAAGAACTTTTAAGTGACTGGAAAAAATGCTGCCAGGATTCTTCAGTTCAGATGTCAGATGACTTCAGGTACATTATTAAAAAAAAAAAAAAAAAAAGGAAAATTGAGATAAAAATTTTTAAATGAAAAAAATAACAGTGTAATTGTCTATTTTTTTCCATGAAAAACTGGAATATAATTATTCAATAATTATATCAATTTTTAATTTTAAATTTTTTCTCAGCAATTTATTAATATTTTGATATTAATTATATGAGCTTTAATATCATTAATATTATTCAACAGTTTGAAAGAAGCAATGAAAACGTCGTCAGAAATCCACAATTGGCACAAAAATAAATTACTCAAATGTGAAAATTTCACCGTTCGTGCAATCATTCATGAAAAATCCAGAAAGATGTCTTTGATCATTGACCCTCAAGGAAAAGTGAGTTTGCTTTTATCGACCTTACAATTAGCAGACTTTTTTATGTTTTCCTCAGGCTTGTCTTTGGTTGAAGCAAATTCACAGCGCTCAAGGCGTGATTGTCGCTTCAATGCTCTCGGCCAATTATTTGCAAGAGATGGTCCGAGCTTTAGACCAAAAGTGTCCTTTTATGCTGGAGGATTTGGGAGAAACGATGCCAGCAAATTTGCTATCAATCATCGACAAATGGCGTGAGCAAGACCTGACAGTGTTGTTGACCACTCGAGTTTCAAAACCCAACTTCGGCGTTGACGTTTTCGCCCGATTCAACGTAGTTGATTTTACCGTTTCGGAAGAAGGACTGGAAAATCTTTTTCTAGAGTATGGATCAGTTTAATTATTTTGAAAATAAAACTATTTTTATATCCTTTCTCAGTGAAATAATCCACACTAAATTTCCTGACATTGAAAGCCAGTTTGCCACGCACAGCTCGCGTTTGAGAGCGACAGAAAGGGATTTTAAAGAAATTGCTGCAGAAATGCAGGAAAGATTGTGCCAGTTTAAAGGGGATCTACTTGACGATGCAACGGTTATCAATGCGTTGTGCAAAAGCAAGGTGATTTTTTTATTCATAATAAATTATAATTTTAATGTTTCTTTCAGAGATCAATAGATGCTCTGACGGTGGCTCGAGAGAGACACTTAAAATCGTGGAAAACGTTTGCAGATAGAAAAAATCAGTTTGCTTGTGTCGCCAAAAACGCGTCTTACATATTTTGCGTTTTGCTTCAAATGCAAAATGTTAAAGAAATCTATCAATTCTCACTTCAAATGTTCAAGACGGTGAGTTTAGGCTACTTTTTTTATTCAAATTATTATTTTTTTTTGCAGATTTTAGTAGAGCTGTTGAAGAAAAAGTTTAGCCTGGAAAATGACGAATCACTGGCAAAGTCAATAGAGAATTTCAACAAACTCGTAGTCAAAGAATTGATAAGCAATCACGAGCACAGTTTTGAATTACAAGATTTGCAGTTGTTTTCTAAATTACTCGATCAAAAATTGAAACTTGTGGACTCGAAAGAAAATACTCAAGAAAAATCGGAAGAAGAATTAAACCAGGCAATATTTTAAATGATTTTATAAAACAATATAAAAATTATAACCTAATTACATTATTCAGTGCACGTCTTCAAATGAGCAAAAAATAAAAATAGCCGGTTTGCAGTTTGATTCCATTACGTTTGATCCAGTCAGCTTGAAAAATAAGTATTAAATTATCTTTTGTATTTTTGTGAATTTAAAATTTATATCTTTTTAGAATAATGAGTATGAAAAAGCTGACACCGATGTTAATTATCACAGGTCAAGATATTTCCACAGAATTGCGAATGTTGGCCGAAGAACTTCGACCGAAGCAGGCTGAACAAGGGATTGTTATTGTAGCCCTCGGTGTGATTCAACTTGAAAAAGCCGAATTTTGGCTTCATAAAGCTGCTTCAAAAGGACTGTGGATTTACTTTCAAGTAACATAATAATTTTTAAATTAAAAATCATACTAATTTTCAAAAAAAGAATTGCCACTTGCAACTGGAATGGCTGGAGAAACTGGAAAAAAGTTTTGCATTGTATAAGTCTGACTCAAATTTGGTCCACGAAAATTTCAGACTGTTTTTCAGCACAACTTCAGACGTGCAAAAAGTTCCACCAAACTTGATGCAAATCTCTATGAAATTTTGCACGGAAAAATTCACAAGTGATTTTGGTAATATTTAATTTATTACTTTAATAACATAAAAATTTCAACGATTTTTTTTACAGCCAGGATCCAGCATGGCATTCTGGAAATTTTTGAAAACTACGATGGAATGCAGCGGATCCAGAAATGATTAATTTAATTAAATTAATGCAAAAAAATATGTATAAATATAAATTGTATACATTTTTCCAAATTCACACGTTATTTTCTGTTAAATTGTAAGTGTCTGCACGAACGTACAAAATTACTGATCCAGCAAAATTGTTTATGTTGTAAATAAAATCCCAGTTTTTTTGTTACTGATCTTGGCATAGAAACTACGGTAAAATATCCGCACCAAAATATGCAATCAAAAAAGAAAATTTACCTGTAGCAGCGTAAGGTAAAAATGGAGAAATCAACAGTATATGCTGTGATGAGAAGCATGTCACACTCAACCAACACTGTCAGTCTCATTGTCAGTGTCAAAACAAAAACAGCAAAAACACGACAACACACCTTTCATCTTCTTGAAAACAAATAAAATGAAAAGAAAAGAAGAGAGCATGGGATTAGTAACAAGTTTCAACGCAAGGTGGCTACAATTTTCTTGAGGTAAACAGCGCGGACGCTAACGCCAACAAAGAATAACGAGCAATTATGGAACTATTTCAATGTCTGCGATTATTTGCGACAATCTCGTGAATTCCCCCCGTGTCGTGGAGTTTTGTGTTTTTTGTTTCTTTTTCCAAGTCATGCCGTCGTCCTGAATCGGTGAGATTCCAATGTTTCAATTCGAACGCTGTCGCGAACAAACTTTTCGCAGAAAAAATGGCAAGCAAACGAAAATCCTCGGGCACCAATATGAATTTTCGGCCCCAAATGAGTGAGGCGACTCGAGAGACGGCTGCAGGACGGCGGCCCCTGCCAGACAGATCCTCCGTGTCCTCGGTTCTTGTGGTGCTGGTGCTTCACATTTGTAGGAAGATCCTGTTCGTCGACCCCAAGTGGAGGGTTTCCTTTTACGCGGGCGTCCTCTTCATCGTCTCCTTCATTGCAGACGTCCTGCCCATCCCAAAGACCTTCCTCAGCAGGTTAAATTAAAAATTAAATTCACATTCAAATTTAATAAAAATAATCAAATTACAGATCCGACCATATTTTGAATTTGTACTTTGTGAAACTGGGCTGGGGCTGGACACTCGCCCTGAGCGTGCCCTTCATCCTGCTGACGTCCTTCACCATCTGCTGCGGCCGCAGACAGAGAGTGGTAAAGCAACTTTTCCGAATGGTGATCGCCACGGTTTGCTGGTACTGCTGGACAAACTTCTTCACCTACATAGAAACCAACTACGGAAAATGCTACGTCAACAAGCCAGAGGCATTTAGCACCAAAGAAAAGTGTCTCGAAGGTGGATTTTTCTGGCATGGTCTCGACATATCAGGTAGATTTATAATTATTTTTAACTTTAAATATTGAAGGATTACTTTTTGCAGGCCATGCATTCATCTTGGTGTACTCGGCGCTGGTGTTGGTTGAGGAGGCCCGGGCCATAGTTGGATGGGACTCTATAGAGGACCTCATCAGAAATGAGGAATTCGTCCGCAACGAAAACGACAACGACCCAAATATAGCTCGGCCTTTGCAGGCACTCACAGACTCCGAGCTTGCGGTAATATTTTAAATGCAAAAAATTTTCGTATGGATTAATGAATAAAAATTTTAGATCTTAAAAACGTCATACTCAAAGTTCTCTCCGGCGGTTAAAGGCCTCTTTGTGGCCATCGCCCTCCTCACTTGCATCTGGGATCTGATGTTGTTCGGAACTGCTCTCTACCACCACGTCATGGCCGAGAAATTTATGGGTGGCAGCGTGGCTGTGCTCACTTGGTTTGTGACTTACAAATTTCTGTACTCGGGCTCCATGCGTCCTGGCGATTGTGGCCTCTTCAACTACAAGGACGTCAAGACGGCCAAAGAAGCGCCAGTTACAAAGAGAGCCTCTATGAATAGGTAAAATTCTGCCGCAGTTTAATTAATTTGAAATTAATTTTCTTCATTTAGGACTACCAGACCGCCAGGGCAAGGACCCACGTTTATGGGCATGCCCATAACAAAGCCTCCGGAAGACGCGGCCAAAACCAAGGAGGAGCAAGAACAAATTAACTCAAAGTGGCTTCCTCGAAAGCAAGACTTTTTTGACAGCTAATAATTGAACGAAAATCTCATCATCAAAGATTTCTTGGCTGAAATGTGCTCATTATTTGAGAAAATATTTTGTTGTTAGCAAAAAAGGCATTACTCGTCATGACAAGCTTTAAATTGATTAAAAGTCTGTGCCTTTGTAAAAGATAAAGATTTTGTGTCAAATCTTTTAAGTATGCCAAAAATCATAAATCACCAGTCAATGACTTTTCTTCTTACTTAGTTTTAAATGTTATGGAGAGTTACTTATTTATGTTTGTTTTGTTTCCCATGAACTGTAATTCACATCATTTTATTTGTGAAATCCATTTCCCCTTGAGGTTGCTCTGTTATTTAATAAAACATCCTTAATATTTAGCAGGTCATTTATTATGAAAATTATTCCTTAACGCACCTTAATGTAATTCAATCTTGTTACTTATCTACTAAATTTGTTGTGTATTAAATCATTAAATGTCCTGGCAATCAAAAAAATTGAGATCCACAAATGAATAATACTGACTCAGTCTCAAAATTACTTCATGGAATTTAAAAAAAAATGCCAGTCTTCTTTCTCGACATTAGTCATCTCGATCCTCAGGAGCCTTGTACGGGAAGTCCAAATACTCAAATATGTCCTTCTCTGAGTTTACGATGACCGGAGCACCAGGAGTGCCTGAGCAAACAAAAATTTATTTCAAGTCTGTAAATAATATTTCCCATTACTACCGGTGGTTCCAACAGGTCTGAGACTGTACTCGTTCAGGGTGTATCCCTTCGAGTGAGCATGGTGACGGATGTTCTGGTTGAACAGGTTGCTGCCTGTGAAGTGGAGCATGTGGCAGTAGTACTGGTCGCTGGGACACACACGGATGTCCACGCGTCGGAAAGTACCCTTTTCTCCGTGCTTGTGACCTTTGACCTTGTGCACGTTGAAAACGCCCTGAAATTGGAAGTTTTTTTTTTTAATATTCTCATTGATTTTTGTGAAACTCACCATGAATTTGACGTCGCCCAGAGAAATCTGGTCAGTGATCAGGTGGATTTTCTCCAGCTCCTTTATGAAGTTGTGCAGAATTTCCGAGCCCTCCTTTTTGTTGCAGGTCGAAATGTAGCTTGGCTTGGTGATCAGGATGTCGGCATCCCCGCTCTCAGGTTTTCCGCGCCTGTAGCTTCCGCAAAAGGTCACCTTCAGCTCAGGGTCGAACTTAGCAACTTGGTCCAAGACCACCTTCTCGACCTCGGAAATTTCCTCTCTGGGCACAGGCTTCTCAAAATCCTCAAAGTACCTACAAATTAAACATAACAATTTTTCATCTGGATATTTTAGCTTCATATTTTTACTTGAGCCCAATCAGTTGATGATGAGTGAGATTGAGTTCGTCCTGGCGTTCTCGCAGCTGCTCGATTGAAGTCACACCATGCTCATTGACCAGGTCATGAGCTTTTGCAGAACCAATTCCGTGCACTCTGGACAGATGAATTATGGCCTCGCTGGGGGTGTCCTTGCGGATCTGATTAAAAAAAAAATAATAAATTTAGTTCTATTTTTTTTCTAAAATTTTCTATTACAGTTTCCAGCTTTTGCATGGTGCCGGAGGAAAGGTACTCGTCAATCTTCTTGCTGATCTTATCGCCGATTCCTTTGAGTTCTTTTGCCTCGGAGCCTGAGGAGATTTTCCTGTCCAGGTGCGCCAGGGTGGAGGCCGCCTGTTTGTAAGCATGACTCTTGAAGGTGTTCTTGTTCACGGCCAACTCATACTCGGCCAGTTCTGTAAAAAATTAAAATAAATCTAATGTTTTCAAGTTATCAACAATATTAAAAATAATAAGTCCGAAATACGCAAAATTATATTCTATAATGTGATCATGAATCATGGGATGTTTTATGAAAGTCACGTACGCCACCTAATTGTAAGCAAATCGCCCTTTGGCCCCCCACAATTTTGAACAATCTTGTCACCTTTGAGCATGTCGCATAGCTCCTTGTTGTGATTCTTCGCTGGAGAACAACTCATCTTCAATTGATTCGCAGAGGAAATTCTTAAGATCAACGATTCGTTGGGCCGAAAACCAGGGCCGAAAATTGAGCTCACTAAAAGCCGGCGAAATGCAAACATCAACAACAACACTAACACAAAGGGATGAATGTGACGTCACAACAGGGGTGGGAGACGCTGCGTGTTTGGCGGGAAGGCTCTGCACTACACGCCGATTATGTTGTGCTTTTTTAGTGTTGGATGTTGGTGTGTTATGATTTTGAAACATTTTTTAGGAATATACATAATTTTAAAAATTTTTTAAAAAGATTTTATAATTTTCTAAATACATCAATCTTTTAAATTCGAATATTAAATTTATATTTTAAATTTTTTTCTTTATTATTGCAACAAAAATATTTTAGATCCAAGAAAATTGTCATCAATGTACAGCAAAAGAAAAAAATTGTCACGCTTTAATAGGATTTTCTTATTTGCCAGGGTATCAGGGGCGCATAAGAAAACGCTGGAGGATTCTGCCTCGCTCCTCTTCCTTTATACCTGGACCTGAATGCATGGCCTTGGGGAGGCAAAAGCGAAGAAAAGGCAAGATATTTTCCACGCATTCCAACATGAAGATGCTATTGTTGTATTTATTTTTCTTCCCTCGGCGCGGTGGCTGCTGCGTTGTGCGATTTGAAAGCGCGCAGCCAATTTCTCATAGCGGAGAAAATACTCCCACGAGCTGCCAGGCGCTCAGAATATTGTAGGGTGTTTCAGGGTATACTAAAAAATTCCACCTTGAACCACTATAAAATGTAAAAAAATACTATGTACAAACGTAACAAAACTTTAAAATTAAAAAAAAAATAATAATAATAAATATTTATTTTGAGGTATTTAAAATTTTCTTTACATTCATTAATTTTACCAATTTGGTTATTAACGGGATTTTTCTAAGTGATTCAGAAACTATGTAGAAAAAAATAACAAATTTTTACTTGTATTCATTTTAAAATTTAAAAATTTTTACTTAAAAAAAATCATTTTTTCTGTAGCTTATAGATAAAGTTTCAATTTTAAAATTCATTTCTTTTTAAATTATTTATATTTAATATTAAATTAATTTTTTAATTATTATCCAAACGCTCCCAATATAATCTTGTGAAATTCTCTGACATAAAATTATAACTCATTTTGTTGCGCTCGACCCAACAGTTGGATCGAATGGAACCAAACACCGCGTGCTTTTCCTTTCCTGCTCTCTCTGTGGCGCGCCTGCTGGACCACATTCGTCTACCACAATAATGAATAATAATAATGTCAATACACGGAGGCACACACACGAAATAACAACAAACGCAATTTCAATGGCAAATGAACACACAGCGAGAGCAGCCGTGCTTTGACCTGCACAAAAGAAAACACGGGATGCAATTGAAAGGGTTGATTTGCTTGTGAAATGTAATCTCGTCAGTTGCATCTCCATTTCGCGATAGATAAACAGGGCCCGGCAGAAAAAAATAAGCTGTTGAAAAATAACATGTCATCCGGAAGACTGGCTGGCACCTTTGCACTGATGTAGTTTGCTTATCTCATTTGCAGTTGTTTGCTTTTCATTTGATTTTGATTATGTCATTCGGCGCAGGCACAGCAAATAAAATATCAGATTACATCAGACCCCTGGCTTGTATGGTTCTTTTGTTTGGTGGAAAAACAAGCTGCAGCGCCGAGGTTTGATTTGGTCAGAAGCCGTATTGGTTTACGGACAACTTTGGAAATTATAAAAAAAGTTAATTTGTGTGCCAAATAATTTTGTTATAACGCTGAATCAACTTTTTCAGCAAGATTAATTGATAAATTTTAATTCCATATTTTAGATGGGCTAAAATTATTGCACGCAAGGTTTTGAACAAGGATGCGGATCAGTATAGCATGAGAAATAAGTTTCATAATTGACAAATCATTATTATGTGTTGAAGGTATCATAAAAAAGTCTTTCAAGAACATCTTTGGGGAAAAAACTGCTTAAAAAATATTATAAATTTTACCTTCTCCTTCATTTCTAATTTAAATTTTAAATATTAGGGATATTTAATCGAAAAATTATTATATGGAAAGGATGTAAAAATAAAAACATATTGTTGAAAAATATAAAAAATAATCAATGTGCCTCTCATTTCTGTAATTTTCATTTAAAATTTTTAATTTTTGGATTGATTTTTGTTAATCGAATCATAAGCTATTTATTAAAGTCCAGAGGAACAAAACGGAGCGCGATTGGATTTCAACCCGCCAGACGTGTTTGTTCAGCCTCTCTCTCGTTTTGTTGTTTGTTGTTTTGCTTATCCTATTATATTTTGGACGAATGCGATGCAATGCACTGTCAGGGCGCAAAAGACTCACCGGCAATAATAATAAAGTTGCCCCCTCGTCGCCCCGAATACGCACAAAGGGGCGGCTTACAAGGTGCTCCAGAAACGAGATTTCACCCTCTTGTATTTATATTCCAAAATGCAATTATTTAAATGTCAAACCGACGAGTTTTGCTTTGACGCCCTGTCAAAAAAGCAGCAGCGCGGGGACGATCGAGCCATCCCTCTGTGTTGTGTGTGTTTTGTTCGCGATACTCAATTATTTTAGCTTTTTTACCATTTGAAATGAGTCGCTCTTGAAAATAGTGTGCGTTTTATGACGGGTGTTACATTACGACTGTTTTTTGTTCTTGCGCACGCGGGGTCGGTTTTGTCAAGAGCAAAATACTTGTTGGATTATCATCGGTCTTGCCACCGGAGATTTCAACGCGTGCATTTGCATTTATGAATAGTAAGTATTATGCAAATGGATTACGTTGCTCGTATTGCACTGTTTATTATACTTGTATTTAAATGTTTTCTACTAATATTGGATCTTATTATAAAATTTATAACCAAATTATAAAATTAATTCATAAAGTACACATTTAAAAAATTTCAATGACTCAAAATTAATAAATAATCAAATTCCTATAGCGTTTTCGTTGCGAATTTTTAAAGCCTGTTAAGGAATATTGTAGAGAAACAGGGTAAAATTTATTATTAAAAGATTTATTTAATTAAGGGCGGGGAATGGAAACTTTTATAAAATCTAAATCGTGTAATTTAGATCCTATAGAATGATCCGTTACAAATTAAAACGGTTTATTTAGGCAACATTAATAAATTTTCAGTTATAATTTTAAGCCAAGTTACAATTTAGGGGTTGTCTCAGCTATGAAATTTATATTTCCAAGAATATGATTAAAAATGTTATAGAAATCTCTCTGTTATAGAAATTTGCATATTTCACACGATTTCACCATAGAAAACAACTCTTGTAAATTACAGGGCGTGAAAGGACACGAATTGGCATCATCAATTTTAAGCCCTTCTATATTTTCTGTCGTTTCTTTTGTGTCTCAGTTGGAAGCATAAAACAACGCTCCGGCCCAAAGCGAACATTTCCACTTGAACACCTTTCCGACAAAGCAAAAACTTTGACCCCGCTGCGCGTCTCCTTTTCAAATAATCAGAACACGGAAAAAAAGAGGGGCCAGCTCGTCGCAATTAAATTCAACAGCCCTCTGGAAAAAGTATTTCGAATTTGAAGCGAGAGTGCTTTTTGAAAAGAGCGAGATGAGTGGTCAAAATTGCCGGTCGAACAAAGCGAAGCAGCGCGGCCAGTCGGAATTCTCGAGAGTCACGCTGGGCATGCATAATTTTTCATCTGCAGCACAACAACCCCTTATATACTTTTATTATATTGGGGGGCAGCGATAGGAAATTGCGCGCGTTTTTCATTTTTTATAACAACCGGCACTGGTCCTTGATGAGCGTGTCAAATCACGACTGGCCTTTTAATTCGCCTCTTAATTGAACTGAACTCTGCTCGATTGAATTAAGAAGTGGCGGAACCAGGGAGGAAAATTTGTAACTTTTGTTTAAATTAATAATTTAAAATTTAATTAGGTAGAATTTTTTTATACATTTTTTTTAGAAATTTTTGTATATTATAAATTTTTAATTTAAAAAACATTTGACAAAACAAAATAAAAATTAGTGATTCAAAATAAAAATTAATAATTTTTATTAGAAGGAAAACAAAAAACAAATTAAAATATTAAAACGAACGCAAATAAATATGAAATTATTTATTATTCAAAAATTTTATTAGTAAAAGTTTAAAAAAATTAAAATTTCATATTCAAATTGATAAATTGAATAAATTTTTAATTTGTAAATAATATTATTTAATTCTTTGTAATTATTACAATTTGAAAATTACATTTTCTTTGATTTAAACTGGTTAGAACCTTTTTTAAAAAGGAGCATCATTCATTAGTTAATGGAGCTGTTTGCAAAGAATAGAAATAACTGCGTCTGCCCCTGACTCTGCGTCTGGCTTTTTGCTTTTGTCACGCTGGCCTGCTGCCGCCGGGTTGCGAGATAGGAAAATCCAGTTCTGTTTATTATTGAGTTGTTGCTCGCGAGCACCTTGCCGGCTTTTTGTGCAGCGCACATGCTGCATTTTTCATTTTCGCTCGAGCGCACACGCCACAATCAAAGTGCAACCGGAGCCAGTTAATATTGTATCGCACAATGAAAAGTCAAAAAAGGCTGACCAGGTCGAGGGCTTTTTAACGAGGAAATCGTCAAAAATCGCGCTCTTCAAATCAAATCAATCAACTTCTATCGCAAAGGGCCAAAGTTGAAAAGAGCATTGATAGGCGTTATTTATTAAGGATTATATTTTTGTGAAAAGGGCTGACTGGGGCTGACATGATGTAAGGTTTGATTTTTATACAGCGTTGAGGACATTGAGGAGTTTAAATTGATTTTCAACATGATTTATAATAGTTGGCTGAATTAGACCCCTTTAAAGTCCCCATTGGTCTGCGAGTTAAAAGTGCATACTTGATAATATTTTTCGTATTTTTCGATATGTCAACGGACCATAAATAACGCTGAAGTGAAAATTTGATTCAAGCTTTCTGCGCCTGTAGATTTATTTTTTATTTCCAGCATGTTAAACTTTTCCATCAGTTTGGATGTGCATTCAGTTTTTTAAGTGAAGTTTTCAATAAACCATAAAATGTAGTTTGTAGATAAAGACAATATTTAAAATTATTTTTTAAATCTAATTTTACTTGTTAATAAAAAATCTGAATTAAAATTTTACTAACTGCTGGTTCTTTATATATAGTTCACGACGAATTTATTGCGCCTTTACCTTTTAGCCACAATAATTCGGTACAAAATTAATTTTATTTTGAGGGTTGCAATTTCAATATTATTTCATAAAAAAATTATTTAGTGAAAATTTAATGTATTAACAGCTTTTCCATACATCAGCTTTTATTTAATATTTAAAAACAAAAATCCGTTGCAAATTTCAAAATATTCACAAGTTTTGTTATTATTAGTTATTCGCAGTTTATAGAAAAAAGGGGGAAGGCAAATTAAATCAGAAGGGTGGCTGCGGCTAATTTGAATTAAAAATCACTACACCGTGACTTTTGCGGCCAAAAATTTTACATAATATGCATAAATTAGCTGGTTCCATTTATTTTGATTGTTGGCCGAAGGAAACGGAAATCAGTTTTGAATTTAAATTAAGGAAACTTCAACGACCAAAGCTGGCGGAGCGTGCTGGAAAAACCGTCACGTTTTTAAACGAGAAATGAGAAAGGTGCAACGTCGAACTAACGAGATTTTGGCAAAGCAGGGGTAGTTTAATTTGTCATCCCCTGTCAAGAGGGTTTTTATCCGAAAAGCGCGTTTTTCGCCTCCAAATTGTGCAACTCATTGCTTCCGCAAATCAATCAATGCGCATCAATATTATTTAGGCAATGTTTTGGCGCGGGGCGGTTTCACTCGCGGTCGCGGAGTAAAAAATTCCCTCTTTTTTGGGAAGAAAAAAAGCTCGACGGAAATCAATCACGCGGCAAAACTCTTTTGTCGCCACGCGAGACAAAGAGGCGAGCTGCATTTTAAAAATGCATTTCGCGTTTTTTGTGCATAACGAGCGGCGCAAGTGAATGAACGTCGTCGTTTGAGTGACGTCGCTTCACAAAATTTAACACGCGTGTCATCCCAGGCCGCGGCAGCCGAAAATGAGAAAGAGAAGAGAGAACGCGCAGCTGCACCGTCTGCTTTTCAGCTGCAAGAGAGAGTGCAATACGCCTCTCATTTATTAATAAACGTCATCTGCGCCTTGACACAATAAAAGTTCCTTATGTTTTAAAAAGGTCAAGAAATATCGAGTCAAATAAAATTTATAATAAAATCAAGATTATAAACAAAGTGTTATACAAAAGTTAATATAAAAACTTTTATATAAATTTTTTGGGATTTGTAAAAACATTTACTTTATTTATTAATAATATATTTAATAAAAAGGACACATTTAATTGTAATTAGAAGAGCAATTTTTATTTAAAATATTTAATTTTTATTATTATTTTTTTTTTAATAAAAATATTACTTTTATAACACTATTTTTAAAATACTTTTACCAGATATCCTAGAAATAAAAATAATAATATTCTAAAATAATTATATTAATAATAGGGCTGAACAGAATGATTCCTACATATTTTCATTCAAGCATTGAAGCTGCTCTGATGGCATCGTTAAGAATTCAATTTAAACATTATGATAATTATTATTTTAATTTACTAACAAATTTTTTATTTCTATTCAGCCGACTCGGGAACATGGGATGAGCAAATATTTTCATCGTCAGTCAATATTTGCAGAGCAAACAAACAACTTGTAAATTACCCAAGCCCCACCTTGCCGATATCAACCCCTCTTCATCAGCTTTTCACAGCTTTGATTCAGTTGCCATTCTTTCAGAGCAGCTGGCCGTGAATCGAGTGTGTGTTTGACCGAATCGGAGGTCGAAACATGTCATCAACGGTTTTGCAGCGGAGCTATACAGGAGCGGAAGGGTTGCTCTTTTCAATGCCTTTAATATTCCATTGCCAATTTTATCGCGAAAACGACGATTCGCCACGCTTTATATTCATGAGAGTCGTGTTTCCACACAGAACAGGACACGGATCTCAAAATCTCTTGACATTTATTACGACCGTCGGCGATGCAAATAAACCGAAAATTACACTACTTAGTAAAACCGGATTTAAATGATATACCTTTGAATCAAAGGAAAAGGTTTAAAATAATTGTAGGTATAATTTAAAATATTTAATATGAAATAAAAAAATTCAAAATTTTATGTTCAATTGTTTGCAAAAAAATGTTTTAAGAGCACAAAGAAAGTTCAATGAAAATAAATTTTTAGATTTCGTGTTGGATAAAAATTTTTAATTTTTTTTACATTGCAGCCGCAAGTTTACAGTTTCCAATTTTGTGTTATATTTTTTAAGACTTTTGAAATTTTTCTTGTCAAGATGTGAAAAATTGGCACTGAAAAATTGCCCCTGTAAACTTTTTACCATCGAGCGAACGCAAAAGTACAAAAACGGGTTAATTGCAAAGCACGTTCAGGAAAAAATGAAGATTGATGCGACAGTTTTCGCGCTCATAGAGCCGCATTTTTCATCTCATCACGTCAACACAGAGACGCGTCAGGTACTACAAAAGTTGATTCATTATGCAACTTCTCTATCGCCGACCTGTTTCTGCAGCGCCGCGTTTGTATATTATTTTTTACCCATACCGGCAGAGAATAAATTTATTCCAGCTGCTGCGCCGGCACAAAAGGGGCGCGCGTTTCGTAATTAGATTTGTAGAAAAAACTGTTGTGAAAAGCGTGTGGCATCTCGGCTTTTCAGTTTTGCTCTCGCAGCGCCAGTCCATCATGTAATGCCTGTCAATCAACTGCGCCAGCCAAATTTTAAAATTAAAAAGTGAAAAAAAAGCGTCAACTGCTATTTTGTGTGCGCGATACGGGCGGTCTTTTGGGGGTTATAGACATAGACTGAGGCCAAAAGGCTGCACGCGGGAGATATGTGCGATTTTGTCGGTGGAAGTTTTTAAATAAACTTCAGTTGAAGATAAAAATATTTCCTTTAAAGTGTATAGATAAATTCTGGATTCAATGGAAAAATAAGGATAATTTGGTTAAATCCAGCTTAAATCTGATGAAAATTAATTTAAACTTTTTTCTGGCACATTTCCAGATTTTCTTTTTAACAAAATTTTGAATTGTCTGATGGACATGACATAAACATGAGAGTTGTTAATTGGTTTAAATTTTCTTCCAGGTAAAAAACAAAAATGTTATTAAGAAAAACGATGAAACAAAAACTCTAGCAGATTTTATTTATAAATTATTTTCGCATCAGTAATTTAGCTAAAAATTACAATAGGTAGTCGCTGGGGCACTAATCTCTCTTTAATCGATAATAAATGTTTATTAAAAATTTAGGACGCTTTTTTACTATTCAAATTATTAAATATTGTAATGCGAAATATTGTTAAAAATATTAACCTTTATTTGCTTTATTCCACAGTAAATAATATTCAAAACTCAAGTTACTAAAAATAAATACTTTTTTGTAATAAAAATATAAATTTTTTCAGTCCAAGGATTTGAAAAATTTAATTATAATATAAGCTCTGTGATTTCCCTTTTTTGCTTATATTCAATTTGCAGCAGCTGAATATTTGACGCTGCACCCAAGAGTCAAATTATAGTTGTGGTCCTGCATTATAATTAATCACACAGACAGAAACCGCAGCCCTCATAACCCACCCGCCTCTGCTTTCCGTCTCGCTTTGTCCGGCTGCTTATTCGTTCTTCGGAACACATGTTTTGTGCAACTTAATCGGTAATTATCATCACGCAGAGGCCCAATCGTCGCTTATTACTACCCATCGAGCCGACTCGACGTGCGGTCTCGATTTCATAAAATGCTCCCTACCAGAGATTATTATTATTTTATTATAAATAATAAAAAGCGCGTGTGCGGCGTTCTTATTCAATCGGAAAAGGTAAATAACAGAGCAGCACCCATTCGTGATTTTGGCTTTTGCGCATTCAAACGAATATATAAGGCAGCAGCGGGAATGTTTTATTTGTTTGACAAAGCACAAAGCAGCTGCCAATTTGAAAGTCGAAATTGACTGTTGTTGGATAGATTGAAGTTTAAAGAGAACAAAATATAGCTAAGTGATAAGGGTGAATTTCAAATAATTTTATTCAAGAACTTAATGATTAAAATTAATGGAATTGATCAATTATCTTTGTGGAGTCAATTTGTAAATGACATGAAAATTTAAGAAAATTGGAAAAACAAGATACCATTTTTTTCAAAGGAGAAAAAATTAAATGTAAATTTCAAAAATATTTTTAATTTAGTTTTACTTCAACGTTAATTATTTAATTAAATCGAATTTGATATTTATTCCAAAAAGTTAAACCTTTAAAATTCAAGGTCCACTAAAAAGTACTAAAAAATCTTGTCGGTGAAAGCCAAATTAAAATCCAAACACTACAATATTCTAATAAATATTTCTTAGTTTTAGTTACAGATATGCATTTAAGAATGAATTTTTCCAATTGATATTGTTATGTAGCTTTTTTAACTAGTAAACAAAAATTTGAGCAAAATTTTAATTTTATTATAATTGAAGATTCAAGTCAATTTTGTATTTGAAAAAAATTTACTTCCAAAAGTGCAGTTTTTTTTTTTTTAATTTGAGAAAATAGAGGCAGTCATATGGAAAATTAGAAAATATGAAACAACCATGTGTGTAACGATTCCAATCCATAAAAGTGCAGAGACTTTCACGCACGTGCTAATCGCGACAAACTGCATCTCTGTCGTTAATTCGCAGCTGTCTCATTTTATCGTCTGCCTCTTTATACAAAATCGAGAGCGCTTGAAAAAAATTATTCACGCAGGCACTCGAAATAGGAATAACTCCTCACACCTCCGATTTGATTCCGGCCCATTAATTCCTAGAATTATATTCGTAACACATGCAAGTATATTTTTTTATGAAAATGAGGCCGAGGGTTGTCGACGACATTTCAACCCCGGCGGGCGTTTTGTTTTGGCGACTCGGGGAAAAATATGAAAAATCACTTTCGCCCGACCGGTTGTGCGGAATCGAGATTTTTTCGGCGGTCGTTATTGATGGGCCGTCCGAGGGGCGGGACACGGCGAGGGGCGTGCGGCGGAAGGGGGGTTTAAAAAGCGGCCGCGCGCTGCTCAACCCTTCACTAGTGTTGAAAGCGGAAGAGACGAAACATGTTGGTGTGTGCGGAAAAGTCAAAGGCCGTGCGGAAAATCTGCTTCGGGCAGAAGTGCGACAAGCAAGTCGAGCCGTGGATTGTGCACTCGCTGGTCAACCATTTCGGAATCCACCCCGCAGAATTTTCCGAGCTTCAGCAAGTTGCTACCCAGTTCATCGACACATTCTACTCGCAACAAAGAGGTAAATTTTAATACTAATTTTATGGTTTAATTATTAATTATAATTTAAAAATTTTATATTCTCAAATTGTTAGTTATCGTTAAGTTGAAAATTTAAATGCAAAATTAGCATACATGGGTGCGCTCAACAATTTTGCGCTCGCGCTCGCGCTCGCGATCACTGGCAACAGTGCGCTCGCGCTCTGCGCTCGCGCTCAAGATTTTGAAAATGTTGCGCTCGCGCTCTGCGCTCGCGCTCAAATTTTTAAAAAGTCTTGCGCTCACGCGTTGCGCTCAAAAATATTTTTATCCGAAGAAAAATGCGACTTTTAAGACAATTTTTTAATATAACAAAAAATACATCGGCAATTGGAAATGATAAAGTTGAAGTTAAATCACCAAAATTGGGATCAGTTTTGAAGTTTTTGGTATAAAAACACTGTTTTTCATTACAATTTTTGATCAAATTCGGGAATTTTTACTTTTGGTTTGAGCGCAAAATGAGCGCAATTGAGCGCTGCGCTCAGCGACCAATGCGCTCGCGCTCTGCGCTCGCGCTCACGATTTTGAAAATCGTGCGATCGCGCTCTGCGCTCGCGCTCATGAGCGCAGAGCGCGAGCGCAGATCGCAGAGCGCAAATTGCGCTCTGCCCATGTATGAAAATTAGTTTGTAGTGTATTATTATTTATTTGAACAGTTTTATAATCTCACCTAAAAATTTATATTTTGACTATTATTTTGGACATCATATAAAATATCATAAAAATTTAAATATTGAAGCAATTTAAATAAAAAAAATGTTACAAATAACGCCAACTTGAATGATAAATTTAAATTTGTGTGTGTATTTGTTTCAGAAACGCTGGCTAAAATTAATATTGTAGAAGAAAATCAGGATGGGCTGTGTTCCAGAGATCTCAGTTGGTCGTCTTTGAATTTCGTCAACAAATTAAGAAGAAGTCAGACAGGGAAATGTTAATTAATTTAATCTGCAAAAAAGTCACTATTTAGTATGGTTATTTTTTGTCAGTCATCAGCTAAGTAAACCAAATTTGTATGAAATAATTTAACAAAACTAGTCTAGTGGATATAATTGTGGAACAAAACGTTTGTGTTGTTAATTTGTAATTTTAATCTTGTAACAAAATAATTAAGAACTGATATTTTGTCTTAATTTATATCATTAGTTGGCACCATGATCTCCAGGTATACAAGTCATTTTTGCACTTTTCGCTGCACATTTTGTAAATAAATAGTCACTCGTTGGATATATAATAAAATTGACGATCACTAAAATTGCACATTTTTAATTACACTCTCTTCACCTCGACTAGATTTAAAACTTAATTATGCAGAAGTTAAAAATATTAAACTTTGTAAATGAGATTCTCCGAACAGTTAATCTCAAATAATTGACAGCAGTCAATAAAGTCTGTAGAAAATGCAATATAATATATCACAACACATTTAACACTGTGTTTCTTGCAAGAAAATGAAAAATTCATTTCTGTGGAATGCTTGAATTGCAGTTTGCGTGATAAATTTTCACTTTTCCCTCGCAAGCAAAGTACCGGTCGAAAACGTCGGCATAACCGTGCTCGCGCCACCACTGACACATTTGTCTGTTCCACGCACAGGGCAATTTGAAAATCAGCTCTGGACTCTTGATCCCCATCAATGTGAAAAAGTCTTGGTCGCCCAAATGGCCTTTGAATTCGAACTCAACGGACAACTCGTTGACACTGTCGGTCGACACGAGAGTTTCATAAAACGCAGAGAGGCGCATTTTCTCCAAGTCGAGTAAAACGACCCCGCTGTTGAAGCCGGAGTAACCATCTTCAATATCAGGTTCTCCAATCTATTGAATTTTTTAAAATAAATTTAACATCACTTTGCAAATTAAAAAAAAATGTGAATATAAAAAATAAATTATGTCCCCATAAATTGGAATCTTTTGCCAAGATTTCTTTTGAATTTAATGATAAGAAAAATTAGAGATTAAGAATAATTATGGGGTTGCACTTCTTGTTTCTTTTTCTTATATGCAATCATTACTTTTTAAATCAAATTAATTATAAAAATACGAAGTAAAAAGTATTGATTAAAATTAAAATTTTAACTACAGAAATAATTGTGCACTAACCTTTTGTGGATTTTCCTTCAACTTGTTCAGGTATTTGTAAAGGACGTGTTTGTAGACAGGTGAGAGTTCAGGGGCCAGTCCGAACATCTGATCGTCGTTGAAAAGCTCAAAAAATTGGAAAAGCAAGACCACATCAGCCCGAAACTGGATGTCGATGTCCAGCAGCAAAACTTGGTTGAGTGAAGAAATTTGATGAAGGCCGAGAGAGAGAAAAAACAAATCGTCACTGTAGTAACTACCGGAGGCGCTGCTGAAGTGAGGCTTCATTGCCATAACAACGTCCCGAGCCTTTTCAAAAGATTCTTTTGCATTGTAGTAAAGAAGCTGAAACATTTTACCAACATTTACCAATTAGTTTTTTGTACATACAAAATTAATATTTTTCTTATACCTTGATAGGAACTTTTGATTGGAAAAAATCAGTCGAATTTGAGTAACTAGTCAGGTATTTTTTTGAGTCTTGGTCGCAAATGATGTGCAGGTTTATCGGTTTTGATGCAAACTCAGTCAGAGAAGTGAAGAAGCGGTGGAAATTGGGTCCTAAATTGCTTCGAGTCTTCATATTGGTCATGATAATGAAAATTTCCAAGGCTTGTGGAAGGCCTGGATGATGTTCTTCCGTGGTCGTCGGCGTCAAAGTTGTGTTCGGAATGTCCGGAAAGTCGTCGTCTTTGACCAAGTTTGCAAAGTCTTGTCCATCTGCTGCTATTTCGACGTGAGACTCCTCCTCGGAGTGGCGCCAGAATAACACATAGCCCAGGATCAAAAGAAGCGTCGAAAATACCAGGAGAAAGCGTTTTCTTCGCATTTTGGTTTGTGTTTGGGGGCCAAACTTTACTAAAAGATTGTATCGTTTGCCATCTGTTTAAAAATTCACCATTAAAATTTTAGTAAATAAGCAATTTTATTTGTCAATACTTGCCTTTTTCTTCAAGAGGATTACGTAGGTAAATATAGAAAAGTATTAATAATCGGATATTTCTCCTCACAAACAGGTTTTAATTCAAAAAAGCCCAAAAAGCGCAATGACAAAAGAGAAACCTGCTTGTTTATTTTGTTGTTTTGTCTTCGAAGAACAAAAACATGGACCAGTCGTAGCAACTAAACTCACTATTTGCTTGAAATGCCGGCTTTCACATTATTAGCATTATTGTAACAATTATCACAAATGTAGAAATTTTGTATTATTCTGTCATTTTAGTAAATCAAAAAAATAAAAATCAGTTTAAAATGTAGTAAAATCATAAAAATAAACATTGCATCTAAATTTGTAATGTTGGTATTGGTTTTACACTCGATCTGACACGATCTTTTGCGTCCTTGCGCGGGAGGGGAAAAGCTCTCTATTGCTTTGAAGTTCACGAAAATTAATTAAAAAGGTAAAATTGCGAACTGTTAGGTTTTTGGTCTCCATTTAAATTTCAGCACTGACTGAGCAGAGATTTTTTAGGTGAATTCAGCTGCAAGTTCTGCTTACAAATTAGGGGTTGGGAAACTTGAGATTTCTCACATATATCATGGCTTTGTGCTTTGTGTCACAAACGGTTTGTGTACAAATAGTACGGTCCGGCAGTTAATTTTACGTAATTTTATTAAAGATTTTTACCAATATTCGCGATAAATCTCTCATTTAAATTTATTCATGTTTCAAACAGATTGTTTTAAACTTTGAACGTATAATAAATTAGTAATAAATGAAATTTTTTAAAGCAAGTTTATTTTAATTTTTTACTATTTTATTTACATTTTCTGTTTTAGTAAGAGTGACGAGCTGATACAATAATATTTGTTTCTATTTTGATATAAAGCTCAATTAAAATTAAAATTCTTGTTTTTAGTCAAACTTCAAATCTTTTAGAAGATGAGCCAACAGCTTATCATCCACGTCTTTACACTTGTTAAGGCCGATCTTGATCTCCTCCTTGCCTTCTTGTTCTCGTCCGCTCCTCAGCAAGGCCGCCCCTCTGACCACGATGAGTTTGGCCTTGATTTCGGCCTCGATTCCCTCTTGTTCGATGGCTCGACTGCTGCACTCGATGGCCTGATACCAGTGGCCCAAGTGCAGATAAGCCACGGCCAGGACGAGGCGGAGCCCCGCGTGTGAAGGGCACGCACCAAGAGCATGGCTGGCCAGGGCAGCTGCTCCTTGATACTTCCTATCTTGAACTAGTTCCCTAGAAAATGATAAAAAAATTAAAAAGTTTCATTAATAAAAAAAATAGGCAAAAATTATTATTATTATTAACCTTGCTTTATCATACAACCAACCAGGCTCTGCTTTTTCCACAACTTCCGGTCCACAGCCCACAAGTTTCATGGCCTCTTCTCTTTGAAGTTTCCACTTGAAAAATTTTAAATTTAAAAACAGGAAATAATATTTGTCAAATTTTAAAAACCTTATCCTCCATAGGCTTGTGAGACTCCCTTTTAGGCGTGGGAAACACTCTTGGTGTAAAAGCAACTGAAAACTCAAACGGCTCCTCAGGATCAGTTTCTTCTTCAAAGATTTCTTGAACGGCCTCCACAGCCACTTCAACACTTTTAATTTTTTCAACAGATTTGGCAACCTTTTTTTTAATTATCAAGTTATGATTAAAAATTGAGAAATTTATAATTTATTTCTCATACTTGATTATCTGCAGGTAAAGTTTGTTTCCACTGCAGGGTGTCCTCCAAGGCCTGTCTCACAATCTCCTTTTTCAACCTTTCGATCCTCAGTCTGTTCGCCTCCTTCTCCTCAATCTGGTGCTCGACATTTTTCTTAATGAGTTTCTCATTGTGCTCTGCATAGGTAATTAATTATAATTAAAAATTAAATTAAAGTTTTGCTGCTTACTTTGTTTGGCTTCATCTCGATTTTTGTGCCACTCATGCTGCTCAAGTTCAGCATCACTTCGCCACTTTTGCTTCTTTTCTTTGTCCAGTCCAACAGTCTCTATGGTCGTCCACTCTTTGCCTGTGTCCTCTTTTGGAAGCGTGAAAGTCACATGATTGCTTCCATACGTCACTTTCACGTCGTCAACTTTTATCTTTTCCGACAGGAACAGCTCAAAGATGAACGGTGGTAGGCTGAACTGAATTAAAATTAACGATATTTAATTAAAAAATGTAAACATGAAGGACGTTCTATGAAAAAAAAATAATAATCAGTAAAAAAATAATAATATCAAAATTAAAAAAATATGTTTTACTAAAAATTAATGTGCCGCACGAAGCAACCTTTTTTCAATCTCTGAAAATTCATAACGCACCTTCAAATACTGGGAAGTAATTAAAACGGTGCAGCTCTTTGCTGAGGGCTGAATGTAACCTGTTTTAACCTTCAACAGGACGTTTTCAGTGTTTTGGTGCCACGAATATTCTTTCAAAACGATCGGCATCTTTAAAATTTGACTTTCGTCGCTTCAAAAATAGTGGATTTTAATTTTTAACGTTTGTTTGTTGCTTGGCAACGGTGAATATTGTTTCCAAGTATGGTGGCGCGACAATCCAAATTGGCGTCTCCTAAACGCCTGCCGTATTCGTCACACGCAACCCGGGTGACGTGAGTGCCGAGCACGTTGTCTAACTTGTGCACACATGTTTTTTTTTTAAGGAACTATTATTATTAAAACAAAAATTATTGATCTATCCATTCTTTCCTCTTACAATTATTATTTTGTAACATTTTTGTCGGTATATTGATTCTAAAAGTGATGAGCAAAAAAAAAACTCTTATAATTTTTAAGATTTTATTGTATAATGATTGCGGCAGTATCAACAGTTTTGGGGCATAAAAATACAAGACGAAAAAACTGGTAATAATATTTTGGAAAAAAAATATGAAGTGAATCATATTCACATAATATTCTTTGGCCTAAAATTTAAACAAATTACAGTTTGAAACTCAAATTAAAATGAATTTTAGGGTAATTTGATTTTGAACATCAATAAGTTGAACACACACAGCATCAAAGTTTCCTGAATTTTTTTCTAAAACGCTTTCTATGTTATAAGTATCGCTTAGTTAGAGAAAATACAATGTAAAATATTCTGTCTTTTAACTTCAGTCATTCACCATCTCCCTGAGACAATGTAATGCCTTATGGCAAATTGTGAAGCTAACAGTTCGGACGATTGTAAAAATTGCACCAGCTTTCAACTAACTGCTCAGATTTTTCTGCTATTTTATTTTGGCAGGGCGGAAGATTTATATACGTTTCGGTTTGCTATCTTTCACAATTAAATGCATCATTTTGTACTTTTTCAATGTGTGAAGTTTTTAAGAAGTGTATTATAGAGTTTGTGCGCGGAAAACAGTTGAGGAAAACATGATTGATTTTTTAATCCTAATTTGGCACTATAAATAATGAGATTGAGCACAAACTTTGAGAGCTTCCTGGAAAACACACACGACAATCAATGAGAACGTATTTGATTGGAATAGATAAGAATGGCGAACGCCATACAACTTCTTTTTCAAGCTCTCTTTCTTAAAATGCAACATCTGAAGACTCACGAAACACTTTCAACAACAACAAAAAGCAACACCAAAAATGCTTTTCTTAATCAGGAGCTACCTGAGCTAAAAAGTAGTGTGGCTCGACAATTAGCGATTGATTACAATTTCAATCAAATCACTATAAATAAATAGATAAATACCACTATGCTTGAGCACAGAAATAAATCAATTAAAATTATGGAATTTCAATACGATTAGTCTCACTGTAAAAATAACTATGGCAATTACTATGTCAATTGGGTTTACTGGTGGCGGAAATCGAGCACATTGCAGGGAGACAACACTTCAGTCTCCTATTATTATTGTGTTTCGATATAGTCTTGTGCGTCGTCTACAACATGCCCGTTCCCACCTTTTAACTAATTAATTACACTTTTTCATATTTTATACTGACCCGTGTGTTTGATTGGCTGGGAACCTCGAATGCGCGCCTTTCAGGGCCGCCCGCTAAAATACAATATCACCTTGGAACGGCCCTTTCGACGGCTGGAAAAGCAACAACAGCCTCCAATCAAAATATATTGCTAGCTGTTTCGTAAATAGAAATTGTATTCATTAATTCTCTTCCATCCGTGCAAAAGGCGCGAGTTTCTCCGTAGAAGTTGATTTTTGTGTATAATAAATACTTTGCATTATTTTTAAATCTAATCGCTAATCGGAATTTCTTACTTAAATAGTATACTGGCAATATACACTGACCAGAGATTTTCCCTCACAACAAGGAGCACAAAATTAAGCGGAATGATTACCAAAATTAAGTAACTTTCCTCTACAAGTAAACAAAATTTTGACCTTTTTTTTAAATTGGCACATTAATTATCAATTTAAAAACTTACTTTGAGTAATTACTATCACAAAATCATAAGTTGATCAAAAACTTGCCCCACTCGAATGAAATTAACTTTCCTCCCCCAACCTGAAGACCATCAACTATATTTTAAAAATTCCGGCATATATTTGGCACAAAGTTACGGTGGCAGGGGTGAGTCCGTGACCCCGCCGAGGGTGCTCGGTTCGACCTTGACGTCGTGGTGCAAATGGGTGCGTTGGTGGTCTCGCAAATGGTGTCGGTGCTTGAACTTTTTGGTGCACCACATGCACTCGAATCGGGGGTGGACGCCGCACTCAAGTCGCAGGTGGCGCATCAGGTTGCACTTGTGGTTGTACAAGCGGCCGCACCGGTGGCAGGGAAACGGTGGCCCCAGACCCCGGATGGCCAGGGTCGAGACCAAGGTCGCGGGCAGGGACTCCATCGCCTTCAAACAGTGGCGCAGAACTGAACCTAAAAGTTTTGAAATATGCAATTATTTTTCCATTATACTTAAAATGCCTTTTGATAAAAATAAGTAAAAATCATGCAACTCGATCATTTTCAGATCAGTTTGAAAAATTCAAATGTTTTAAAAATTTGCTGCTCTCAATAGAAAAAGGAGTTTTGAATGGAAAATCAAACAGGCGGATTGTTTTGTCATCGTTTTATTTTGTCTGAAATATCGCGCGTTGTTTTCGATTTTTTCCTGTTGAGTTATACAATAATATGGCTTCTCAAGTTCAACTATCACATAATGCTGATCATCATCAAAATAACTCTGTTCTCCTCGTCGCTCCTCCATCAATGATATGCACTAAAAGGTTCTCTTTATATGTCTCGACTCACTACTACAGTTTTTCTTGTCAAGTAACGCCTAAACCTCTTAAATAGAAAATCGCTTTTGTCTGATTATCGAGTTATTACGCCAGCATTCCCCTTCATTAATTAAACATTTAACAATCTGCGTTTGAATCACGAGCCACGTTCTTTCCACGATTTTGATTTGGCAAATCGTCGTCCTTATATCTTACAATTCTTATTCCGATCACATCAGTCGCTGATTTATTTTTATTCGCTATACAATTCCTCTTTGTATATTATATATTTCTTCCAGCTTTCCAACCCGTCCAAAGTAATTAAACAGCGGGTGGGAAAATCCATTTTACAGTATAATCGGGTTTTCTCAATTACAATGATAGATATCACTACGATAGGAATACCATTTCAAATAAGATTAGACAAGGTTTGCTCAACTCTATTTGCATCGTACGGTATACAAAGACTGTACAGCCGATTTTTGCTGGCGCAAAATTATTGCTAGCAAATTAGTTTTGCAAAACCTTTTTCACAGCAAATTTGAATGAAATGTAAAATTGGCGGCCAATTATATATGCTAACAGTATGTTAAAAGAGTCAGTACGGTAGCTATATCCAATTAAAAAGTAAGTGCAGACTTTGTAAAAATCACCTATCCAATCACATAATAAAAGCAGTTGCAAACGATATATTAGGGGTACATAAATTTATAACTGTGCTTTTTCTCTGACTCGTTCCAAGAGAGCATTTTCTTTCTTCCTTTCTTTTTTTTTATCCGAAATATATATCACACCGAAATCCGTTTTTGATAATCTCACTTTTTCAGTCCCAAGTTTTTTCCTTTGTTGCAATTTTAAATACATTCCTCCGTGACGTAATTAGACGATAGATCATTCCCTTAAAACTTAAAAACTCTCGTGTTTGTGTACACAATTTTTAATGTATATATATTTACGGTAAGGTCACTCTACAACAATACAATGCTCTTCTTCTTTTTCGCACTTCCGAAAAGTGTCGCCGAGGTCCATTGCACGCCTCAGCAGTATATTCGCTAAAAATATAAATTGATCCAATATTGTGGCAATCCAGCTGCCTCTTGATTTAAAAGTGTAAAATTTTTTCGTTCGTCGACCGATTGGCGCGAATGGACCGGGCCGGGTGAAAATTTCATAGTTACATTTTCTCACTATAAAAGGTGAAAAATAACTCAACCTTCTTTCTGACATCGGATCCGCATCAGCGAGATAGTATTAATTTGCAACAATAATCATAATAGTACTTATCCTCAGTTTCTAATCCGCACGTTCTCACTAATGTTAAACTGATACACAGTGTGTGAGTGTGTTTAGTGTTTTCTTCTATTGTGTGTATTTTAATGTGTTTGTTTGTGTTTCGCAATATTATTTACATATCACAAGGAGTTAATTGTGTGTCTCAAGGTTTTATTCGCAACATTTTCCGCGGTCCTCGCACTCCACTAAGTTGGGTTTCCTTTTTCGTATTGTATAAATATAAATCTATGGATTCTCTTTGTGTTTAATAAAAGATGAGTTTCGCGACGTCTGGTTTATGTAATTAGACCCAATTTCACCAGTCTGATGAGATCAAATACATAATAAGGTAGAGTTGACGAATTTTATGAGTAATTCTTGAGATCAAATCTTCTAGGTAAAATTTCTTTAGTTTTTGTTGCATACTTAAGCAAAAATTACGGTACCTTGTCATAAATAATTCAATGTTAAATGCAAATTTTGATATGTCTTTTCTAATACTATATTTTTTTCTGTTAATTTCTCTCTACCTTGAAAAAGAAGATCGATTAAAAGTTTTATCCTTTGGTTTGTCTGACTAAAAATCCAAGAAACCCGCTTTTAAATTTCTTGGGAAAGAGAATCCATCTTATTACCGCTTAAAATTACGAATACAATGTAATTACATAATCAATTCGCTAATTGTAAAGACTTATCAATGAATGGCGTAGGAACGGAGTCGTCAAAAAGAAACTCGCAACCGGTGCTTTTTTTTTATCAATTCTCATTCAGGTTTTAAATTTTTGCATGGATAGTCGGCCGGAAAGAAAATTTTATGGCGCTAAAAATCTTTTGCACAATCACTCATCGCTCAATTAGAAGAATTTCTGTTTGCTAATCACTGCAAAGTTTAAGCTCCAACCAGCGTGAATAATTTTGCTAATCATCTTGTCGTGAGAATAATCGAGGAAAAAATAATTAAAAAAAAAAATATGATCAAATGTGTAGTGTAGAAATAATACTGAGTTATCATAAACAATAAGAAAACTAATTAAAAAATATTTCATCGGAGGTATTTGGAGGTATCACTGCTGCTGTAAAAAATTGTTTGTTGTTTATCAATTATTGTTACTCTATGGCAATTTTCAATTGATCGCTAATATAGATTCCACATTAAAAAATTACGGCTTCACCTGATTTGTTTGAGGTACTGTGTTTGTTTTCGTTTAGTTTGTGTGTTCATTTTCTGCTTCCTGTAAAATATATCCCGTTTGGAAATCCAACCGCAAAATTCGGCCATTGATAATATTTATTGTTTTTATAAACCCTGATTATTTTGCATTCTCGTTGTTTCCCGGAATTTTATTTTTATCATTTACAAAAAGAACGGCCGAATTTTCCGGCTTGGCTGCAAAAACAAAGTATACAAATTTCAACACGGTATTAAGAGTCAATTATTGGTCTGCCTATCGATTAAAAAACTATAAAAAATGTCTGTTAAATATATTTTCTCGCTTAGAGCCTGTTTTGTTTGTGATCTGCATTATTAGTGTCTCGTCGGCCAATCCTATTTGATAGAACAGCCATGGTATAAAAACGTATACTGCGTGTTTCTCATTTTGTTTTTGCATTTTGTTTCTTCCTTTTTTTGGTATTGAGGTATATAATTATATATAATATAATATGAATCGCATCATTTTGTAATTTTTACATCATCTTGCATCGCGTGTGTTAAGTGATTTTTTTTAAACGTTACTTGGAATCACTCGTCTGCTGAATTATTTTGAAAAAGTTCTCTCTCGTATAGTACTCAATCACAGTGTTTCAAAACCAGTTTCAACGCAACGAAATCAAGAGCTTTGTATATATCATCGTTACTTTTAAACTTCTCGTTTGTCCCCTACTATGTAACAACAATGTTCATTGTATGTGTTTCGTGTGTGTGGGTAGTTGGTTGGGTGGGTGGCTTGGATGGTCTGTATCTTTTATAAAAGGGGCACGTTTTCTCTCTTGTATAATCTTGCTAAATGGATTTGGGCGGGACAATTGAATTAATATAAATTTGCTTTGAAAGTACAAAAATAATCAATTCAATCTAATTCAGTAGTCCATTCTGATAATCATTAACTAAATTACCAAAATTAATATCCCATTTTTTTTCTGTAAGAATTTTAAAATAAGATGAAAAGATTTTCGTTTAAATTGTGAAGATTGTCCCGCTCAAATTTGCCGTTATTCCCGGAAGAGAAACTTTTGAGCCGGAAATCGGATCTGTTTTTCGAGGGTGGTTCGGGGCACAGGGGGCGAGAAGGCGCGGGGGTCGTTTATCACTTGAGGTGTGTCCTCATGTGGAGCATGAGGTTGTGCTTGTGTTTGGACTTCTTGTGGCAAATGGGGCACTCGAACTGGGGCTCGACGCCGCACTCGAAGCGCAGGTGGCGGTTGAGGCTGTGCGGCCTGGCGTACGAGTTGCCGCACCGGGGGCACGCGTACGCGCCCCCCTTCTCCAGCAGGGGCGAGCTGCTGGCCGTCGGCGACGAGTCCGAGGCGCGCCGCGCCGAGCCCGCCGCCGCCGTCGACGCGGCGCCGCCGGCGGGTGGCGCCCACACGGACAGGATCTTGGAATAGAGGTCGACCGCGGCGCCGCCGCCTGCAAAGCACATGAATTAGTCAGGCTCAGGCCAACCGTCAACACAATTGCGTTCATGATTGCACTTGAGGTTGTCACCTGGGGGCGGATTTTACTTGCTCTGGGGAAAGCGGTGGACTCAACATTCAGGGGAATTACAGTTTTGGTAAGCTTTAGGGATTGTGTGCTTTGTCAGAGAGTTAAAAATTTTAAAGGTGGAAGTAATTCTTTTTTAATAAATTGCAAACATTTGAATTTGATTAAATTTTCAGACATGAAGACAAGACTTGGTAGATTAATTTTGAAAAGTTAATCACCTTGATGAAAAAAACGACCCAATAAATTGGAAAAGCAAAAGAGTTCAGGAGAATATAAGCAAATGAGTGGAATGATGGGAGGTCAAGTTGGGTTGGGGAATTTGTACAGTGTGTGAAAACGTAACGAGAATCAAGGGAAAAGCATCAGCATCAGCGGCGGCATCTAATTGATTTAAGTCAGCAGGGCTAGACAATGGTAAGAGTGTGATTGATTGCTTGGCCATATTAAAGGGTTCTAATCAAGCCAAAGTACAAATTAATCTATGGGTGAGAGTGCTCTGTGTTAGCAGACGCGGCGTGTTTGCCCACCGAAAGCGGCCGGAGTCGGATTTTGTTTCGTCGGGGTGTTTAAAAGTAAAAATATAAACTCAAAAGAAAACAAAACAAGTTGTAGAATAGAAAATTATTCTCGTTTTTATTTATTTGCTTCAGCGATGAGGCTGTGATATATAAATACACAGTACATAAATAGTAAATAATGTGTTCGTGTGTATGTACTTCATTACGATTTACGTCACTTTCAATGCTTTAACGTGCGCTAATATAGTTTTATTGTCACATAGTCGTCGATGGAGTCGAATTCGGCAGCATTTTTTCAAAACGCTTTCGTTCTACAATAGGAGGCAGATCAAGTGACATTTGTTTGATAACGTAACAGCTGACGTGTGGGAAAAAATGCAAAAGATATATAATTACCGTCTATGCAAAAACCGATTAAATAATATTATCTATCAAATAATCCATTTCGTTTGAGAGCGGGGGTATTTATTAGTATGGACTCGGATAAAAAGGGTGAATTTTGTGTGATACTTTCCAGTAAATAGATATATAATCGCTTGTGCATTCGGCTACAAATAAAAATAATCGTGTGCGTCCCTTCAGCGCAGAGACCCTGCTTAATCCAACATAATAATCGTTGCTTCCACTCTGATAAGAGAGTCACTTTATAAATGATTATAAAAAAAATTGTACACCACTTTTACGGATCACCATTGACAATAGTAATTTCCAGCTTAAGAACTAATGATCTTCATTCATTCGGATAACATCTAACATTAGGCCCAACGTAAAAGTCCGCAAAAAAACTAGCAGCACCACTGACTTTTCGTAATAAACAGAGAGACAAATCGGCTTTCAAAAGCTAAGCTCCGTTCTTTGCATTGGCGCCTTTACAATAATACTATAAAAATCCTCCGAGGGACGTTTAATTAAAATTTGGTAAAATTTATTTCCAACAATTTTAGCACAGAGAAGAGGAAGACGCGACACTACCGTTAAAGCTATCTTATTTTCGTTCCGTCTCGGAAGGCACTTTGTGTAGAAGGAAAAATCTTGATTGTTTCCAGTCAGTCTTTGGCCTAAATGAACATTAATTCCTTTTGATTCACTCAAAGTTTTCAACATCAAGGTTGGGCCTCATTAATCGATTGATTAAATATAATTATTTAGACATTATTTTCATCGTAAGGGCAGCTTTGGTGTGACCTTTGAACCCACCCTACAGGAAACTATTACTCAATCGCCATTCAACAAGAATCATTCCTTTTCTTTCGATTCAAACTTTTTGCAAATAATAATAATATGTATATATAAATATCGTTGCTCTAAAAATAGTTGTTGTGCTCTGACGCGAGGAGCAAAGACTCCCGCGAGCCGATTGCCCTGAAAGAGGCGTTTATGTGTCAAAGGAACATCCGTTTTGATTCGCCCAAAATTTCTAACAAAAAATTGGCCTCTGGTCTCCGCAGAGAGACGGCGCTACAGTAAAAATATCAAATCGGCCCGGCGGGGCAACGGTCGGCGGAAGCCTCCTCGCAGAACACAATTTGATAACTAGTCGAGGTGTTTTCGTTTGATTTCGTCGTCACATAATAAATCGAGAGAAACTCTTTTACAAGATTCGTCCAAAAGAGAAACAAAGAAGGAAGATTAATTATTAACACTCGGATGAATTCAAGCGGTTCTGATAATTGATAGAGAGAGAGAACAAGAGAAGGGGCCGCGTCGGCTGAGCCGCGGGGCCGCCTCCGCAGTTGTACTGCGCGTGGGGGCGTCGGGGGCGGCAGGCGTTTGACGCCTAAAGAGTCAGTTGTAGGAGGCGGGGTACTCGGTTTTGAGTTTGACCTCGGGCGAGATGAACTGCTGCAGGTTCTCGGCGATCTGCAGGTCGCGGTGTCGGCGGTTCACGTGCCGGATTATGTGCATTTTCTGCTTGCTGCGCTGCGGGCAGTAGGGGCACTGAAACTGCGGGTCTTTGCCGCACTCCCACCGCATGTGGTTGCTCAGCGAGCTCTTTCGCTTGTAATTGCGATTGCACTGCGGACACGTGAACGAGCCCGGCTCGTTGGCCCACAGCGAATTGAAAAACGAGGACGACGCGGGGTGCAGCAACGACGAGTTGTTGGTGGCGTACCACGCGGCCTCCTCGTCCGCCTCTGCAAAAATAGCAAAAACAAAACAAACATCAAACCCAAAATAAAGGAAAATAATATAATGTATAAAATTAATGCCAAATTAATAATCGATAAACGAAGGTTCGGTTTCACATTCGCGATCTGAAAATCAGATCAGCCGGTGGAACCGAAAATTGAATTGTGAAATAAATGTAAAGGAAAAGAATGAGAAAGAAATCAAAGATGCTTTGGAGATGTGAATTTTACATTTGAAATCAAATAAATAATTCTGATCAACTGAGACCGGTTAGTGGAAAATAATGCGGTTGGGGATGCTTCCATTTTATTTTTGCCAGCTTGCAGATCGTTAGACTTGGAAAAATGAGTGAGCGACGTCCAAAAGAATAACAAGAGAGTTAAATTGGTGTTCTACTTGAGCGAGGCGATTGTTGACAAACTGATTTAAATTAATTCCTGAAATTAATGGTTCAGAAGAATGAAATATATGTCCCCTCTCCAAGAATAATCTAAAATTAAGATTTTGCTTAAAAATGATGACCAATAAAAATATAAGATAGATATCATTTACCTGTAAAGATAATTGTTTCTATCTGAATAGTTGTCGACGACTTTTCATGATTGAAAACACCTTCGTTAACTTTTGCTCAATATCATTAGTCTTTATTTCCGCTCTTTCGGTGCTTATCAAATTTAGTCATCCGTTATTCAGTAACAAATCTCGAGTTCATGGCATCGCTTTTATTAATAAATTAGATCATCAGGTAGTTGTATATACAGCTCTCTCATTGTGATTTACTCTTAAGTCAAGACCAGCGTTGAGGAGCGCGAGTCAACCTTAACATTTTTCTCTTTCAAATAATTTTTTCTTTTTAATAATTTCTCTCGTCGCTCGAGTCTTCTCACTATCGCACGAACGTCACTTTCGAGCCAGCGCACTATGAACTTCCGCTTCAGCGCAAATGTGTCCGTGTGATTTCTGGCAGACCCAGCGCCAAAAACCGGTGGGTGGCACGCGAAGAACAAGACAACTTTGGAGCGCGTGCCGTTTTCTTTCTTAAATCTAATTTTATATCAGCCTCACAGTTTTGCAATTTCATAGGTCTGAAGAAGCGAGTTTTTGCCTTCGGTTGGTTTGTTCGCGTTCATTGCGGCTCACAAACTTAATACAGTTAATCATGGCTTAGTTCCGAGTGGTTATCAACATCGTCGTGGTGAGCGATGCTTTGTTTATTAGTTTGGCACTTGCTGCGTAGGAGGATCTTTGTACTTGCTAATAATTATCAACAACTGTAACTGACGCTCGTTTTGCATGCTAATTTTGAGCAGCGCTTCTTATAAGTCAATTGATTATTTTTCTTTTGATTCATTCGTAAAAATGACTAAATTAGTATGTCTAGTCTTTCAAATTTTCTTATGTAGAGAGAATCTTTAACAATATTTCATAGATTTGACTATAATTACAAGTAACCAAGTGAGTAAAAAATAGGTTTGATAATGACGCCAGCTTTCCGACTGCTGACAAATTTAGGAAAGCCAAAAACCTCTGATCCCTCGATAGGAAATTCTTCAACCACAGGTTGGTTGAGATGATTGAAAATTCAATTAGGTGATTTTTATTTTACCCATCTAATGAAATAAATCAACCATGCCCAATTAGCGATAGGGTCTTATGGAAGCTGCCGACACAAAGAGAAACAAAGCCGACTCAACTTGCACATAGAAAAAACAATCCTGTGGCGAGCAGCTCCAAAACTGAAAACCGAGATTCAAAAGCAACAGAGTCTCTTCCTCTGGTCCAACAGTTCAACGTTTTTTGGCCCCGCGACAACAATCGATTGCGAGCTGTAGGAAGTGAAGCGTCGCTCACCACGCGAAAAATTATCATTTATTGTGTTTGACCGAACGCGCGAGTATAGGAGTTCGTGAGTTTTGCGAGTGTCTAGTCAAACTCGTCGTCATCGTCGTCGTCGTTTTTCGACGAGTTCACAGGCTCAATGGTGACCGTGGGCGTGATGAGTCGCGGCCCGAGGTTCATGGCCGACTCGTCGGCGTCCGGCGCCAACCCGAGCTTGTCCTTGTGAAGGCGAAATATGTGGCGGTCATGGTGGGCTTTGCGTTTTGAGCGCTGCGGACAGTAAGGGCACTGGAATTGCGGCTCCTTGCCGCACTCCCACATGAGGTGCCGGCGCAGCGAGTCTTTCCGCATGTACGTCCGACCGCACTGCGCGCACGGGAAAATGCCGTTGCGCTTTTTGCCGAGTGATCGGCCACCGGCTGCCGACGCGCCTGTTTGGCCTTGACTGTTTGATAGGGGAGCCCACAAGCTGTCCTCGTCCTCGTAATAGTCTGCAACAGCCAGAGACGGGCTTTAGAATGCGTTTCACCGTTTTTTTTTTCTTTTAATTTAAATTTTATTTTAATTGGTATTTATTTAATTTATGTGACATTCAAATCGAAAAAGATGCGGCAGACCCACGGTTAAGATTGCGAGGATTAATTTCAAGCCCACGGGCTCCCTCAAACGATTTCAGGCCAATTTCTGTTTAAATTTCTCAGCGCACCCTCTGTCATGTGCTTTTCGATTCGCGCCGGTTTACGTTTTAGCGATTTTCTTAAATGTTCGAGTTTGCGAAGCTCTTTTAAAATAACTATTTGCTGCCCTTCGTCAAGATATTCAACGGTTTCGTTCGTATTTGGTTTTCTTGTGATTCGCCTCGGTCAGCGGTGGTGTGTGAGAGCAGCAAGACAGTTAAGAGGAACAACATGCACCACAGACAGACACATCAAATCTTGTCTCATGCTCGCAATTTTTGAATGAGGAGGGACATGCAACACAGAGAAACCAAGTTGGGACCAAGGGGAGCATTAATACATTTTGTATATCTTTGTCTAATCAGGAGTAAGGTTGATATTTGAAAGCCAGAAAAAATAAATGTTGAAAATAAAAGACCCGCCACCCGGGTGGTTACGCATTGAATTTCCTCATAGTATTTATATGTACATGGGCGAGTGGTCGCCATGTGGGGGTAGGCAGCAGGGGGGAGGCGGGAGGGGGCATGCTAAACACCGAAAGCGTCGTCCTACCTCTGCCGTCGGCTGACGCGGCGCTTGAGTCCAGGTTGCCTCCCACAGCCGAGATGCTGACGTCCGGTATTGAGCCTCTGCTACTCGCCGACGCCCAACCAGGAAAACCTTCAATTGCACGCACAATGTCACCAAACGGGTCACTCAAAAATAGGACTTAAGGGCAGCGGGAAATTTATGCTACAAAATTTTGTAAAAAAAAAAATTGTCGTTGGGCAAAAATGATAATAATGGCCTGATATGTCGAGGGAAGCCGTGTCTACGCATGTGCATGCGTTAATATTGTTAAATAAGATAGCAGCAGCATTCCACTAAATTAATTGAGTTAACAGTAGAATATGCAAAAATAACAAAAATATTAGATCGATCCATCATTTTAAATCTTTGAGATACTGACAAAATGTTTAAGTTAAGGATCATGTTACAATAATAATACACATTTTCTTAAATTTGCTGCTGCATCTTGAAAATAACATGCACAAAGTCAAATCAAAATTCTAACAGGAAACTCACTATGAGAAAGGCCTCTGTGCGAGGGTCCTGGTTTGACATCAGCCTCGTCCGCCTCTTCGATCATTTCATCCCCCGACACATCGTCATCGTACTCCTCTGCCATAGGCTCCATCATCAAGCCCAGTTCCGTCCTCTTGTCTTCTGCCGCAGCAGCAGCCGTGTCATCATCGTCGTCATCATCCTGCTCCTTTTTAGACGGCACGTCTGGTGACTCAGAGACAGAACTGTCTGCGCTATCATTTGCGCTGTCCACCGAGGCCGCCCTGCTCGTTTTCTTTTTGCGCTTGCTGGCAACGGGACTGGGTTCTCGGGTGCTCAGCTCCCGCTTGGCCGGACTAGACGATGGCGACGCCAACAAGGCTGCGGCGGCCGATTCTGATGTTCCTGCTGAAGACGTTGCAGGCGCGCTAGCAGAAGGTTTGCTTTTTTCAGTTGCAGGGTCTGAGAGGCCGCGCACCTGCAGGTTCTCGGCAGCCTTGAGCAGCGAGGGCAGGTCGTCTTGAGCGATGTTGACCTCGCCTCGATACATGTACACAATGATGGCTTTGAGCTCTGCATAGCTGATTGACGGAAGGATGATGATGGTGTCTTTTTCCGTATGCCTCAGCAAGCTCTGCAAAATTAAAGATTTATAGTTTTAAATAATAAATTTTAATTTTTCAATTCTATTTGCATGGCTGGATTAGAAAAAAATCAGAATCATAATTAAATTTAAGGATGTGTGATGCGTGGAAAATATATAGAGAAACAGTCAAGAATTTAATTTACGATATATGCTCATTCTTCTTAGGTAATTAATTCCTAAATACGGAGCAAAATATTATGAAAACACCACAATTAGAATTTTTAATTTCTGTGTTAATAAATTTTAATCCATAATGAATGATGACAACGGAAAAAATAAAAGAGACAAATTTGAAAATTGAATCAATCCATTAAAAAATATTTCAGCGCACCTGAAAAAGGGGACTACAGGAACTGAGCACGATTTTGTGTGCTCTGATGTGTTGGCCTTCAGTGGCCAGGGTGACATCGGCGAAGTCTTCTGTCTGCAAGAGAGTCTCAAAGTTGTACTGGATTGCGTGATAGTGGTTGTTCCACTTGAGGCACAGCTGCTGTCGCCCATTGCTCTCGTTCATTTTGAATCGCTTCTTTCTTTCCTGAAAAAATAAATTAAATTTTTAGTCTAGTCTAAGAAAACGTCTCATAGATGGGTAATACTTATTCAAATATTTTAATTTTAATCAAATTTGGAATGTCTATTTTAACAAAGTTCAAATATATATATATGTGAAGATAGATTTTACATGAAATACTGATTTCTTTTGGCCTTTCTGTTAGCGCTTTAACGAATTTCGCGCTCATTAACGTCACATTTGAGGTATGAAAGTGGCAGCCGTGCAGAAAATTTTCTCCTTTTCGGAACGGTGCTCAAAACTGCTCCGTCGAATAATATTTTGCTCCGAATTACTTCCGTCTCACTTCCGAAGTGCGGACAAATGAGAAAAAAAACGACGTAATAAAAAAAGGATCATTATTTGTGAAATGCCGGCGCGATAAGCATGCTGATTAGCACCGCCGAATGAAAAATCAATGAATGCCGTGGGCGTAAACGCGGCTGAATTTCTTTCTTTCTCGCGCTCTCTATAATATTCTAGTCTGTCGGTCGCGTCTTCTCTCACTCGGCTGGTGTTCTCCTTTTCCAAAATAAACCCGTTGGCCCCAAACCGCGTGGACCGCTGTTTGCCTGCACAGCATTTCCTTTTCGGAGCGATTTTCTCGTCGCCTAAATTTCCCACCAAGAGCCGCGCGAACGCCGAGACCGACGAGTTCAACGAACTTGGCCGCGCGCACTCACACACATTCATGTATTTTGAGCGACTTTCTACTGCAAACGAGGTGGTGCTGTGAAAATGCTCGACTAACGGGACCAGCAGCCGGAGCGCGTTTTCCTCCGCATTCCCGACTCGTTCAACCTGAAAATTTGGCCCCGGGTGGGTCCCGTTGTTCGGCCCCAAGGCCCCTGTGGCCCGCTTGAATTGCAACATGAAATCAACTTCCGAGAGAAGGAAAATTTCTATCTGATGCTTTCTGATTATATAAATTATATTAATCATTAAATATATTGATACCAAATTTTGTTAACGAGTTATTATTCTGCAAAGTAATACAAAGATAAATAAATTTTGGAAAATGAATTACTCAATGAGTTTTTGTTTTAAAATCAATGCTAAAATCTTTATTATTTAAATGAAGTTTTTCCTGCTGTAGAGCTACGAACAGAAATCTCTTAATTAAATGTATACTTTTATGTACAGCTATTTTTAATTGTGGCAAAAATGAAAACGACAACACCGTGCTCTTTATCGCCACCAAATAAGATAATAAATTAAATGCTTGAGAGGAAGTGAGTCAGAGATTGGAATTTATGACATAATTTCATTTTTATAATTAGGTCTCGCGCCAGTTATGATAAGCCAAATTTGCGTAAGTAAAACACGTCAAGCTTGGAAAAGGCTGTTAATCACAAGAAACCGCCAAATGGGTTTTCTTTTTTAACGAAAATAATTTTTTGCATTAATAATAATGTTAAATAGAAGAACAGAAGTTTCTGGTTTGTTCGAATAAATATATATTAAGTTTAAGAGTATTTGCAGGATAAGTTTAATATTTTGAAATGCATTGACAAAAATATTAACAAAACAATCAGTCAGAACAATATTATAAATACGCATTTTTAAATTTTGGAATTTAAGACCCAATTTTTATCACAATTTATAACAACTTTGTCGTGTTAGCTTAAAAATAAACTTTTTAGCAATAAAATTTTCGAAATTAAAAAAAAAATATAGATTTTGCTGGATTTTGCAAAAAGTCCCACGCGTTTATGTAGCAAAATGTATAACATGAACTTGACTGCAGTTCGTTCAACCCTGATCAAACATCTGTTCGCCAGACCTGAGAGCTCGGGTCGACCCTACGAAAACGTTCAAATAATGTCAATGACAATTCACACGACAGCATTTCCCATATTAGCCGAAGGGTCCCTCGTCTAGACGGCTGCCATTTTTTCCTCATCAACCCCCGCAAACCGCACCGGAAAAGCCTCGGCGCGCCCGTTTTTTCGCGAATTCGGCCTCCGAGCTCTGAAAATTTGCTCTCCAGTGTCAAAACACAACTCTGCTGCTCAGTGACAGCGACCTGGACGGACTCTTACGCGAAACCCGGGGGGTCGGTGACACGGAAAAGCGAAGGGTCACCCACACACGGCAATCTGCAATTTCCCGAAAGCAATTTTCCCGATTTTCCGGGTCGCGCCGCGCGATGGGGCGCATACTTACTGGTGGCTCGGCAAGCACGATGCTTCACGGCGCGTGGAAAATCATAAAAAAACAGTCATCACCAGAATTTTTAACTAAAACTTGGTCCAAAGCGCAAACCACCACACCGCCGTCTTCTTTTTGAACCCACACACACAATGGCCGTGCATCGCAAATGGCCGCCTCGCTTCTATTTTTTGAGTCACGAATCGCCACCGACCGTGCACGAGCGACTCCGATTTGAATTCTGGTGGCGGGAAATTAGACTTTGGCTGCGCGCGCACTCACATTTGCTAATTTTCATTTTCTTTTCAGATTTCTGCATAAAAATAAAATATTAAAATATTTAGTTTACAAACAACATTATCATTTATTAACTATGATAATTATCTTTGTGAATTGTATTGTAGGCCATTTCATTTGGCCCATATGCAGAAACTGTCCACTGTCCACTTTCCTTCGAAATAGTTGAAATAGTTCACTGAGGCGACAGACGGGGTGTGGCCTCGGGCAGTCATCATTCGTAAATCCGTATCCCACTGTTTTGTAAACAAGTCTCAGTCGAATTCGGTCCCCTGCGGCCGAAATTCGCCCGTTTGGGCCCAAAATGTCGTCAGTCCATCGGGCCTTTACGCAGAAATTGTCCAAGTAAGTTTAAAAACATAAAATATGTTGCAATTAAAACATTTAAATCGGGAAATTTGTCTTTTTCCATCAGACAAAATGCGGCAGACGTTCGTCGCCAAGTTTGCAACCCGTCTCCGTTCCAAAAGAGCATTCCGAAAAGCAACAGTTCCGTTTCAGGACTCTCCACAATCAGCGTACGTAACATTTTTTTTTTTATAATTTAAAATTAACCACTTAAGGCAAAAATAATAAATTTTTATAATTATTGTAATTTCAGATCGCTTCTAGTGAAATTGTAGAGCCTGTCGATTATGAAGATTTCATGCAGCAAAACCATGTGATGGTCAGCAGAGATCCTTTAAGGGATGTTCTTGAATTTCCTGAAGGTGATGTTGAAGTTGGGGTTGTGCCTCGCAAGATCCGAACGGAAATGCTCATCGTTCCTGAAGAACCTCCGTATGTTTATAATTATCTTGGTATTTATCAGTGTTCATCATAATATTTTTTAGTGACCAGTGGAATATTGGGGTCAGAGACGTGGTTCGCTGCCATACGGCAAATTGGGTAGTTGTGAGCCACAGGTATAGGCACCATTCCAGCAGCTGCTGGGTTCGTGACCGTGCTGGTGAAAGGCACGAGTTAGTCAAATCCCTGCCAAAGCAGCAGTTTGAAGTTGATCAAGATGGAATTAAAGAGGAAGACAGAATTCAAGAAGAGGAAAGGGTTGGTTTATGTTCATTTGCTTGATGGTTTGATCAATTTCTTTAATTAGGATGCTCGAAGCTCCGCTGAAACACCTCGAGGAAGCTGGGCCAGTTTTGATCTAAGAAATTCTGTCAGCGATGCTTTGCTGTCTGAACTTCTGCAAAAAAATCCACCCGAAACAATTGACAGCTTGAATGAAATACGAAGGCTTGAAGATCGACAAGTAAAAGTTATTCTAAAAAATTTGACCTTGCGTTTAATTATCCTTTTTCTGCAGAGCGCTTTATTTTTGCTTTATCCTTCCCAAGACGAAGAAGAAATAGTTGAGCGTAGAATTCCTGCAGAAATGCCTAGTGATCATCTTGGTCACAGAATTCTTGTCAAGTGCCTGCAATTGAAGTATGCTTTATATCAATTTCCAATTTGAAAATATTTATTTCCAATTTAATTAGGTTGGAGCTGGAGGTGGAGCCAATTTTTGCCAGCATGGCTTTGTATGACGCAAAAGAGAAGAAAAAAGTCTCTGAGAATTTTTACTTTGACTTGAATTCTGAGTCCATCAAGAGAATGTTGAGTTCTCACGTTCCATTCAGTGACATCAGTACGCAGAGTCGTTCTTGCATTTTTAACATCACCTACCCATCTGCAGATCTGTTTCTGGTCATTAAGTTAGAAAAGGTACTTCAAGGTGATATAACTGAATGTGCTGAGCCCTATATGAAAGAGGACAAGGTAAATATCCAATTGATTATGAAACTTATTAATAAAAAGTATTCCATTTAATCAGAATCGAGAGAAAGTAAAAGTGAATGCAGTCACATCTTGTGATCGTCTGGGAAAATACCGCATGCCTTTTGCTTGGACTGCTGTTTACATGATGAATGTTTTTAACGGCAGTAACAGTCTTGAACGAGACTCAGGTAGTGACAAGGAGAGTGTTGGATCAAATAGCTTGGGTGAGATTTTTTTAAGCAATTTTTTTTTTTAATATTTACATAACATATATTCTACAGATTTATTCACTGGAGAGCGCAAATCCAACAGCAGTTTTGAGCAATTCAAGCGCAAAGCTAGTGACATGAGCAACCTCACTCGAAGAGGATCCCTCGAGCGTCGTTGCGGAGAAAAACGTCGTAGCTGGTCACCCGAAGATTTGGGTGCTAGTGTAGATACCTTCCGACCCATAACCCTCACCGTTTCAAATTTCTTTAAACAAGAGGGTGACAAGCTGAGAGACGAGGATCTGTTTAAGTTCCTCCAAGACTTGAAGCGCCCTGCTGTTCTTATGAAAAAGTTGAAATGCATTCCGGCAACCCTGAAACTGGATATTTCCCCATGTCCTGAAGAATTCAAGTATTGCCTCACACCTGAACTTGCTCAACTTCGGCCCTATCCAGGTAAATATTTGATAAACTTTGAGCATTAATTTAAAAATATGGTTTGTTCACTTTTGCCGCTTTTTGATTAGGAGAAGATAGTAAGTAAAATTCCGTAACAAATGATATTATTTTTATCAATTTTTTTTATAATAATTTATTGATTTTTTTTTCTGCAGATGACAAAGGTAGACCTACAAAAGAGATCCTGGAAATCATCCCTAGAGAAATTTTTGCTCCCAATTATGTGTACAGGGATTTAATGTATGTTTATCCAAAGGATGTGAATTTTGCCAGTCGCACAGGTAAAAATTTGATATCAATTACTTGCAACTTTAAAATTTCGCTATATTATTAGTAATGGCTGGTTCAGCAAGAAATATTGCTGTGAAAATTCAGCTCATGAGTGGTGAAGACGAATCGAATGCAATGCCATGTTTGTTTGGACGTTCTAGTTGTCCAGAATTTTCTTCTGAGCAATATACCGCAGTCACATACCACAACAAGTAATATTATTGTTATGCTCTACAATTCTACTTACAAGGAATGCAATATTTTTCAGAAATCCCGACTTCTACGATGAATTTAAATTGAAAATTCCATGCAACCTAAGTAGCAATCATCATCTACTTTTCACATTTTACCACATCAGTTGCCAAAAGAAATCTGAGCAACCTACAGTAGAAACACCAATAGGCTACACCGTAAGCTTTTAATTTCACAAGAAATGTTTTTTACCATATCATTCAATATTATAGTGGCTTCCTCTATTACGAGACTACCGTCTTCAAACTGGAGAATTTTCTCTTCCGATCACAACTGAGAAACCTCCGTCGAATTATTCATATATCCCTCCGGATGTGAACCTTCCAAACATGAAGTGGTTGGACAACCACAAAGGCATATTTAGTGTTTTCCTTGAAGCTGAGTCCACTGTCCATACAAAGGACAGATACCTCGATCGGTTTCTTTACCTAAGCGAGCTGGCAGAAACTGGACACGTGCCTAGAGGAATTGGAGAGGCCAATTTGGAAACAGAGCTTAAAATGTGTCTGGCTGATCTAACCCATGCCAATACAGAACCTCTCGTCCGGTTTCTTCCACTGATCCTGGACAAATTGGTTAATCTTGTGGTGAGATCACCAGCAGTTGGATCTGTCAAAATGAATCTGTCCCGAGAGGCATTCGAGGCTCTCACATGTGTTGTCAAAAACATAACGGTAATAATTAAAATTTTTGTTTTAATTTTGTTAAAAATATATATCTGTTCTAATTTTAACTTTATAGAACCTCCAAGAAGGTCATAAAGATCAGCACGGAAGACACAGTCTGCTGACTTCTTACATTAATTACCAGACGTCGGCTGCATTTGGAGCTTCAGGTGTCAGCCTTTCAGGCTTCTCTCCTCCTCAGAGTCCAGGTTATATGCCCAGACCAACACCAATCAGCCCAACTAGACACAGCAGGTGCAAAAATTAAAACATGTTTAAAATAGTTACTTATAAATTTTTACAAGGAGCACAAGCCACCCAGATCTGCACGAGGCTGATGAAGAAATTGCCATGATAACAAAAGGCATTGATCGGACAGCTAGTATGAGATCACCAGGTAATTAAATAACTTTCCTTTTCAATTAGTTTGTAAATATTTGTTAAAATTTAAATTATTTCTTCTTAATGCTGACAGATCTGAATACGGAAGGTATGCTTATTATTTATTTTTACTATAATCAAATACCAATTATGTAAAAAGTACAATATTTATTTTTAAATTCTTAAAATTGCAGTTGTGGACACAACAATGGTTGCCAGCAAATCTCGCAAACTGCTCCACGAAGAAATAGTTCTGCAGTGGGTCGTCTCAAGTGGGACGGCTAAAGAACTAGCTCTGACAAATTCTTGGTTCTTTTTTGAACTCATGGTTAAGAGCATGGTGACTCATCTTGCATCTCTTGATATGCTGGAAGCTCCACGACGAGTCCGTTTCACTGATCAGTTTCTGGACGACATCACTTCTTTGGTTACTATGGTAACTTCGGAAATTGTGGCACGAGTTTCGAAAGATCTAAAAGTAAATACAGGTTTCATATCTTGCCTTTGTACTAAATATTTTAAAATATTCTAGACCACTACAAACCTCAATGCAAGCCTTGCGTTTTTCCTATTTGATTGTCTCTCAATTGCTGACAGGGGTTTTGTTTTTGGCCTTGTCAAATTGTACTGCAAGCATATAACGGCAAAGATGATGAACTTGCCCGATGCCACAGGCCTAATTCATTTGAAGGTATTATTGGCATAAAATACTATCTGCTGCCATATGATTGATTTTTTTTATTATTTTAAGTCGGACTTGCTGAGAATTGTTTGCAGTCATGAGCACTTTGTTGCCCTGAACTTGCCATTTGGAACACCATTTGCACCAAACTCTGGTCCAGCATCACCTAGTCCTTCTGTATCTTCTTCAAACAGCCAATCATCATTTCTGTCCACCTTGGTAGGTGGTGACAAATCTGCTTACGCAGACTTGTCTCCAGAGTTCAGGCAGCAGCACTTTTTGGTCGGTTTGATCCTTGGTGAGCTGCCTGTTGTCTTTGACACAAGGTAAGTTTTGTTGCTTAATTTATTTTTTCGTCATAAAATAATTTTTTATTAACTTCCAGCAATCCACATTTGCATGCAAAATGCGTCAACATGATCAGAAATCTGATGACTTGTCATGATTGCGACCCACGATATGCCGACCCAGAATGCAAGTCGAGAGTAGCTGCCTTGTATTTGCCCCTGCTTGGAATTGTGATGGACTGTTTGGGTCAACTCCATACAGGCCCACATGATAATGCTAAAGGTGCGGCATAAAAATAAAAATATTTTAATATAAACTTTTTTGTTGTTAGATCCGAAGGGGCCATTTAATGAGGAAGCTGAAAATCAACCTGACATGAGCCAGAATATTGCAATGGTAATTGCTGGATCTTTATCCAGTTTCCAGCAAGTAAGTTTGTGTAATTATGAAAAATGAAATTAGGTTAACTATTATATTTCAACATTGTTATAGCCATCCAGAAAAACGATCTTGACTCACGAGACAACTCGAAATTTGCTAACCTGCTTCCTGTGGGTCATTAAAAATGTCAACACTTCTTGCTTGAAGCAGTGGTGGGCTGAGCTTCCCAATGCTCGTCTTAGACAGTTACTGGAAGTTTTGTATATTAGCATTTCATGCTTTGAGTATAAGGTATTATTGTTATCCTGAAATCTTAACTTCAATACAGTTCATATTTTTAGGGCAAGAAAGTCACTAAGAAGAGGTCCCAGCCTAGTTTCCGAAAGACTTCCGAGATGAAGTCGAAATTAGAGGATGTGATTTTAGGAAAGGAATCGGCGAGGAATGAAATGATGATGAGGAGAAAAGGTTAGTGAGAAGTTAATTAATTGCTGAGTATATTTTAATCAGATTGAATTTATCACAGAAAAGAATCCGCAACCTGGAGGGACTGGTGAGCGATTGCGCTGGCGCAAAGAAGTACTTACTTGGAAGTCCAGCAACAGTGAAACAAGCGATCGACCCAAAGCCGAGCTTGAGATGGACGCACACATTGAGGGAAATTTCTGCACTGAGATTGGTTTAGTCATCCTTGATACTTTGGAAAATATTGTGCAGGTAATTATATTGAAATAAGCATTTTAAAGATCATGGATTATTTTATCAATTTATTAATTGTCCAAATAGGTTGCTTCACACTCTGACAATCTCCAAAGTTTGCTGGGTAGTGTCTTGAAGGTTATTCTTCACTTCATGTCCAAGAGTCAAAGCACGACTCTATTGAAAAATATTTTTGCCAGCCAGAGGTCACTGATTTTCAAGGTTAGTTTCTTTGATATCACAATTTTAGCCTTATTCTAACGTGTTTGAAATTTGCAGTTCCCAAACTTGCTTTTTGATGAGGAAACTGAGCAGTGCAGTGATCTGTGCTCACATTTATTGAAGCATTGTAGCTCAAGCATCAGCACAGTGCGTTCACAGGCAGCAGCTTCTCTGTACCTACTTATGAGACAGAACTTCGAAATAGGAAATGTAAACTATTTTTTTTTTTTTTTTTTTTAATATTGTTTATTTAATAATATTTATTTCAGAACTTGGCCAGAGTGAAAATGCAGGTCACAATGTCCTTAAGTTCGTTAGTCGGAACCGATTCGAGCTTCAATGAAGAGTCTTTGCGGCGCTCCTTGAAAACTGTATTAGTTTATGCAGAGGAGGACAATGAAATGCAGGACACCTCATTCCCAGAACAGGCAAGTTATTTTTATATTTACCGAGTGAATTTAATTTATCAATTTAAAAATATTCCATACCAGGTCAAGGATTTGATATTCAACCTGCACATGATTCTCTCAGACACTGTGAAAATGAAAGAGTTCCAAGAAGACCCAGAAATGTTGATAGACCTTATGTACCGCATTGCCAGGGGCTACAGGAACTCACCAGACCTTCGACTCACTTGGCTGAGCAACATGGCTAAAAAGCACCTTGAGAGGGGAAATCACACCGAGGCCGCCATGTGCCTCGTCAGCAGTTCTGCCCTGGTAGCCGAGTATCTGCACATGCTGGAGGATCAACCTCACATGCCCATTGGTGCTGTTGCTTTTCGGAAAGTCACCCCGAACGCACTTCTCGAAAGCGCTGTGTCAGATGATGTTGTTAGTCCTGACGAAGAGGGAGTTTGCTTAGGGAAGGACTTTACTGAGCAGGGCCTGATTTTTCTTCTTGAACACGCCGCTAGCTATTTGAATTCAGTAATATTTAATTTTATGATAGACATGTCATCCTTTTAAACCATAATTTGGATATTTATTCAGGCTGGAATGTTTGAAGCTGTTGATGAAGTCTACCAGATTTTGCTGCCAATTGTGAAGTCAAATCGAGACTATAAGAGACTTTCTGCAGTCCATAGGTTAAATTAAACTTTTTTAATCATTTCAACTTTTGATTGTGTACATTGCAGGAAACTTTATGAAGCTTATGAACGAATTGATCAGATGCAAGGAAAGCGTATTTTTGGCACATATTTCAGAGTGGGCTTCTATGGCTCTAAATTTGGTGACCTCAATGGCGTTGAGTACATTTACAAGGAGCCCTCTCTGACCAAACTCCATGAAATTTTCAGCCGCTTAGAAGTATAATCTTTTCTCAATAAAATTCATAACATCTAACCTTGGAATGATTATTTTTTTAGAATTTCTACAGTGAACGGTTTGGTCCAGAAAATGTTGTCACCATCAAAGATTCCAACACTGTGGACGTGAGCACACTAGATCCAGAAAAAGCCTACATCCAGATCACCTATGTTGAGCCGTACTTTGAGCCTTTTGAAATGAAATATCGACCAAATCAGTTTGATAAAAACTACAACATCAGTAAGGATTTTTTCATAAATTATTTTTTTTTAAAGCAAATTTTTTCTAGAACGGTTTATCTATGCAACACCATTCACACCTGATGGCCGAGCCCATGGAGAGCTCCACGAGCAATACAAAAGGAAAACTATTCTAACTACATCGACACACTTCCCTTACGTAAAAACTCGCATTCAAGTTGTTGATCGACGACAAGTAAGACCTATTTCTAAATCAACTAGCATAATATATTAATTTCTTTTCTTTAATAACAGGTTGTTTTGAGTCCAATTGAAGTGGCTATTGAGGATATGCAGAAAAAGACCCAGGAGTTGGCTCAGGCAACAAATCAGGAGCCGCCGGATCCGAAAATGCTTCAAATGGTTCTTCAGGGTTGCATTGGTACCACTGTCAATCAAGGCCCACTGGAAGTAGCCGTTGTCTTCCTGTCCAACCTCACAGACGGCCAGACAAAACCAACACGTCTGCAGAACAAGCTGCGTCTCTGCTTTAAAGATTTTTCCAAGAAGTGTGGCGACGCCCTGAGAAAGAACAAAAATCTGATCGGCCCAGATCAACGAGAGTACCAGCGTGAGCTCGAGAGAAACCATAACCGATTCTGCGAGAGGCTAATACCTCTGGTCAATACTCTGCCAGCAGACAGTTACGTACACTGCGCCAAAAAATAATTTAAAGAGAATTTCAGCACAACATTCTTCTTTCAAGCTTTTAGGTTAAGCAATACCTGTGTTAAGCATTTTCTTGTCACTATAACTTAATGGATCTCTGCGGATGCAAATTTTATAAACTTAAGTACACTTCCAGAATTTTTAAAGGCCTGTTATTAAGCTGCACAACTCTGATTAATTTCTATTTTTGATTCATTTTATTTTTATGAATATCCACTACATAAAGCAAGAATAATTAGTATTATAAAATGAGAATGTCGGTTGCCAAATTATCGCGTATTACAATATATGAAAAATGTATTTTTGCTTTCTGCCTGGTGAAATTTTCTGCAATTTTCTTGCAAAATAAACAAAATAGGAATACAAATTTTGGTTTTTATTATGCGTGGTTCATTTTAAATTTCATCCAGATGAAATGCCAATAAGCAACAAGCTTCCACAACTATTTAATGATTATTTAACTTAGGAATTCCACTGAACTGTTTAACAGATAATGGAACAGAGATCTGTACAACAGTAAAATCAGGAAATGCTTATTTCGAACGTGAAATAAATGCATAGTTATTGTCATCAAAAAAATGAAAACCATGAATTTTGACATGAGAGGCTGTGTCTTAGGACGTGTAATCCTGATGGCTAAACTAGATAAGAAATATTTTAGCATATTCCATGCTCTAGCTACTTTCAATTAAAAAAATAATGCTATGCTACAGCGAAATAGAATTTAAAAATAAAATTCCTAAAAACTGCTACTTGAGCACATTAGCATGTGTTTTGAGGAACAGCTCAAAATCATCAACTTTTGATTTTCCTAATTTGGTTAGATCATTATTTTCAGGCTCCTTTTTCTCCTCAGATTTTTCAGCGTCGTTCACCTTTGGCACCACTTTCTTTCTCACAAAGCTCAAAGACTCTCTGTTAAAACTGAGTGGCATCAGACCTAGTTCTCCGGTGTACCTGTTTTTAGCCACCTGTAATCATAATAAGAAAATAATTGAACGAAACTTATTGTTAGATGGGCTATAAACCATACCTGGAGAAACTTCCTCTGTTTTTTGTCAGCTGTAGTTGTTATCTGAATAATGAGAATATTGTCAGCTTCCTGGCTAGCTTTTGCACTGCCAAATATAGAATTCGATGTCAAATCCTCATCTGCTCTTTCCTATGTAAGAAAATTAGCAACTTAAAATATTATTTCAGATAAATAAAAATCAACCTTTCGAGGGTGGATGACCAAGGTGACGTGACAGTTTGTGGCAGAGGCAAAGGCTCGAAAGGCTTGAATCACTTGATCTTGCCTGTAAAAACGGTCTATAAACTTTGACTCTGAGTCACCAAGTCCTAGCATGAACTGGACGTTGTCGATTATCACATGACCCAAATCGTACACATACTGAGCGTGATTCACTGCCTAGAAAAATTAGGAAAAAATGTTTTTGTAGAAGAAATTAATATAAAAGCTTCAAATTACATTCAATACTGTCTTCAACGGCTGCTGGCCATGGAAGTCGAGGAAGTACAGAGGTAGTTGCTCCATTTTGTCAGCAAACTCGTCAAAACGGTTTAAATTTGTTTCCAAATTCATGCCAGCCATTTGAGTTAGCATGGTCTTTGCCAATCGTGTGTTTCTGATTTCAAAGCTTCCCCACAACGTACTCATCTAAATTTAAAATTTGATGAGAAAGGTAAAAAAAAAATAGCTTCATTCAATTTTGTCTAATTTTTCAATTTTTTTTTTTTAATAAGATCAATACTTACTCCCTGCATGCAAAGATCCAAAGAATACTCAGATAGGAAGGTGGTTTTGCCACTTCCAGTTGGTCCAGTCATCACGGTGAGTTCTCCGTCTCTGAATCCGCCAAGAGTCGCAGTAAGTTGGGGGAAACGTGACCATGGCATGCCTCTGCTCGCATCTCTTCTAGTGACAGCGTCCAAAACCTCTCCTCGTAATGTCGAAAATGATACAACAGCTGGATGCGTCAAGTTTTCTGCTTGCTGCAGTTGGGCTGATAATTTAACACTATTTGGCTCCTTTGCAAGCAATACACTATGTGGACCGTTGAGCAGTTCAGGAGCTCTGCAAAAAGGAAAATAAAAAATGAGCGATAAATTTAATCTATTCACAAAGGCATACATCATATAAATATTTCAAATATGAAGGGAATTTTTGTTTCACTTCATTTGTACAAAAAAAATTGCTTTACCTGATCATTTTGCACCGACTAATCCCTAGCTTTCTGGCCACTCGTTTCGCTTGCAACTGATGCTCCCCAAACCAAATTGAGATTGTCTTGAAATGCTCCAATCTTGGCAGTACTTCTTGTGGCAAGTGCTGGGAGTCGAGGCAAATAGCAGGAATCTTCTGGGAGGTGAGAGCCAACAAGTCAGCACCTGACGCCACAAGCGCAACTTTGTCTGTCTTCCAGGCTTCTTCGTTGGACAAGAGAAGCTGACCCAGTGATTTAACACCAAGAAGTGCCTCCGCGGGGTTTTTTGTTTCATCGCTGCTTTGGTAGAGGTGCTTCCAAGCGCCAATGTTTTGGCACGGTCCTCGCAGGGGAAGAAGAATCTCGGCAGGGCCGACCAGAGCACCGAGAAGTGCCAAATGTTCTCTCTGGACGTGCTGGTGAAGGAATAATTGAATTTAAAATTATTATTTGCGGAAATTTCAAGGGGAACGATGCAAATATTAGAATCAAGACGATTATGACATTCTAGTTTTGTATTACATTAAAAAAAAAATCAAATTTCAATTTAATACCTCTATGTTAAGCTTCTGCAGACACTTGTTGAGCACCTTGTTGGTAACTATGGATGCTGGCTCACACCTGGACATAATGTTTTCAGGTACTGGTTCACTCTGACTCTTCGAGCTTTCATTATGAGGGAAACTTGGAGGGTTCAAGCTGGCTCCGTTTTTCGTTTGGTCCATCAATCTTTTTTCCAGCCATCGCCAAGAGCCAGTCTGTCCACACGCGTGACAAACAAACAAACCTGAAAAATATAATCATTTTTTAAGGTCCTCAAAAACTATTGGAGAGCAATATATAACCTGTGGTTTTGTTGATAAAAAACTTTCCCTTTGGCGGTTTTTGTTCGCAACCGACTGGACAGGTTGGAACTGTCAGACAGGTGAAGCCATCCTCAAATGGAAGACGATTGCCCTCCAAAATGTATTTCATGCGGGAAACGTAGACTGTAGGCACGTCTGTCACGGACTGAATGGTTGTTCTGCTCGCAGAACTCACACCAAACATTCGTCTTGCAAGGTAAATCACACGCCGGTGAGACGCCATATTTTTGCACAATGCAAATTTGACTGCAAAAGTTCTGTATAAAATTCGATTGAATCGTAGACAAAGCTTATTTCATAGCTATCAAACAATTAGATTCGTTGAATGATGCAATTTTTCGAAAACAATCAATGATGTTGTAAACAAATTGGAAAATGATGCACATTTGCACAAAACGGAGCCCCATGTGTTCCCTTCTGTTTCCCGCTCGCTTACTGCTCATTGGTCGAAGGCTCATTGATTGGTAGCGCCGATAGCGGCAAGACAAGAAACTGCGAGGAACAAGGACCTTGGAATAAGCGCCAAATTCAGCTAAAATGAGCCAATCAAAAGCAGTGTGACTTATTCGCGTATGTATTTGGACAGAAAGGTATATAATTATGTGATTTCTTTCTTGTGGCTTACAGACTTACAGACAACAGAACAAGAATTCTCAAAAATCACTCCACCTTGAAGCTGGTTCGCCTGGTTCCTATTTATCTGGGTATGTATACGGAATCTATTCTATTTTGTGCATCATATCGACGGATTAGAGCGAAATGCAAAGAAAAAAAAGCGGAAAAATGATACGCTTTTATGTCAAATTTTTATGTGATATCATAATTTGGTTGTGGAAGTTGTGGAACGCTAGCACATAACCTACATTATCAATTAAAATTATAATTTATGGATAATTTGTATAATTTTCTGCAATAGAACATTGCCAAAATTTTAGTTTTAATAAAATATAACTTACCGAAACTTGCATAAAATTTTATGATCTCATTGTATTTTAATTTTTCTGTCAACCGCAGTTGAAAATGTCTTCCTCGTCAGCCAACACGTCATCTGCTGGGGCTAAGGATGCACAACATGACTTCACCGAACTGACGGAGGAGTTGAATAACCTCCAGGACCATGCCTTGAATCAAGTATGTATAGAAAATTTTAAATCCTTGGTTAATTCTATCAATTAATTTTTTTTTGCAGCACGAGCAATTCGTAAATAATCGATCAATCATAGCCGAGTCAAGCAAAGAGATGGATCAGTTGTGCATTGAGCTCAAGAAAACCAAGACCAAGACTGCTCAGCGCCGTAGTAAGTACACCTGTCCCTGTTAAAAAAAATGTGGAACTTTTGTTAATAGGAGATTTATTTTTAGTGCAAATCGAGAAAGTGATTGCTCAGACTAATGATCTGAAGAAAATCATGGCCAAAGAGGTGGAACAGAGTGAGAATTTGACCAAGAAGCAGCAGATTTTAGAAAAAGATATTGATTCTGTGAAAGAGGAGTACCAGAAGAAACTGTATGTATTAATTTTCTACTTATTTTTATATGTTTCAATCTTTGAAATTATTTTTGATGATTTGCAGTAGTGACTACGAGCTGCACATGGCCCAATGTGCCAAAAGGTTTTCAGCTGGACCTCGTGAATATGTAATTAATTCAATTTAAATTGTTGTTTGAATTTCACTTATTCGCAATTTGTTTTGTAGGGATTAAAAAAGATCAACGCTGAAGTGGAAAACATGAGGGTGAGGAAAATGGAGGCAGCCAAAAAGAGTTTGAAAGTTGCTCAAGGACGTAGAGATCGTCTAATTGTTCAGCTGACCGAGACCGAGAAAAACGTTGAACATGCCAAAATAGTGCAGTACGATATTCCAAAACAAATGATCATAAAAAGATTTAAAAAATTCTTCCAATCCACAGCAAAATGTTTGATGCGAATAGATTGGACATTGAAGAAAAACAGTTGCAAAATCAGGTTGCTGCTGTCAAGAAGGAGGTTGCAAGCTGGTTGAATGAAAAGAAAGAGACCTTGGAGAAGTTGAAGAAGTTCACAGAATCCTTTAAGTGAATTCACTCTTAAAAGGCCAGTATAATTATTTAATTTTAAGTTGATTCTCAATTCTTGAATGCCTAGAAAGGCCCGTTTTATTTGATACTTTCAAACAAATCGAGTTGAAATAAACTGAGATTCACATACACATTTGAGGGTTTTAACAGCATCAGATTTGTGGTTCAGCCGCAAGCCTTCAAAGCCGAGGCCGAGAGTGTATTAGCAGCCTGAGTAAACATGTTCCCCCACACATACGTGTGTGACACACGGAAAGCGCACACGCATCAAACATGCATCAGAAAGATGGGAAGAGTTAATCGGTTTATTTGTTTATGGGTCACACACACAACACGGCTATACGCTTTTTAATTTGCGATAGTGCTTTTAATTTAATGGCCTCGGGTACGAGTTCTCTATAGATGACTAAAAGTTTCCAGGCTCTGCATGCCGTGAAAACCATTGGTCTCTGAATCAATATTGATGCCCCATTGATGATTCGGTTTGAGCCAACACAAGCTTTGACATTTTTTTGTGTTTCAATTTCTAATGCATTACTCTGGAGCTCAGAATTGGCAAAAATATTAATTAAAGTGAGTACAAAGTCTTTCTTGCTTTGAAAATATTTATTTTTAGAATATATATTAATAAAAATATTTCCAAAAAAGATTTTGACCCACGCAAAATACAGGCACAAAATATTTTAGAGGAAAAATTAGGAGGATAGATATATATTCTCTCTTGTTAAAATCTTTGATATGCATAAAGCTTGTCATCAATTTTGGGATTATTTTTACTAACCTAATTTAAAGAAGTCGGTGGAGAAGCAATTATCATTAGGAGTTTTTTTTTAACTTTTGATGTTCAATAAAGCCACTGATTCAGAAGAATAGAAAGGGAATTATTGCTGAGTTTTAAAATGCATTCCCTTTGACTAATTGAATATTTGAAGTACATTTTTGAGCTCTTTATTTATTGATTAAAAGCTGGTCAAAGCAGGTGCCTTTTAATGCAATGAAACGTTCCATGGTTCGACAGATGATTTGCGAGCGAAACGTTCCGTCACGTTTGTTTTGCCTGCTGGAGCTCGTTCGACGTCGGCAGGAGGGTAAAATGTGGGGGACATGTTTTGAATTTCACTTTGCCTCCACTTAACTCGGATGCAAAAATAATATTTGATATGTATCGGTATCGCTCAAGAAGTCAAGAGTCACCAAGAGGGATGAGAATTTCTTCCGCCCACACACTTTGGTGTGCGTGCAGCTGGAGAGTCCTGTTAATTTTATCTTGAAACGAACTGCATCCAAATAAGTGTATGAAAGTTGTCTCTTGCCACTCTATATATAATTTGCTGCTCTTCTAGAAACTCGCAAAGTGCAAAGTTCGTTAAAACGAATAATTGTAATTCTCCTCTTTAAATAATTTAAGAAATTTTTGTATTAATCATCCAAGTTCTTTTTCCACCAGTTTCGTGATTTTTTTTTCATGAAAAAGCACGACCCTCCAATTTTTATGTATCATCTTGGAACGGCCTATGGACTACATGGGGTACATGGAGAATGAACGGATAGCCCGGTGATGATGATTGGGCGCGAGATGATGTGCTCGTTTTGTGCTTCGTTGGTAATCACGTTCAAAGGCAGCACAAACACAACAAGTTCTCTCCCCTTTGCCTACGCAACCAAATCGATCCCTTATAAATTATCTGCATTGTACTATACTAAAGCTGCTTTTATATTATGATAGACAAATCACGTCATAATTATTATATTCTTCAATATTTATCCAAAAACAAGCAATAATTTATTTAAAAAAAATTATCCTGATTCTTGAAAACAAGACTGCTTACACTTATAATTATTATATAGAAAAATTATATTTAAATATTCAAAGACTACTCCGCTTTCATTCAAATTTTTATTAAATCAGAAAGGAAATAATGTATCATGATTTTTTTTCTTTAGGTAAACATCGTATTTTCAAAACAAGGATGGATTTTTCAATGAAATTAGTCTAATTTAATAATTTATTTTATCCCCTGATTGACTCTGGCTTTGAGAAACAGAAATGATACGGAGGAGCAAATTAGGAAAGAGGCGGCGTCAATAGGCTGTCATATCAATACAATTTAAACGAAAAAAAAAATGAAAACGATTTCACGCTTGTTCGGGACATTGTCTGGCTGCAAGCGATTGTTTACAAAATTGGACTCGAGGCGATTGAATTTTATAGTTCGCACCTCCCAGGAGAGTTTTTTTACGACCAGCAGGTTGATCTCTCACATTTCAATCACAACAGGCCCCTTGACGTTCACATAGCAATTTTTGGCCATATACATACATGTGTTTGCAATGTGCACACACTCAAAATGTGAAATTGCAGTCGACTGACGATTAAATAAAATTGGATTTTGCAATTCCATCTCTTGTTTGATCGAATCGGAAATAAGTTCAAAAATTAAAAACTATTCATTTTATTTAAATCAAGGAAAAAATCAAGCAGGCGGCAAAGAGGAATTTTTGCAATTGCGTTAATCCTTTTTTCTATTTTATCCTATTATTTATTTTAAATACGAAGAGCATTGTTTGTTGAAAAACAAAGCCGCGCTTACTTTTCTCAGAACTATTTCCCGGATCAACCTAAAGACATTCTTACGCTGACGGTTTGAAAAGTATGCAACCTGCTCGAGGTGTGCGACCGACGGTATGCCTACCTTACCTCTTTTCAGTACTCCACAGCAAAGATTTACGTGTCGCTGGGGATTGCGCTTTTATGTATTAAATTGTCAGTGATGAAATCGAAGTGTTTCGTTCGAAAAAGGGGTTGGCGTGGGCATGAAAGAGCCCGAGAAGGGATTTAAAGATTTATATGCACGTAAACTGAGGTGAGGCTGTATAATCGCGGCACCTTCCTGGAAATACAAAACTCGCAGTACGCTGTTTATTCAACATGGCTCAGAAGATGGATTAAGATGGGAAGCGATGATGGTTTTGCCCACGTGAAATCAAGAGCAGCCTAAAACGGAGGCTGCGAAAGGAAATGCCCCGTAAAAACAGGACCATACGACGGTTTTTTGTTATCTTTATTTTTTACTTGTGATTAATTTTAAGAAAGTGATTAAAAGATTAGAGGGATTACAAATGATCATATTTTAATATTAAATTTTTTGATGATGTATTGGTCAAAGAATTCGCGGTGAAACATTATCTGAAGCCAAAAGAAAAATCTTTTTGGGTCGTTTATAGTTTCATAAGGATATTGTTTTTCCTGTGAGAGAATTAAAGATAAAAAACCATCAACTAAAAGCCGAATTTCAAACTTTTTAAAACTTGTATTAATAATCAAGTCAATGTGATGTAACAACAAGCGAATAAGCAATAATAATAAATAAATATTCGCAAATTTTTAGACACGAAATATTTTGTACTTTACTGATTATGAAAAGAAAAATTTATAGAAATGAAACAAATCACGAAGCAGAAAAAATAATTTTCCCATTATAATTTTTTTAACATTTCTTTGCACAATATGAAATTTATACGTTTATGTAAATTTTACGATTCAGGTATTATGTCATAATTTTACTAATAAAATGTTCAACAAGCACCATGAAAGGATGTTTGCAACCGAATTCCCGTGGACAGAAGGTGCGTGCCCGCGTGCCTTGTTTGATGGAAAACTCAAATCAAGGCATGCTTCGGCGCAGCGTGGTGGGCGGCAGTGGAGGCGGCGGTGGGGCGGATCTGCCCGCTACAAAAAGGGCCGCGGTCTCCGAAGGCCTCACTCTCGCCCATCAACCCAGCCGCTGAAAACCCTGCAAACGAAATCGACATCTCAGGTAAGTGTCCTGATTTTTAATTTCAGATCCTTTTGAATGTTGAGAAAAACTTACATCTCCGATTTTTTTTATATTAATTTAAGACAGCCTTAGAATTTTATAAAAAATTTAGTACGCAACTTTATTCAAAATTTACTATAATTTTTTAAATAATTTATATATATCTTGATAAATTGAAACACTAATATTGATATTTTTTAAAGCACGTACATTTTTCATGCAATTAACTTTTATCAAATGCAGTCATATATTGATCATTGAAGGAAGTTAATTATCTATGCGTTCCACGATTTATCTTTTACATTGTAAGAAACGTGTCTCACAACGTGACAGCTGTTGAAACTGATTGTGATTGCATTTAACTTTAAAGGAACCGCCAAAGATGTAAATTGGGAAAAGTGGCGAGATCGCAAAAACAATGCGGCAAAGTGCCTTTTGTAGAGTTAATTAATGCTCCACGCTGAAAAGACGGTTGATATTTGGAAAAACTTTGCAGGCGACCCACGAGTTTTTTGTTGTCCTAAAAATTTGAAGAACTAAGGGTGCTTTCTTAGTAAATTTAAAATAAATTTTTTCTATGCTTAATTTTCTTAGCATTCAAAAAATTTTCCAACACCCGACTTTCGCAAATAATTGAAAGTGAACAGAATTAGCCTACATTTCAATGCACTATGAGCATTCGATTAAAATGGCTCCACTTTCATCTGATCTACGATATTACCTTACTTGTCACAGACATATGAGAATCTGATGAAGTAAATTCAATTTGAAAAGAAAAGTTCCTCAACATTTCTTGCGTTATTAGATTTCCTATAGCTTTTATTGAAAAATAGACCTCAATAATGTAAAACTTACAATTTACAATCTTATATCGAATTGAAAAATCAAGACGGTAAATTAAAATTAGGATCACGTACAATTTAACAATATTAGTATCCCGATCATATTATAACTGATTCACAAAGGAGTTTTTGAAGCATTAAAATTTATTACAGGAAAATAAATGTGAAAATCTTGACTTTATTTTAACTAATATTCTATTCTTACAATTATTAAAATAAAATCCACTTCAATTCATCATAATTATAAAAGTTATCTAGATGAAAATTTTATAGTTTTGTCAAGATCAGAATTTATGAATTTAAATTACAAAATTCTATGCATTATTCTTGTCTTCTTTTGGTTAATTTATTAAATGATGAACTTCAATCTTAAGACTAAAAAAGTTTAAATATTTTTTTTATAAAACCACACACAGCAAAGTCTAGCGTGAGGTTCTTGCGTGGTACATAAAAGAAGCCCTGCAAGGCGTTGCGAGAGTCGCGCGCCGAATAAAACTTTCTTGAAAGCGGAGATTCGCGCCGTTTAAAGTGAAATTTGATATTCCGTGCAGAACCAAGATTGAAATTGCCATCTTTGCTTTGTCTTTTGGTGTGCTTGAAATCGAGAATCTTTACCGCAAGAGACGAGAAATTCAATTGCCGACGACGAAAATAGTTTTGAGCATAGCCAATCAAAATATTTGTATAGAAACCGATGATTAATTTCGATTGATTAAGTGGGCGGATGTTTGACTCGACTTCATCATCCGTCTCGATTTCTCTCTAGATGGATGAGAAGTCGTTTAAAAAAAAATGTATTTTTTGCATCAGCTCATTTCTTCGTGGCCGTTAAAACGTTGATTGCGTCGTTATTATAGCTTCCTTATAATTTTAATAAGAACTCTCAAATTCATATTGTTTGAACAAGGCGGGGAATATTATTTGCATTCTATACTATAAAGGAACAGCGACTTAAATAAGCATTGAAAATTGAAAGTAATTTAAACAGAATTGTTTTCTTTGTAAAAGAAGAAAATAAAAATTCTGCATTACCTTCTAAGAAAATGAAACATTTCAAATAAGGACAATTCAAACAAATTATTTCATATAACCTACAGGAAAATAAGGGAAAATGAATTGATTATATTAAATGCTGTTTACATCATTAAATAACCCCGCGAATCAGATTAATTACATTGGATTAAAGTTGTTACAGAACTTTCTCGTGTTAAAAGATTTTTTACTATTATTGCTTATTCTACAGAAGTCGTTACGAAAAAATAATGACAAACTTGAACGTTACTGATGAACGCAGGAAATATAAGTTTCAATTTAAATGCAAAATATGTGTGAAGTCAAAATTTATGAAAATATTTTGCCTTTGCCTTTGAAGAAGTATTTCATATATGTAAAGATTAGGAGTTACACATTGTTACACATAAATTTGAAAAAGAATAAAAAATGTTTAAAAAAATTTCAAATGAATTATAATTTAATAGGTCAATTATATAATTTTCTTAAAACTTTGTAAATAAAACAAGCCTTGCCGTGGTGTAAATCAGAGGAAACTTTGGTGCGCTCGCTCACTTAGCGAGATTGATCGCCTTCGGCTTTTCCATTCTTCCATTCTAAACACCGACCGATATATCTGATGTAATTTATAAAATAAAAACAGCCTGCATGTGCATAAAGCAAACGCGCTTTCTTAATTACGCCCACAGTTTTGTATAATCATGATTGATCGCCGCAAACTTTGGCGTCCGCTGCATTATTAATTTCTAATTATTGCTCAGCACCAGGGCTAATTTGATCGGCAACGAAAAGACTTCGGGCGGAGGAGTGTATTTTCGGCAAGAAGTTTGTTGGCAAACTCACGACACAAAACGTTAATAGAGGATCCCTGCGTGTTAAACAAGCAGAAGTCAAATTTGAGAATATATTGTTTTCCGAATGAACTTTTTTAATAATAATTAATTATTTCTTTAGTCTAAGCAATTTTTACTTTTGAAAATTTTGCAGAATGGCTTACATTGTTGGTCACAAGCATTTGACATATTTGAGTAGCATAAACATAAGACCCAAGCATTGATTTCAGAGGAAGTATATTATTTGCCGTTGCTTCTCCCGTTTCCGTGTGTGTGGGAAAGTGATTTGGAGTGTGGGCGTAATAAATTTCGTAAAGCTGAAATGGTTAATCTGGCGTGACGATGAGATTAAATAATTTGAGCTCATCGTGTGCGCATTTTAATTGCGGCCGGAGATTAAGCCGTGTTTTTAAGAGGCCTCTCTCATTTTCATGCCCCGCGCGCTTGACCCATTTTCATCAAAGCCGTTTTCGCGCATTTTCTCATCCACAACCTTTGCAGCTAAATGGGAAAAGAGGAGAAAAGTGCTGCAGTCAGCCCTTGCTAAAAATCTCTTGAGCGAATTTTATCGTAAAATTCAAGTCCACGTTGCAGACATACATCAAATTGGCGTGAGCAACAGGTTGTGATCTTAATCGTTTCTCTTATTTACTCACAAGCGTTTAAATTTTTATCTAATATTTATTATATTATTATTGACCGTCAACTTAAAGCTTTTTTTAAAATTTTATTTAAATATTTTAAACATTAAAATTAATCAATATTGCAATGAGAGTGCTGGAGAGACAAAATGCATGTTGAAACAATCATAAACTCAATAATCTAGATCTTTAACAAAGAAAAAATAAATAATTTTCTCTGAAATCAAAATTTTGTGTGAGGTAAATAGAATTTTTTCAAATACTGATGAATCACATTTTTCTTTGATCATTTTGAAATAATGAAATAAAATTTTTCCTAAATTTTATCCCTGCAACAGGATTCAAAGCTCTTACATAAAATAAATCGGTGACAAAAGAAAATTAATCAAACTTACCACATCATGGACAAACGAAAACTAAAGCCCATAGTTATCAAACTCAAATATTGTTTTTCCCAAAACAATAAACAAATCACAAAACCCACCGGGAATAAATGCTGATTTTCAATTCAAACATCATCAACTATTCAATTCAAACAATGCACCCTTGTCGTCTTTTTGCGAAACGGTAACATTTGCAAAAGGTAATTTATTGTCCTCAAAAATTACTTGTAGAAACCTGCGTGGGCAATTCGAATTTGGGCAAACGTTTTTGCTTTTAAAGCACTCACGAGCTGCTGTTGATGTACGTTTAAAATGGAAAATCCGCCCAGTTGAAAGTTTCTGGTTTAAAAATTCCACCTTGTGGATTTTTAATGAGACTCTGATAGCAATCAAGACCATTGTTCCGGAAAATCAGCCCAAAATAACTATTTTTGTATCTTGACGGTTGTATGAGTCATAATTCTAGATTGCTTTATAAAATATATTATTTTTTAACATTTTCACGGAGAATGAAAGTGCGCGGAATCAACTGCCTCCCACCTACTGGAAAATATTTAGAAATGGCAAGGTTATATAATTAGGAAATTTTTTTAAGCTATACGATTCTTTAAATACAGAACAAAAATTTTTAACTGAACAAATTTGTCTGATTCAATTATTTTATGTTCAAATTGAAATTCTCATTTTCCCTATTTAAAATTACTGAATTTTTCAAAAATAAACACAAATTTTTAACAATACATAATAAATTCTTAGAAAATGTCTGGCACCACGTTTGCTCGCAAAAAATTATACATTTCATCAGCTACAAAAGTTATATTTCCAAAAATAATTATTGTCTCATTGAATTTTTTCGTCTATGAAATCTAAAAAAAAGTATCCATCTGCTAGCCAATCACCAAAATGTAAAAAAACTGTTGTAACTGCCTCCTGCTGTAGTAATATATTTATTCATTATATAAATGAATTTTGAATAAATTTTTGCAACCATTTTCACGCTGTGAAAGTTTTATTTGCTTTAATGAAACTTTTTGATATACCTTGGCTGTTTTCCTTCCTTTTTATCAAGCAATTAAATTGATTTCAATGAAAATTTCACGAATTTTAATTACGAAAGTGCCAATCTAAATTACACAATAATAATTACACCTTGTTTACAATTCTCTCGGGAGCTTTGGGCATCGGTAAGGCCAATTCAAGCATCAGCATTCAGAACGCCGCTCGGGGCGTAGATGTTTCGCAGTGTTCCACTTTGTTGTTGGGCGCGTATGACGTAAAAGCAACTACACAACTAACAGCCGGGCCAAAAGGCAAATTCTCGCCCGCAGTGAAAAATGCACACGTAGGTGCCGTTTTAATCATTTCGCGCCCGCCGGCTTCCTCGGTCCGCGAGCGGCGAAACACTGCAGCTGCTCTTTGCTTTTCGCTGGCAAAAGTCTCAGCAGAAATAACACCCTTGAAACAACTTTTGTTTCGCTCGTCGTTGTTCTCTCTGCGAATTCAAATCCACGTGGAACGAGAGAAAGGTTGAGCAGAAACTTGCGAGAGCTTTTATAATTTTTCCACGCGGGTTTACAACAGGATATTTCGTGGTTCTTGGAATGAAATTTTAAGCCTTTTCTCGTCACCCTTCCACCTTTTGTGAAATGGAAAATTTGGATTTAGTTTCAAACATGACTTTCTAACACAGCTCATTAAATTATGAAAACCAGTATTTTGTTTTCTCTCGCTTTGAAACAAATTTAATTTTCACGATCCTTATTATGTGCAAAGACTTTTTCCCGCCAAATTATTTTCATGTTTTAATTAAGTCCTGAGTTGACTAAATTCGGTTAAAAAAATCAAACAATTAGTACTTCTTGAAATTCATATTTACTCTCCATTGAGGTTAAAATACTTATGGTGAGAAAAGGTAAAACCGCGTTTCCAGCGCTTCAGGGTGAAAATTATTCAAGATAATTGTAATTTTTTGCTATTTTCTTAGTAATTTTCCAACTTTCACACTCACAAATATAAAATTTAATGGTTTTGATCTTTAATGTAGAAATTTGTAAAATTGGAAAATCTTGAAGTTCTAGTAAAATATTTGGTTCGGTCTTTTTCCAACAATAGTTTTTCTTTCAATATGAAATTTTGCAAAAATTTAGGCAAATAATAAACAGTAAATGAAAATTTTTGTATTTCTCTCTCTCTAATTTTCAACTTGATTTGTGAAGCATAAAAAATAAATAATTTTCAAGCCTCTTCTCCTATTTCTGGAGCACAAAATATGATTCGAAATTGATAAAATTGTAAACCTCCAGCAATCTTTTGTAAAAACAAACCTTGATAAAATGAAGTTTTGAGTGACATATCTTGTTTTATTTTCCTTTTTTACACGTGCGTGCCTTCTGGCCCCATTTCAGAATGACTATAATTTCGTCGTAAATCACAAAAATTGACAGGAAAAATCGGAATGTTTTTTCTCGATAAGAGACAAAAGGTCGCGGGCCCTTTTGATGCGCCCACGTTTGATCTCTTTCGCTGGTAATTGAACTGAAATGCTGTTTGCCTGACACACACGCCTATGTGCACAGTTAGATATTATATAATTTTACCATCATGCACATTTGCTTGTCGGGGAACAAACAAATAAATATACCATCAAACAAACAGCAGCGGCAATTAATAATTTACCGCGCAGATATTACGTTTACATCCGGCCGGTCGAGAGCTCGCAACGAGATGACATTCAATATGTGTTTGCCCGTGCGACGACGCGATTGTCTCTAATATTAATGTTTGCTCTTGGTGATTTGCAAATCGTGATTGATTGCTCCATTTTCTGTAGTGGCTTCCCAATTTTCCCGTAATTATCTTGCAAACATTTTCCAAACAAATTGTCAATTGACAGAATTAGGGCATTGATCATATTTTCGCGTGTTTTGTTTGAAGTCAAAATTATCTTTAGCATTTAACCTCACAAATAAACACTCAAGCCTTGAGCTGACAGAGAAAAGGCTAAAATTTAATTTGAATCAGTCATGACTGAACTGTAACTGTAACTATAAATTATAAAATAATAATGTATCTTTAAAGATCGAGTCCTAAAACACTTGCTGAATTTAATTTTTTTTTCAAATATCATTTTTTAAGCAATATACAAGTTTTTTATTCAGTAAACGTGATTTTGAATGTAATTTGACCTACGTAAAGCTTTTAAAAACAACAATAAAATATAAATAAAAAAATCGCGAGTCCTTGAAAATCGAGTCCTAAAAAAACCGTCCGAATTTTATTTTTTTTTTTTTGAAAATAATTTTTTTTTTGCAATATACAAGTTTTTTATTCAGTAAACGTGATTCTGAATGTAATTTGACCTACGTAAAGCTTTTAAAAACAATAATAAAATATAATTAAAAAAAATAGCGAGTCCTTGAAGATCGAGTCCTAAAACACTTGCGGAATTTTATTTTTATTTTTTAAATTTTTTTTTTTAAGCAATATACAAGTTTTTTTATTAAGTAAACGTGATTTTGAATGTAATTTGATCTACAAAAAGTTTTGAAAATCACCGGCCCAGTCAGGTTTCGAACTCTACTTGGTCGGGCTCGCAGGATTAGATTTAACTGCGCCCCGAGCCCTTCCGTCCGAGACTATACCCTCTGGGCGTACCAGTGGCCGCGTAACAATGTGCTCAAAAAATCGGCTTATAAACAGTGACAGCCCGAACAACAATCGCGCATCACGACAGAATACGTCAAACATTACTTGATTGCTATTTGAGCAACGTCAAAATTTGCTCTAATTTTTGTGAGGGCGAATTTAGAAATATTTTGTTCGGCGGTAAAATATACTTGCAGCATATCGCTTATCATATTAATTGCCGGTCGTGCACAAAGAACACAGTAAAAAAAATCCATATTTATCTTAGGTGTTTTGAATCAGACACAATTTTTAAAAACGATTTTAAATTTTAATTTAATTTAATTTTATAATAAACTTTTTAATTTCCAAATGTAACTTCTTATCAAAATTAATATTCCTATATGATTTTTATGAAATTACGCAGCAAAACCTATGAAAACCCATTAAAAGAAGTTTTTGATAAAATAATTTTTGGATTTTTATTAGACCACCGCAAGTTCAAACGGATTTGCATACGTGCTGAGGCGACGGGGCCGTGTTTCATGTTGCCGAGGAGCAAATGCCGCAATATTAATAAATTTAAAATTTCATTTTTTTTATGCAATATACAAGTTTTTTATTCAGTAAACGTGATTCTGAATGTAATTTGACCTACGAAAAGCTTTTAAAAACAATAATAAAATATAAATAAAAAAAATAGCGAGTCCTTGAAGATCGAGTCCTAAAACACTTGCGGAATTTTATTTTTATTTTTTAAATTTTTTTTTTTAAGCAATATACAAGTTTTTTTATTAAGTAAACGTGATTTTGAATGTAATTTGATCTACAAAAAGTTTTGAAAATCACCGGCCCAGTCAGGTTTCGAACTCTACTTGGTCGGGCTCGCAGGATTAGATTTAACTGCGCCCCGAGCCCTTCCGTCCGAGACTATACCCTCTGGGCGTACCAGTGGCCGCGTAACAATGTGCTCAAAAAATCGGCTTATAAACAGTGACAGCCCGAACAACAATCGCCCATCACGACAGATTTTGTATTTGACTTGTAGTCTGAACATCCTTCTCTTATTCTCTCGCAATAAAAAAAAATAAGTGATTAATGAAAATAATAACTAAATTTGAGTGATTTTTTTCAATATAACGCACATTGTTTAATTTAGTTCCCATGCTCACAACTAATTTTTTTCTTTACACGGCGTTTTCGTTCAATTCACAAAACTTAAATAAAACAATAATAATAATACGAAAACCAAACAATAATACAATAAAGCTACAAAATGACTGTCTGATTCACTTTGTCAATGAAATTGTCTCATTACATAGACTTGATAATGTGAGCGCTAATTAAATTACATGTGTTTGATTCATACACGTCGGCAACACGTTTCTTTTGGTCACGTTTGGCCAACGTAAATACAAGTGAAAATTTTGCGTGTGATTACCAACGCATGGTACCCTCCTGTCAATTCAACAACTCAATTTTCAACAACAGATGTCATGGACAGAAATGAATTTTTTTATAGAAAATGATTAGGAAAGCAAATTAGATAAAATACACGCCACTCCGGATCGCAGCAGTTGGCATCTGATGCAACAATGAAATCATTTTTCATTGTTTGTGGAGCAATCACAAATGAAGCTCCGTCAAACTGGTATCGCTTCTGATTTGCACCGTTGACTGTTTTTCCCAACAAATTTTACATTCTTTCAATCAAATAAAAGTCATAAAAGTAATAAATATATAATTTGATGCGGTATAGAAAATGAGATGCGTGGAAACTTCATTGAAAAATTATTTCACATAACAATAAGAATAAATATTTTTCACTGTTGCTGATTTTTTAAATATGAAAACTAAGAATTTGGCAAATAGTCAAATTTTGATTAATCGTGATTTTTTTTATCTTATTATGTTATTATTATTTTTCCACAGGACATGCGTAGAGTGGCGCTCGTGCAGGTGGTCGTGGTGCTGGCCGTTGTGGTGGCCGTCTGCGAGGCGCAGGTGAGGCCGCTGGGGAACGTTGGTGGGCCGTTGGGAGCGGCGTTGTTGCAGAGACACGCCAAAGTGGCTCGTACGATTAGGGGCTTCAAAAACATGGCCCTGTCGACGGCCAGGGGCTTTGGAAAGCGCACCCCTCAAGCACTGAACGCTGAATTTGCTCCCGACGCACAACAAGAGTAAGTACAACAGAAGAATACTCTCAAAAAAATATTGTTCATAAAAACTTATTGTATGAGTTAAAATTCTTTAGAAATTGATAAATTTGAAAATAGTTTTTCTTTTCTTTAATTTATTTAAATTTGACGTATTGACTGTTCAAATTTTATTTAACTTCATTCTAATTAATTATTCAAGTGAAAGCAGAATAATTTTATTTGCTCAATTCAGACAATTCATTTTGATAAGAGGAGAAAAACTTAAATTTATTTTTTGCTTGTATATTTTGGAATGTCTTTCTAGACATTTAATTAAAGTAATTTTGAAGAGTCATCTAATTATATACATGAACTTATGAAATAAATATGATATTAATTTTATAAATTACTAAATTAATTCATTTTGAAATTAAAGGTCAGCAAATTTATGAGCAATCAAGATTTAAATATTTATTTGTAAAAAATGCTCATTTTTGCAACTTTTTAAAGAACTATGTATATTTTTATACTTATCTTTCAAATATAAATTTTTATCAGAGTCATGCAAAATTCTCTTGGCTTAATCCCCCATTGTGACATCCCTTGACGGTGCTGTAATGAGAAGCAAACAAACAACGCTTTCTGACCTGAGCTGTTTTTATTATTTCCTCTTTCGCCCACTTTTCGAAACGTCTCGCGGCGGAAATTCAAAATTCTCTCATTGTGGGAATTCATTACCAACAAGTTGGTAATTGCAGAAAAGTGCCCGCGTGTTTTCCTCGCGGTGTCCCAATTAAGAGGGTGGAAATTGCTTTTCGTCCCTTTGTCCCACCTGCCGCTGGCGTGGAAAACGACAAAAAGGCGCCGCCCGCTTTCTGTCGCGCGCCCGCCAAGACAAATAATAAAGCATGCCAGCTCGTGCCAAACCTAATTTGCGATTTAATTTTCGCACCGGGCCAATTTCCCCATTGAGCATGTGCGCGCGTGCCACGCAATCTGATCGTCGGCCTCTCTCAATTTCTTTTTTATTTTGCGTAAAAAGAATTTTTTTTATTAGATTAGCGCTGAAATAAAAATAATTTCATCGGGCTTGCTGGTTTTGATTTTTCTTTGAAGGTCGCTTAACTTGATTAGGCGCCGCATGAAAAGGTTTCCTGGAATGCCCCTTTCAGGAAGCCAAGAGAAAGTGGTATTAAAGTGTGTATAGACGAGGGCGTTTTTTACCCAATAATATTAAAAATCTTTGAAGAGAAATAGAAGCATTTTTAATTATCTTAAGAAGCCGAAGAAAGTGAAACAGAAAAAATGTTTTCATAAAATTATAAAGTATTATTTTTACATTTTTACACTAAAAAATAGAAAGAAAAAACAAGTAGTTTGAAGTCTAAAGACTATAAATTAATATTTTTAATTGATACAAACCACATCTTCTGCTGAAATGCTTTGGAGTTTCATTGAATGAGGCTGTATTGTCTGCTCGGTTATCTTACAGGCTTTAATTTTATGAAAACTGTTAGATAACACTTTAACAAACTCGGGTCAACGTGCATTCCAACATGGAATTTGTAAATTATGCAATGAAAGTTTATATTGAATTGAAAAAAACTGAGTCTTCCTTGTTGATATTTTTCTTATTAAAAAAATCAAACAGCTGCTCTTTTTAAGGGCTTCTCAAGAATTAAGATAACCCAAACTGGTTGAGTTTTTTTGGAAGGAAATGAATAAATCGAATAAATAAAATCAGAATTTATTCTATGAAGGCAAGTCTTGTATTTAATTTAATTACAAATGCTTAACTTCAATGAAATACCTAAAATGAAACTTCCTTCCTAAAAATATTTATTCCACAAAATTCTACCGTTGGAGCAAATAGTCATAATTCATTGGATATAAAACCCACATTTTTATCGCTCAAAACGCGTCTGGTGCAATAAAACCAGGCAAATAAGTAGATTAACGGCGTCTTTTGCAGATTAACGACCATAAAAACAAGGGACGCTAATTGGGCTTTTGATCAAACGTACCGACCACATTTTTGTAATTGGCGATGAGAAACTCCCGACATGTATAACATATATGTGCGGATAAAATGAAATACCAAACACCCACCCGCCGACTGACCGAATTTCCAAACTCGCCCAGAAAGAATTTCTCATTTAACTCAAACGTCCGTCGTGAATTAATTACGTCGCTGTACAAATATCTGTTTCAGACAGAGGACTTTTTAATTAAACTTGCTATCCATCCCAATCTGCAATTGCAGAGAAATTAATAGAAATTTCTCCGCTTGATGGAATTGCATAGAAAGCATTTAAATTGCGCGATTGCCTCATTAGATAATTTTTATTTTTATTATAAACCAAACTAGTTTTGAAAGATTTCTCTTGCCGTATTTCACAAGCTTTAAAAATTTTTTTAGAAAAAATTTTAAAAGTAAAAAAAAAACTTATTTTAAGAGCAAACCTCCCTAACTAATGCTGTAATAATTGCTAGTAAGAAAAAAAATTTGGTTTGGTTGATATTTTATTGAGCCATTAGTGCACCGAAAAACAAAATCTGCATTTAAAAAATCTATCAAATATTATTTATGCTCTCCCTAACAAAGACTTTTTGTTATTTTCTTTTTTCATTTAACTCTACCACCATTTAAATTGAATTTGTTTATTATCTTTCCTTTTCTCTTTGCTATGTATTTCTTCATGTGTACTGAACTGAATTAGAAAAATTGAGCTTGTGTTCAAAAAGGAAAAATACATTTATTATTAATACAAATTCATCTCTTTCATAATATTTATTTTTATTTTTCATGTTTTCCGTCATCGTGCGTCCATTCATATGTTCTCATCGCCCACATCCCATTCAAAACCACATATGCACGCTAACAAGTGGCCTCCGGAATGGTCCAGACCAACGTAATGCCATGAAAAGGGCAACTTGGTCGTTCAGAAAACGACCAAGTTTGGTGCCGCGAGCGCAAATCCCTTCTCTTTCTGCGCTTCTGCTGCTCGCAAATCGAGTTACCAGGGCGTCTTTTCGCCTCATTTGATTCGATTATTCACTGCAGCCCGCGGCAAAACCCTGAAATAAAACGCCCCCAAACCGGCAATTCTTAACTTTTTCAAATGAAAAGGAGATTCGACTAACAAGAGAGCGCCTGCTGAATGCGGAAGTATGCAAGCCGCTCGCCACGGATGTTCGGCCGGTTGCTTTTTCAAATTCGAGCTAACGATCCTTGACGGTGAATTGCCAAAGCTGTTTAGAGCGTAATTTAGGGAAACTTTTGTCTCTAAAAGCGGCCTAATTTCTCTGCTGAAGAAAAGGGCTTCTGGATGCTCGATTTTTTGTGGTTAATTGTTAACGTTTGTAAGAAAAACGTTCTGTTGAAATAAAGAAAATTTTGTAATTACAAATAACAATATTTCTTTGCACATTTTGTTTTTAAGAAAATTTTCATCCAAAATTTCGTTTCATCAAGCCTTGAAAGATTCAAATTATTAACATAACACAACTTCCACATCAAAAATTACTAGGGATTTAGTTAGCGCTCTCAAAATCAGTGTGTTTGAAAAACTTCTCATTTTAAAATATCTATCAATATACAAGATACGAGAAAAATATTACATTAACATAATATAATTTAAATTTGAAATTAAATATTTAAATTCAAAAAGTAATTTTCAAATTTGAATTTTATTGTTTTTAAGGAAACTTCTCAAAAAATATAAATTAATAATGTTTAATCTGATTTCAGTTTGCCAGTGGAGTGGTTAGCAGCGCAGTTGAGTGCCAACCCTGAAGTGGCGCGTGCAATTTTGCGCCGCTTCGTTGACACAGACCACAACGAGCGGCTCTCCTCCGACGAGCTGCTTCAGCAGTGAAACTGGCGAGTCTCGCTTAATTCCTCCTGATTGAACCCCCCATCTTTGTCAGGACGAAATAAAGGGGCCAAGACGGACGCGCGCCGGGCCGGCTGAGGAAGCGCCTAATTCGCCTCCCTCGGTATCAATTTCCTCTATTTCGAATTTGACGCTTCGTCCGACGCGCGCCCGTTTTTGCAAACCCGCGCAATAACTCTACTCTTCATCAATTCAATCTGCTTTCTCCACGTCTAAAAAGAAATAAAGAAAGTGCGGTTATTTTCCTGCTGGTGTCGTTTTAATCTTGTCTGCTTAAAAGATGTAGAATATTGTATTCATATATTTGTATGCTTTCTTTTTTGTCTATATTACGTTGAATAAAGATTATTCTAGCTTCGAATTTGAGAAAGAAAATGCAGCGTTTCTTTTAATAATAAACATATGTATTTTTTAAATCAATACGAAGAAGGTGATCGCAAGTGTGACAGAACAGGATAATAACTGGAGGATTGAATTAAAAGAACCTCATAGCACTAAAAATTAATCATGATACCTCAACAAGTCACAACGAGAGAACTGAATACAACTCAGGTGCACTTATACCCTTCGACGACCAAAAATAATAAGAAACCAAATACGTAGACTCTTCTCTTTCATTCACACTCGGTTTTCAAACAAAGTCCTCGTCCGGGCCAATTGCTCTCAAGAAGTGTTTTTTTTTATATCACAAGGGCCAGTCCGGACGCCTTCGGACATGAGAAGGGGCAGACTGGCCCATCAGCAAGGGCTGCTTATGGGAACCGTGTAATACTTCTGGAGTCTTTACGTGAGCAGGTTTCTGATTTCTTTATGCATGTGGCACAAAAAGTCGACGTACGATGCTGACCCGTCAACGCCACGGTCCTCCACCAAGAAGCGCTTCACCAGCATCTCCAACTTGTCCCTCTGTGGCACAATCGCCATCTGAATATGGATTTAAAAGAAAAATTAAGAACATTTACTTGTTAAAAAGATTTGCTATTACCTTCATTGACCGCGGTCTCTGCATCCTGACAAGGTCAATGACCTGTCTAAGCCGTTTCGAAGTTGGATTGTCGAAGACTGGTAGTGATGTAGGGTCGATCTCAACTTTTGCTACATGATGGTCACCGAAGACGTTGTGTGTCCACTCCTGAGACACCGCTGACCCAACCCACAAGAACATGACAATTCCATTTTCTAAGAACAAAAATTGCTTCATGTAAAAAACTATATATTATATTTTCTTTAAGTTAAATTACCTAGCAAGAAAACACCATCGTCGCGCAGTTTGTCCGAAGAGCAGCGAATTGGCTGTGGCAAAGTGTGCTGATCAGGGTCAAGATCATGCACAGGTAGCAGCCGCGGGTAGAAATATGCCAGGGAGGAAAGCACATCCATGGTTAGAACGGCGGCCATATTGAACGAGCGGTCATCGATGGTGATATCCGAGCCGCCGGAAAGGGCGTCGCTCTTGAGCAGACAGTTGGCATACAAGGGCAGCAGCTTCATGCACTCGGGCAAGATCAACTGGCCGGCCGAAGAGGGGCTGGCGCAGTTCTTGCGGTAACAGGCCAACATCTGTGCACAGCGAGACACCAGATTGTCCTTGACAGCCTTTGGTGTGTTGTCCAGTATTTTGAACATTGCTGTAATAAATAAATTGTTTAATTTTCTTATCATTTCAATTTTTAATTAATCATTCTAAATAAAATGGAAACATACCTTGTTTGGCCAAGAAATTGACGATTGTGTCAAGGTCACAAGAACGGTACAGGTCAGCCATCTGTGTGCAGGTTTTGAGGGCGAGGTTGAGAATTCTCAGGCGTCGCTGACCACCAACTGATGTGTACAAAAGTGCCACTTGAATGAACACTCCTTCCTCTTCAGTGAGTTTGTCGTCATGTTTCACTTCGATCGCTACAGCCTGATGAGAAAAAAACAATTAATTTCTTATTACTTGTGAAACAAATTTTCTTTACTCTGTCGGAATCAATGGCAGCAAGTTCCATATCTGTGGTGTTAGACATGAAGTAGTGTCCGTAAAAGTCGGTGGGTCGTACGCCTGTTGAAGTGCGGATTCTCATAATGGAGTCGAATGCGACATGTCTCGAGACATTATGTGTGACGTCAGCAATGAGCCTTGGGCCGTCGACGTCAGCTTGGAAGTAGGTGTATTTGTAGATTTGACCTCCAGTCAGTCGACTGACCTGGCCGATGGTGGCCAAATCCACATAAGAGTTGTTCAGGAGAAACAGGTCAACACTGACACCTCCTAAGACACATTCCTGTCCCAAATTGTTGTAAAAAGTGTTTTGCGGACCTAAAAGTTTTTCAATTTAATTTAAATAAATTTCGAATGAAAGCAAAAAATTACACAAAATGGTTTTTTCCTTTTCTGTTCCTAACAATTTTCGGTCGTCTCTATTCTTCAGCTTGCCAGGCGCTTCAGCAATTGGAAGAGATGAGTGGAATACCAACAGTTTTCCTGCACACCCGGATGCCTAAACAATATTAGAAGTTAAATTTAGAATGCTTGTTTATAGTTCACAGCAATTTACCTTGAGCGCCTCCAGGCCAGCTTGAATAGCAGGAGCTAAAATTGTTTCGGTTTCCCTTGATTCGGCAAACATGGTGGGAATTTGCTCCATCAAACTGTCGATGATTTCCTCTGACTCCCCAGGTTCGCACAGGAAACCGTCCAGGAGAGGCATGAACATGTCGTTGACATCACCAACAGAAAGCATTTTTGGTTGAGCAAGTGTGCCCTAAATAAAAGTTTTAGTAAAAAATTAAGAAAAGATTAAAAAAAACTGCCAACCTTAATGTTGTAGAAATTGACGGCGCTGCCATAAGTGATGAAGCCAACCTTCATATTAGACTTTTCTTGGCCAACATCAATGGGGAGGTTGTGAATTATGTTCTTCATCTCTCGACACAGCAAGTGCACCATGCCACTCTTCACATTGTTGTAGGAGACGTCAATGAGGAAAACGATTGCTGGTGGTTTCGGGAATGTGTTGTTCTGCAGAGGGAGATTATTTAAAAATTTTAAACTTTAGAAGAGCATAAACAAACTCACCCTGCAGTAATCAGCAGTGGCGACATATTCGTAAGTGCCAAGAGACAGTTCTGGCCGCTCAAGACGGTCAACTCTCTGGCCTGTGTGGTCCAGATGCTGGAAATACTCGGCAGGAACTACAGAAAAATAAGTTTAATAAAAATATATAACTATTTTAAGTAAAAATTTCTTGTAAATTTATTTTTACATCTTTAGGTAGAAAAAATTTAATTCATTAAAGCATTGAAACTGACCCTCGGAGGTTGCTTTGCACAAAAGGCAGTGGAATCTACGCCCGCCGTCCACAAACTGCATCAAAGGGCTCATGTAAGCTTTGCACCGGATGCAACGAACAGGTCCCATTTCACCGAAATCAACAATCGGAGGCGGCAGTTCCTCAGGTGCCTGCTCCGCAAATGGACTTATCATCAAGCCGAAGGGAATAGAAGTCTGCAAATGAATTTAAATTAAGAACATGCCAGCCAGGAATTAAATGAAATTACTTGTTTCATCATGTCGATGGTTGCTGGCACATTGTACATTGTGGAACGGATGTAGCGTGGTCCCGCATTGCCTTGGTCGACGGTCACAAAACTTGTGGTCACCAATGGAGGAACCGCTCCACGTTGATTAGTGTAGAAAATTCCACCCTTGGCCTTTTCGTCTTCAGCCATGACCTGCAAGAACACGGGCATTTTATTTTATATAAAATTATGCACGCATTTGGTTTGCTTTAATATAAACAGAAGTGAGATTTGAACAAAATCATTCAAAGGAATTGGTCACCTGCTCAAACACGTTAATTAAGTCGCCAGAAAACTGCCCTGGCATCGCATGCTAAAATGCCTTTTCTGATTAAAATGAAATGGAAAGGTGTTGTTTTAAACAAACAAAAAAATGGCACGGGAAAGAAATTTCCAAGATTGCTCACCTGTATTGGACTTGGCATTTGGTCAGGGTCAAGCCTTTTGCTTTGCTGCGGCTGCTGCTGATAGGCTGGCTGCTGGGGCATGGGTCTTCCGTAGGGATCCATTTGAGGCTGGGGAGGGAAGCCAGGTCTAGGGGGCATTTGTCCCTGCTGGTAGCCCTGCGGTCCAGCCATCCCTGCGCCCGGAGGCGGCTGCATTTGCTGGCCAGGGGGCGGCATTGGCCCACTGGGCGAAGCCATATGGGCCCCTGGAGGTCCCATCGGTGGCTGGCCCATTTTCGGAGGCATCATCCCTCCAGGGGGCGGCATTCCACCCATCGACGGTGGCTGAGCACCTGGCATGGGGGGCATCGAACCTTGCGGCGGCTGGTAATGGCCAGGAGGAGGCTGCATGCCCCCGTGAGGCGGCATTTGGGGTGGTGCCGACGAGCCATTTACATAGGGTTGCTGAGGAGGCATTCCGGGTCGAGGAGGCATTCCTGGTTGAGGCGGTTGGCTAACATGCGGAGGCGGCTGGGCGCCTGGAGGCGGAGGGCCCATTTGTTGTGGTGGTCCTTGAGGACTCCAGGGAGGCTGTTGGCCCATTTGAGGTGCCTGATATGAAATTGGTAAAATTAATAAATATGCATAATTTTACAATTATTTAAAATTTGACGTATAAAATTTATAGCTTATAAATATCAGATGTTTTTAAATTTCAATATACCATAGCATGTTGCTGAGTAGGAGGGCCAGAGAGACTTAGTCCTGCCATCTGGTTCGTCAACGGGGGCTGTCCTTGTCCCTGTGGTTGTGGGGGTGCAGGCCCTCTCGGAGGAAATTGTGTGTTCGGAGGTCCAGCTGGAGATGTTGCTGGATGCATTCCTGGAAAATTTAAAATGATAGCTAAATGAAGTTGGGCAGAAAAATCAAAAATAAAAATGTAAGGGAAAAAATTGATAAACTTGTGTACACCAAAACTTAATTTGAAACTAAACTTTAATATTTTTATCACAAACAAAATCAAACATTGATTAAAATAGCTTGATATTGTTTCAACTGAAAAGGATCCACACAATTATCTTAGAAATAATGTAGAGCCAATGACCTCCTTTTATCATAATAGTGAATCAATGAATGAACTTTGGTCAACACAACAAAATTAAAAAAGTGACCCCATTCCCGTGTAACAAAAATTCCAAGAGGGAATTGAAGATCCTCACCATTCTGGAAGGGCGGCTGATGGTATTGAGGCATGGGTGCTGCTCCAGGAGGCCCTTGGGCTGGCCCAGGTGGTTTTAGCGGGCCGCCGGGCCCAGACGGTGGCATCCCCATCTGCTGCTGCGGGTTGTACGGCTGCTGGGGGTGGTAGCCTCCAGGTGGGGGCGGATAATGGCCAGGGGCGGCTCCGGGGACAACGCCCTGGTGGTACTGCGGCTGCATTTTGGCGTTTCTGCAAAAAAGACAGCGTTTCAAAATTAGGGACACACGGACACTTTTCTTCGGCGGAGTTTTCCAGGCCAAAGAGGTGTTCGTACGGAATCAGAAGAAACTCGAACGGTCGAGGACGATGTCAAGGTCGTTAGGGCGAATTACGCACCTGGCGTCCAAGGCTCAGCTTCGGGACATCACCGTTTGAACTCGGACACTGTCAATGTCCACTTCTGCAGGCTCACTCTGGCTGCCACGTAAGTCTGAAGTGCGCACGCGTCACTTCTGAAATGTGGCCAGCTGGCTCAATGAAAGGGCAGTGCGGAAGGGAGCATAAGGAGTTTGCAGACAGGAGTTGCAATAGTAAATACCAATAAAGGTTTAACACGTACCGTCGTTTCTATTGCTGCGATTCATTTTGATTATGCACATATTTGATTGAAATGCAAGGTCTCCTATTACTAAAACGCAAGGTTATTTGCATTCAAAATAATATTATTTTATTTTATAATCTCCTAATTCCTAGTATAATTATGCTCAGTTCATATAATTATAATAAAAGTTCATTATTTCCGATGTGACTTTTTGACATCTTCTTCATTCTATAATAAAAAAATGACAGAGATATGCCAGCAGGGCTTTAAATTTAAGGTACACTTAATTCAAATTAAATTATGAAAAAGCATAATGGCCATTTGAATAAGAAAAATACATAATGTACTGTAGGAAAAAAACTAAAAAATGAGAGAAATAGACATTCCAGCCATGAGAAAAAAAATAGCTACGGGAATGAAATACAATATTTAATAATTTCTTTGAAAATTTTGACAGAAAAACAATTGAGCTACCAGAAATTGATGATTATGCAGATCTCTAAGAAGACTGAAAAATATAGCTGAATCAAAATTATTCAGTAAAGATAAATTTACTGAACAGAATAAGATGCACACTTTCTTTTTAGCGCCCCAGATCCATGATAATTCATTTTACAGCAATGCAAAAATTATAACACTAATAAATATCACACAATTTTTCTGTTCCACAGCTGCTAACTACTTTTCAGAATATTTTTAATTTTCACAGTCTAGTGATTAGAAACAGTGGAGCAAGCCAAATATTGGAACCCTAACTTATAATTATTATTAATTAATAATTTATACCCAAGATATCATTGGAGATATTATTCATTGTTTTCGAACACATACGATCAACACATCATTTGCTACATACATGTGAATACTTTTTATATCGGATCACAATCGTTGATATTCTTCATTGTTTCATCAATCTAATTTTAATGTTTCTCCAAGATCTAAAAATTGTAAATAGCCCAGTTCATAAAATCCCTCTCAATTATCAAGACAGTTCAGAGTTTTCCTCTATTAAAGAACTCTCCTAGGCGCACTTTGATATTTATTACGTCTAAATAAATCAAAATTTTGGAATAAAAAAAAGTTTGTGTGCATTTGTGGCTTGAGAGGTTTGACACCGAAATATTTAATGCACAAGAACGCAAGCGAAATACTTTAGTATCAAAATATACATGGTGCAGTCTAAATACATGTCTACTTGTAAGGTCGTTGCACAATAAGAGATTGCTTGTGAAATATTTCCTTTTGGTTCTTGCGACATGATAAACTTTTCCGAAATTTGAGCAGTGTGACTTTTGTGCGCCCGAATTTAGAAACTGAACATATTGATTTTCATTCAGGGACTATATCTAAATAATTTCGTTACGAAACATTGTAGTATAATTTATAATAGTAATATTTAAATCTTAAACCTAGACTGGTGGTGTGTACTGCTTAAAAGCTAGGTTGGCGTCAGTCGTGTTTGGCAAAAACAACAATTTCGTTTTCTCTCTCTAGAGTCCTGCTCTGGGTGTGTCAAAGGTCAGCACTCGCGGTTTGGGTGTTTTGCGAATAAACGCCGCGGAAACGGCCACTCAAACTGCTTCGGCACCACGGCACTGACGTTGGCCTCAAAGTATCGGAACGCTGGGAACCACCACACTCTCCCCAAAAAGTTGTTTGGGCCACTTTGCTGCAATAAAAGAATTTAAATTAAAAATCAGAAAAATAAATTTGAAAAGTCAAAATTTTGTTAAATCATTTTTAAAATTTACCTTCAGTTCCATGTTATTGGCAAGGGTGTGGTAAATCCAGAAGAGGCGAGTTGTGACATAGTAGGCGACAACCACGTCGACAGTGTAGTGCGCTCTTGAGATCAGGATGAACACCATCCCGGCTAATGCTGCCGACCATGCCAGCCAGTGCAGCAGACGACACCTCCTCGGAGTGTCTACAAAATAAAAAATTCATTAGAAATATCAAAGTTTTTCTGAATTTAACATTGATTGAAAAATTTTTAGAAAATTTACCATTACACCTTGATTTTCTTTTATATAAAAATTTCTATAAGAATCATAATTAAAATTTAATTTAATCTTTTTACATTTTGTTCCTGAAATTCAATACTTTCTAAGTTAGTGGAAATGAAAATGACACAATTCTTACATTCCTGGATGACCAGGTAGCAAAGGACGAGGATGACGGTGTGGCCGCTGTACAGGTAGTCGCCACAATATGTATGCTGGCCGTTGATGGAGAGGCCAAAGCCCGACAGCAGGTGCAGCGCCCTGCCTGCAATGAGCAAAAAGCTGGTCGAGTTGGCCTTCGGGGAGCAGTAGTAGGTCTTGTTGGCCATGGGCAGGACGGTGACGCTCATCGTCACGCAGCGCATCAAGTAAAGCAGGCACAGGATGAGGAACACTCGTCGGCCAACGATGAAGCGGTGCTTGTGGAAGAAAACCACGAGGAAGGTGGTTGTGGTGGCGCACATGATCAGAATCTCGGACGAGTACAGGCCCCATCCAAATTGGTTCTCTTCAATGTGGTCGAGGACCACGTCTGGCAACGGGCCGGCTTCGCTCCTGTCCGGCACTTTCTCGTGCACCAGGGCCAGAGTAACTGTTGTCGCCACCATGCTGCATGACATTAGGATGAAGGCTGGAAATATAAAAAGGGTTAAAAATGTTATTTAAAATAAAACTAAAGTAATTAATGTTTTAAACTAATCATTAGTAAATTTCTAATTTTCTTCATTTACATTATAATTACCTTCAAAAGTGCAGACAATATTAAGTTTGGAAAATAAATAAATTAAGTGAAAAATTTATTTCAAGCTCATATTTTTGAATTAAATGATCTCAGTTCAGAAATTAGCACCTTATATAATCACATTGTAAGTCTCAAACGAGTTTTTGTATAAATTTCTTAATTATTTAATCTTTACCATAAAAGGTTTTGAGTTTCTCTGGCGGGAAGGAGGTTTTGTCCCTGAGTGCAGGGGTTGGCATGTCGATTTTGACATGCGTGGGGCTGAGGCGGCGCGGGCTGGGTGGAAACTTGAGAGCCCATTCTTGTGGTATGAGTGGCTCTTGACTCAAATCGTCTGCTTCGGGGACGCCTCCATTCGTTTCTGTTGCCCCAGGAGGCTCTGCCCCGTTTGCGATGGGGTCCTGCAAGGGTCGTGTGTCTTCGAAGCTGCCATAATCACATTGTGTTCCTGTTTTTGGCTCCAACACCATCCTACGAACATATAAAAAAAATTCATTAAGTTTGAGAAAAAATAAAAGATCTTCATTTAAAAAAATGCTTTGTTTATGTATATTTTAAACGATACTTGATGAAAATAGATTCTTTTCCTTTAGTATCTCATTTTAACAATTTAATTTCTGCTTAAAGGTAATTCAATTATTTTTTCTTATGAATTAATTTTTAAATACAATTTTTACACATTTTTATTTTGTTGCTAAATTTTGATTTTTCTTTTTGCTATTTCACATCATAAATTAATATATTATAACATTGGAAAATATTTAAATTTTATATTTTGGAACTTTTTACCCTGTTTGCGTAACTTATTCATTCTCTAACTTTAGCGTGCGGTGTATTGCATAATTTTTTATGCTCTTTGAATTTCGATGCATTTGATTGAGTTGCTGGCCTGCTTTGCCGGGTCAGCAGTTTTTGGTGGGACAAGACAATAATGCAATAGTCCGCGTCGGACGAGGAACATAAAGCTGAGCGGTGTTTGCGTCGCGACCGACGTTTGCCCTCGGCAAGGATAAAAGAGAAACGAAACAAGCGATCAAAGCACCTGACTTACTCTTTGGCCTTCGCACTCACGGAATGGTTCTCTTTCTCATCAGTGGGAACTGCAGGTGCTTTCCACATCTTTGATAATCATAGTTTTATTTCTCCGAATTGGACAACAATCGCATAATCAACGTAATCATTGTTGCTCCATTCAAAAATTACTGTTTTAAGGGACTCCTTATTTTCACAATGCAGTCAAAATTTAATAGTCTTTACAACAACAGAGACAAATAATTGGAAAATTAAACCTCATTGGTGTTTAAATCTTGATTTATTATTGTTATTTATTTGAACAAATTGTTTAAATATGCCAATGAAGAGTTTTTAAAAAGACCGGTAGCAACTTAAAAAAATGTTCCTTTGCAGCTTTAGCCAATATACGGTTTATTGGAGACCAATAGAAAGCAAAAAAACCTGCGGCTTTACAAACAAACTACAAAGAGTTAGCGAATTTTATAGCCTTTTAAACGATATATGCGGTCTAAAAATTAGCCCAAGGCTGGCTGGTATAGATTTAAAGATGTTGAATTTTCTGAGCTTCACGGGTGAATAAACTTTAAGTGTGCAATTTTATGTTAATTGACATTATGAAATTCGTAGTGGATCAATTTTTGTGAAAAATTACAACTTTAAACAATTTCCTTTCAATTTTTTGTTTTGTTTTTTCAATAATTTTTTCAAAATAATCCTGCTCTACATATATTTATTCTACAAAATAATAAACATCTTGAAAATCCCGTCACGGAAAAGCCTAATTTAAATTCTAACAACATGAATCAAATTTTTGTAATTCTTCAACAAAATTAAAAAAAAAAAAATATTAATATTGTGCTAGTGAAATCTGAGTTTTTGAGACCTTGGTAATTCCAACAACGAACCCAATATAATCTGCAACTATGTTTTGACAACCTTCATGTTCATTTAAATGTAATTTCAATAAAAATATTTTCAAAGTAGATTGGAAAAAAAATTTAAATATAATAATCAATATAATCCTTAAAATTTGGAAAATATGTAAGCATTTTACAATTTTTGCATCTGACAAAAGTCAAGAAATGTTTGAGACGCAATTTCAACCAGACTTTGGCTCGCCTTCGCTTATTGTTTGGTAGACGAGCACGTGATCTTGGCAAGTGTTTCGAGTCTGTTTTCCGCAACACACTGGCGGCGTCACCGCATCGTCAAGTGCGTTTTCCTCTAAACCGCCTCCGCATCTCTCTGTGACTAATAAATTAAAGCAAAGAAGAATGTACCAGAGAGAGATTTCGCTCTGCATGGCTAACAGCAGCTCTCATTGAATTAAATTTAACTATGGACTAGAAAATAAAATCTCAAGAGTAAAAGTCGTTTCTGCATTATAGAGCTCTTGCAGCGCTTTCGAGCAGGGGACAAAAAGAAGATCGGGAAGAAAGGATCTTTTGTCGCTTATTTTTTCTTTCGACTCAGCAGCGACTTCGGCGCAGATTCTGACAGAGGTCACTCAAGTGCCTTCTCTCGCCCAAGGCAAATTGAACACCGGCAAGGTCCTCCTTTCTTGACCTCCGTCAAAGCTTCCCGTAATTGCACCACACTGACCGTACCAGGCAAAGTCGAAATAAATGCAAAACCAATTCATGCCTTTCAAGGAGACCGCTATTGACAAATCAAAGTTAATTGGTTGTCAAACAGTTTATAATAATAAGCATTGACAAATCTCAAATAAAATTAGACCTCGAAATTGCATGATAATTATGGTGCATAATTATCTTAAATCCTTCATTTTAATAATTTACTAATAGGAACGGAATCAACAGAAGCGGTTCCTTTTTTTCAGTAAAATACATAAAAATGCTTTGTTGAATTTTGTTACATGAAGAAAATAAATATTAAGCTTGGAACTTGTGTAATGGTTAAAATTTAATAATTTGTCCCCACGATTCTGAGATATGCATTGGCTGAAAATTCTGTTAAAAAAATTATAATAAATGTAGACAAATTTACTTTCCTTGATCAGTTGAATTTTGAGGGCGGAGATTTTTTGATAATTTCAACTGAGAGGAAAATAAATTCTGCTCTTTAAAAACCAATCATCATGAATTGTGGAAATTATAAGATTTCAAACGGAGCTCGTATGGATTTGAAATTTGAATATTACTAAATATTTTTACAGCAATTAACTCGATAATTTAACAAAACAATGAAAATTTAACAATTTAAAAAAAAATAATACTGGCATAATTGAAAATTTTCAACTTTGATTCTCTTATTACGTCAAACGCACAAAAATGTGACTTTGCAAACAGATTATAGGTAAATTTAGCAACAATTTTGTCCCAATTCTCGCTGTTGGAAGCAACTTGTAACGAAAACCTTTATCAGTGGATTTCCTCACGCATAAGAACTTGAAAATTTCATGCTGCGTTTTTACATTAAACTTTTTGCATATATCTGTCTCTAAATTTACTAAACGTCAGCCAGTCGATGACTGCGCGACAATTTTTAACGCGCACTTATTCTGCCCTGTTTGCTCGCCGCGGCCACACAAGATATCAAATGCGGTGACCTTTGCACTGGTCACGCAATGCATTCCGCGGACTAAAGCGACTGATTGATCACGGCCGAGAAAACGAGAGTTGCTAACTGGCTGGTGGTCACAACAATTGCTGGTCTCTAAATAAATTCTTCTTATCAAATTTGTACAAAACAATTACCGACAAAAGTGATGAGGTTGAGGAGGAGTCACGCTAGTTTGGTGGAATTGAAAGTTTGAAGGGGACGCGAGCAAAATAAATATTAACGTTCTGATTAGTTTCCGAGACAGAAATAAACTCTACGACCCAATTGCACAAGTTCAACAAAATATTTGGTGAGCTTGTCGTTATCAACAGAGAGTTACATAAAAATACAAACCTTTAAACTTTAGAGAACAATTATATAATTTTGCTATGGGGGATAATCTTGAAATATAAATATTCTAAAAATCTCTTATTTTAGACAATTATGTATTCCTTCTTAATACCCGCAGCAAAATTTTTATTAGTTAAATATGTTAAATATTATAAATTTTTAAATTTAATTGTTTTATCTAACCTATTAATATTGTTGATTAATGCTTAATAATTTTTAAATATTTTTTTAGTTGCAAATAAATTTTAAGTTAATTTATTTTTTAAATTTATTGTTGGTTTTTTTTTACATTCCTTTTGTAACAAACAATCTTTCCCTGTCTTAGCCTTAGAATATTGATTTCCTCCTGACACATTTTTCCATATTCCAAATGCTTCTCTGAAATAATAATTGTACAAAAATAGACAAATTCTAAAATTGAATTTTATTGCTATTATTTTTAGGAAGGAAATGAAAAATTAAAAGTGAAGTCCGCAAATTTGTTAAAAAGAATTTTGGGATAATTATGTCTTTTTTATTGTGAGGCCGTAATAATTGATAGAGCTAGATAAAGATAAACCAGCAACTATTTACAAAGTTGATTGTTTTTGACACGTTATACCGCCAAAAGGGGTAATTAATAATGATGACGTACAGAGGGACAATTCCGCGAAAATTCATATTGTTGTAATAAAATATCAGATAAAACTTTTTATTGTGTGAAGCGACTAATAAAGTGATAAAAATTGGAAATTTATTAGAATTTCGTTGAAATTTTTCAGAAGGTATAAAAAAAGATAACGCAGAGATCAGACGAATTGCAATAAAATCATTCGGATTGCAAGAAGGCAATTAATAAAGCGACATTAAATAGCAACAACACACAATATGATGTTTGCGTTTGTTTATTACACGTTCGCCGAGCGAATGTTAAACAAGAGCGAGGTGCATGAGTAATCAAATGACATTTTGCATAACTCTCTTTATCTGTCCGTACCAGAAAGAAACATACTTCATTGAGCCTGTTTGTGTTTGCCCGGTGACGACGCATTCGGAAAATATTTCTCCATCTGGAGAATTCGAAGAAAAAAATAAAGAACAAATTCCAGTTTCGAAGTGGACCACCTTGAACGATTCCGCCCAAGCATGTGACTAAGTTTGTCGCACTTGAATTAATTTTTAAAAAAATTCAAAGGTCTTTTATTGATTTCCACTTTTTATTCAAAACAGGCAACAAAACTATTCCGACTTGTTGATTTCTTTTATAGCTCGACGATTTGGCACGGCATCTCTCTCATGAGAGTAGAGCTGTTGAGTCTCTGTTTAGTATTCGAACCGTGCCACGCCCCCGGCTGAGTGCAAGTGCACCGAGAGAGAACCAAGAGAGTCCGCGTGACCTCCAATCGAAGGCGAAAAAGCAGGGGGCTCGTTCGCGGCAACAAGGAATGCGCCGTCGAATGCAAATTGCGAATTCCTTCCGGCCGTAGATGCATTTTATTCAACGCCGCTTCCGCTCCAACCGAAAAAGGTGGCGAATTTTTATCTCCAATCAGTTTCAAGATCATCAATTAATACTTTTTTTTTAATTTTCCTTGAAAGGAAACTTAAAAAAAAATCAATCTTAAATAATATACGAGATCTGGAAAATTCGCTGCATCAAATTGCTCAAATTTTTATTATTAATTTACTGTGTTCAATAATAATTATTGTGAAGAGTTGATTCATCGGAAGGTGCTTGACCCAGAAATACATACTTGAGCGAGAGAGAGAGAGAGAGATGCATTTCTGTTTTAATTAATTGTAAGAGAGAGAGAGAGAGATCGTTCTATCTTGGAGAGGCGCCTACTTGAAGTCACCGAGTGTGAAAAACAGGCTGCCCCTCGGTGCGGAAACGAAAAATAAAAAAATAAAATAAAGCGCGGGGATATAAAAACCGCGGATATAAATTTAAAATTTAATACTTTCCTGAATTGAAAAAATTGTATGAAATAATAATTGTTAACTATACATAATAATAATTCTGCCTTTTCCTCGATTCATTTCCTCGTTATATATTTTGTTTCATTCGGGCAGGCAGGTGCACGTCGCAAGAATGCACCTGGGAGAAGGTTGTGTGTTTTTTTCTGTTACCTGATGGCCGAAGGAATAGCGGCAATCGTGGCGGCCAGGTCGGTGACGAGGCTCGAGTTGCGCTGGTGGTGCGCCCTCATCCTGAGGCTTCGAGTTAGTGGTCACTGCGAGATTCGGGTGGCCGCCGGTGCCGGAGGCCGTGGCCGCTCGCCAGGGCGAAAGGTGCGTACGAAGGCTACTTTGCTGCTCGCTCACTTCAATTCTTTCTACGACTCATTCTCGGCCCGCGCTCCGCTGCGCTCCTCGACGAGCTGCCCCACCATCCGATTGTTTTTTATACTTGACAACCGGTTTTCAACGCTCGTGATCAATCGGTTTTTCATAAAAAAGGGTTAAGCATAATGCTTAATAATATTTTTTGAATTAGAGTTTTCGTAAATGGAAAATTGAAATTTGTGCTAAAAGTCAATTTAAATTTATTCCCGTCTAGATTTTGGATAAAAATAATCCAGTATTTTGAAAAACGTGGAAGATTATTATTATTTTTCATTTTAATTTTTTTAACGCTCTTGTATAATTTTTAATATACTTTTATTTTTTATAAAAATAAACGTATGCTAAATAACAATACAAAAATTCATACCAATGAGCGAAAGAAGTAAAAAGAATTTTTGAGAATCTGAACCCAGTATTTAAAATTAATAAAATTTTAAATTTTAAAAATAAATTAAATTCTATTAATTTCATTTAATTACTTACATGCACATAAAATTTTTGTAAATTACAAAATCAAGTAATGGTGAATACAAAAAAATGATTATTTTTTGAAAATTAATAATTTAAACATAACTTTCTTTTTCACAAATTGAGATATAATAATTTAATTTAAAACAATAAATTAAAAATAAAATTGGATGTTTTTATTTTTTCGAGGCGGTTTTTAGGAGTGGTGAAGCCGGTTACCGGTTTTTTTCCGATCAGAAAACTACTACGGAACAAGCACCCACTCTGGTGAGAGAGATGAATGGACCACAAAGCACGGGTCGATCGCGTACGGCGGCGCCCCCACCCGCGCCCCCTCACTCTCTTGTAATATAGAATCGCCCTCTGGAATGTGCTGTGGCCGCTGTGGGGTGCGAACAAATGGACCCATCCGCAACTCCAATTAAAATTAATGAGAATTCAATAAATTTTTAACAGAACGGACGAGCAAGCAAGAAAAAGAAAAATAAATATATTGAAATGATTCCATAGTTGAATTTCAGGATTAAAAATAAATTTATTTAAAGTCACGAATGGAAAAATTATTAAGAAAATTAAAGAAGAAGAAAAAAAAACAAGGAAATAGAAAAATGCTATTTTTAATTATTAACAGGCTTTGAATGCAGAGAAGGAAAAAGGTTAACCACATTAATTATTTTTAATTAATTAAAAAACGCTTAGCGCTGTTTTTAAAAAATTACTAAACTTTTAAGATAAAATAATAATTATAATCAAAGTTTTATTTAATTGTTTTAAATTGTAACATTAATTTCCATATTTTTATTGCGTATCTTTAATAAAAATGAATTCTTTTCTACAAAATAAGCATTTTTTTAACCCCATTTTAAACTCAATTTAAATTCCGATCGGATTAATCATCTTTTAAACCTTTTACACCTCAAGGAAAAAATGTGTAGGCCTTCGATTTTGCATGCTGACGTGAGTCACGCATCTCACAACAAGGAAGATTTTACTATGATTCTCTGACTGAGTGAGTCACGGTTGGACCTTTAGTTCAAATCAAGTCCCAATCAAGAAAGACTCGTCAGTCGTTACGTCACGACCCACCTCTCATCTGGTTCTTCCAATTAGCAGAAAGAATATATAAAAAGGGAGGTCGTTTATATATTGATTAACAAATGTATACGAACTGCTTTTTCTCGATCAAATTGCGCGCACGTAACAACGCGGTTGTGTTACATTTTTCATGCAGTTATAAATTATTTTTGCAACCTGAAAATGAGTCACGCTCGCAGCCGTCGCTGACGCAAAAGTAAACAAAATCAGGTTTGCACTTTTTCCCAGGCGTCTGGCGGCGGCGTTTGTTTTCAGCTGAACAAAGCGCGGCGCCTGGGATCAAATCTCGCGGATTATTCGCACCTTTCTCTATTGCTTTAAAACGTACATTGCAACAATCAAACTATATAAAACTTAAAACACTCCTCCTGTAAAAAGGATACTATTGAGCAGAAATCAATGATTAATTATTTTTTTAATAAATTAAATTTTTGTGGTGCCTGAAAAAGGCCAACGAGACTTTTTAAATCTTAAAAACTGCAAGAATTTTTATTTTTTTTATTGGAATTTTTTTAATGCATCCTTCTGATTGACTATCGACGCGGGTGTCAAACGCATTTACCATTTATAGAGAAACTGGTCGTATCAAAAATGTATTGGCCGAAGAAATAAAATTCCGTGTTCGAGGGCGTGGATCGCGTGACTCGAGAGCTTTTCTAGCCACTGAGCAAACCGGCTGCTGGAAAAGCGAAAAGTGGCATTGTTTGTGGGCAGTCCCGCTTAATTGATTTTTGTGATATTCCTGACCACGCCTGCACAAGTTTGTTGCATTTTTACCCCAATTATATTTAATTAAAAAAATAATACTAGAATATAATTTTTAATAAAAATTAATTGATTCGTTATTTTATACGGATCTACGAATAAATTAATATTAAATCTCTCCTTGAATTATTATAACTATTACGGTCTGCAAGTTCACTCAAAATGCACGTGGTGTGCATAACAATTTCCTTATCGCACACATACAACAAAAGCAAAGCAAAACCGGCGCGACTCCTATGCCTGGGGTCTTTATCAAGGGAAAAAGTTCAGTGCCTCTAGAATGTCAGTACTTTTCGTCGCTTGTCATTGATAACACGGGCGCAAATCACCTTTTTTGAACAAAAAGACAATAAGTGGAAAATATTTAGTAACAAGAAATGAAAAAAAAATTAAAAAAAAAATAAGAAACGTATAAATTAGATTTAAAAAAAAAAAAAATAATGTTGCTTATAATGCGCACTTTCATGTCATACTGGTCTTGATTTAACAAAGTAAAAAAATGGGCTATGCAAATATTTTCTCCGCGGTAAAAAGGATGACGTCTGCGACAACGTGTCATAAACACACTGTTAAAAGTTTGCATCCCTCAAGAATTCATGGCAATTTTTCTTTTTCAGTTCAAAACATTCCTAAATCTTTTCTTGAAAATAAAAAAGAGAAAATAAATTTGGGGCTTCACCTGCTGACGGTGTGGATGGCAGGGTCGAATTGCTGGACCGGCAGCTGCGGTGGCGGGTGTTCCACCATCCCTTCGACTTAATTCACCCTGTCCTTTTTCCTCTTGTCTTGTGACCGCAGAGGGAATGTGTGTCCCTTTCTTTCGACCGCAAGGCTGAAACTAACAGGCACTTTTGCGTGCGCCGCGTTTACTCCGCACACAACACACAGGTAGAGAAATATAAAATTGCCGCTCTCTGAATGAAAAGAGGGGCCCCACCATTGTGAGTCACGCGGCTCATTTGCTCGGCGTAATGCGATGAGGAAACACCCGAGAATGGCTGATGATGTGAGTGAGATCAGTGAGGAACGGGATTATAAGCGTACGACCGGTTTTTCTCGACTTTTATTTCTTGGCATTATCTTAATAAGGGATTAGCGAAGTTTATAATACTTTGAATCAAGAGATTTGCAAGATTGATTTCTTAATTAGAATTTAATATACCAGCAATAAAAAAGAAATTCGACGTCGCATAAATATTTTCTTCATATGTTTGCTTGAGGTTATTTCCTTTTATTTTATTATATTGTTTTCAAAATGAGCTCAAATTTAGTGCAACTGTCATTATATGTATTTACAAGAAACAATGCTTAATTTCCAGTATCCGACAACGATACCAGTACCAGATCTTATTTATATCAGAGGTTATTAAATTATTTAATCTTAAAATCAATACTTTTAGTTGGAAAAAATAATTAAATACGAAATATAGGAAAAAGTAAATTATTTAATTTAAAATATTTGAATAATCATCTTTTACATTACAAATTTTAAAATTCCCCTGTATATTTTATAATAAAAAGTACAAATTCAAAATTAAAATCCATAGGCGCAAAAAATATTGTAAATTTATACGAAAGCTTTTAAGATTAGAGATTTCCAGAACAAAAAGTAGTTACATAACGACTAGGGATGTTAAGTGCGACCATACCAAGTTCGTTCACACTGAATCCATCACTACATCACATTTTAGTGAGACCAATTTTCCGAATCAACAGCCTAAAGTGAAAAGAACATGGAAACAGACACGTTACAATCACGTTTTGAATATATAGTATTATGCGGAGCGCACGACTTTGGCCGTGTGACAAAGTTTGTTGACGGCGCCGGTTCGATCCAGCTAAAGCGAGGACAGGCGAACCCGAATGGGGTGTGATCGCGTGACAAGGGTCAAATGCCTGCTGCCCATGGTAATTAATCCTGACGAGCTCTGATTGTTATGGATGCGAAAATAAGACCACCGCGACCGCACCCTTAGTTTGCATGATGTGCGTAGTCCCTCTGCTCTCGACAAATAATGCGCACATTGTATCACGCGCTGCCTTCCAGAAAAAAGTATCAGACATGCCCGCACCATTTGCCGAAGCGAAAATTCTGAATTTAAATTGCAGCAATTTTTATTCCTAATTCATTTTTCATTTTAATGAGGATGGATCGGAAAAGAAATTTGAGAAGATCAATCCCCCATTTTTGAAGAAAATGAAAAAAGTGAAAAGAGACAAAATCAATCATTATTTAATTTAAAATATGATTTTTTAAATATTTATTATGTAATTGAAAATTATCGGTCCTTTATAAATGAATAATCATGATCATCAGTTGCAAAAAAACCTATTCATATTTTATAAGAATAAATTTCATGAAATATATAATCAACTCTATTATTCTGTTTTTCTCTTGATTTTGAATAAAGAAAGATGTGTAAATTCAAATAATAAGGGTCAAAATATAATTTAAAGCAAATTTTAGTCACAAATTTTGTTTTATACATATATTTTTTTTTGCCGTATTGGTGCACTTTACATCAATGTCCATTGAAATTTTATGGATTTAACTTTTTACAAAAATAAATAACACATATATATCGATCATCATTATGCTGTCAATGGTGGATAAAGTTGCCGCACTTATTTTTAGTCTCTTTGAATTTGTGCTGCATGTGCGTCTAGTTGGGAAAGTTTTCACAAAATTTTTGCAATCCCTTCACGTCACTCTAGCACTAATTGCCCACGTCGTTGGTGCTGGTGGACTTGTCAAGCAGCTCGAGAGCCACTTCTTGGCCCTGCGCGTTTTGCACCACCACTTTGGGGTTTATGAACTTTATGGCGGCGCCGTTGACCGTGTCCTGAGGGCTTGTGTTGGTCTCTTTGCGCGGCGTGTATATTTTCGGCCGCCTCTCCGTGCCGTCCTCGCCGGCTGTGTGGTACGGCTTGGGACCAATCAGGCTCAACAAGACTGGCAGGAGGACGATGCCATTGAAAAGGCCAAACACGACGACCAGCAGGAAAATCTATGGGAAAAATTTCAGTGTTAAAAAATTCTAGGATATAAATTTCGAATAAAAATATTAATTTCATTAAAAAAATTTTAATGCCATTTTAATTCATTTTATGACGAATAATATTGATTTGTTTATTTTATAATTTATTTCTCAAAACTGACCTTGAAAAATGCAATAAAAACGTGAGCGTCTGAGTCGGCAAGGACCGAGAGCGCCAAGAGGGTGCTGATTCCACCGTTCCAGACGGCTGGGCCAGTTTCTCGGATGGTCCTGAGCGCTCGGTGGTTTTTGGATCCCACGTAGGTCATGAAAGTGAGGCCGATGTGGGCAGCGTAATCGACGCACAGGCCGACGGCCAGCACGAGACCAACGCAGGAGACAATGTCGATGGTCATTCCCCAGAAAAACATCATCCCTCCAACGTCGATCAAAGTGAGGACCACACAGAGCAGCACCAAGAGACAGGTTCGGACGTTGGCGATCAGAATGAAGGTGCTGATCATGACGCAGAACATAGCTAGCGCCAGGTTGCGGTACATTTCTGCGTCAATGACCTGCAATTTAATTTAAATATTTAAAATAATTACATTTAAAATTATTTCTCATTAAAATATTGAAAAATATTTAGCAAGCAAACAAATAATATAATAAATAAATAAAAACAAAATATTATAAAAAATGATTACAGCTGAAATTTAAATTTAAAAAAATCTGTTCAATTACCTCATCTGTAACCCAGTTGGCGAAAATCTTTCCCCACACAGTGACAAATTTGTCGCCTGTTTTGAAATTGGCCAACTCGGTGAGATTTCGCACTCGCCTCAAGGCAGGGATGTGCTCCTCAGATCCGCTGAATATTCTGAACTTAAACTCAAAACTTGAAAGCTGAAAAAAATAATTTTAAATTTCCAATATTTGAAATATCTCCTATCACTCACCACAACAGGCGGTGCTGGCTGGCCGCAAGTCAATTTCCCGTCAAATCGAAAGTCTTTTTCAAAAATAGCACCAGTAGGGCTGTAGAGGAACTTTGAAATATATCTCGAAAATTCAGCGTCAGACAAAATTTGTTTCTGCAAATCTGTACACAAGAATTAATAAATTAATCTCATTTTTTATTAATCAATAAAATTACTTATGTGGTAATTGTCGTTGACATATTTGTGAAACTCGTCCGACCAGGCTTTCACATCATGAAGGATGTCGTCCTGCTTGCGAAATTCGTTGACTAGTTTTTGTATTCGGCGAAACTCGACTGAGTAGTTGAGTCGGCCCATGTAAACGGCCGCCTCCTGGCCGTCCTCTGGATAATAATGCGTTTTGGCCTCGCTGAAATTTGCGAGATGCGTATTCTTTGGAATGAACCACATTTGGTCAAACTCCTGTCGAAGATGCAAATTGCCCCAAACGCTGATGCCGGTCACACCAAGAGTCGCCAGCAAAACCAGTACCTGACAAGGAAAAATATATATCAATTCTGAGTAACAATGATCCGAGTAACAAGAAAATTGTTGCGTGCACATAATGTGGAGAGATAAAAATCAACCCCTCCGTTCTGACCTTTCCTGGCGTGGTGAGAATGTAATTGGCGTACAGAGAACCGAAGATGGTCTTTGAAATTTGCTTCCGGTGGTAAATGTTGGGCTCGAAGCTCTCATGTTTGATGCAGAAGGCGACCCCGTTTCGCTTCTGTTCGATTCTCCGCTCGTCCCAAGTCAGACACGCCACGAAAAAGGTCGACTGGAAAAAATAGGTGGCCAATATGCCGACCGCTGCGTACAGGCAAAATGATTGCAAGCAAGGCAGGATCTGCAAAAAAAAAGAAAATTCAGATCCGGGTTTTACAATTAAATAGCGATTGGCAAATAGCAAAGTTCAAGGCGGCTTCAATGTTGTTGGAAAACCAAAACAAAATATTATGTAACTATTTAAATTGGTACTCGACCTTTTGATATTTGTTTGATTAATGTGATTCGATACGAGTGTGTCAAAATTGATAATGCTGAAATTATAGAAGAGCTTGTTTAAATTTGCAAAAGATTAATTTTGAGAACTTTGGAGCGCTTGAAAAAATAATTGCAAAATTATTAATAATTAAAGAAATCATAAATATATAAAAAAATTGTTTTGATACAAAATTTTAAATAAAATTATATGTTCCTATTTTATTTGATACATCTTTTCAATAAAAAATTTTTGATAAAAAAAAAACATACCGTTGCAGAACCAATGGCAAACGCGACGAAATCTGTAAGTGAAGTAACGGTGATGGAGGCTCCGGCGTGCTGCATCATCAGCCCAATCTTCTCAGGCAGGGGCTTGATTTTCTCAGCGGGGGACAGATTGAAGAAGTTTTGCATGATGATAAACATGTCGTCAACCCCTATGCCAAGCAGCAAAAAGGGCAGCGAGTGGTGCACGGGTCCAAAGAAGATTCCGAGCATTGAACAGAAGCCGTAGGAGACGATGAGGGCAAGAACTATGCTCAACATTCCAGCCATACCCAAATACAACTAAAAAAAAAAAAAATGTACAGTAGATTTAAAAAATATATAAAATTTATTTACCCTTAATTCAACCCAGTTGCATTTTGAAAGTTGAAGTTGGATGTAGACAAACATTAGCATGCCGCCCATCAGAAGTTTTTCAATGTCCTGAAACATCGCGTTGTTGCTGATGTCTGAAAAACTAGGGACAAAAACGTCATCGTAACTTGTTCAATTGAATTTAGGCACTTAAAAAAATTGAGATCCCAATAGTTCCAAATCACGTTTCTCAGTAAAATTGTCTCACCTTCTCCCAGAAGTGTAAAAAACGTTCATATCGGTCACGTTGGCCGCAATCACGTTCATCACATTGGAAAACTCGATCTCCCACTCAAGGCTTTTTGCGTCACCCTGGGGAATTCATTGCGTTAGATTAAAAACTGACAGGAAACTTCTTTTCCGCCAGAGAAGAGACTCACTAAATCTCCTGTGCCGGCCAGGTTGCCGCTTTTCTCGTAGTCGACGTTGGAAAAGTTGACGTGCACGACCCAAAAAGTGAGCAGGGACTTGGCGGAGACGATCATCCCTGAGGCGTTTCTTTCCACACCACCCAACAGGGGCACGTATTCCATAGGGTGCCCAAAAACAGGGCTAAAAATTAAAAATTAATATTCAGTTTTTATTTAATTTTAACGTCTTGCGTTGATGTAAGATGTTGTTGAACGGAGGAAAAATATTAAAAAAATTCTCACCTGACTGATGTTTTGTTGAGCGTTTCAATAATTTTGTCTTTGGTGAGCGTCTGAATTATAGAGCGATCGTAACTCCAGAGATCCAAAAGCGTCCTCTCGAGGCACTTCCTGTCCAGAGCCTGAATGAAGGCGCAGTAAATTGAGTCGCCGAGGGCCACGCTCGGATCACTTTTGTACTTGGGCGGCAGACTGTCGTAGAGTTGGTTCAGATCTCTTCTGCGTCGTCGAGACGACAGAGTCAGCGCCGGAATCCTAACAAGAGTTTTTATATTTTCATTCCAACCTTTTTTTTAATTGTGAGAAAATCAATTGATATTCTGTGATATTGTAAAAAAATTGCATTGTGCATATTGTAGTTAAAATTAAAATTAAAAAAACAATAAACAATTAACAAAGGCAAATTTACTTGAAGCAGATGTCGGACCACTGGACGCCGTTCACTGAGATTCCCTTCACTTTGCTATGGATCTCTTCCAACTAAAATCAAAATAAAACATTTTAGGTACATCAAAAATAAATTTTCCTTTCTTGACTTTCCCAATATTTAGGCTCCCGGCTTATTCCTAATTGATCCAATTATTCTAGACAACATTGATAGGAGCAACCGGCATTGCGCCTATGTCGTGCAGGTTGCATAATTTGTAAAATAATAGTGAGGTATCATTTTCAGTATTTTCAACCCCTCATCAATATAATTATAACAAATGATTGCTCAGCAAAAATTCGATAGAAATATTGTAGTGTCTTTTTAAAAAGATTTTTTTTTTGTATTTCGAAAAACTGGGATTTCAAATGAATACCGATGACGATTATTTCTTATTTCCATTGCGGAATGTCGTGAGTCAACAAGATCAGCTAGATATTTATATGAATTTTTTACTTTCCTGACCTTTCCGAGAATTGTTATGAGCGGGCGTGCGTGCCATGCAAAAGGGAGTATCAAAGGAAGCGAAAAAAAACACGTGACGAGAGCCCAATAAATAAACCACGCCGGAGCACGAAGGGAGTTTTATGAAAAGTGGAGCGGATCACGTGTTCATGTCGCTCTCTTGCCGCAAAATTACTGCGGGCAAATGAAAAAGACGAAACATATACGCAGAATATGTCACATAAATATATAGAAGCGTTTTGTTTATTCGACCCGAGCACATTCACGGATCGATGGACCGCGAATTATTATTATTGTTGCCTCATTTGTCGCTCGGTACGTACACGTAAATAATGCACACATAAGCGAGGGGAAATCACGGGGCTAGGCTGGTGAAATGAGTGTTTTTTGTTTGTGATGCGGACAAACCGGCGCAAACAAACATGACCTTCCCTGACTGCCCCGCGTTAAAAATTCATCGAGCTGAAAAAAACGGCTTTTTGCTCCCTATCTCTTGATTCAAAACCTATGGCGAGAGAAAGTTTTCAATTTTCTTTATCAGCCGAAATAATCAAACGAGAGGGGAAGTTTTTTGCAATTATCACCAGAGAATGCGTTCAATCCGCACTTTCACTGGAGTTTTGATATAAATACCGAACTGATTAAACGGAGCGTTATCATATCGGCGATTGGGACAAGCTTTTAAAAGTAATTTCAAGAGGTTATCAGTAGTGGAGTGGGAAAAAATCAGATTTCATAAATATAATCTGAAGCTAGGAGCTTGATTGGAAATTAAATTTCCATTTCAAGTAATTAAAGGGGAAAACAAATCAGATCAACTTTTTACTTTATAATTACCAAAGACCTAGACAAAAAAATAAATGTCCCAACCGGTTGTTTATATTTAGAGCATTTTTGTGATTTTCCTTTCAATAAATAGATCTATCTAAAAATTTACTTAAATATATTTCTTCCTTTTTATTTTAAGCAAAAATTATTTTCATTTGAAGTAACCTTTTTTATTCTTGAATGAATTTTAATGAAAATTAAATGAATTTTAATTATCATTGAAATTATATTTCTGTCTTCATTTTAAATTGAAATATAAGAAAAGTATCAAAGTCTAGGCTTTCTCCCTAAGTTTTATCTACAGCTTAAATTACACCTCTAAATATTGGTAACTAACCGTGAAAAGCTGCTCTCACTTTACTCCCACGCAGCTGGACTTTGATGGATTGAGGCGTTGGCACGACCAGAGATGACTTTGTTTTGTTTGACTGACCCGCCACTTAACCCCTTTAATTCTTAAGTCCACCAAGGTTACGAGGCTCGTCTGCGAGTCAAAGGTGGAATTTTCCCTTTATTTGTTTCCATCCACCCTAATTGACCTGACTCGCTCAATATTTGCTGATATTAGTAAGAAGGAAGGGCCTATTAGCTTCTATGAGTTTTGTAATGTGCTGGTGACGGTCAATTTCAAGTTGGAAAATTGTTCTCAGAAGAGAAAATTTTGTATGCATGGACTTTTAAAAATAAGGAAAGTAATATTTACAAATTATTGATCAAAGAATGTATAAATATAATTTTCTATTTTTTATTTGACCAGACCTCTCTTTGAAAATGAATTTTTTGGAGGAAAAATTTTTATGATTTTGAATATTCAAGATAATGTTAAACCCGAAATAAGATTAATGTAAAAATTAAAAATTACAATTGAGTTGCAAATAAATTAAAAAAAAAAATAAATTATCAGTGCATTGAAGAACATTTTAGCTCTGCCTTGCAATAATCAAATAGATTTCAGATTCAATTGATTGAGGCAAATTTTAATAACCTAATAATTAATAAAATATTATACTATGATATTATGCTGTTTTTTCTAATTTTTCACTATTATATAAATAAGAAGTAAAAAATAATAATAAAAAGGAGGTTATTTTATAAACATTGAAGGCTATCAAAAGTTCAAATTAAATAATGAATTTAAATGATTTACAAATTAAATATAACGATGGACTCTGGACAGCAGACAAACACGTAAATTATATCATTTCAAATTATCTATCTTTATAAATTAGCTAGTAAAATTGTTAGACTATTCATTATCAGTTATACTTTGGCACCTTAATCTCCATTCAAGCAGATTGTACCTAAAAAAATAGACAATATTTTTGAATAATCAAAATCACTGTTTCACTGACTGCTGCATGATTTCATGAGTTGAAATTATTATAAAACTGAAATAAATGTCGCATTAATAAGAGATGAAAAAACTATTATCAGTTCAATTGCCCTTACTTAACAAATTCTTCAAAGAACTGAACGCATATAAATTCAATCTTGATTTCAAAGGAAACGTTTTATTGTGATTTGATATCAAACGCAAATGTAATTGTCATGATGAAAATTCTGTAAATACTTGAAGTTTCATTATTCTGACAAGTGTTTTTATCAGATTAATGGCAACATTCTAAACAAAAAGTCACCAAATTGCGCAAAGTTCTGTGCAATCAGCTGCACCAAGTGCACTAAACTTAAGAACTTTGCACAAATAGTTGTTCCCAGTTATTCAGCTTTTGTTTCAATTTTTTTATATTGAGTTCAAACCATGCGATAAACTAAACTGATATCAATTAAAATTTCGACTTTCATATTCATCAAGTCCCTGACCCTACAAATAAGTTCACAAATTTATTTTTTTTCTAACCTGCAAAATGACATCCGGCTGGAGGACGTCGTCGGCGGTGATGATGACGGACTGAATGCGATAGAATTCGCCGTAGTTCTCCATGAGCCAGTTGAAGTCTCGCACGAAATTGGAATTGCGAGGCAGCCACAGTTTGACCGGCTGCTGCTCCTGCCGGAAGCGGAAGAACCCGAAGGAGCAAAGCACCGTCAGCAGCACGCAGATGGCCACGTGTCGCCGTGGACGAGTCGCGATGTCGAAGCCTCTCCTGGATAAATGGGAAAAAAATTGAAAAGAAGTGCCAAAATTATAAAATATGCAATTGAAGCAGATTGCAAGTAAAATTTGAATAAATTTTGACAAGTGTTTAAAAATAAATAATGATATTGTTTTAGAAACTGGAAGTTTAAAATAAATATTAATGTGATTTTTGAATAAAAATAATATAATGTTAATATTTTGATGCGTTAAATTACCAACTATTTGAAAGTTTTACATTCAAAGTAAATATTATGATTTCACGTCAAAATAATAATAATTAAAAAAAAATGAATTCTTTAAAAAAAATTATTGTTTTAAGGTAGAATTTGTCATTGTGCTTGAATTGAATACTTTTTTCTCAATAGATTTTTTTAGAAGAGCAGAATATTGTTTTTTTTTTCTAATTGTAAGTTGTAAACAACTAAATTAAAAAACAAGGTAAAGTCAAATTTAAATTCAAGTTAATAATGTAGATCAACTTTTAGAAAAAACCAAGAACGAAGTTTTTAATAGATTGTTTAGATTTGCTTATCAAAAAGATTTTCAAGACATACCAGAGACCATGTTTCAAACACGACGTGATTTTTACTACATGCTATTAGCTATACAGTTTATCTAGGGATTTTTGTAGTCTCATCAAATGCTTCTTTGATAAGGTAGATTGTGAAAACATGAGTTCAATAATTGATATTGACTTTGAACTAATTTAAAATTATCTTTAAAGTTCATATCATTTTGAACAAGCTTACAAAATATGCATTTTTGTAGAATTAAAAAAAAAAATTGAATATAAATATTTTAAACTAATTTGTCGTTTTTGGGCCTCAAAATTTTCCGTCCAATTGACAATTGAAACAAAATAATTATAAGCAAAGAAATTGTATATTAATTTAAACCATGTTTCACTTGTCCAGAAAATAATTTTTATCTCTTTGGAATTGAGCTCGTTTTCATATGTATGAATAATTAGTTGGCATTGCGTGATTGGTCTCGGCATTGAGCCATGAACGGTTAAAAATTCGGTCACGGGGATAAATTAACCAACTGCCAACTATGTATAACTTTTAAAAGAGTTAAATGTTGCAGTCGCCATTGCCAGACTGGCCGAGTTCAAAGTCAGCATTGCGCCCTTGGAAGGTTATTTGATGTCGAAGTTTAATCACTTCACTGAATTTATTTTTCCATGTAATTTATGGAAACGCAAATAAATATCAAGTGGCTGCAGCCAATCTCGTGTAAATATAAGACGTGGGCCAAAATTAGAGCGGTCGTAAAATGTCGCATGCGGTGAAAATAAGTGCGGCGGATTAGATAGTTAAAATTATTTTGGCGTGAGACCCTATTAGACAGTCCAGACACGGAGGACTTGTGTGAAAATGAGTGGAGGAGTGCATGAGAGGTGGCCACTCAGAAAATGACTCAGGACTATTTAAATTTAATCCAATTTGAAAAGTTACATAATTTATGTGCAGGTGAAGCGGGCCAAAAATTCTTCTGGAGTGTGCAAATTTATCAAAATTAAGCTTAAAAATTGTTGTAAACCGTAAAACTAAATTTCATTCACAATAAAATTATTTATAAATAATGTTTTATAGTTAATGAAATATTTCTTAAATTTTAGTAAATTTGTTAAAAATTTCTTGCAATTGAAACTTAATATGATTGATTTCGAATTATTTTCTTCATTAAGAAAAGCTGGATTTTATGAAAAATGAATCCAGTTCATTTCAGAGTTAAATTACTCAAACTTTACAAATACTTATTTGAAAGTAAAATATATTTTTAATTTAACTTGCCAAAAAAAATTTTTAATAAACCACCAAAACGAAAAAGAAAATAACCAAATTAAATTGTCTTTTTTTTCAACAAGGAGTTAGTGAAACTTGGCATAAAATTATTTAACGAACTTTGAAGTGGCTTTTGCAAAAATAAAAAATTGTCATTATAACCAATGGTTAAATAAATAAATAAAACAATTCTTGAATATTGATCAGGCCAGGATTCAACGTCTTTCATATTGGGAGAAGAGAACAATTAGAATTAAAGATTCTTCCTTTTTTAAGTTATAATAAATGGAAACACTGTTAATGAGAAGAAGAAAAATCGTAAAAAAAAATTATAAAATCAACATTTTAATTTCATTTTCATTCATGTATGACCCTTTTTTTAATTATTAAAAATGGTATAAATAAGATTTTTGTTTGAAATTCAATTTTTGAAGTTTTCGGGGTTAAAAAAAAAGCTATAATTTATGTATTATAAAGAATTTAATATAGACTATTTTTTAAAAAAAAGTTTTTATGGAAAAGTGCAGCCGAGGTGAATCGATGCACCAAAACATTGACGCTATAAAATCGCACCTGTAGAACATGGCTTCGAGGTAGTTGACGATGGCGGTGCTGATGCGGTGCAAAATGCCCAGTTCCTTCTGCGGCTGCTCCTCCATGCTGCTGGCCGGGTGCAGGTTTCAGGTCATCTGATCGACTGGGCCAGGGTGCGTGTCGCAGGTCAGAAGCGGCGGTGCGAGGTGGCGGAGCACATTTCGCTCGCGAGCCACGATTCGAACTGGTCCGTCTGTGACCAGAGGAGCTGCCAATGCGTACGAACGCGCTCACGTGGGCACCGCGACCTTGTCTGCTTCCCACTCGCGGCTGCAGCAATCATGCGGAGAACCGGCCGCAGCTTAGCACCGCCACCGTCAGAGGCTGACACTCGAAAAGGTTTATTATTAAATGTTTTTATCACTTTTATTAAATTTAAATTAATTAACATTTTGTTTTTTACAAAATAAAATTGATTTTTATGTCTGAAAAATTTAAAACTGCATTTGAAGAGAGCATTTTTTTAAGTTTATGGAAATCAAACTTTTAACTATTAATATTGCAAGAAAAAAAAATTAAAAATATTCACTCGGTGATCAGTCGGTGATATTTTACGACCAAGATGATAATAAATTTATTGTTATCTCCATTCCATAAAAATTACTTAGTTGCAGTAATTTTATAATCAGATTCAAAATAGTTTTCTGTATTTATTCTCCTCTTTCAATATTATTTTCATTAAAATAAAAATTCCTAGATATTTCAAACTAAAATGAATTTTTTTTCGAAATTAATGTTCATTTCTATAGTTTTGTGAAAACTTTCAAATATTGAGACGTTAAAGTAATTGAGATTTTTATGTTAAACTGATTGATAGTCGGTAAAACATTAATTATTAAGTGATTTTTCCACTGCAAATAAATTTAATATCAGTGACTACAAAAATAAATATGAATAATTGATTGCAATGTAATTTTAATTATGCTTTTGATTTTCCGTGTATCCAGTGCTTAATTAAGCATTTTGATATTGCCTAATCAGTGATGCGCGCACAGAGAAATTATGCGTGAAAAACCCTTTCACAGAGTCCTCGTTAATTGGCAGGAGCGCAAAAAACAAATTTGCCTCAATTTGACGTTTGATTACGCCAATTTGGATACATATGCGGATCTACCAAAATTATTTGCCATTCGCATAATTTACTTGAAAACGGGCGCACACGATTTTCTCACAGCTTGTTGAAGCATAAATATACAATTTTCCAAATGATTTCCTCTTTAGAGTTCAATCAAATCAAAATTCATTCTGAGAATTTGCAAGCTGCTTTTCCCCAACATTTCGCACTATAAATTAAAATCAATGCTTGGAAATTTTAAAAATCAAATGATTTAAATATGAAAAACTGGAATCATGATAAATTTTATTAATATTCCAACAGAAAAAATGTATCATGCAGTAAAAAACAAAAAACCTCTTTACTCAAAGTTTGAATCATACATCAAATCCCGAAGGACGAAAAGCTTCTTGTTTGAAATTTCAAACTTTGCGAGGCAAATGTGAATGTGACAACTTTCGCGTGTGAGTTGCAAAGTTTTTTTTTATCAAAAAGTTGTGAGCACAAAAGAGGTCACCACGGCGTGCCGTGACAAATCTGCAGTTCATGCCTCTTCGGGCGAGTGATCTGACTTGGCAATCGCGGGCAGAAAACTCGAGGGTGGATTTTACACATGAAATGTGGAACGAGGCGCGCGCGGCGCACTTTTTAATATCAAGAAGAGAGACCGACGACATTTCGCATCTGTTACGAGTCAAATCAATAGGAAAAAAACACCATGTTTTTTATCCTATCTGATCTTTCAGGCTGAGAAGATAAGGAAGAAATGGATAGAACCGCAGAAGCAGATATTACACGACGAAATATAAATCAAGGAAATATTCATTTACAGATTGATTTGAATTAAAAATTGCTGAATAGCTTTTTAATTTTGTGTAATTTATTTAAAAAAAGTTAATATCTTATGAAATTCTTATACTTTGTTTGAAAATTTGAGTTCAATATTTCGTTTTTGAAAGATTAAAACTTAATTTGTATTTAATTCTTTATTGCAAAAAGAATGTGAAATTGTTAAAAGTTAAATTAATTTTGTTTACAAAATTAATTAAGTGGTGGCTCTTCAAAGGACCATATTTTTAGTCAAAGATTTTAAATATTTTATTCTAATAAAATCGTTTAAAATTATAGTTTAACTAATTTTAAATGTATTTTTTTCCCGCCCGTGAGCACCGGTGAGCACCAAAAACTCTAAATTACTCCGCAGCTTGTCGCCCTAGTCGCAGCACGAACTTTCACCGAGCACCGAACGAACGCACACCGATCTCCGGTCGGTTCTCCCATGTGTACGCAACGGCGGCAGACGCTGGTTATCGATCGCGTTGCAGACCAACCGGTACAGCTGTTTGACTACGAAATTGCATCAACCAAAACAAACCATCAGACTGGGTTAGACAGATCTTTATTTAATTTCACCAGGGGAAAAAGAACTCGAGAGATGGGCCAGGGCAAAAGCAGGGAGGCCGAAGATGGACAGAAAAAGCAGCAGGAGTTTGTGGCCGAGGTGAACAGGGTGTCCGTGGAGCGACAAATTCAGCTGCAGAACCAAATGAGGCAGCGAATCATGGCCATGCAGGTCGCAAGGGCCAGGGAACTCTTCTACTGGCTTGGCGCCTTCTACGGGGTGGCTTCCCTCGGCATGTTTGCTGGGTAAGACATTTTTTTCAAGCTATTTGAATTCAACTCTAAACTGGCACCTTAGATTCAGGAGGACGAGGAAACCTGGCGTTTTGGTGCCCCTGCTGCCCTTGACCTTTGTGGTTGCATATCATGCAGATATGGCCTATGGGAACAAACTGCACAGAATTAGAAGTAAATAAATTTATAGTTTAATTTAAATAAAATTTAATTTTAAATAAATTTTTTCAAATTTTAGTGGAGGCTGAAAATATACTGCAGTTTGAGGAGGAAATTCTTGACCTGCCCTGCGGACTGCCGACGACCTCCTCCCTCGACCTTGCCCGTCTACATGACGAAGAAGAGAAGAGATTTCACCCTCATAGCCCACCTCTGTGACCCCGCCGGGATTGCTTAACCCTCTATTATTGAAACAAAAAGTGGCATTTTTATTTTTGGTCAACAATTGTGCATTTAAAATTTTAATTTAGTTTCTTTCTTGCCATTCAAGTCATTTTAATATTAAAAAAGTGGCAATTAGTTCACAATGACTGATTGATTTAGTTGCATTTAGTGATTTTGTTGTAAGAACAAAGCTGGATTTGCTGTCTTAGTTGGAAACACAGAAGTGCAAAAGTGCATTGTTATAGAATTATTTTTGTAATTATATAAATGCATTTAAAATAATAGGAGACATCAGAAGGATACACCAATTTTAAAATTATTTTTGTTAGCTGGGGCAGGTTTCCTTTATTTTTTTAAATAAAATTTGATTTATTTTGGTTGATGTTGCATTGCAAAGAGCAGCTTGTTTTTAATCTATTAAAAATCCCAGGTAGCCAAACATGTAGTGAAGAAATGTTCTGATGTTGTTATTGCAACTGTTATCACTTGCACCGCCTTATAAAGGCGCGCAATATACTCTGTTAGTGCGTTGTTGATTTATAAAATAAAGCATGTAATAATGATAAATATAAACCTTAACGTTGGCTTTAATTATAATTTTAGAGACGATAGAATTAAAAAAAAAAACGGACACGTAAACCGATTTTGTTTAACAACTATTAATAATATAATTAAATACAATATTTATAATATTTAATTTTTTTTTAAGAATTTCGATAGTATTTTGAGTAACACAATTAAATATATTCATTATTTCATATAATATTTAAATATTTACAGTTTTTCTTTTAATAAACATCAATAATAATGAAACTAATAAATAAAAGTACTAGAAAAATATTCTATTTTTTTTTTTAAATTTTATTTTGCTTATGTAATTATTTAAAATACTTGCACGCTTTTATCAAAAAAAGACACGCTTCCGGCTCACAGGGCAAAACTTTCGTGTGATAAAAACCCCTGCTCAGTACAGAACAATCAACAATGGAAAACGTTGCGCGGCGCTACAAAATTCACCCGCGGGATGTTAAGACTCTGAAGGTGGACGCGCGGAGGTCATTGCCGTTTTTTCAAGGCCTCGCCGTGGCCCTTCTTATTTTCTTCACCGTCCTGATCCCTTTTTTCTCTCCTAGACGCTCGTCGTGCTGCCAAAATGAAACGTGTCGTGGAGAAAATGACACCGTTTCCATACCGGACATAACCAATTTGTTGAACTCGGTTGAAAATTTCCAGAAAACATTTGGCGGCAAAAACATGTTTTTCACCGAAACTTCAGGAAAGGGAATTTTGAAACCGAGACAGGCGTGCACCATCGAGTCCTTCGCCCGCCTCAACCCGACCGTCAACCTGATTTTAATTTTCACAGGTCCCGTCGCTACTCTGACCTTATATGAAAATCGTGCCCTGGCTGAGATAATCGCCAATCATCAAAATGTCCATTTAACCACAGTAGATCCAAAATTGGTTTTTGACGGAACGGGACTGGAGGAGGCGTACCTGAAAGCCATTAAAGGGCCTCACCCTTTTGTGCACCTGAGTGACCTTTTGCGATTGGCCTTACTTTGGAAGGTTGGAGGTGCTTACATGGACCTGGACCTGATCAGCGTCAAGAGCATGACCCAATTTTTGGAGAAAACCAAAAATTTCCTCACACCAATGGACGATTCGTACCTCAACACCTGTCTGCTCGGCTTCACCAAAAATCACCCCCTACTGGGTTTAATTATAAAAATAATCGGCAAGAACTTTGACGCTCAAGATTACATCATTGGTCTTCACTCCTTCAACACCGCGATTACCAATGTTACAGGAAAACTTCCCCCGGAAGTTGTCCGAGAAGGAAAATTGCTCGACGTGGTCATCCCGAGCTACAAAATGACTAGTCCGGTGCGATCAATGAACCACTACACTTTAATCATGGACAACTTTGGTTCCAATTACAAAAAGTGGATTTCCGAGAGTATTGTCGTTCACTTTTGGAACCACATGACCAATGACAAAGTTGTCACATTAGATTCGAAATGTGCATTGGCCAAAATAGCAAGAATTTATTGTCCAAGATCATTTTGGAGCTGCAACGCAGTATTTTACTAAAAATTTAAATTTTAATTAATATTGTATAAAATTTTAAACTAATTTACTAATTTTATTGAAAGGAAATAAAGTGCTTATCTTAATGCTAATGTAATTGTAAATCGTTTCAATATTATTTAAAACCTTAAAACCAAATATTAATCCAAGGCAATGGAACTTATTTCTCTCGATTCGGCAAGCCATGTAATTGTATGTACATATAAGTGAATTGCAGGCCAATTAAGATCACAATTTAAAACTCATTGTAAGTAATATTATTTTTAGTCTATTATTTGAAGTTTATATATTCTTTTATTCGCTTGTTTTTATTTTATTTTTTTTTCGTTGTGCAGTTTAAAAAAAAATACTGTTAAGTATTATTATTTTTAGCTGATTTTTAGAATACTTTGAGATTGAAAAGAAGTTAAAAGGTAAAAAGAAACATTTCAACAGGAAATAACAATTAATTGTTATCAAAGAATGCCCCGGTCTAGAAGGAAGCGCCTGAACATTGTAACATGGCTCGCTGGCGCAGCGACGACACAACATGCATCAGGGAAAAATAACAACCCACACGGCAAAATTGACGATTGCACAGGTGGCCACTTTTTTGTTAAAACTCGCAGCCGTAATTTTCATCGTGTTGTTGAGCCGAAAGCGAAAATGTCCCTGTGACAAGGAAATATTTTTTTGCGAGGAGGAAAACTCGATTCACCAACTGACGGACATCACCTCGTTGCTGAGCGACTCGGCCGCTTTTCACCTGCGCTTCGGCAGCAGGTACGTGTTTGTTATCGAGACTTCAGGCAAGCCGTTTTTGAAGCCGCGCCAAGCGTGCACCGTCGAGTCCTTCACCAGGTTGAACCCAAATGTTACCATGATCGTACTTTTCCTCAATCCTGTCACGAAACTGGATTTGACTGAAAACAGAGCAGTGGCTCAGATTTTGATTCACCACCCAAATGTCCACTTTGCCACAATCGACCCTGACCAGGTCATGAAAGGTTCCATTCTGGAAAAGGCCTATTCCCAGGCGGTGAAGGCTACGTTTCGATCAGAGCACCTGAGCGATCTTCTCAGGATGGAAATTTTGTGGAGGGTGGGGGGAGTTTTCATAGATTTGGATATTCTAAGCGTTCGGAGCATAACCGAATTTTTGGCCAAAACGCCAAACTTCATCACATCCACCTTCCCGGATAAACTGAACGCCTGCATTTTGAGCTTCACCAAAGGTCACGTTCTCCTCCTCCTTATTATGAAAACCCTGCGAGATCGCTACAACGCCGAGTATTACGTTTCCGCGCCCAGGTCCATCGATGCCGCCGTGGCAAAAATTGCCCAGAAACCGATTAAGGATGTAATCGCTGGAGGTAAGATTCTCGATGTGGTCATTACAGATTACAAGATGACCAGCGTAATTCCGTCCGGGAAGCACCGACAGTTGTTCGACGAGAAATTGGGAAATGCCTACAAGCTTTGGCTGAACGAGAGCATTATGGTGCACACATGGAGCCACCAGAGTCAAAATTATGACGTGTATCTCAATTTGAATAAACATGCTTTTGCCACATTGTCAAAGGAATTCTGCCCACGGTCCTTCTGGAGTGGTTTACACAGATTTGATTGAACAATATTTTTTGTTAAAAGTGATCGTTATTAAAAAATATATAAAATTAAATTTGAGTATATTTATTTTTAAAATACATACCAATATTTATTCAAAATAAAACTACAAATTATTAAAAAAAGCTTTTCTCTTTTGAAAGGCTCCCAAAATTAATAAGCTTCAAATAATTCCTAGCCCCATTTGTTACAATGGAAATGTATTGTTAAAATATATGAATTTTATTTTATAAATATATTGTTGGCGAAAAACTTTGGTTTATATAATTATTAATTAATATTATATTTTTTTTAAGAAAACGAATTATCAATCAAATATTTTAAAATAAAAATGTTGATCTCAGATACATCTTTCGTGTATAATCTGAACACTTAAAGTGTTAAAAAGAAATGATTATGCATAATTTAATTATGAAGATGCATGAGAAAATATCAATAAATAAAATTTGAATATGATTAAAAAAATTAAAATTAATTTTTATTAAAATAGAAAGCACCTGTCCTGTTTTTGCACAACAAGTGGAATTAATATACTGTATAAAATATAGGTGAAGTGAATTTCTTTCCTCCACAAAAGCTGGTGGTCGGAACGGCCGTGTTGATAATAAAGTTGATAAGGCAGCCCTGCCTGTTTTCAGTGCCAACAAAGTGCCTGCACGTGTCAAAGCACATTTTACAATGGGTCTCCAGAACAACGCCGTCTACCGAATATTCACAATTTCGTGCATGGTCTACGTCCTCACCGACCTTTTGTTTCCGCCACCATGTGCAAAGGAAAACTGCAACAAGTCCGGCTGCGAAAGCAAACACTTTGTCTTGACGGACATCACGGGCGCCGACCCCGACCTGCTGAAGGACAAGTACGGCGACTCGGTGTTTTTCCTCGAGACTTCTGGCAGGGCCGGATTGTCCCCTCGGCAGGTGTGCGCCGTCGAGTCCTTCAGCCGACTGCACCCCGAACGCGGCGTGATCGTCGTTTTCCTCAAACCTCTGACCAAAGTTGAAAAAAGTGCGGCTCTGTCTGAATTGATGAGGACTGGTAAGAACGTCGTTTTGGCCACAGTTGACGTAGATTGGCTTGTGGAAGGCACCGAAATTGCAAAAATTTTAGCACAGGCGAAAAATGGGCAACATCCAATTGAACACACGAATGACATTTTAAGAATGGTGCTGATTTGGAAATTCGGTGGTATATTTGTTGACATGGACGTTTTGACTGTGAAAAAAATGTCCGATCTATTTGCGCAATCGCCTCGTAACTTCATCAGTGTCGAATCAAATAAGTTAGTGAGCAACAAATTCTTTATGTTTTCACAACGGCATAGTATTTTGGACGGGTTTTTTAAAATGATGCGCCGATCGAAAAACGATTTTTCGCAGTTGCTGCTTGGAAGGAAGATACTAAACACCGTGGTGACGAGATTGCTGAACCACGCTCCATCATCAAATCGCGTTGGTGACGCGAGACTTCTAAGCCCCGGATTAGCTAACCCCGTGGAATCAAACAGTTCTCAGTTTTGGATCACCGAGGGTGTGAGTGAGAATGATTTGAACTCAAAGTTGACAAAGAGTTCGGCGATTTTTATGTGGAATAACTTGTATCCCGACACCAAAATTGCACTCAACTCGACGTGTCCGTACGCCACATTGGCCAAGGAATTCTGTCCGAGAGCCTTTTGGAGTTGCAGATCGTATTTTTGATTTTTATCTAAGCAAGTTGTGCAAATATGTTTTAATGAATAAAAAATTAATAATTGTAAAAATTCAATTCTTTATTGGAATAAAAATAAAATTAAAAAATATAATTTAATTTTGAATCTTTTTACACCAATACAAAATTTTAAATGAAATCAAACGTCAGCAGCGTGATATGTAAATTATAATATTTTGAAAACAGTCGACCGTCATTATTTTTATTTAATTCATTTTTAAAATTTATTTAAAGTGTAATAAAATCAAACTGCGAAATATTTATAAAAGTGTGTATCGTTTTACACCCATTGATCTCATCAAAATAAAAAAATCTATTCTAAATTTTAAGTCAGCTAAAATTTAAATGATGAGGCACCTGTGACTACCAAATCACACGATTTAAACTCTGAACAATTATTAAAATTAAATTTTGTGAGATTTAAACTTAAAAATAATCCAGAATAATAGTGTAAATTCCAATAAGAGCATCCTGACGGACGCAACCCGCACGTTCTGAGAGTCGAGCAAGTTGCATATAGAATATACATGCAGGCGACGTCACCAGAAGCCTGCAATTAGTATCGGCGCTCTTGTTCTGCTGTGGAGTTTCACATTCAATGGCACATACAAAAATGATACGCGAATTCGTCACGTCCCCTTTGTCATCCTATCCGCCTGCCGTTGACGCGCGCGCTGTGTAAATAATTGATGCGAATATTTGGGCAATCGAATTGATGATCACTTGAAACTCGAGCATCATTATGCAGATCGACCGACCGTGAATTGGCACTTTAGAGCGCGCGAATGCTGCTGCTAGATTAATTTAATGGCAGGCCCGCACACGGCCCAAGTGTAATCTCTAAGGACCGTGCAATGCCAACGTCATGTCTGTCGTATTCACTCGCGACAGGGTATCTCTCTTTGGCGTCATGCTAATGGTGTTGCATATTAACATCGATTTTCCATCAGTTATTCTAAAGTAATTTATATTTAAATAAGTTTATAAGCTTTTTTGTAATATTAAGGAAACAGCTTCTTTTTAAGGTTATTTTTAAATTTATCAGAGAATTTCTTTACCTAGAAAAATTTGTGGATGTTTTTTGAGGTTTTTATATAATACGATAAAATTTCAAATAAAGTAAGAATTGTGAAACTCATTCATTGAGAAAAAATGTTTTTAATAAAAATTAATGCCAGTTTTAGAGGAAGAAAATTATCATGAGATGGGGAAAAATCATAGTTTCTTGAAATTATATATAAGTTATTTCTTTTGATTAAAAAAAATTATCATAATTGTTATGCCATTTATTTTTTGTTTAAAGCCACCATTAAATATTAAAGAATACATACTAAAAATAATTATAAAATAAAGGTGAACGATTTACTTGCAACAATGTAATTCTCAAATTTGTCTTGTAATGAAAAATTTAGAAAAAATAACATTAAAAAAATAATTAAAAATTTATATTCACTTATGATTACAATTATTATTTATCATACAATTTTTTAATAGCTTCCATAATGATCGACCAATTTTATTTTATCTCATTTTTTTAGCTGAATGGATCAACCAGACGTCATGCCTGTTCTATTATGGTAGGTTTCGCTTCGGAGAAAAATCCACCCACGGCCCAGTGCGCAAATAAAATGTCTTTGAAAAGCCAGCGTGGATGCAGCGCTTGAACGCGACGTTTGGAGGGTCAACCTGTCAGTGGCACACCATAAATACGCCTCCGAAGAGAAATCGATGGAAAAAAGCACAGACTATTTATAATACACGGAGTAGGAAATTGCTCAATTTTTATCAATAACATGGAGAATCAATAATAATTAAATAATGATTTAAAAACAAAATCTGCACGCGACACTGCCATACAAACTTTCAGCTTTTTGTTGAAGAAGCGGTGCGTTTTAATTTTATGAGCATGCATTTCAAACATAAGGGGATGCAGAGAGGGTGGCAAAAACAAGGCACTAGAGAGAGAGACTACACGTCACACCCGTTTTTGCCCGAGGGCAAAAATGAAAATATGCACCCGCCGCACGTCTGCAGCAGAAAGGAAATATCAACCGAGGCCCTGGAGGGACTCTTGATTCTCGCGCACGTACGAGTATTAAAACTTTGATTAACTTTGAATGAAGCAGAATAATTCCAGCTAAATTACAAATTAAAAATTGTATTTGAAATAGCGCGAACTATTCAAATTCAAAATTTAAGATTAATTAAAATTATACTGATTTTTTTTGTAATTATTGCCAGGATCTTTGGTGAAATTTTAAGAAATGTGCAAGACTTTTGAATCGTGGTGGGATTTTGATGAAACTCCCATGAATGTACATACTTTTTTTACCTTTTTTATGCTCGGCTGCACACCTGTAGCCTTTCTATCTGAAGGAACCGGGAGTGATGTTTAAAAATTCAACGTTACCTTCCTTCCTTCTCATGAAAGGGAGGCAATTTCAGCGACCATGGTCGTGTAAAAGACGCTTTTTGCATTTGAATGCACTCGATATGCCAGTCCGTGGTAAACCTCCCAGCTCCCATTTATACTAGAGCAAGCATTTTTTTTTTTTTGTAATTCGTTTATCACTCAAATCACGTCCCGCAAACCGCTTTCAATTTTATTCAAACCATTTCGCTCTGGTCATAAAAATAATTGTCTGCAACCAATGCGACCAGTCCATTTTTTCCAAGCAGGGTAAAAGAAAATTTAATGAAACAAGCATAGAAATATTCGATTTTAACTCTTTTAAGAAATATTATTTTTGTTGTTTATTTGCCAAAATTTCCATTATTATTTTTTTTTTAAATAAAAAAATAAATATAATCAATTTTTGGACTAAACGACTCAACCACTGGTCGGAATTTTGCTGAAACCTCGGAAGTAAAAAATCAGCAGCAAGAAAAAAAATGGATTTAAATGTTTATAAAAATTAAAATTGCTCTTATAATTTTTTTTAAATAATTTTCATTTGATAAATTTGAAATTTTTTGACAATTTTGACTCATTTAAAATATTATCTTATTTTTTATTGACGTATTTATTTGATTATATCAAGCAGTTTTTATATTTTGAATCCAAATAAATAGGAAACTAATTATATCTTATTACTTTTGTCTGTTTAGAGTAATCTCTATTTAATTTTTAGCAAAACCCTGATCACCAGCTCTGTTATGTGTTTGTAATTTACATAAAATAATTATTACAAAAATCATTAAATAACATTTACTTACTTCTATGAACTTTATTTAATCCTGGATAGATTTCGAATTATTTTGATGGAAAAATTCCGCTTTTATTTTCAATCATTATTTCCTACTTACTTTTTCGCATGGACGTGTACAATAATATTTAAGGCACCTTAATTGCCTTGCTGACGACTTAATAAAATTCACTTTTTGAAAATAATTTTTTTCGCTTAGTTAATTTTTAATAAATCAATTTAACTTTTCTTCTAATTAAAATACTAATAAGGCTCGGGCTCTCCTACAACTAAAATGGCGGAAACGAATGCGAGCAGCTTGCTCAACATCAAGAGGCAGCCTGGGTTTCATCTTTTGCATATTAAGCAAGTTGTGTGCATCACGTGCACATCACATACACACACGTCCTTAGCACAAGCTGCGGCGCCAACTCGAGCGTCACGTGCTGCATCATTACCAGGCAGTTTGTTCGAGCCAGGTCTACTCTTTATTATTTCTAAGAGCAGCAAACATCAAGCCCGGGACTGTAATCTGCATCTCCAGTTCACGGAGATCGGATTTGATTAATTATTTAAACCGACTTAATTGAGAGAAAACTTTGCTCGCTAGAAAAGTTATAATCTCGGCAAAGAAAGAACACGCCTAGGGCAAATTAGCTTATCAAATTTTCACGAGGGTGCATCAGTGTTCGTGTCTCTCTGTTTGCTCTCCGAGTCACGTTTTTGAAACAACACACCGCGCGTCTCCGGGGCGGTTTGAACAGGCGTACGTGAAAAGCGAGAGTCGGCTTTAATGTAAGTAAGTGCACCGGGATGGAATGAGATTGATGCGGGACCAAGGCAAAAAAGTATTGAAGTTGTAAAAAAGAGAAATTGTACTTACCTCTGCCGACATATTGCTTCTCATATGCTCCAGACGTTGAGGAATGGTTCTCGAAGTCTCGAGCTGAAAAATTGTGACAAAAAATTTGACAAATTTGACTTGAAAAGAAAAAATAATATATTTTATATTTTGTATTCGAAACGTTAAAATATAGGGCTGAAAGTTATTTTGAAATGAAAACAATATAATTATTCATAATTCAATTTTTCTTCATAAAAATTCTTTTATATTACAGAAAGACATTTTCCTAAAAAACAATGAAAATTTTTAATTTGAAAATAACGCCTCTTCGTATAATTTTTTAGGAATTTAAGAAGTAAAAAATTCCTTTTAAATCCTCTTACAAAAGTGTATAAATTAAAAATAAATAAATATATCATTGAGGCGTTTCTTTTCACATTTTTTCTCTAAAGAATTTTCCGATGGAATTTCCAATTTTCGTTGGCACAAAGAACTCTTTTTTTTGTCAATATCAGCAAGGCCTGTATTATTTTCCATTAAAAATTCTTAAGCTCGCCCCAAAAGTTTTGAGCATCTTTGACAGTTTTTGCACAACCGCGATGGCGGGTTGGCCGATCCGGCATAGCCGCTGTGTAGAATCACAAGACTTATAAAGTCGGCACCAGATTTTAATATCTCGCGAATTAGCACGTGGGGGCGAACTTTGCGCTCTGCAAACTTAATAACCAGCAGATTTCGGCTTGTAATCCAGCCAAGTTGTGCGCCGGCAGACGGTGCAAGATAAATTTTTAATCAACAAGCGCCAACCAACAACACAGGCGGTTTGGCCCCGAGAGCCTTTGTTTGCGAGTGGCAATCAGGAGCAATTAATCGATCGCCTTCCACTCTCCTCCTCCCTCGCATTCCGATCCGTCCTGCGGCGAAACCGCCGAGCAGTGGTGCGTGAAATCTAATAAAGCGGCTCAAATATTTCACAGATTGTCTCTGGCCGGGGAGTTGGAAGCTCCGAGGAGTGGAAAAAGATAAGTCCATAAAAAGAAGTTTGTGCCAAACTTCTGGCACAAAACTTATTAAGAACCGGCTGCCGGCGTTCGGAAAAGAGAGAGAGACCCTTCAAGTCCCGGCGCATTTCGGAGTTTATTTAGCTCGGAAATATGAATGTACGTACGTAGTGTGTTTTTGTCCGCCGCACGCACAACCCTATCTAAACGTATTCGCAACTTGTGCCGCGCCGGAGATTTACGCGGTGTGCGCGAAATATATTGTGTGCGAGAGAGAGAGAAGCTCTTTCTTTCTCGCTCTCTCTGGCACGCAAAACGCGTGATTTATGTAGAACGTAAGCCAGCTATGTATATTCAACTTTGCACTACGGCGACGAGGATAAATTCGCTCTCTCCATATTTATTAGCATATGCTCGGTTGCTTTTGGGCGAAATTATAAGCGGCATCATATGTTTTCCTGGCAGCGCAGTCGCTTGTTTCGCCGCCGTCGTCATTTAAAACCGAGAGAGCCATTTTTGGATATTGGATTTCATAACTCATCAAAGCAACAGAAATAAATTCTGTAAATTTAGGTATGTGTTTGTTCGTTCCATTCACGCATTCTCTCTAATTATGCCGTATTCAATTTCGCTCCTGAATTCTTGCAGTGTTAGTTTTAATTTATATGTATGAGCTAGAAATACATTTTAAAACAAACGAGTGATGTACAAAACACCTTGACAAAATAAATTCTTATTGCAGCAAAAGGGGTTTTTTTACCTTGGAAGTTAAAGCAAAATTCTTGCTATTATTCGTGATGCCGTTTTGTCCAACAGTTCAATTTTTTCAAATTAGTCATTTCCATTCCAACAATGCAATGTAACAAATGTGTTAGTAACGATTTGGACAAATAAACTTCAATAATATAAACATAGATTGGCATATCTTAGAGGAACTTTGCAGGGTTCTAAAGCTTTCTTAGTATATTAATCCATTTCCCATGAGAGTAAAGTGGTTTCCTCAAAAAAATCAAGAAGGGAGTTTGTTATAAACTACGTCAAATTTCTACCGAGAAGTATAAATTTTTGAGCGTATCAGACTTTTAAATCTAAAAGCTTTAGCTTGAATTTTCTATTTTTCCACTGGGAATTAACTTCATCCGCTCTTATTTATTTAAACTTGTGAATTCAATTCTACTTTTCCTGTAAGTAAATTATTTTTTTGCAATGTTCTTTAATTAACTGCGATGAAAAATTCATAATAAAACTTGCAAATGAAGAAAGGTTTCTCTTGTAATTATTAAAGAATTTCAGTTTTTTTTTTTTAAATATAACGGAAATATCGAAATCAAAACTTTAAAACCATAAAAAATGGCACCATTGAGTGACATTTAATGTTTGCATATATGTACAAATTTTAAATAATATATCGTTCCTGATAACGCTGTCACCAGCTGTCACCTAATTTTGCTGAATCAGCGGTGAATTCCGTAAAAAAAAATCAGACCACCATGGCAAATAGTGCTGATATAGAATTATTTGTAAATAATGCTGTTTTTAACTTTTGAATTTTTTAGAGCCCTTTGTATCCAAAAGCAAAAAACCATTTTTACTATAACCGAGCTGGAAAAAAACCAATGGATTGATTTTTGCGCGAGGCTCTCACGCTCGGCCGAGAGTGAGATTTCAGTGGCGGCAAAATTACTCTTTTTTAGAAAATGGGGCGTCGAGAGCCTTTTACTGCCAAAGGGCGTCTAAAACTCTGCGGCAGGAGCCAAAATGTCAATCAACGTCATTGCCGCCGTGCTTTATAGGATAAAAAATGGGATCGCGCCGAAAGTGGGTGATATCATTCTGAAAGCATTTTTTGACCTCCTACAGAGTAAAATATGATGAGTTCGCCCCCAATGTATCTGCCACAAACAAAAGGAAATGATAACGTACAGATATATCAAAAGTAAGTTACGAGGAGAATAGAGGTTCTCAAAAAAAAATAATTTTCAAAAGTCAACGTAGGAAAAAGCCTTTTACTTATAGTCTGATTTAAAAATTACAATTTTCCTTATGTTTTTGATCAACGGTCAAAGTTTGCGAAGTGTGACAACGATTTTAAGTTATTCATCAATCGTTTATTCATTCTCTTATAACAACATTTTATGGTGTGTTACCAGTTTTTATTTTTAATTTGATCTTGATTTTTAAGATATTTTGTTATTTAATTTAACTGAATGAAGAATAGATAAATAAGCAACAAATAAACGCTAATGAATCTGGCCAAATTTTAAATCCTATTGTTAAAATTTTTTTTTTCTACTCCAAGTGAATTTGACATTAATTTGTATTTAACAACTGTTGGTAGAATTTTTAAATACTATGGAAAAAATATTTTATTAATAAAAAATGGAGCTACAGGAAACATACATATCAAAAGGAACAACAGAATCTGAGACTAATGGATGCTGTCAACGCGGAAAGTCACCAAAAACTTTGCTCTATCTATCAGACAAAAACACAAAGTCAAAGTCACAAAGTATTGGCTTGTCCAGCGATGCGGTCTAATCCGAACCAACTTTTGGTCGCTGACAAAACAGCCAAACTTTACACTGGTCATGCCAGTGGGACTAAAAGGAGCAAAGTAAAGCCTCGAATGCGGAATTCCATGCCGAATTCCAGTAGGGCGAGGGTGTCGCTGGTGGCAAATAATGCCAAGACGGAAATGAAAACGGCAGCAGAGTGGAAAATTAAAAGCGGGCTCGAAAACATGTGTTGCCTTTGCGTATTAAATTCTGGCCGGGTATAAAACCGGGTGGCCGCCGATAAAGTGGCATTTCAATTGGCACATCACACGGATTCGAGTGCGACGAGCCGGAAAACTGGTCGTGTCAGGAAACTTTTGCAGCTGGCCTGGATGAATAAAACGCTTATCGCGAGCACGGCGCCGCTTTCATTGTTATCATAATTCAGCGCCCATCAAAAGCCACTCTGCATTTTACGCGCCATTAAGTGTGGAATATTAATTGGCCTCGCTGCATGAATTCGAGCTGATTTATCGCCGGTGATGCGGGCGCTGCACTGTAAATTTCTATACGTGTTGATGCCTGTTGCAAAAACCGATCCTGCTGTGTATTTGCACGACTTTGCTGCCAATTCGGAGCGAAATTTATTCGGCTAATAAAATCTAACAGTGGAAATTTGCAGTCGATTTTATGGAAGCAAACAGAGCGAGCCAAATCGCGCCCAATCCTCAAAATAAACAATTTATATCGAAATTATTTGAACAGTTAATGGGAAATATTGAAAAGCAAACCGCAGTGATAAAGTAAAAATTTAATTTATATTCTGTTGCAGCTTAAAATTTGCAGGAAAATATTTAAATTGGACCAGTTTAGATACAAATTTTGGAAAATTGCTTGATAGATCTTCGTATATAATCTCAAAATATTTTCATAAAATTAATTGTTTTTCAAAGATCTTAAGCAAGATATTTAAATCTTTAATCTTTAGAATAAAATCAAAAAAATTAAATTAACCAAGATTTGACTTGTATGTGTAAAAAATAATAACATCTGATAAATGCCCAGGATATTGATGCTCGTTTTTTTTTAATTCAAATTGTATTTTAATTTGAAATTTACCGATCCTTTTTAGTACAATTTATCTGTAGAATGCAATTATCATCTGTGATGGTGCAAAATTTGAAAGTTTAATAGAAAACAAACCATGTTGTTTGCTGATAATGATGTTTGCTCTGCAAATGTCAAAAGCACTCACTCGCGGTAGCGTGTATTTTCATGAGTTCCAAAACAAAATATACGGCTCAAAACTTTGCCGTTACATACAGAAAACGCTTTAAAAAAGCTTAATTTAAATGGGCGCGTGGGAATTTTAATTTGTGCCGCACAAAAAATGTGTTGAGGGCGATGTCGCACTTTTATTTATAAACATGTCGGCGAAGCTCTCCTGAAAAAAATAAACGTGCTGCAAAGTTAATTTGTCCCGGTGAAAAATGGCGTTCCTAAAAGCCTTTCAATTAATTCAAAACATCGACGCCTCGTTCCCTGTAAATGTGGATGTAAATTTGCACCTAAAATTTACGTGGCCAGAATTTAAATTGAATTTTTACAAACCCTCTGACTTTTTTTATTTTCCGTAAAAAAACTCAGTGGTAGAGTTTTATGGATAAATAGATTGTTATTATAAAAAAGAGGCCAATTTTAATTCGGCAAGAATTTTGTACCACAAAATACTCTTTTGGCAGTTTGCAGAAACACGTTTACAATTCGGTGAGCTCATTGTAAACGGTTGGAAAGTTATGTGCTTGAAAAGGCTGCCTTTCCACCTAATTACATGGCATGAAAGTCGAAAGGGCTTGAACAACAAAGGAAAGTTTTGCCAACTTGGAAATTTTAAAAATTACAATAAATTATGCAGCAGTATAAATTTAATTATAAGCCTCGTTATCCTCGACGGATGTAGTGCAGAATTTTCAGAAAAAATTCTGACTAATAAAAGAGGAAGTTGTGCGTTAGCAAGATACAAAGAAAATTTTAATTTTACAAAACTACAAAGTAAATACACAACTCTCATGGGAAATTTAAAAGTATTTTAATTAAATGTTTTTAGAACAGCGCCTTTAGTATTGTCAATTTGAAAATCTTTAAACGACTTTCACTAGTGTGATTAAAACATAATCTACGCGCTGACAAATTATTAATACACTTTATTAAACCATCAACTTGTATTTTATTTAAAAAAAAAAAATTAATAGATGGCATTGATGCGTTCTTATTTAATATTTTTTAAATATTAAAAAAAAAAATAAGTTTCAAAAGTTTGATTCAATATTGTAGTATTGATCAGTTAAAGGTTTATTAAAATTATAAATATTTAAAAAACCAATATTAAGTTAATTACTTTTAAATTACTTAAAAAAAAACTATAAAAATTTTAATAATTACAAAGAAATAAGTGCATCCAATTCAGAGCTCCAAGTTTTTTCTGCAGATTGAGAAGGACTTGTATTAGTGACACAGGAGATTAGATTGACATCGAACCAGTCAATAAACGTCAAATTAATCCGCATTTGCGTCGAACATCAAACGGAACTCATTCGGAATCAGAGCGCAAAGGAGCAACGTGATCCATCTCCGGAGTCTCTTTTGTCCGACACGACGCACCAATTCAAAAGGCAGCACTTTTTAAAAGCATTTGGCCCAATCAAGCGAGTGCCGAAGACGCATTTCTTCCGGTTTGGCTCGTCTCAACGGGGTGAGTGAACAAGAAAAAAAGTATAAGAAAAGAAGAGGGAAAAAAATCATGGGACGCGCGCTGCTATAAATGCTTTCGGGCAGACGAGATAAGACTGGAAGCAAAAAGACGAAGCAGTTTCAAGAATGCGACACAATCAGCGGCTGTCACTAACTCATCCTGCCGCTGCTCTTCTTCGGCGGGGGTGGTGGTTGCTTTTTTCGCGCCCTCGCAACGCATGCGTGGGCACCCTTGCAGCCTGACGGAGAAAGGCGCACTCGGTCGGGCTCCGTCAGTCGGTTCAGTCAGCGGTGTCGGCCGGACCATGGTAAATGGCCATGTACTACTACGCCACGAGGTGGTTCTCCGAGCGCAGTCTGGCACCCCCGCGGAGGCACCGCAGCCGCCAGGTGCGTCCTGAACGTCCCTCCCGAGCACCTCTTCCGGTCTTAGCGCCGGCCTTTAATATTATGCCAGCCGGCGCTGCCTAAGTTAAAGGGGATGAGCTCATTTGCATCGTTATTTTTCACAGCAGCAGCAGCCGCCTCCGCCGCAGACACCTAGTGCCGCCTCCACGCCGCCCCCATCGCCCCAACAGCGGCCACCAGTTGCCAAACCAAAATCCAAAGTAAGCAGAATTGATGAAAAAATTTAATTTGTCAGTTTCATTATTTCTAGGTTTTTTACTTGTTTGATGATTTGTAATCTAGAAAATATATTTTAATTAAAATAGTTGAGATTTATCTATAGGTATCATTAATTTTTTGTATTGCTTTATTGACTTATTGTACGAAAGTCCCCACCCTTTATTTATTATGGCGTCTGAAAGTCTTGAAAACCTTTCTTTAAACTACAATGTTTTGAAGTAGAATGAAAAAATAATTTAATGTTGCAAACTTTTTCGCAAACATTCTAAATTTAATTTTTTTTAAATCTGGTTAAGGTGTTTAAAGATAATTTTATGTAATTATTAGCAACATTTCAGTTGAAAAAATTTGGAAACTCACAAGTATTGCAATCTTTTGGAAGACGTGGAATAAATTTGATTAATTTATATTTTTATTTCTATTATTTTTGTAATTAATAAAAGGAAGGAACAATGAAAATATAATTTAAAATTAAATTTCACCACATTCAATGCACTAAACATTTTAAGTTTGTTTAATTCAATTCACTTAAAAAAATAAAAAATAATTTTTGAATTGGTATTGAAAAAATATTAAACCAGCCCCTTCATTCAGCCAGTTCGTAGCAGGAATAATCATTGTTTCTTTGCTCAATTCACTTTTTAATACCGGTTTATGTGTAAAGGATCAAAATTAAGTAATAAAGAATTTAAATGTTTGCTTTTCAAAAATAAAAAATTGCTTTGCGTTAAATAGAGTCGGTTTCTTGTTACCATAATTTAAGCCAATTTTTTTATCTACGAGCAAAAATATATAATTCCGGTGATCTAAGCCCACACATATGCAAATTAATTCAAATTTGTCAGGAGCTTTCAAATATCCTCCCACACTTTTCGGGCTCGTCAAAATTGCAAATGGAAATGCTGTAGGGGCAGGAAAATGTAGTATTTACTTAAATTTCATCTTTAAGGGCTCCGAATGTGCAACCTTCCATCTACGGAACTAATCCTCTGACTCATTCTGCAATTTTTTTCGTCTTGTTTCAGCCAAAAAAGAGCGAAACTGCCTCCTCCTCGAGTAACCAACCTTCTTCCAAATCGCCGTCGCCACAGCCGCCGTCTGCCGAGACCCAAAATGTGAGTCCACTCGAGGCTATTATGTTGAATTATTTATCATGGGAAAATGCGTGCGTTTCCTAGCGCGTTGCCTTTTAAAAGCCCTCCGGTCCGGCCGGTTTTCTGGCAAAACACACGAACGCCGATGTGACAGTTTTATGCTGTTTCATTACTTCCAGCCAATCTAAAATTCCGATTCGCACTCCCCTGCCACTTGGGCGCCAAAAAACGCAACGACGCCAAGGGGAAATTCGGTTTTTGGCAATCAGGAATTTATCGAACCAAATATAGAAACTTTTTTGTGGAAACGCTGAAATTGAGGACTGGGGAACATGTTTTGTGATACATCTTTGTACATGGGAATTTAAAAAAAAAATGCAACCATTAATCTAACGGGCTGCCATGGAATGAATAATTAAAGTAAGAACTCTTAAGTCTGATGGGTTTAAAGGGTCTTAAGTTCTTGAATGGGTATATTGTTCACACTTTATCACTGAAGCATGTCGTTTTTAAGCTTTAAATTATTGCGGCTTATACAATTTACTTCAGATATAATGCAAACTTTCTACTTCGCTTATTCCACAATGAACTATGAAATTCGTAATGTAAAATTTCCGTGAAATGCGAGCCAAAATAATTTGAAAATTTAGAATTATATTTTAAGAATACTTTTCTCTTTAAAATGCTGCATTTAATATATCATTGGTTTAAAATACACTAAATAAAGCAGTTTCATGTAAACTTCAAATAAGATCTAAATAAATATCCTCATGATGAAATTTTTTTGATACATTTGTCTCCAAATATCTAGCTACAATTTTTTTAGATCAATTTATTTCGGTTTAAACTTTTCAATGATGGCAGTGATTTGTCAGGTACTATTGGCTGAGTCGTTGTTTAAGTTTTATCCCCCTGGGTTCCAATTCTGTAATTAACAAGAGTAAAATCCTTTGAGCCCAGGAAAAACATTGATAAAAGAACCCTTTCAAAATACGTATTTATTCATCCGATTTTTAAATGTCGTATTTATTCTTCTTGCGACACAATTTAACGCTTGGTTAAATAATTTTTAAGCCTACATTATTTGAAATGTTAGCTTAAATTTTCACTCAATGAAGAGTATAACGAACTGCATTAAAATGAATTACTAAAGTTTCATTTGACTTCCAAGCCCAAAGCACCCTCAACTCCTTTTGTTCTCCTTTGAAGAGCCGTGGCGGACCAAATTGCCCATTGCTCTGATAACTGCACCTCATTTCATTAGCCGAGGAAAAAATCGCGAATCTTCAAAAGACTGCGCAAATTGACTAAAAATTGAATCTAAATTCACGGGAAAGTCTCTCTTTGACTCGAATAATTCAATTTGGTCGGTCGGACCAGCACGCTCTCTCTGCTTTTGCCGGGCTGGAAATTAATTTGGTAATGAAATTTGAGCCTTTGAGTGGGTGAGCAAGCGAAAGAGCGGCACTGACAAAACATGCAAAAACCAACACACACGCTGCCGGCGCCCCGCAAGTAAGTACTCTCAAAATCCTCTGCCGGCCGAAAGAGCAGATTACACCGCCGTGTTTCCATTCACACGAGTGTCAAACAAGTGCCCCCGCAAAACTTTCCGCCAAACACACACACACATTCGTCCAGCTGCTCTTTCTCGCCTGGGGCGAATCGACACTGCTAATTAGAGAGCCTGCAGGTGGAAGGGCAAAGGAATGCAACCCGCAGCGCTCAAGTGTCGAGCCGGCTGCCTATCCCGGCCGCAGGCAGGCGCTTCGGAAATTAATTAAAACGGCGCGCGTTTTTCATTAGGTAAATCATTAGCGCGCCTCTTTGGAAGAGAAAAAATATATAAATCTTGGTGGATGGAAGGATAATTAAGTTGGTTTTTGCGCGGCCGCCAACAGGAGGAGGGAAATTAATCTCGGGAGAGAGAAAAGGCGAAAGGGCATCTCTCTCTAGTAATGGATGGACTTTCCACTTTAATTAATGGCGAAGAAGCGGCGACATTGAATTCAGCCGCGCCACTTTCTTTCTGACGAATTTTGAAGTGTGTTTTTGTTTCAGCCGCCGATTTACGAGCAGGCGAACGGCCCTCTTGACCCGCTTCTGGCCAAAATGGTGCCCAAGGACGACTACTTTCCCGACAGAGCCTTTCTGTTCGCCTTCCTCCTCTCGGCGCGCCTTTTCGTCCAGCCGCACGAGCTGCTCAGACGGATCTCCCGACTTTGCGAGCCAAAAGTAAGTAAGGTGTTATTTATTTTCTCGGTATTTTGAAGCCAGCCAGGTGGGCCCGTTCAATTAGCGCAACACGGAAGCCGTAAATTTTGCCGAAACTCTCCCTCTCGAGCCCATTCGAAGGAGCTCCCGGCGACATTTATGAGCCATCGTTTACCCTCCGAGGCTTTGCACCGTTATTGAGTCGAGAACAATGAGTCTGCCTATCAGACGCGAGTCAAGGGCCAGGCGAAGAAAAGAGCTCCCAGATGATATGCAGATAAATCCCAGTTATTGATATTTCTGCTCAAGCTTTTTATATCTACAGGAGAGATTTGAAATGACAAGAAGTTTTCTTTTCAAATATTTATAGAGGACATTTTCTTTCAATGAAATATAATATAAATAAATTAAAAAAAAAATTCAATGCAAACAAAAAGTTTTAAACAAAATTCTGCAAAATTGAAAAATTTAAAAACTGGAAATGGAAATTTTAAATATAATAATAATGCATATTTAAATGTTAAATGCAGTGTTTATTGGCCATTCATTACAGAATTTTCCAAAACTAATGCATTAAAATTTTGAAAATTTATTTCTGAGGAATACTTGATTTTGTTTTGATAAGCACAATAGGAAGTTTAAAGAATTGTTCCAATAAAATATAGATTGAAAATAGTTATAATTCCAAGCTATCCACTAGTGCTATTGGAATTTTCTATACAAATTTCCAAAACATTTTGTTTTTATTTAATTTTTCTTATTAATGAACAGGAAATTTTTTTAATTCAGTCTTTTTAACAGTTCAAAAAGACATTTAATCAAAAATTGAAGTTTTAAAAACTGCATAAATGAAACTTCTAAAAAAATATTGTTTTTTTTTAACTTTCATCAGTAGGAAGCAATGGGGTCTTTGCGCAGGAAGACTCGCTTCCTCGAATTTGAAATCAGCTTTCCTGTCAGCGACTATTAAACTCAGTGGTATGGTAGAAAAAAAATTACAAATCATCCCCTCCGTTGGAAAGACGCCAGTCCGCACAACGGCCGCCGGCATTCACTCGAGCAGGTGGCAATTTTTCTCTGGCGTGAATAATGGGCCGTGCTATACAAGAATAGGCTCATTCAGAGACACACATTGGCGCTTCTACGCGGGGTATAAAAAGGAAGTAGAAATAGAACGTCCCATTCGATACAAACACGTCTTGTTTGCAAGTTGCTCTCAATAAACAAAAATATTCAGAATCAAATATTATTCTTTTTAAATTAAATCTCCTTTTAAGTTAATTAAATTGACATCGCAATCAATCACCGACATTTCCTTGTCTCTTTTCGGCCAAATTGGCTGCAATTATTTCGTATGTACAGACGAAAAGGCTTAACATAATTATACAAGCGCAGTGCCGGCTTTCGCAACGGCTGCGTTCAAACAGACATCAAAGCCACTTTGTACGCCTCTGTGTTTAGTTTAACGAGGATGAAACCTCTCACGCTGTGCAAATACACGTTGGCGTTTTCTACGCAATCATCGATATATATATTATTTCGCGGAGAGCACTCTTCCGCTCTCATGCATGTTTCATTAATAGCAGATTGGAGCTGCAGACTTTCGCCGAGAGCTTCACGCAGCGTTAGTTTTGTTGTAGAATCCAACAAATCTAGGTCACTCACTAAAACTACAATTCACTCAAAAGCATAAACAATTTCAATCTTCATTTAAAGTGATATTAAATTTGTTTCTGAAATCAAATTTAAATATTTTTAACAAATATTTAAAATTTGTTTCAAATTTATTACCTTTTTTAAATAATAATATTCAACCATTTTAAAGACAATTAAATTTACTAACAATTATTATTAGCTGTTTTTATAATTATTTTTTAAATTAATCATTGTAAGAACTAGATTTTTTTACATTTTTACTAATTCCATACCTTAGATTATTATACATTAATTATTCTTCTCGGCCATTAGTCTGTTAATGAAAAGTTAAGATTAAAATTTGTTTTGTCAAATAAAGTCCAGAATAATAATAATTAAGCTATGGTTAGTGCTGAAGTATCTATAGCGACAGAACTAATTCATATGCTAATGTAAGGTCTAGAAACACAGCGGAAAGAATTAAATTAATACTGAATTTTCAGGGAAGTAAATTCAATTATTCAAAATATTCTCCCAAACCATTTCCACGAACGAGCATTTAGCAAAATTAATGTACTTGTTAACAGCTTTGCATCTGACGAGAGAGTCAGTAATTGAAAGAGCGTGACCTCAACCCGTAGCTTCCAAAATTAGCGACTGAAAGCTCAATCTCAAAGTTTGCTAAAGTTAAGCGCAGATGTCGAGACCTCTCCAGCACAATTGTAGTTGGAGTTGTTCTTGCGCCCAAATGAGCCTTTTGATTCTGAGAACATCCGCAAAGTCAACTCTCTGGCAAACCGACATGAAAAGAGGGGCGAAGTTCCCGACCCGAGACACTCGCATAATGTGCGACGAGGAAATTGGGGGCCCAGGTGTGTGTTGGTGATCTTTGAATTTTTGTGGGCAAACGACGTGTTTGCTGCGGGAGTTCAAAGTAAATTTAGTTTCGGTGCACGCACAAACGCTGGAGAGACAGAGAGGGCTGTGTTTGCCTAACAGAGACAACATCGGTTTGACGTGACGTAAGCACGGAGCACGGGTCGGTTACCGCTGAGATTATTTTTGCTAATGAACGTGTCGGTTGCTTGCCTGCCGACGGACGGGAATATCATAATTACATGTGTAATGAAGTTGGAAGTGGAAATTAATCGCAGATTTCACAGACCCGAGATTAATCCTCCTAAATGACTGAGATTTAGTCTCTTGTTTCAAATATGATTATAAATTTTAATCAACAAAAATGGAGTCTTGGAAATAGAGATATTTTCCAGTGAACATGCTATATTTTACAAGCTAATATTGTTACTGATATAAATTGGTAGCTGAGGTGGAAATATTAACGTAAATATTTAGTGTACAAAATATGATATCATAACAGCTTCAAAAATTTGTTATGAGGTTAAAACTGGGGTTTTCCTTAGGCAAAAGATTCTCTTTCCCTATAGTTTGTTGTTTTTAACAAAAAGGGAGAGTAAATATGGTTTCATTTTCTCTTACACAAAACAAATTTTCGCAGAACCCTTGGAGGAAAAGACGTTATAATTTCAACATGTACCTATTGTTTTCAAATTTCCTCCAAAATGTAAAAATATTATTCTTGATCAAATTGTGTTGGTGTTTTTCCAGATTAAATTTTTCCCTGAAAATTTATTTTTCACTTAGAATATATTTTAAATTTTTTTATAATAAATTTTAATAAAAAAACATGTTTATTTTGCAGATTATTATTATTTTTGGGCATCAAATTTAAATTTAATTAACGGCATCTGTTTTTGTTTTAACTTTCAACTACTTTCTCAAGAGTAAAAGCATAATATTGATCAGGTCGAATTTAGCCGAGTTAATCAAGAAACTCGCGCGACCACAAACCGGTGGTTTTTCTTGTACACCCCAGTTGAGCTGAACAATCCGCAACCTTCCTTGTAACATTATTTTCCAGCTCGAAAGCTACAAACGTCAGCAAATGAACGGTTCAGGAAAGATTCAGCGTTGCAGAAAACATTGATATTTATATGCGCATTACACTCTCCAAAGTTATTGATCTGTCTTTCGCGTTCTTCTTCTCCGAGGGAGAGAGAGAGACAGAGTGCCAGGTGATATTTCGCCGCAAGCCTCGCGAAGGCCCGAAAATAAAACACGCTCTGCTCCTTTTTCCCATTCTATAGACGTGGCAGGAAAAATGGTCCACCTGCAAGCGAGCTCGTGTGATTCCGACGCCGCCTCGAGGGCCGTTTGTTATTTTTTTTCCTTTCCATATACACACGGCGAGCGCCCATAAAACTTTATTATATAGCAAAAAGCCCGCCCGCAAACATTTATAAATAGGATTCGCCGTGATAAAATATGAATTTGTGTGCGAACAGAAAGGCTCCTCGGCGGGCCACTGGGTGCGACTGCTGGCCGAGTGGACCGCGGCCTTTCCGTACGACTTCCGAGACGAACGGGTCATGGCCCAGGTGCGTCAGCTGACGCAACGCTGCGTCACTCAGGAGCCGCACCGCCGCGTCCAGGTGTCCCTCCTGCTGCAGACCCTCCTCGAGAGACTCACCAGCGCCGAACAGTACGAGCAGTTTGTCCAGAAATCGGCCGCCTCAAAGGTCGACTCGCTGCAAGACTTGCAACTGGTGAGTTTTTACTTAAAATTTATTTTTTACATCGTTTCAATTTTGTGTGGTTCAAGTTTTAAATCGGTAAAAGGCTCTGGATCATGTGTTTTGCTGAATTTTAGTAAAAATTAAATTAAGAAACTGGAATTAAATTGAAAAATGTTCCGAGAGTGTAAGAGATTTGAATAAATTAGTTGCAATTAAATTTCTTTATCACACTTTTTGATACATTTGTGTCGTTAATTTTAATATAAATTTTATTCTGAGAAAAATATAATTTAATAATGGGTAAATTAAATTTTTGAAATTCAATTAAAATAACCAATGGTGCAGGATTATTAGTATTTTAGTTGCAATTATGTTTTTTATAGAACAACATCCACCATGAGGCAATTCTTTTTCTGATTTATTTTTGTTTCAATTAGAATATCAAGTTTGTGCAACAAAATTTGAAAAGAGAAAGTTAATATGTAGAGAAACGACTTCATCTCTGGCAAACAATTTCTTAAGAACTTCAATTTTATGATTGAAAAGTAAAGCGTAGAAATAAGTCAAAGAATTTTTTAAGCAGCTGATTGCGAGTTAATGAAATCTTAAATCAAATATGAAATTAAAAAAATCATTATTATTCTTGTTAATTTGTCTAAATTATTTCACAAATTTCATATTAAAAGAAAAAGAAATTGATGGGACGTAAAAACTGAATTGTTAAGACAAAAAAAACTGAAAAGTTAAGATTTCACTCAAACTTGTGAGGATATAAAGCCCCCTCTTCTTAAATTCAATCTGAAAGCTTTATTATTAAACACAGAGTTTCAAAGTAGAAAGATTAGATTATATCCAGGCCGTTTAATGAGCTTTGTTAATACTTTAATGACAAAAGTTGACAGTTGAAATTTCCGGAAACTTCATTGTTTTGCATTGTCCATCAAAAACAATTGACCTCTTCTGCTGGAAGTGCCGTTGGAAGAAAAACGGCGCACGCTTTTTGTGTGGTTTACACCCTCGCACTCCTTCCCCCTTTTTCTCTATTTCGGCGCAGCTGCTTTTTGCCTGCTCTTTGACAACTTGCTTTTCGCAAAGTTTATGTACACCGAGCAAGAGAGAGGCCAGGCGAGAGGAAAAGAGCGCCAAGCCACTTTTTGCCCGGGAAACAACGACAGGCACGTCGGTCGCTCTCTGTTTGCTAATTGAATAAAAAAAAAAGAGGAGCGGACGAGTGGCGGCAGAGTCTGTTTCTGTTTACTTATGTTAATGGAAATTTCAGCCGCTCTTATATAAAACGAACGTGTGCCGCTGAAGCTTCCATTAAAATTTGTCACCATGAACCAGATGTGTCTGTGAAAGAGGAAATGAAGAAGGCAGAGAGCAAATTATAAAAAGCGACGTGCAATTTTCTTCTGGCTAATTCTCCTGGAAAAGACTTGTTCTTTAAATAATGTAATATAGAATTTTCCAGGAAATTTAGATATTGTTATCATTTTTATATAAATTTGACTGCGCTGGTTTAATTAAATTATCATTTCATATAAAATGTTCCTAACGCATTTTGATTTCACTGATTTTTGTTTCTTCAAATCTTTGTTTATAAAAATTAAAATCATAGTTTTTATCTCATAATATTGCTATTTTTAAATCAGCTTGATATTACATTTTTTGTTCAAGGCATTAAAAATATTTAAGAAGATAGTTTGAAGTTTGAATAATGGACGACATGATATAATAAAAAAATTAATTAAATTTATTTATTTGTCAGAATCATTGCATCAAAAGTTTTCATGTTTTCTTATGCCTTTTTATTTATATTTTATTTGAAACAAAACCAATGATGTAAATTTATGTAAAAATGTAAAAGAGGGAAGTAAATTGCTTCATTTTGTTATTGATAAAATAATGGCTGGAAGGGTTTCGACGTTCAACTCAAAAGAATTGTAAACAACACCGAAGCATCTCTGTTGTGCTGGTTGACTACTTTGGAACGCTGCAGGCGCTATGTCTGGGATTCTCATTTAGGCCAAAGCGAATCGCATAAATACATACGTAATTTCTCATTCTGCAGTATCTAAGCAGAATTTGAGCTGGAAATAAAATCCGTCTTAAACTGGATTTTCTAAATTACCCCTAATGATGCTTAAAGATATATCAATAAAGACACTTTAAGAGCCATTATGCTTTTTGGATCAAATAAAAAATATATCAATTTTATGAAAAACCGACCAAAAAATTATTGTTTGCTTGTTTAGAGAAATTAAGAAAAGAAGCAAAAATATAAAATTCACAATTAGGGCGTGATTTTTGGCGAAAAAAAAAAGAAATAACACATTTTTATTCAAATAAAGTACTTTCTGAAGGACAAAGCTCTTTGAAGAACAACAATTAACATAATTGATGGTGCAATCCATCGAGTAACAAAGCTGTCTTGTGTCTTGCTAAAAAAAAACAGCCCCCTTCCAGTTTAAAAATTTATTTGTTTTGCCACTATCTGCTGCACTGCAAGATAAATAAATACAAATTGAAATTTATTTTCATACGCTCGCAAGGTTTATTCCTTTTATGATGAATTTCCTCATCACACACGCTGCTATGCAATATAACCTCCAACTCAAGGTTTATTTTGCAACGCAAAGGGTCTATTAATGTCTCTCTTTTATTATTACAGAAAAAAAAACTAAAGCAAAAGGCCATTATTTGCAGCTCGCTGACGACACACTTTTCCACCGAGGAAAACATGAAAAACAATCCCGAGTCATATAATTGCAATATTGTGATTTATCTCCGGCGCAGCGCGATGATATGATTAAATTTGCCACGGATTGGATTCATTTCGGATACGTCATTTCCAATCAGCAGCTGTGTTTGTTTGTTTGTTAGGCATACGGTAGCGATTTCATCACTCTCGGCCAGATAAAACCAACCCGACCGTCAGATTGGCAATTTGCTTTGTCGGTGAGTTGGAAAAATTATTGTTGTTGCTCCCGGTACTGCTGTGTAGGGACACTCGAGGGAGCCGTTTCCTTTCGACACAAAATGGAGAGTAAAGAGAGAAACGCCCCATGCTTGGATAAAGCAAATAAATTAATCCGTCGTGGCGAAACAAACTGCAAGACAAAGGAGAGGCCGAGACCTTTGCTCACTCCTCCAGATAAAACGAGATGGGAAATAAAACCGGGTGAGCAAACCGTTACTATTTTTACAGGCTCCAAGTTAAGGGCTGGTTTCGCTGTTTAGAGAGCAAATAGGGGTTGTATGTCTTCCATTTGCGTTGCTGAAAACTTGGAAAGCACTTGGAAAAGAGTGGAAAGAGAAAAACGTTGGGTTAAGTAACTGCTTTTAGAGGGGAAATAATTTTCCATCTCTGTAAATGAAAAAAATGCGTATTGCAAAAGAATTTCATTTGTGAAAAATATTTACAAAACGATTTTTTTAAGAATTTAAAATTTTAACAATAATTTTTCTGCAAAAGAACGTAAAAGTCTAACTATAATAGTTTTTTTTAATCAACCGAGAAGAATGGATAATAAAATAAATTCGATTCAATGAAATATTTCCTCAGCTGCAATCATGTTGACAAAAATTAAAATTCCCATAGTTTAGGATTAAAGGAGACACAAATTTTTGATGAGGAAATCCACTTTAATTTGATTTTGACGCGGTTTCCTTTGATGGCAAACAACGTTACTAATTAATTAAGCGCTCAATTACTGCTACTAATATTAGCATAATCACTTTTGCCATCAGCTTGGTAATATCACGATTCAAATGTCAAAAGTCATCATTAAGTCCAGTCCCCAAAGCGGTCTATTCCAGATCTCTATATAAACTCCAAAAGGAAGGTTGAAATCATTAGCGAGAACTTGCCTTTGAAATACCTCCGAACTCTTGAATTTTGCCGACATTCGGTTTCGATTTCCTCATCAGTGGATATTAAATTATGCAGCCGAAAGAACTTCTCGAAATCAGAGTTTATAATTCATTAAACACACGCACACTTTTCCCAGAAAGCTTTTATTCGACACTCGTCGCGGCACAATTTTGCACGCGCCACAAATTCTTTTGAGCTAAAAATAGGATTGAAAAAATCCCTTTCCTGGTTTATTTTTTATTGCAAACTCCGTAGAGTGATCTTGAGTTGCGGCGGCAGCAATCAAAGCCCGAGACAAGAAAATCCTATATCGCTGCACGATTCCAGTTATTCGCACTCGAGCAGCTGTCAGGAAAATCTCGGCTTTCGAAAAGATCGAGCCTTCTCCTCCAGATTTTCCCCCCGTCGTCGGTGGGCGGATGGATAAGCAGCGGCACGCGCGAAAAGCAAAGCAAGCGTTAGTGCAGGCGAGCACCTGAAAATGCAAAATCGATAGCATGCAGCCGAGAACAGGCAGGGCTCCGAGTGTTATCCGATTCGCAAACCGGTGCATCGGCGGGTTTGCGCAAACTTTGCCTGCAGATGGATATAATATTTGTTTGCCTTCCAATATTATTTGTTTACTCTTCTTCTTTCTTTCGTCCGATGTCGCTTTATTGCTTCGTCGAGTTGTTGTTATTTCGTCTCTACTTTTTATTATGCCACGACTCTAAATTTTCCTTCCTCTGCTCTCGCGAGTTTTATAGCCCGGTGATAATCCTTCCGTTCCGTCCTTTTCATTTTACGACGGCGACTCTGTATAACGAACCCCGACGTTCTGATTGATATGGGGGTCGGAGTGAGTGTTTTGCTGTGTTCTGCAGTTAGCGTAGAAAATTGCAAACTTTTATCAATTTGCAAGCAGATTGATTCAATTTGTTGTTGCTGTCAGCAAGATATTTCATATTTTTAACTGAGATACTTTTTCAATTACATGAACATAATATTTCTTCGTCTTACAACTTCCAGAACATTCTATATCCGACAGATACTGATGGATCTGTAATCTGTGAGAGAAAATTCCAACGGTGCTTAGAAAAAGGATATGTTGAACACAAATTTATGGAGTTAATTAGAATATCTTAAATGTTTTCCAAGAGTAAATGATCCGCAAAAACGTATGTCGATTGTAATGAAAACTATTAAGCTAATTATATTAAAATTGAATTAAAAATTATTATTATTTATTGTTTTGTAAAATTTGGTTATTCAAAAGGGAATAATTGAACCAAATTAAAAACCTTAATTGGCTGGTTGATGTGAAAACTCAATGCTCAATCCAAAATAAATCAACCTAATTAGAAATATCAAATTAAAAAAAATTATTGCCTTTTTTCTGACTAAATATTTTTGATGAATAAATTGAGCAAATCAAACTTTTTACTTTAATCGTTCTCATTGGTTTAGAAATTAAAAGAAAAAACAATAATTAATTTGCAGATTCGGGAAAGAATAATCAAGATATGGAAATTTTGATAAACACTGATGAAATTCGTTTCAAAATTGATTTTTCACATACAGTAATGTGTTTTAGTCCCCTTGAGTCATAATAATGTAACAATTTTTCAAAAATTTGGTGTTTCTTTATCTCACTATAAACACAACTCACCATTACTACAATTTATTTATAGAGTGGTGTTCACTAAAAACTGGTCAAACATAAAACAACAGAAAATACATTGAAATATATTCTCTATTTCTGTAAAAAGCTTTCAACAAGAGAATTTTTTACAATTTTTTCCCCATACGGATGCATTTGGGCGTGGGTTCACAAAACCCCATTTGGTAGTTGTGCTGACAAAAGTTGGAATGAGCGTGCTAAATATTAATGCGCTGCTTATTTTTTTTATTATTTCAAACAACAAACTCGACAAGCGTTTGCATATTTTTTATTCACCACACGAAAGTATTTCCACGGTGCTTTTTATTTTCCCGCTGTGGACGGACAAGGTTTTTCCGCAGTTCCATTTTGCCGCCCGTCTGCCCTTTTTCTCTTTAGCAATTCAAATCGCCACCTCGGCGAGAAATTAGATTTGTTTTTTGTAATTAACAGACCTCATTAAGAGTGTTTTGTTTTGTAATTAGACGGCGGAAGACTGTGCTTGCTGGATGACAGTTTGATTTCGCCTTAATTGGGTTATCAACGCGCTAACGAGAAACAAAGAGAGGCAATGTGGCAAGCGAAGGGCATCTCGGAGATTGCTTTTTTTTCTACCAGTCTCTGATTTTGTCTCTCTAGATAAACACGCGCGCTTGTTTGCTTTGTACAAAAATTGCAGACAGTGTATTATTTTCTTTCTTCTAGCTGGGGTGGTAAAAAATGAAGGAGAAGGAAAAGGAATTTGCTCATTAGATTCGTTTTCTGGGCTACTAATTGTTTGCTAACGGGAAAGCAAGTTTGTCATTGAAGTTCTTTTCAGCACTTTTAATTGGCAGAACCAACAAGATACGTCAAAGTATTGAGTGACGAATAACTAAAAACGTTGCGCACAGTATTTTCTTTAAGTTTCAGAAAATAATGTGAGAGATTTTATTGGAATTTCAAATAGTATAAAATATAAATTCAACACTTGTTTGCTTTACCTTTTTTCAAGTTAAATTCTTGAAATTTAAATTAATATTATTCAAATTAAAGCTTTAAAAGAACTTAAAAAATTTGCCAGCAATTTTGTATCTTGTACAGAAAATTTGAGAATAACGATTTGGTCATTATTGAAAAATTAATTTCATCACAGTAATATATAAAAAAAACTGTGAAATTCAAACCAATGTCTAGTTTTGATGAATTAAGCCAATAAAATAAATCTATAAATAATGGCCCAATTCAGCAAAAATACTTAATGACTTAATCCCCGCAGTTTAAATACAGCTTAGGAAATCGCCGATAAAAAAATAGGAAAAATATCTGCCATTAAAAGGCCCAAAAAACGTCACAGGTCCTACAACAGATAAGAAATGCGGCAACTTTAAGACTTTTATTTGATCTTTAACATTTAACTCCAAGAGCAACGTTGGCGAAAACTTTCCGATAACTTGCAAACTCACTCCAGATGTTGGCGCACCTTTCAAGTCGAAATTGATTCCGTCTCGGAGATTTTGCATAACTTGCGCAAACACTAGAAATCGTTTCTCGTCTCGTCAATATAAAGAAAGAATTTTCCCTCCGGGAGCGTCAACAAAAAAAGGCAAATTTAATAAATACACAATTCTGCAAAAAGGCGGCGCAGCGACAATTTCCTTGAAGGGGGTGGCCTAAAAGCCCTGCCTGTGCCATATAATGGAGCTGAAAGCAGTGCAAATTGTTTTTCATGCCTTGCCGCCGCCGGAATTATTACACCCGCCGAGCGGTGTGGCCCATTTTTGCCCTACCTGCTGCTGCAAAGTGTGTTGGGGTGGAATGGCAGGGTGGGTGGGTGGGTGGCGGAGAGAGAGGCATGCAGCTACTTTCGCTCTGCTTTTGTTGGCCACCGCCGCCGTCGCTCTGCACAAAGCCTTTGAAAATTCATTATTCTTCTTTAACGCGCTCGGTGTGCGCGCACGATTTTCCCGTTCAAATTTAATTTTCGCACCTTTTGCATTCCATATGTGTGCAGCACCGCGTAATTCAATTAATTGGAATTCTTTTGCCCGCAAAAGCACAACGAGAAAAGCTTTCCTGTTAGATTTATTGTGGCACCTTTTCACTTTATTGCCGGTGAATAAAAAAAACCGCGAGAAACCCTTTGAGCAGGCCGCAGAATTAAGCATGAAATAGGCCTCGTTTTGAATTTTGCAGCTGCGGAAAGAAAAAAAAACTTGTAAATCATCAAAAGTTGATATTTTAAACAGGAAATAGAAAAAAATTTAATCAATTTTGATACAAATTATTGCAAATTATCAATAAAAAATTATTCACAAGGATAAAAAAAATAACGAAAATCAGTCTGAAATAAAAATAATCCATCTTATTTGTTCTTTATCCCTTTTTTATATTTTTTCATATATTTACTTATTATTGAGCTTTACTTTCCTAAAATAATCAGATAATTTTCAAATTTAGTTGCAATATCATTAATATGGAGATTTATAAAAAAGGCAAAAGAAGTGTCTTCAAAATTGAAGTAAATTCAAATTAGAGTTGCATTGAACTTCTTAGCTTGATTTTAATTTTTAGCTCACATAACGGACCTCCGCTCTTCAATTTTTGTTGACAACAACCAACCACAAACATGAAACTAGTCACCTTTTAATAAATATCTCTTAGAAATTCTAAATTGAATAAGAGCAAGTCCAAATTAATTTTCAAATTGAATCGTTTGTTCGCTCGTATGTGAGATATGGAAGCAGTTTTTTATACTTTTTCAATTCATTTATTGTGAAATTATATCATTGGAGTTGCCGGGAGTTACCTAGGTTAAATTCAATTCAACATTATTTTTTCCCGTCAAAAAGTCAAGTTAATACGAGTTTCATAAATAAGGTTTTTATTGTTTCGATCCGTCTTGACATTTCAAAACCTGTGCTAAAATTATTGAAAGCAGCATATTTTTCCGCGAGTAAATTTATATTTATACTCACCGGCAGCTTTTGAAAAAACTTGTGCGCCCAGACATGCAGAAAGTTAATTATATCATTCGTTTAATTAAATCATAAGCGCCGTCAAAAGGTTTCCGCGCCGCCAACTTCGCCTTGGGCTTCTTGTTTTTTTAATATTACTCACCGGCGAATTGGTACGCAAACTTATTTTAGAGCCAATCTAAACGCGAGCAAATTTAACGCGCGATTTCATTCGCGCAGGTATGCCATATTACGCTAGCAAGGCTAAATCTCGAATTAAAAAAGTTTGGATCGCTGTGCTTTGCGCCCGGGAAGCCTCTCGGGGCTCTTTTAAAACTTTTCTGCAGCCGTGTGTATTCCGTGATCATTTTCCTAGCGCCTCGCGGATGATCAATTTGTTAATACAGAGCTCTGAAAATTGGTTTCTGAATTGCTGAAAGCTATGCTTAATTTTTTTTCATTTATCAAATCTTTCCTATGTTTAAAATCATAAGAAAAATAAAATTCATAAGAAAAAAATGGGGTCGATTTAAAATACAATTTTTACTCAAAAATCAGAGACATATTTCACATTTTTTTTTATGTATCATTGGACTTTCTGAGGTTTTCTTCCAGGAAAAACTTCAATTTTTCAAATTTTCCTTGGCATTTTATGATTTATTTTTGATATGTTTAAAAAGAAATTACATTGAGAAATTAATTTAAGTTAAAAAAATGTTAATTCTATCAAAAAATATCGTAAGAACTCTCAGTGAAGATAGATCGGTGTCATCATTTCATTTTATGGATCAAATAATTGAAAATTCACTAAACCAAGAAAAGTTTGAAAGATCAAAATATTTCAATTAAATAAACGGATTAAGCGGATTTCATTTTATTTTGACCTGCAAATTTTTTTTATTCAAAGATAAAACGTTTGATAACGTTTCAGAACATAAAGCAAAAAATCTAATCGCAAGAACCAGCACTGCTAGGCCCTTCAGCCATAAATCTTGCTTGCCAGAGCCTTTTGCATTTTTTCCCAAAGCCTGCCGTTTTTTGCCAGTTAGCGAGAAATTTCCATTCTGGAGAGCCGTCAGTCAAAACTAAGCTGATTTCCCTGATAAACTCGAGACAAAATCCGGGATGAAGGCAGACTGAGAGTCGCCTTTGTCACAACGGCAAAGAGACATTGCTCCAAATTGCTCTTTTTCTCCAGCTTTAATGAAGAAATCTAGCAAACAGGATTTTGCGCGCACAAAAGCTGAAAACGATGTGAAAAAAAAATTCCACTTTGCCTCACAGCAGGCAGGTGCACTCCGCCTTTTAGTTTTAAAATTAAGTGGCCCTGGCGTCTGCCTCTCTCTCTCTCTCTTTTGCTTTTGGCGCATTTTGTGCCTGCGTCAGCCGTTTAATGGAAAATGACGAGGAAAAGACGGGGCTGCACGCGTTGTTTGCGCTAAATTAAATGCCGGCATCAATCTCAATCTGCTTCGCAGCCAGACTTCGAGGCGTCGAGCGGAGGCCCCGTGCGGATGGCGCGCGCCCTCGCCGCCCTTGAACTCGAACGTCTCTCCTTCGTCGGCCCTGAGGAGTTCGTGCAGACCTTCGCCAGGGAGGCGCCGCACCTCGCCCAGGCACCTTTCAGAGACGCAAAACGCACCAGCACCAATTTGGAGAATTACGCAGACTGGTTCGACCGACTCGCCGCCCTTGTCGCCACCCACGTTTTGAAGGTAAGCAAATTTTTTGCATAGATATAAAAATTATGAATGTTTAATATTTCACCACCAGAATATATTCCAGAGATAAAATTTGACCTAGAAAGCAAATCTATGCCATATTATTTGTGGAAATCAAACCACGGATGGTTTATATTCCTTTTTTTATTGAGAATTTAAGACAAAAAATTTAATCATGCAATTTTGCTCAATTTTAAAATAGATTAAATTAGAATAAAAACAAAACTTTTTTGCCATAACACAAATAACTTTAGGCTATTATTATTAAAATTTAATCTTCTAAGTCAATACAAAAATTTTATACTGGAAAAAACATTATTCTAAAATATTAAAATGCAATAGAATTTGAATGTTTCAACAAAACAACCATTAATATCTAGATTTATTTGATTCGGCCTCGTTTTTCCTTATTTAGTTTCAATATAAGGGATATCAATTTGGAAAGATTACTTTTATTCATTATCTAATTTTGGGATATTCCGGGAATATTCTGGGAAGTTTTAAATTATAAAATATTTATTCAATGGTAATTACCGCACAATATTCATCAATTCATTGGTTCAAAACTTGATTTAATTTGGCCTGTTGAAATAAAACAGTGGTTAGCTACAGTAAACAGAAAACCGCAAATACATTAACGCCGGCCAAGCGAAATTCACAGGTTTTCAGGAATAATTTTGATTGGAATTCCTGGGAAATGCACTTTTTCCTAATGAAAAGCTTTTAATTTTTACAGTTTAAAATTCAACAATATATTTTATTTATTACGATATTTTTTAATCTCACTAAAAATATAATTTTTTTGCATCATTCTTTTTTCCTCGACGTGGCGTTGGCGGGGTCATTAGGAGCTGTAATTATAAATACTCGCCGGCCAAACTTTAGTCATGCTGCGAGCCTCATTATTTTCATAAAATTTCCAGGTGAAAGTTTGTTTTTGACGGTCAGTGAGCGTCGAACAGCGTTGTTTGGCGTTGACGTGATCAATTATTCAAAAGCGGCCTCGCAAAACATGCCTGCCGTTTTTATTGCCGGCCGGCTCTCATTATAATTTGCCAATTTTGCGCCTCTGCGCTTGAACTTTCTTTCCCTTTGGCTGGCAGCGTTAATATTATTGTCAGCAAAAGCTAGAGTGGAAGTGAGGAGCGCCAGAATAATAAAGCGCCTCTATAAATTTGTTGTTAATTAGTTTGGTTTAAGAGGAATCTTCAAGTTGGAACTTTTAATCATGTTGAAAATTTCAACCAATTTTTTTCTATAATTTGTATTCAATAAGTTATAATTAACCTGAAGACTTTTCAGAGTTAAAAAAGATGGATCTTGCAGACCGAAAAATTATAAACTTTTTGTTGTGAGCAGAACTTTTAAAGAGGACGGTCGTATTAAATTATTATATTTAATAATTAAAACAACAAAAAAGGAATTCTTAATCTCTCTTTGTTTTCAATTAAACATTTTTTGGAAGAATAGTTACAAGAGCTATTTGCAAGGTTTTTTTCGTCGCAAGACCTAATTAAGAAAATTTGCCATATATTTAAAGACATAAACTCAAAAAATTTAGTTAGACTTAAATTTTTTTACAGAAATAAAATGCGATTGATGTAGGAAAATAATTTCAATAATTTACAATTCTTTGCCTGTTGAAAATCAAATTTTAAAATCTGCAAAATACTTCAGCTGGTAAAATGATGATGTTTAAGTCAACCTTTGACCCAAAATACAGGTTTATCTTGCACCTCTCCTTGTTTCACTTTTGATTATTTGTCTAAAACAGTCAGGAAGTGCCGTAAAATTTTGAAAACTCATCTTCCTGCCTTGAGCAAAAACAAAGTCAGTTTTTTCTTCTTGCTTTCAAGCGAGATGAGAGTTTCATTTCCTCACTAATGAGAATTAAATGAAAACATCTATCTCATCCAGTGTAAAAGAAAAACAAGCCCAAAGACAAGCTTCACAACACGTGCGAATATATAGGTCTCGGTTTAATTAATGTGCTTCGAGGAAGACGGAAATTAAGAAACGCGGGCTGAGCTTGGCGGGCACATAAATTACCCAGCACTTTTTAATTATTAACGCACACAGAGAGAATAGAGAAGAGGGACATGAAAAGTGGCGGCGGCGCACTTTCATGTTCAAAGTAAGCAAAGACGTCGTGCACACTTTCTTCTCCACATAAACAGACAATGTAGTGCGCGCCGCAATAATAGTAATCAGCACAAAAGGCAAAGAAGCAGCGAAAGGGCTGAATGGGGCAGTGGAACGAAAGAGAAAGAATGAATAAAAGCGTGCCAGAGACTTTGGGCGAAATTTAATGCGCGTCTGTTGCTTGTATTACACATACATGCACCATAGTTGGCTCGCGGGCACAAAGGAACGCGTCTTCCTTTTTTTCTCGCGCAGCCCATTCAGCCGTGCGAGAAGTTTTTGCATAAATTGGGGTGAGAAGCTCGTTCTCGCCTCAAAAAAACAAAGCCGGAAAATTGCTGCCAGCGTTCGTGGGAATACCCGTAAATCTTTCCTTCCTCCAGAAGGAGGTAAAGACATAATGTGAGGGAATTATTACTTCTTATGATCTTCCCATACAATGACTAGAAAAAAAACATGAAAATGTGACAGAAAACTTATGACGAATATAATAAGAAAAACTTTTTTCGCATACAAATTGAAATATTGAGCTGCTCAGACTATAAAATATTTCAATCTGATAATTAAATTAAAAGAAACTGGAATATTTAAAAAAAAAATATTATAATTTCATTTTTATAGCAAATACAGAAAGCATCTCTATGGTACTTTATGGTAAATAAATTAAACAAAATGTTTGAAGTATTATAAAACTTTGCGTCAACTTTTAATGTAAACAAATCTGCGCGCCTCACCAAAATCTTTAAAGAAAATCTATAAGGATGAAATAATTTGCTTTTATTTTCTATCATTATTCTTTTTAATTCAAAACCTGCTCCTTGATACATTAAATATTTATTAAAGTGGCTAAAAAACGTACCGATTGAACAAAAAATTTGTTAAGCTTTGTAATCTTCTTGTAAAATAACGACGTTTGGTAAAAAGCAATGTTGAATTTAGGCCAATGAATTCAAATTAGCCGGGAAAACGTGCCTCCAGGCAATTCTGCGGAAGAACAATGGCATAGACGCCGCTGTACAATACATTTTAATGATTCTGCCCGACCGCACATTTGCATGATCGAATCAAAAAATGTTCCTCACTGATGCCATCTCGACACGGAAGGAGATGAAGATAACGGCGGAGCCGATTTTCGCCCCGAGAATCTTCCTTCTTTAAGAGCGGTCTTTTTGCTTGACGAGCTGCGGAGGGCAAGAAAAAATCTCTCTCCGCCCTATCTCTAAATGCAAATTGTCTTTCAAGTGTATATATGCGAGGCCGCGCCGGCAGCAGGAAATTGAATTTATTTTCACTCGGCTGTTTCAGCACTCGGAGGCCGCCGACCGCAGCAAGGAAATCGAGTTTTGGACGCGCGTCGCCCACGAGAGCGTCCACATCGGCAATCTCAACTCGGCGATGGCCGTCGTGGCCGCCTTCGAAGCCATCGCCCAGCCCACTCTGACCGACGCGGTGAGTTTGTTTTCCTTTTTAAGCGTGGGCAAAAGGTCAAACAGGTCATGCCGAGCAGATGGCTGCATTATTCATGGGAGAAAAGTCCCGTCGAGGGATGTACATTTTCTTCTTTTGTGCATGTTAAAATAAACTGTCGAAAAGCTATTCTATATCTTCCCTCCTTGAGAGCTCTTCTGGAGAGTGAAATTGAATACTAGGAAGGAAAAAGGGCGAGAGAGGAATGAAACTTTTACTCTCAACATAAAAATAAGATTCTAACCTGACTGGAAATTTTTTGGCGTTTCAAATTATTTAAAATTTAAGTTTTTTAATTAATTTTGTTATTCATAAGAAAATAAGTTATTTAAGTTTTAAAAATCAAAATTAACAAAAAAAAAAAAAAAAAACATTTTGTTGACAAAATTGCACGATAATTGATTCCAAAAGACGACCTGCGGTAATAAAAATCTCGTATTTGTTGTGTGAACTTCTTAAATTTTGGTTTAAATATTCTCAACATAATATTTGTATTCGTAAATTCCTCATCCCCCTTTGTCATAAAAGTAACAGGCAGGTCGCCTTGTAAGATCAGATGTCATATATCTTTTCACTTTTTCAACTTCAAATTTGAAAATCGTATTTTTATTATTAACATTTTCAACCATACTTTTAGATGGCAAAACACGGTTTAAATTTTTAATTTTTAATCGAATTTGATATTTCTTTAAAATTGATGTAAAAAATAAATTTAGAGGCTTTTGTTGATTTTAAGTGATTTACTCATTAGAATGCAAGCAAGATTGAACGATCACAGTTAAATATAATTAAAATATCAATCATGAATACAAAATGTCTACAAAAGATTAAAAAATTCTAATGAAACAAAAAAAATCACATAATATATTTCTCATATTGCTTATATGCCGTGCCTTATTTGTCAGTGTTCAGTTGCTAGTATTGCAACTAGAGGAAAAGGAATATAATATATTTGTTCCTTTTCTCATGTGGAATTTGCACGGGATCAGCATGCGGACGACTTCGAGTCCGACGGACTTTGGCCAGCAAATATTTGCAGACGAACGGAGCGTGTTGTTTGCTGGGCGATGTCACAAAAGTTTGACTCTCTCTCTCGCTCCATCAGCAGGGTCAAAGACGAAATTGTGACGGGCGCGCACACAAAGGACTGAATTTTTGATGACGTGTCTCGCCCTGGCTTTGCACGTCTAAACCCAAAGCGGTGCCCAATCGATTGCCGACGTGATTGGCGTTCGCCTCCGTTCTTTGTGCCAAAAGCCTAGTCTTGCCTTTCCTGTAGTGAGAAGCAAGAAAAAGCGCACAATTGGCCATTACGACTCCGCAGGGAATCAAAACGTTTTAAAGAGGCTCATTTAATCTCGGCTTCTTTATTTTTTACTGCAAACTTCTCTTTAATGAAAGATTTTTATTATTATTATTTTTTTTTTTTCATTTAAAAGTCTCTTTAACCAAATGACTGATAAGTTTCATGAAAAACTTTTAGAAAAAAAAATCATAAATCCATTAAAAAAAAACGTTGTTTTAGGGGAAAAAAATTGCTTTACATTTATTTTAATATAATTACTTTAAAAAAAAATCATTATTTAAATCAGTTCTATTTATATAAAACCCAAAAAGTTTTGGAATATTTGGCTCTTCTTTAAATCAGCTTAAAAAATAATTTCAAAAAGTAAAAATTGGATAAAAAAAATAAATATTTCTTTCTGACCTTTTTGTTGGGCAGCTGTCGGAAGGGCAGTCGGTGGAGCTGGACGATCTGCGTCGGTTGTCGAAGGACGACGAGTTCTACAAGACGACGATGGCCGCCGCAGCCGCCAAGGCGAAGAAGGAGCGACAGACGGTGGTTGTGCCCTGTTTCAGCATCATCCTCAGGGAGCTGTTCGCCCTCAATCGTAGTTGCTGTGAAAGGTGAGTTCAACCGTGAAATTGAGCGCAACGACAAAAAGCGTGGGCGTTAAAATGAAGGGAGAACATACGCCCAATGTAGGGATGGCTGAGAGGGGGAGATAATGCGAACGACATTACAGTCACGTGCACCTAGAGGGGATTTTAAATTAATTTTCAAGTTCTTTATGGCGATCATTGAATAGCCTCATGGAAGGATGTAAAATTTAAATTGCAAGGAAATTACAAAATTTTAATTAAACAGAAAAAAGTATTCATTTATTATTTACAAATGTTTAGTGACTAAAAATTTAAAATTTAATTATCTGAATATTTCTATGAAATTCAGGCATTTTAATTTTTCCTTACAGTAAAAATATCAGATTACAGGAGTTTATATTTGTTCAAATTCATTCGATGACGTTGAAAGTGAAATTATCCAGTTTTTCAAGCGCGTATCTTTTGGTTAATTTTTCAGATTTCTGATTATTTCATTTTGTATTTTGCCCAGTTTGTCTTTTTATGTTCACCGCATGAAGCTAAGTTCCATTGTGAAAATGTAGTGCAAACAATTTGAAATTTAAACTAAAAATTTTCAGAATATTACAATTTAAATTAAGATGAAAAATTTGGTAACGAAAAAAATGCATTAATTTATTTTATTAAAATTTTGTTTAGGCTGCCAAATGGCCAGGTGAACTTTGACAAATTCACCGAGCTAGCCGAGAAGATGAGCGAATTGATGGTGTGGACGCGGGCCAAGTGCCCATTTGAGAAGGACCAAGGCTTGTCTCTGCTTTTGCAGACCTCGCCCGTGCTCAGTCCCAAAGGTAATAACAATCTCATCTAACAACAAATATTACATTGTCCCTCCCTAGCCCAAACACAAATTTAAATATTCTTGTTTTATTTGCCTGTGTGCAGGTCTGGAAGAAGTTTCCTCGGCGCTGGAAAAAGGAGCAAAGTGATCGACCCTGGAAACCAAAATAATTATGTGCCTGAACCCTTGAGAGTGTGTGAATTTTAGCGTTTAGGACAAGCGGTGTGAACATACGGGAGACAGAAGATGAGAATTGTTTTAACCACGAATTAATAAATTTAACAAAAGTATTTTCGCCTGACTTTTATTGCCTTGGAATTCTTCCAGCGAGGAGAAAATGAAACCGCGTTGACAACGTGCTATGCCGTCCGACCGACGCTCTCCGGATAATCCAAATTAATTCTAGGCGCGCTCCGTGGCGAGATTAGGCAACCTGCAGCGCGTACGTGCCAAGCAATTAACATAATTCGTCCGTTGCGCGAGACAAATAAATCCGTTGCCGCAGTTTGTTTGTGCCGTTTCAGTTGCGCCGCATCCTAGCAGCATTAAATGCGTGCCTTGGGATTTATGGTTTGCTCGTCACAGTTTCTCGGAGGCTTATCAGCAGTATAGGTGAGGTAAATACGTACAGAGAGATTTTGAAGACAACTGACGAGTCATTTTTATTGGATGAAATGAGAAGGATAAAGAAAAGTTTCTGTTTAGAATACAATAATAATATTAAAAATTGGAATGCCGAAATTTCATTGTTTCAGATTCAGTTATTTCTTTAAGTAACGATTCCAATGATCGAACGACTTTTTGGCACAAGAATTGAGAAAATTATGAGTAGACTTGCAAATATCAATCGATTCTCATTGGTTTAAATTTAAACGAACTGAAATTGAGTTGAACACATTTTTTTTTAAGGAATTGAATATTGACTTGAATAAAATGGACTTGTTGTAACATTGGTGTGCTTTTGGTAATTTTCCGCGGAATGTTTATTTTGCCATGATTGAATAATGTCGAATATTGCGTATTTGTATAGTCAAAAACGACAAAGGCAGAATATTGATTTTCTGTTTAATGAATTTTTATCTAAATTCTTGCTAGTGTGCTGCCGTTCATTCCGAACGATTTTTTTTACTGTTTTTTGGAACGTCTAACATTAAGACAAATAATAATGAGATCGAAATAAAAATTTTAAGATATTTTATAGATTCCATGCAGAACTAAATTATGAATAGAAAATAAATTAAATTGCTAAATTTTAAATGGAAATTAATTTGTTCACATTTCCTTACAAATTCATATTTTATCTGCTTAGACATTTTTTTTATCAAGTCCAAATAAGTAAATTTAATCCATTTTTTTTCGATTGCTTGATTGGTGTATAAGCAGCAGCGGGAAATAGTCTATCAACTAATATTTGCAAGTGTAATTATTAGCTCAGCGAATTTCCCATTGCCCAATTTAGCTGGTAAATTATTTGACACTTTTTGCAACATCAAACCAAATGACGAGGATAAACTAATTAGCGTATCAGACAAAATTATTTTTTATCTGAAAGTTCGTCATTTGCGTATTATTATAATCAGATAAATCCATCAATAAATCAACAGAAGGATTTTATCTAAAAATTAAGCTATTATAATTTAATTTTTCAAATCGTCAACTTAATATTCTAATAAAAAAATCCGTCATCATAACTCCAAATTACATTTTTGAAAAAAAAATAACATTCACGTTTGGTTGGAACGCTCATCCTATTGTTGAGGCAACTTCATTTTGTACTCAACCTAATGCACTACTTTCATCGACCATAGTGGGCGTTGAAAGCTTTTTCAATATTCATAAATAAATCGCTGCATGTTAACAAAAGCTAGAGCGATTGGTAGATTTTCCTTGCGGCTGTATGATTTTTGAAACCACTTTCCGTGTGGGTTTTGCGTCAGATCCGAGCCTGAGGTGGAAAAAAACCTTGCACCTAAAGCAATAATTCAACTGGTGCAAATCTGCACACACAGGCAGCTCTAATAGAGAAAAGCAAACAGGGTTGATGATCCTCACGGCGCTATAAGAGGCGGTGCGTATAATTAAACAAACAGCGCGTTTTCACACAAGCATTCGAGGGAGCATCCCGTGGGATGCATCTCTCCGTATGTACGTCTGTCAACGCCAAATCCGCTCGGGATGCCAAACAAACAGCCGCACATGCAGATAATAAACCGCCCGTCGACTTGTTTAGTCCCGAGACTGCCAATAAATTGGCTCTGTTTGCACTCGAACGAGCTCTCCGTGTGATCGGCGCGCCTTTCTCCAGATAAAACACACAAACACTCGGCCCAATTTCCCGGATAACAACCCCCATTTGGTTTTACAGTAACGGAGCTGCCGCTTTTTGCCCGCCCCACGGCAAAAATTGCGCTTTTCTGCGCGCTTCCGATATTGCTGCGCCACGCAGCTCCCCCTCGCATTTTCTCATCGAGATTTTTTTCCGCCGAGTGGAGAAAAAGAGGTACACCTTGTACTGCCCGCAAGATCAGTTTTTGCAGTCTCGTGTAAATAAACGAGCGGCTTGTTTGCCGAGCGAATTTTGTTTCGCGAATAAAAATGATCCGCCTTTGGTTACAAAAAATGTCTGCGGTGTTTTGTGAGTTTATTTTCCCCTGCTGCCAGATAATATTTTGACATTACGCGTGGGTATAAGTGGGTGTGCGACCTCCAAACAAGGAAACATGGTTTTAATTATATTTCTATACATTAAGTATGTACTGGAGGAAACAGTAGGATTTATATCTGTTAAAATTTTGCTTACATCTAAAAACAAATTTATTTATACATAAACTTCAAAAGAATCCTCAAATGTGAATTTTTGTCCACTAAAACGGTCGGAATTTGAACAAAATCATATTTTTTCAGATAAGTTATTTTAGTATTAAGAATTTTCCTTGTATTAAATTTCTTAAGAAAAAAAACAATTAGAATTTTTTCAAAATAATTAATTACAGTTTTTGTAAAGCTACTTTTTGATATATAATCAAAGGCATCTCTTTTGATGTTGCCACATAAGTAAATCAAATAATTACCAGAATTAGTTTAACCGAGGTTTTATTTAAATTTATAATGCTATTTTATGGAATTTTTAAGATTCAAGTCAACATTTTGTGGATGGCACAAGATTCTACGTTTTATTCACGTTCAAACCTCTTTCAACATCCCTCTCCTCCTATCTTGAAAGCGAAAAAAGTGTACCAAGACAAACTAGGAGTGCTTGAACAAAGAGGAACGCTCTTTACACAATGGCTGCTTTGTAGTTCTAATGGCCTTTAATTAATTAGTGCCAATTTATGGCTGAGTAAATCCTCAGCCTTAAATTACGCTTAATTACAGTACATTTTTAATAAAAGGGTTTTAAACATTAATTTAATCCCACGCAGAAGTAAGGAAAATGTATAAGACACTTGAAAATAATTCTACCCTTGCTAGATTATTCAAAAATTGTTTAAAAACAAATTTTTTTTTTGATCCGTTACATTAGAATTGCTGGAGCTGAAAACCAATGAAATTTTTGCGGCAACTAGGAATGGCGTGTGTGAAGTTCAGCTCCACCACCACTCGAGTGAAATGCGATAATAAACTGCCTGGGTTGATATTATGCCTGCCGCGAGCTGTAGCGCAATATGTAGATATATGATTACTCTCTGTAATACTTGTTGTTCAGTGGAGCGAGAGAATAGTATGTAATATTCGCGCACACGCCGCTTTTGACACACGGCTGATTGCGAGTGCCAAAAAAGTTGAAAACTCCTCGCAGAGACACGAGACTACATTCCCCGGCGAAAACAAGGAGGTGTAAAATAGGCAGCCCAAAATCAGGCAATTTCCATGCACGAGAGACGGTCGTGAAAGTTGCGTAAGGGATAATTAATAGATCCGGTCCCAGGGTGAGCGTCTCGTTCGCTGCGAATAGAGGCTACGGGTGGATTCCAATTATTTAGAGACTAGAGAAACCGTTTCCTTCCCAGCTAGACAATTGAAATTTGGACCATGTACACGTGAGAAAATTAAATATATATTTCCAGAACAACAAACGCGTTCTGACTCTCTGGTAATGGAAGAGAATATAATTGTAGTTGTACACGAGTTGCAATCACCACCAATAAAGTGACCTGGCAGTCGGCAGAGTAATGTTGACTTGTGCAAGGAGTATAATAATTGCAATGCAACTATACAACCACCAATGAGCACACATCCGCATTGCATGAAGATACAACACGCGTTTATTAATGAGATCACAACAGCTCCAACCCTTCCGCTCATCTAATTGTGAGCCGGACATCTGAAATATACTGAAACCCTATACACGGCGCTACCAGCATGAAGGATGATCCTTATAATGTTTTATTTTAATAGAAAGTTCTATAGTCAAATTCCATTCTATGCTGATAAAACATTAAAAATTTTCTCATGATTGTATTTTAAAACTGCATTGCCTTCTAAACTGCACAATTTATTGAAAAAAGAAAATTCATTTTTAGTTTGTAAAAAGATTTTAAAATGTTTTTTCGTTTCAAAATTTTTGAAATTGCAGACCTGGCTTAAAATTGGTACAGAACTTATGCAAAACCGGTGCAGTTGTCCTGCATCATTTCTACACCTGCTCTGCATCAGTTCTGAAGCAGTTCCAAGCCAGGGGTAAAATTTTTTCTTTAGTCGGCTTCATTATTTATATCCATAAACTAGTCAAAGTATGATTTCTTTTTCAAGAAGGTTGAAAAATTTTAATTTCTCGGGATTTTATAATTCCAACAACTCGATGAAACGGCAAAAAACTCGAGCAGCCAAGTTCGGCGTCTTACGACACCTTCCGAACATGATTGGCAATAACAGAATTGATTGACTTGAAGTGGACTTGAGATTAAGATTATGCTAGGATTATTAATTTTATACAAAAATTCAAAATCACCATTTTGTGCTCTGGAAACAGCTAGTTCAAATTAGCTTCAGCTGAACAAACCCAATCTGAAAGCTTCTTTCCTGCAAATCCCAGAAGTGAGAGGGAGTCAAATAATTAGATCATCTGCTCACTCGCCGGGACAAAAGTGCGTCTGCACACCCGAGGGCAGAACAAAAAAGTTTGCCGATCACGCTGCGCTAATTGAATGAAAGGTGGCGCGCACAAGAGGAAAAAAATAGCGGAGCAAACTCGATCGGAAGCCCATTGGGTGGGTCCCCCTTGCACTTTTCCTCAATCACCAAAATGGGAACAAACGCAGGGCCGAGCGAAATTGCCAAAATTGCGAGCCCCGCGTGTCACACTCTTGAAATATGAGCCTGCAAATCATCATGGAGCGGCGCCTCGGCAGCCCCGGAGATCATTACCGCGCCTCGCATGCAAATGGACATTCTCTACGTGCAGCAGGGGGGCCCGAAAAAAAAAGTGGACGGCAAATGCAAATCCGCGCTCATACATTAAAGGGCAGGGTTAAATTACACCGACACCGAGCCGGGGCTTAAGCATAATTACGCTCTCTTGTTCAGCTTAATCTCGTCGCGCGCACGTCTCCGTTCGAGATGAAATTTACTGCTGATAAAACCAACACTTTACGAGATTTACAACTTGTCTGGCTTCATTCGACTTTATAATGTACACCTGTTATGGCAACAACGAAATGAGGGCGAGTTGCCTGCGGTTATGAAGAGGAAGCCAATGTAGTTAAACGCAGAGTTATTTGATAAACAGAGGCTGTAAATATTTACAGTGGATGAATACAATTTTCAAGCCATTTCAATTGTAAAATAATTTTTTCAATTCAAGATTTAAGTTTCAGTTTTAATTAAAACAGATTGGTAGGGTGAGAAAAAGTTGTTTGTAACAAAGTTGAATTAAAAAATTTACAGCTTGTTTTTCTTAAACAAATACTTGAAATAAAAATCTTAGATTTTGCATTTTTGCAGCTAGATTATAGCTTGAATATTTCATCTTGATTTTAGAAGTTGATAAAATAATCGCAAAAATTACAAGTTCTTAATATTAGAAAATGTCCGTTTTTAGATAATTTCAACAGAAGAACAAATAATTAAATATTTTCAATTTTGGGAATTAATTTCAAACGAAAATTCTGAAACGAAAATCTTAACAGAAATATCACAGCAATACATACTGCAAAAAAGAATAGTTACGAAAGTTTTTTCTAGAATGATTTTTAATTTACTGCATAAATTCAAAAGGAAGCGTTATTTCGAACAAGAGAACATCTCATGCGGCAAAAAGTTTCCCGGATGCAAAGCGTTTTTCTTTTCCCAACGCTCGTGCATCAACGTAATTCTTTCTTGAGCCCTCGCTAATGCTAGATATAGGCCATTTGTTTTGCATGAAGGACAAGCTGGTTGCCTACCTCCAGCAGCCGCAGGGGTTTGCAAAAGACCGCTCGGTTTACATTTACAGGCTTGTGCATGTCAGGGTCTGCCTGCTATCAGCCAAGTGGAGCAAGAAAAATGAATTTGAATAGGAAAGCTCATCGCGATGCGGCCGTAAAAACCCTTGTGAGCGTTCAGTGCGACAAGTCTCTTAATTGGAAAAAAGCAAGTTCTGTTCAGAAAGGCTTGCATTTAAAAGTTAAAAAAGCGTCCTCATCAATATAGAAAAAACTAGATTGTAAGCTGAGTTGTGCTACTTTCCAGAGTCATCAACAGAAAAAAAATCTTATTTTTATAATTACAAATTTTCTTTATAAAAAAACCACCATTTTAAATTAATTGAACTCAAAACAAAATCTGTTTTAGTTTTTAAATAAATTTACTTTTATGGACTTCGCTTGAATACTCCCTTTCAATGTGAAAATTTGAATCAGCAAAAGAATAATTATCAAAAAGCTGGTCTCCGCATTCCAATTTTCCTCACATTTACTCCGCCCATTCTGGCGAATAACAATGCCCTTTTACCAATCGATTATTTCATTTAGCGGCTGCTCCCGCTTGCTCACTGCCCCCGGGGATGATGATCACACACGAGAACATCACACACATACATTCTATTTTCGACAGTGTCATGTTGCTTCCACAAAACCCGCGATATAGCTCACAATGTCGCGCCGTCAGCATGTCATTCGCGCGCGAAAGCGAGAAGCAATTTTGCGCATCAAATCCACAATATTCGCAATCGAATTGATCCACTCCAACTCGCGCTGTATTAAATGGCGGATTTTCTGCTATAAATCAGTTTCAAATATTCTACAAAACCAATAAACGAAAATTTAAATGAATTATTAAAGGAAAAGTTAGGTTTTTACGGTTTATTTTATTTTTCAAATTATTTTGAAAAATAAATATTTCGACAAATATTTATTTCTCAAAGCAAATTTGAGATAAAAAAATATGTTGTTTTTTGGAATAAAAAATAATCCTTGACATTGATTGTGAGTTAGCTTTTAAAATATATTTTTCAATTTTTCCCCCCGAACATTCATAACTATGAAAATCACGAGACTCTTTAAAGATTTAAATATTTGATTAACTAGAACGCAGATTACAAAGATTCTCAGCTATGTTGGAATAGGGAAATACTGCGTCAATAATTTATTATTCATTAATCCCTGTGCGACAATCTAAGTTTGAGCGGAGAGTGTCTCTCGGTTTAAGTGAACGACGCAAAAAATAATGATCTGCATATCAAAGAGCCGAGAGGGAGCTATTTTCAGGGCTAGAGTAAGTCTCGCTCGTCGGCTCTCAACTTGTGGAAGCCTCAAAGTCGCCTCGAGTAAACACACACGTGATATATTCTGCTCATCTCTCTCTCTCTCTCTCTGTTTGAGTGCCCCAGATGAGGTAGATCGCATTCAACACGAATCTATATTTTATAGCCGCAGCGTCTATGTGTGCTTTATACCTGCTGTTGCACTGCCACCGCCACATTATGCTGGTGAACCCCTTTGAAGTATGTACTACCCCGCGCCAATATGAAAGTTGGTATTGCTGGCGCAGCACCGCAAATGCTGCCCATTGTTCCGACCCTCATTCAACTCTGCTTGCATCAGCAGTCGCTGCCAGTTGATCATCACCGCCTCGATTGTGAATGCAAAAAAGGCACTAATTCAACCAGATGTCTCGCGTAAGCCTTGATAAACGTCATTTCCAACTTGGCATTTATTTTCGCCGCGCTTGGAATAATTTTTATACCGCGTCATGTTGTTTCGGAATCCATATATTATAAACTTGTTTTAATAAAATAAAATTTTCTCTGAAATTTAAAAGTTGCGCTTGAAATTGTTAAAGGCTTGATTTTATACTGAAATAATAATTAAAACACTCTTATTTAATTAATCTTTTATCAAAACCTAACCTGTATCACTCATAAAAAAAGAATTGAACCTTATTTTTTTAATAGACAGCGGACATGAACCTCTAGAAAAAGGTTAGTCATTTACTGTTCAGTCAAAAAGTTATTGACCTGTTGTGAGAGAATAAACGAATTGAATTGAGATAAAATATAAAACTACACACGGAAAACATTTTAAACCAAAGTGTTAACAAAGTCAAGTTGTACGCAGTTTTCTGTCATAGTAGTCGTTAATAAGGCAATTGAAGATAAAAACGTCTCTCAAAGGCACCGATTCCACTTATCTTTAGATGATACAAAACAAATATGACAATGTTTGACATTATTTATCAGCACTGATAAACGTTTCATAGATTGAGGAGAAATTATATTTTCTGTCTTATTCTGTTTAATCTCAACTCAAATAATAAACAAAAAAATATGCGATCAAAAGTTTGCAACATTTTAATTCATATTAAATCCAAATTACACAGCTCCTTTTCCATCAACAGTCACTCAGTGACTAGGGTTTGCTCTTTTAAGAGGACTGTAACAAGCGCATCTGGACTTTCTGTGCTTAAACTTGGCATTGTCCGTGACACGAAATTGTGCTTGAACTAACAATAAGTTCTTAATACTATATAAGGTTTGGTAAATATTAGTTTTATAATGAGCAGCAACTAGCGAGTTTCAATTTGAAGAAAGCAAGTCTTTTCGGACGAAAATGAAATCGTTGGCGAGCCAATTGGGGTGGGTGACTTCACTATCAACGACATAACCTTTGGCCTCCATAAAGTGGCGGAGATCTTCCTTTCCTTTGCCACCACCCACGTGGATGAATTCTACGGAGAGAGTCTGGAAAATAATTTTTGGCTTGATACAGAGGTATAAAAATAAAAAAATTGCAGATATAATTTAAAAAATATGTAATAAAATTCCTTTTTCTTCCCGCACTTAATTTGAGTTTAAGTGAAAACTTCTAACTTAAAAATTTAATGGATCAAAATTTTTGGAAAAGAATTTTTAAATAATTAACTCCTTTTCGTCCTGAGCTTTTGTTTTTACAGCAAAAATAAAGATGAAAATCTGTACTTGAAAAATTGTTAAATAAGTAAAAATGAAAATTTCTTAAAATCAGAAATATAAAAATTGGTTTTTAATAGCTGCATTTTTTACCATTTGCTTTAAATTACATTCTTCTATCCAGCAGGGAAGTAATAATTGATAGGTAAATCATAAATTTATAAATTTCTTACTTTAATGTCGACTTTATCAAAAGGAATCGTCTTAAGCACAGCCAGCTCACTGCCTTCAACGTCCAGACTGAAATAGTCTATTGAGGTTCGGTTGAGGGCCAAAAGAAGAGTGTACAAAGGCAGACACTGGACGTCCACTTGTCCCTCTTTATTCACTCCAGCAGGGTCTTTGCTGATGCTGCCCTGGTTCTCCTTTTGTTTGAAGGAAACCTAGAAGTATAAAGTTTTTGCTTGAATCAATCAAAAACAATAGTTAAAAATAATTTACTTTGGTGGGATGAGGTGCAAGACTGAGGCAGGTGGGTGAGAGCCAAGCTTTGCGTCTTCTGGGCAAAGCCTTCATGAAATTCAAAGGGTCGGCCTCGATCAGCAAACCCTTCCATCCGAGGAACCTCTCGAAGTACAGGGTGTTGGAACGAGTCTCCCCGTCCAAGGCGCCACACTCGACGAAAAATCCATTGGTTTGGTTATTAAGCAAGCGCATTATTTTCTGTGACTGGCCCATCGAGGGGTCATGCAGGTTCGGATTCTCCAAGCAGTAGGGCACATCAGCAGTCGAGGGACTCATGAGGAAATTGTCCCTAATAGCGTCCAAGAGCCAACCTTCGTCACCTCGGACATCAATACGGTTCATTTTATTGGCTGCAAAATAAAGAGTAAAATTAATTTTAATATCTTGATTTTGTTTATCAAAACTTACATAATGATTTGGGATATCTGTACCAGTTGTCAAAGACATCTGAAATAGAAAAAGAATTAGTGACTCACAAAATAGAATATGTCTAGAGAAAAAATGAAATAAAAAAACCAAAAATCGATTGTCCTAAAAATGGAAATCATTAATTAAAAAACGCAGTACATAATATATAATAATTACGAACATGCACGTTGTGACAGTGTGGAGGCTTTTGACATGCGTTGAAGAATTAATTTAAATTAATTATGTGCCCTAATTTTCCACTTACCCTGCTGAATGGAGCTCTGGGGTAGGAAAAGCCCTCCGAAGACGGCCAGCCACTTCGCGTACGACCCCTGGACGTTGGTTTCATTGATGCGGAAATTACGAAAGCAATCTTGGTTATCAGGCAAGGGCCGCTCCCGAAACAAGCCCTGAGATATCACCAGGATAAACACAGCCACGGAGCAAGCTGCCAACAACATGAAACGGCCCTGGCGAACCCGTCGCCGGCCCATGAAGGACCAAAGGGCGTGCATCTTCGACTCACTTTCGCTCTACAAAAGCTCCATATTATCCGAGTCGCAACAACAAGCGTCGCAAGCGCAAGACATTAAACTCTATATAATTTGAAAACTACCATTCTCGAGACAGATTAGTTTTGTTGATTCAAAATAGAGGAGGCACCCAAAAGTGACGTCACATCGGTGAACGGTGAAAACTTGTACCGGTTTTTGCAATTTTATAAATTAATACATATTAGCTAATGAGCTATTGATTAAATTTTTAAGCAGACTATTTTTTCTAATTTCAATTAGAAGAAGCTTATGTACATAATTAGTGAGAAAGACATCACATCTATACATAATTATGAAAAAACCGGTTTATTATTTTGGCAAAATTTGTGAATTTTACTGACAAATTTTGTGATTTAATATTAAATACCATTATTGGAAACAAGAAATAATTTTTGGCAATTTTATAGTTCAATTTTAATTGATTAGTAGAATTCGTGTTTGTAGAACTAGTACCATAAAATTTCCATATTATCAATGTCTACGACCATATCACGTTGAACACACCGGTTCTCGTCCGATCACCGAAGTTAAGCAACGTTGAGTGCAGTCAGTACTTGGATGGGTGACCGCCTGGGAACACTGCATGTTGTAGGCGCGGACTTTTTTCATTCACAAGATGCAATTTATTATAATTTTACGAATTTGAAAAAAAGTCAACAAATTTTACATTTTAAAAACGTAAAAATGTTCCTAGCACGAAAATAAAATTAAAAACGATATATCAGGGGTACAGAGCGGTCGCCCAAAACTCACAAAACACTCAAAACTGTGGCCTACAAAATAATAAAAATAACTTTAATTGTTAAAATTACGTCAACTTTATTTTTCAAACTTTAAATTTTTCCCCTTTTTTTGTATTAATTTCTGTGAAATATTAATATTTATTTTAATAAAACAAATTTTGAATAAGAAATATAAATTAAAAAAAAAAATAATAATAATTTACCCGCGCGTTGCTATATAGTGAGCTTCACAAAAATACTGATATCTTTTTTTACTGTCGCAGTTGGCGGAAGTCAGGTGAGGCATGACAAACCTGGGGAACGCATTCAAAAACGAGAAAAATCCCCATCGCCCAGAATGAGTAACGACAATTTGTACACGAAAACTTTGCCCAAACTGTTCATGATCCTGGTGGCGTACAGTGTGTTCTTCACTTTTCTGATCTGCATGCACAACCTGCGAGAGTGGGCCAAGCCTCGCCGGCAAACCGTCCGAGCAGAGCGGCACTTGTTGGATTTGACCCCTTTGAATAAGGATAACCGATTTCGGAGCAAATTCGACGGTCATTGGATTTTCCTCCTCGAGACGTCCGGCCGAGGAATGCTGGACAGCAGACACGTATGCTCGTTGGAAGCGCTTGCCAAAGCAAATCCGAACGTGACTATTTTCCTCGTTATGCCCTGTCCAGTTCGCGTAATCAACCTTGAAGATAACGTGGCGTTGGCGCGTTTACTGGACAGTTGCGAGAGCGTTCAACTTGCCACACTTGATGCGAAGAAAGTGAGTCTTTCAAAACTAAAATTGTAGGGGTTTTGTGAAGGCATAAAAAATTATTTTATTGCTCGATGCAATTTAGTTAAATCTTAACTTTTCAAAAAATTCCAAAATTTTATTTTTTATAATTGATGGTTAATATGCAAAATAGTATTTAATACAGTTTAATTTTTCATCTTTTCCAGAAAGATTATTTCAACTTAATTATATTATTTTATTTTTACCAAACATATTAAATGTCTAAAACAAAGTTGGTTTTGTGAAAGACATAAAACTTTATTGAATGATTCGGGATTTTTTTTAAAGTTCCTTGTAAAAATGGTAAAATTTACGAAAATAAATTTTCAGTTTTCCTACTCAAAAGAACAGCGCAAAAAAATACAACAATGGTTATTTATTGAATTTTAATTTAATTTTCTTAATCAGAATGCTCCTCTCCTAATTATTGAAATTTTTATATATTTAAAACTTATTTCAATAACATTCACATTTTTATAAAAAAAATTAAAAATTGTGAATAATCTAATATTAATTTATTTTACACTTATCCTCCACAGATTCTCAAAGATTTGCCACTGGAAAATATTTCCCAAACCGAGATACTCCAGTCGAACACCTATAAGCAGCGCACGAGCGACCTTTTACGCTTGGCCCTGATCTGGACTTTTGGTGGGACTTACATGGATCTGGACGTGATCACGCTCAGGAATTTGTCGCCCCTTCTCCAAACTGAAAATTTTCTGGCGGCCGAATCTTCCTCCAGCATCAACAGCTTCGTTATGAAATTTCGAAAAGGCCACCCTCTCGTGATGAAGTTGATGGAAAGGGTGCGAGAAAGTTATCAACCTGTCGACAACTCAACTGCGCCCTGGGCCTTCAGCTCGGCCGTCGCCAACACCTTCAATATTTCCGTCCAAGAAGCGATCGCAAGAGGAAATGTTTCTGACGTGCAAATTTTTAACTCATCAGTGTTTAGTCCGGTTAAATATGGAGATTTCGAGGACGTTTTTGACGATAGCAAATCAATTTTGGCGGATAAAATAATTTCGGGTAGCTTCGGGCTTCATTTTTGGAGTAAAATGGCCAAAAGGTTTCAAATAAAACCCAATTCGACGGCGCCATTTTCAATAATAGCCAAACAGTTCTGCCCTAAAACTTTTGAAATTCTTGCATCTGGCTAAGATTTACTTTAAAAATTAGGTGAAAATCATTTTTATTTTTTTTTTTTTTTTTAATTTTCCACTTTACAGTAATTGCTATAATAAACGTAATAAACCAATGAAAAACTTTCTAATCGACTGATTTTTATGAGTTTTTGTGTAATAAGATTAGGTTTGCATGATAAAACGAATATATTATAGTGAGAGTAACAAGTAATGTTGCATGCTGCAGAAAACGTCATGCTACACCCCCAATAGCTGTATAAAACGCAGGTTCTTTTCAATATTCTGCTAGTTTTAAAAACTCGGCAAGACACGATGGAGCGGATAATACTTCTTCCCATAATACAACTTTTCAACTTGAAGGTACTGTTTGAGAAGTTTCAAAAAATGTAAAAATTTCAATTTATCCAGTGAATTATAAATTTTTATTAAATTTCTAAATATTGTGTGTCTATTAGCATAATTTAAGGATGCTTTATTTATTTAAAAAAAAATTGTGATATAAATCTGCAACAAAATAAACAAGAATAACAACCACTTTTGCTAATTTTTTTTATAATATAGCCAAGTGAAATTGATTTTAAATCATTAAGAACACTTGTCTTATCTAACTTTATTCAGACATAAATATATTAGTGATAATTTAAAAAAATCTATTCCGATTCTGAAAAAATACAATGCTGAAAAAAGTAATTTTTTGAAGTGATTTTAAAATTTTTGGAATTTTTATTGCTCGCTATATTTTTTATAGTTTTGAGTCCCATATTATTTACACAAATATTCAAATGTTGCCGAGTTTATTTTAATTTAAAATGTCTTTTACTGGTTCTATCGCAGCTATTGATTCTACTCACAGTGCAGCTTTCCTTTACTTTGTGTCACCTGAATTTGGCCCCTGCTCAGCCTCCCGCCTTCAAATTCAACCCGACGTCCTACGCGACAGTCTTTACCGGCCCCGCGCCAACCTCCCGCTTGATTTTCCACCCTCGACCTCAACCAGACGCACACCACACCCTTTGGCCTCCCAAGCAAGTTCCTCGGCAGTGGCCTTTGCACCACCCCACGGCGCCTCCTCCTGTTCTTGTACCGCACCACCCCCCACCCCATCTGGTAGTCCACCATCACCACCACATCATTCACGAGAAGAAAATTGTGCGAACGGTCGAGCCGACCCTTCCAAAGACACCAAAGCCTCCGAGGGTGGCATCAACCAGCACCTCGACTTCCTCCTCTTCGACGACCTCAACTACTACGACGACCTCAACGACCCCTAGAACGCCGCGGGTGACTTCAACGACGGAAGCTGCTCAGATTATTCAGAGAAAGTCGATGGTTGATAAAGAGGAAGAGGAGGGTAGTGGAGACGGACCCCTTAGCGAGGAGGAAAGTAGGGGTAGTTGGGAGGGAAGAAAGAGCAAGAACGAAAGCTCCTGGTCTGACGAGGAATCGGACGAATTTTTCCACTACGGTTTCAGAGATTTTCATTTGGGTCATTACAAGAAATAATTTGAAATAAATGTTAATTCAGGATATAAGAGCAATTACAATTATTTGAACTAAAAGAGATAAACAATTTTCAACCAAAAAAATATTAGAAATTTTTAATTTTAATTTTTTTTTTTAACAATTTTTGCCTATTAACAAAAAAAAAATTCTGCAGGAACGTTTAGTGAAGAATTTAATATTATTTAATGTATTCATAACTATATGAAAAGATTATTCAAGCACAAATAAGTTCAATAATTTAAAAAAAAAAATTTGGCAAAAAAATTTAATTAATATTTCTTGGCCTTATTATACAATATGAAATTGTTATTTTTTAAAGATTGATGAAATAAATGTTTTTTATTACAAATGAAAAAGAGTGTATGAATTTATTTTTTCTCCAATTTAATTCACTCAATCAGAAATAAATATGATGATATTCGTCTTTCAGAGAGGGACGAGACGGTTTTTAAAAATTAAAAAAAAAATCCATTAACTAACGCCCTCTCAAGCTCTTTTGAATGACACAAGCACGTCTTCGCTATTATGTTAATATTCGCTCGCAATGTATACGCTCAAGAGACGTTATGCAATATCTATAATAAATCGTCGGCACGCCAAGTTGTTGCATTTTATTGACTTTTCATGCTTGCTTGGGATCGATCCACGCCTTTTATATATTCCACGCAGCACCAGTCGCGGATAAATAAAAGTTGGAGTACTTTATCGTTTGTTTATTACACTTTTGTACACAATACATCTGCCCTTTTTTGCAGCGGTCTGCGCCGGACCGCTTTTAAATTACTAACTTGTTTCTTCCAAATTAAGCCGCAAAATTCCCGCCAAAGACCTTGAAAAGATTGATTGTGCATCCTCGCACAGGAGGAGGAGGAGGAGAGAGACGCTGAGAGAGCAGATTATAATTTGGAACCGAGTGAGGTCCAACGCAAAAAGATAAAATTAGATTATGGTTTATTTTTACATTATTTCCTTGATGCAGTCTGTCAACGAGGAGTGAATTTACTCTACAAAATAAATAAAAATTTTGCCGAAAAATTAATGAAATAAAGCAATCAAAATTTAAATTAAGAACTATTTATAAATTTTAAAGAATTACAAAAAAAAGTAGCCATTGAAAAAGGTTGGAATTTGAGTTTTAAAGCAAGTGACAGATTTATTGGACAATTACACAATTAGTTTTACTTTTTTTAAGCAAAAGAAGAGGAAATAAAAACAATTAAACCTGTTTTGAGCCGGTTTTGAGTTCTGGCAAATGACAACAAATCACGAATATGATCTCTGGGTTGGTATGGAATCAATCTCGAGACTGCTGGCTTTTCGCAAAGCCCCCCTGATTGACGTATTGTGGAAAAGGATCTAGATTCGCATATTAAAAGTGTATCGACAAAAAGTCAAAATCGTGACTCGGCTTGTCTCCGCGGTGCGGTTCACCTTGAAAACGCCTCTTCCTTGCAGAGCGGGTAGGTTCTATACGCGGAACATAATAAATATAAAATAGCGCTCGCGAAATGATGGCGGAAGAGGCGCCATTGCCTGAAATCGGTGCTCTCGAATCCATTGTAAATATATATCTCGCGTGCTCACATCTGTGAACGTAGAAAGATCTTCTGACGCTCGCTTGATGCGGTCGCGCGTAAAAAATCTTGGCCTTGGTCCTGCCGAACGCGCAGCAGACACATTCAGGTTTAATTTGCTTTTAATTTCGCCCGGGGGACCGAAATCAAGATGCTTCCCAGGCAAAAACTTGCACTTTTATGGCTCGCGTGAAAAGTCACGTGTGATTTGTGCGCAAAAAAAAATAAATTTAATTACGCTTTCGCGTCTTTTGAGCTAGTTAAAAAACAATTAAGAATTGGAAGAGATCCTTCGATCAGCAAGTGAGAGAATTATTTGCAAATAAAAGTGTAATGACTTTATAAATATCATGGCGCAGTGAAGGTTAAATTTTTTGTTTCAATTTCAATGATATCAACTTTTACAAGTGGCTTTGGGGCTAATCAATTTGTCATATTACTTGATCGCGCCACCGGAAATACTAATAGAAATAATAAAAACTAGAGAGAAATGCTAAAAAAAAGTAAAATGAACTACTTCAATTATAAAAATAATTATACTTAAGGTACCTTTCTCATTTAGGCAAATTTTTTTGTTTCATAAAATTGAAAAAAAAATTACATCAATTGAAATTTTGATATTAATGATAAAGGCGGATAAAGGCATTAAGAAAAATAAAATCTATTTATTGTGATACAATATTTACTTAAATTGTGTAACCTTTTGGATTAAAATGATATTAATAAATTGATCATTAACGGCTACGCCTGAGTTATATATTTGCACAACATAATCATTTCTTGTTTTCCACCTCCACCCACCGCAATTAAATTCTTACAACTTCATTAACTCTCTTCTGATGTATAATTTTTTTTAACCAAAATTGTCATTTGCAAATGGAAATTTTAAATTTTTGAACTATATTCTTTGAGGAGAATTGCATCAGAAAAGCAGCATTGATGCCGCGATCCATGTTTGTCGACACTGAAATTGTTACATAAAAAAAGAAGCTGCCCCCGCCGTGGGTATCGAAGTGCGACGGCGTCGGACACACAAGATTGCATATTACGGAGGCAGTAGTAGTTTCAGCGAAGTCTCTTTGCCTTGTTTCTTGGGCGTGGGGACGACAGCAGAGCAAAAATGAACGAGAAGGATGGGGCGTGGTTGGAATTCAAATAGGATCGCCGCGATGGCCACTTGATTGAGTATAAAAAGGGCGCGCGTTGCTTCACGGATTATCAGTTTGCTCTGACCAACACACACCTCCACATCAAACATGCAGGTGAGTGCGCTCTGCAATTTTCTTAAAGAGAAATTGACATTTCCCTAAAATTTCAATCGTTTCATTTTTGTTTATTTAATTTTTTTTCCTAATTTTTATTTTTCCGAATTTTCACTAATTGATTCTAATTTTTGGTGCAGTTCCTCGTTGTCTTCGCCGCCGTCGCCGCCGTGGCCTCTGCCGGAACCATCGTTGCCCCCTACAGCACCGTGGTGCGCGCCCCCGCCTTCGACAGCGCCGTCATCAAGTCTGACCGCATCGGAGGCAACTTCGCCTACAGCACCGCCGAGAACCACGCTTACGCCGTCAACACCCCCATCGTCCAGAACGTCGCCACCCCCGTCGCCGTCTCCTACTCTGCCCCCGCCATCGCCGCCGCCCCCCTGGCCTACAGCGCTCCTCTGGCCTACGCCGGCTATGCCCATGCCTACCCCGCTTACGCCCACGCTGCCGCCCCCGGCGTCCTGGCCCTGTAAATTTTTTCCCGCCAACATTAATTTGACGGTGACTAATTAGTTGACGACCGTCGCTTCACAATTCCCGGACATTTGCTCAAGGTTACGGTTAGAGATTTTGTCAGCCGGCATTGGTTGTGCGCAATGTTTTGCACGCAAGCCGTATGTTTTTTTTCCGACACGGTTCGGTCTCGAAATGAAGGTGCCATGATATGAATTTACCTTCCAAAGGTTCTCTCTCACACATACTGCTAGGTGGTTCCTCAGGCACAATACCTTTCTGAGATCTGAATATTACAAAAAAGAAAAATTGTCCATCAACACCATTTAATTTATGACTATAGCTTGTACAAAATAAAGACACGAAAGAACTCATGGTGAAATAATCGAAATTTCCTTTCAAAATCACTTACCAATTATGTTACACCAACGAAGAACTGATAGTGATTAAAATAAAAAGGTTCTTAGCAAAGCAAATTAACATTTTAATCAATTTGAAAACCAAAATAATTTAAAAAAAAAATCAATTTCAAATTTCAATAAATAAGAAAATAAAAAATTCATTTTTTTTAGCATGCATTATTACAACCATCAATTTGGGTTATGGGTTGATCGTTATTTATAATTTTTGCTTCATAAATATTTCTTTGCGAAAGACATCAATCACTTGAGTTTCTTTTAAATAAATGATGCCTACGAATACATCCACCGGTTCTAGTCCGATCACTGAAGTAAAGCTATGTTGGGTGCAATCATTACTGGGAATACTACATGTTGTAGGCGCCCACCTTTTTTTTTATTTTAATCACAGCATCATTTTTTTATTATACATATTACACAGATTTAAAAAAAAAAATATCAATAAAATTTTCAATATAAAAACGTCCCTAGCACAAAAATTAAAGTAAAAAGATATGCCATCGACGTATCAGGGGTGCCAAGCGGTCACCCATCCAAACCCACCCTGAACTCAACGCTGCTCAAACTGAAAGATGTTTTGGGGACCGGTCAGAGCAACGTGAGGTCGTCGACGACGAGATATAAGGGTGTGTTTAACAGTAGTGATTATAATAGTTGCACAGAGGTACAAATACAATAACTGAATAGTTGTTAAAGCATTCTTTAGTTATTTCATTGTTTCATAGCAGAAAAAAACAACATACAAGACGTCTTAAATAACCCCCCTACTTATAAAAATCAAATATCCATAAATATCCTACGATCATAAAATTTAAAAAAAAAAATTGAGTGCAGTTAGATGGGAACAATGCGAGTTTTAAGGCGCTTTCTATTTTAATTTTTGTTATTATTGGGAACTTTTTTACCCTCCAATAAATTCAAACATTTGAGAGATATTAAAAATTCTTTTATTAAATATTTCAAATAATTAATTAATTAATTTCATTTATTATGATTCTTTCTTTAATTCACTACAAAATGTGATTGTTGCAATCAAAAACCGCTAAAAACCTGTTTTTGCTTCAATTTACAAAACTTGAAAATACCTTGAATTACACGGAATCACACCAGGTAATTAACTCCAAAAGTTTATCAATCAAAATATTTATTAAACACGTGTGTACGACATACAAATGGTAATGCAATTTACAATGTTTATGTCCGTATTTTTAAATTTCCCAGCGTATGAAAAAATCGTAGGGAAAGAGCAAATATTAAAAGTTAAAAAAAGGTGGGCGCCTACAACATGCAGTGTTCCCAGGCGGTCACCCATCCAAGTACTGACTGCACTCAACGTTGCTTAACTTCGGTGATCGGACGAGAACCGGTGTATTCAACGTGATGTGGTCGTAGGCATTTGCGGAGATTATGGGACAAGGTAGTGTTTCGTAATCGGCTATCTTGGAAGCTTGCAACGAACAAGTCGGTGCTGGACCCTGGCGGGAGAAACTGGAAACAGTTCATCTAGGTTTTGTCAGCATGGGCCACTGTATGGGCAAAAAGTGGTCCTTTTTTGTGGGGTCAGCGCTGTAAGGAGAGCACCGATAGCTACGGGCTATTAGAATTCCTCACTCTCATTACATAACCCAAATTACGAGCGAAACCGGCGCTTCTGGTTTCCAATTCCAGTCTGTTATATATTGAGACTCTCCTTTTGTAAAAATACCATCGTCCAGATTTATAATATGTTTGTTGAATATAACGAATATAAAACAAAAATTGGATAGAAAAAACGGAAAACACTAAACAAAATTTTTATGTATTTGAAAAATAAATCCAATAAAATCTGTTTGTAAAAGAAATCTGTATCTGTATTATGTTAATATCTATAATGAAAATTATACATAAATCAGAAAGTTGAATAAATAAATATATTATGTATAATTATGCAATTAAATAATTTATTTAATTAAGTAACTGAATTATTATTTTAAATTTTTTAAATGCAAAAATTTCAAGCTTTCATTAGATCGAAACAAATATTTGAAAAATTATTTTCGCAAAAAAAGCGTAATAAAAATTTCTTTGGTGAATTCTTGTGATGTTTTCCTTTAGCAGATTTTTTTACCAGCATTTTCTCTGCAAATAATTCTCTCATTTCACGGCGGGCACCAAATAATAGATAATTTGGCACGAGACGAGACCCTGCGAGTCGCGAGAGAGCTAAGGAGGTCCCAGGTTCATTGATCTGCAGCTCTGTTGGTGCCTCGGTGGCTCCCTCTGCGGGCTGACCTGACGGTGCAACGGCACATTCAGGACGCCTCTCCGAAAGGAACTTTTTTCTTTCTCCTTCGAGCCGCATGGCGCATTCTCTTCCGAGGTTGTGAGCCAGCGTGAGTGCTAGTTAAATTTCGTGCAGTGATTTATTTCTGTCGTGTGCCATTTTGGAAGGAGCAGAGGAAAATTTTGGATTACCATTTTTGAGGTGACTTTCCATTTCTTAAATATCTAAATTTTAATTTGACGATTCATTGAACTTTTATTTGGAGATGAAATTTAATTTCTTATTTTCTCAATTAAATATTATCTTTAATTTAAAAAAAAAATGCGGTAATTTGATAATTTGGATCTGCTATTTCTTGGCATTTATTTTTTTGTGTTCAATATTTTCTTTTCTGTTTTAAATTTAATTTTCCGCTTTGCCGATTTTAAGATTTCGCACCGATTCATATAAATTATAAGTAAGTGGTGTTATTACAGGTAATATTAATCACAAAATTAATGAATCAGATAAAATGTAAATTTCTTACATAACCGAAGTATGTAATGTTTATGAATTTGGACGTTCCCACGAAAGGAAGAAAAGTACAAACACTTTTATTGCCTCCGTTTAAATAATTTTCGTGCCATCTTGATTGAATTTTATCAGGGAGAGCATAATTCATAAATACATTACAAAACTCTGCAAGGTGATTCAGGAAACAGATAAATAAACCGCGGAATAAATCGCAATTTTTCAAGAAAAAATGAGGACGCGTGTGTTTGTTAAAAATAACCTCAATTTGCAATTTTTTTTAAGAAAATTGTTTCCAGGAAATCAAATATAATCGTGAGTTAGAACAAAACATCAAAATATAAAGAATAATTTTTCTGCTTGCAGTGTAAATTTATATCTCTCGCCGAAAAATCTGCTAGTCAAATGTGCTGCGTTGAATATGACATATGACGTGATATTCACACGCTTTCGCTAGACCCAGGGATTTTTTCATTGTTTTGCATATATGCGTATACAATCATTTTTCCATTTTTATTTATTGCCTCATTGTCCTAAGGTTAGTCGTTTTGCTCCATTGGAAACTCATTTGAATACAAGAAGACCAAAAGACTATTATTATTTTTATCGCCATGCAAATTACTCTAATATTTAAATTTAAAATTCACTTTCCTATTTTGACAGGGACATCTTTATTTAAAAAAGCTTATAAATTTTAATAATAAAAATTAATTATTTATTATTTCTCAATATTTTTTTCAAATAAAAACTATCTGCTAAATCTTATAATCTATCGAATAATAATAGTTCCATTGTATTGTTCTTTTGTCGCACTTAAGAGTCGTCGCCGTTCACTTTTCATCACAAAAATAACCATTTCCAGTCACCCATAGCTTCCGTGGCACGTTATTATTGAATTATCAGAGCTGGCTTTACAAGGTAAAGGAACATTCTTTCCATTTGGAGGTGCACTGCACGTAAGGCGCATACTTTCTCTCTAATGGCGCGGTCCTAACATGTTGCTTCGAAAATCCACTCTGCACGGGCGCCAAATCGAATATTGTACAAACTCCACTTCTTACATAGAGAGGCAATTTGTTGAGCAACACATAGCCAGACATTTATGTCTGAAATGACGGGCGCCTTGTTGAATAGGAAATTGGGAAACACGCTCCAGCAAACGCAAGCGGAGGCCAAGTTTTTTAAAATATGGTCATAATTGGAAGGGAAGGTTAAATGAATCTTGAAAGCGAGTCTCTGGAATCTATAATCAACATACAATTTTTTTAGCATGTGTCAGGCATCCCAAATTTTGCTCAAATTAATTTGATAATTTATAATTCATTTGATTTTTTTTGTAAGATTTTTAAATTTTTAAAACTACAAAAAAAAGCTCATGAATTTTTTTTTTTAAGTTGAGCTTTTGCGTTTTAAAATTTAAAACATAAAAGTATCAGAAAAATTTCTAGTTTATGCGTCTTGCATTGCAGTGTTTATTTTATTAGTAAATTTGGCTGCTCATAATTTGTTATTTTATCATCTAGTTTTACAAGGGAACATAAAATTTTATGGAAAATTTTTGCCCATGTTTTTTTTTCCCATCACGCAATATTTTGCTAATGGAGCTTCTTAAACTTTTAAAAGCTGCTGCGCTGAGTGCCACAACGGGCATTACGTTTCGGCCGTAAAGTTCTGTTTAATCCCTATAAATGGCTTTTAACTTTTCCAAGGCTAAATTTTAATGATTTTGCACGCTTGTTGACAAAAGTGCTTCAAAACAAAACTGACATTTTGCACAGCAGAGCGGGGACACTTAAAACAATACACAAGGCCAGTTGACACAGAGAAAAAGAGAGACTTGCACGTCTGCATTTATGAAGTAATCGAACAATTTCGTTCCATCTAAGGCCGCTTGCGATTTATGGGCTGACCTTTGATTGCCGATGAAATTAAATTGGTCTTTGCGAAAGCATCGATCGACGAGATAATTTTTTTGATGAAATTTCTCTTCTTCTTTTCAATTCTCCACGGGCAGTGAAATTTAATTCATTTAAAATTATCGAATGCGGTTTTAATTACGTCGTTTTATAATCGTCCACGCCCATTATAAAAAAAACGAACAAGATTTCTCTGGTTTTATTATTTGTCTTCGGAGAACAGGACAGAAAATTTGATAGGACGGAAAAAGCCTCAAGTACCACTTGTAATAATAATATTTAGTTGTTAAAATCCTTAGGGAGTAAAGTGTAAAGACGCAGAAAAAGGCAAGTACTGAGAAATGAGCCAAGAGGCCGCAGGGGCAAACCGCTCAATTCTCGGCAAAGTGGAATGATCAAGCAACGGGACCACGTCTGCCGAGTCCATTCCATCTTCTTCCTATATCCTATGCGTACAATATATAAATTTATTTATCTCTCTCTCGCGTGGAGAGGAGCGGCCGCTTTATGTGAAATTTTATATACGTGCGTATAAGTAGGAAAGTCCATAAATCGACGGCGCTGCGGCAGATTTACGCGGCGGCTGACACATATTTTTGCTAGGAGGAACTTTTATGGCGCTTGATTGACCGAGAAATGAGCTGAGAAGTCGGCGCTTTTATGTGCATTTTACTCTCAGCCAGGAGATAAAAATTGAACGAGATGCGATCAACACCAGCAGGAGGTCAAGATTGCTTGCAAGGATTTTATACTAAACTGGCTTTGGAGAGAAAAATTTTGCCGAAATATTTGGGGAATTTAGTTTTCACAATTCGACGCGCCCAAACCTGCTTTTTTATGAAAATTTTCTACAATTCAGGTTTAAAAAATAAATAAGAAAGCATCAACTATGGAAGAACATAATTTTTTTGGATAATTAAATTAAATTTCCAATCAACTCCATTTATTAGCGGTGGTTTTGTTTTAATTAATCTTAAAATAAGAACAAGATCTGTGTCCAAAATTGGATTTTTTTTTTAAATTTTGCAACATCAATCAAAAATTTTGTAGTGATTTGAAAAAAAAATAGATTTTGTCAAAATTTTTATTTATTTAAATTATTTTCAATAATTTTCCGTAATTTTTCAAAATCTGATGAGTAGAAATTAATAAAAGAATATATTTTTTAAATGAAAAAGTTGTTTGATAGTAACAAAAATATATTCCTTATGCAGTTTAAATTTTGCAGAGGAATTATTACCGTATTTTAACAGAGGAATTATTACCGTATTTTTACATCCACACCTACAAATGAGTTCAAATTTCAATCAAAAGCCCCATGCTGATTCTGACGCATCTGCAACCCACGCAGATGACCAAAATGAATAATCTTTCTAATTAAACCCATTTGTCCGAGACAATCAACACCTTTGAAAGCATTTTATTTTCCTTAATTAAATTTTCAAATTAATTCTTCTGCGTCTGTCTCGCAACGAAAAGTGGCCTCCAAATACGGCAGCACAATTAGAGCCAAATTGTCGGCGCCGAACAATGGTCCCAGTGGTCTCCGACTTACTACATATTTAATTATCTCTCGACAATGAAAACGCGCACTCGTGGTCGAATCGAGAGCACTCATGTATTTAATAAAGGAATCGTGGGCGTAGTCCCGCCCTGGTGATTGATCTGGATCGTGACCTGCAGGTCGGGTCGTGAAGAGAAATCGTGTCTTGCTCCTTTTCCTCGGCCGGCATCTGTGCGCAGTAAAATTACGATCGGAGACAAAAAGTATTAATAAAAACACAACGTTTTGATGTTGGCTGTTGAACCATTTTGATGGACAAGGTGTGACAAAAGTGCCGAATTTAGCTGCGTTCCCACGAGATTTTGGAAGGGGCATTACTTTTTTTTAAGAGGCATAAAATGCGCAAACTGCGAGAACAGAAGCCCGAGGGGAATTGCATCGTGAGGTATTTGAGGTTTTTAATTTGGCTTTTCGCTCATTCCGCAAACGCTTGCCAGGCAAATTGACGTAAAATGAGTCATTTTGGTATAATTTGTGCTAATTAAATAAATGGAGTCCATTACAAAGGAGGATGTTATAATACAATAATTGAAATACAGAAAGAATACATACGTTCTGAACAACGATTACGGGGGGAAAAAAGTAATAGGTAAATTGAGATTCAAGAAGATACATTATAATCACAGTATAAAACCACAAAATTCCATTAATTTTATTATAAAAAAAAAATGAAATATTGGCATAATATATTGCGATTGATTGAAAATTTGTATGGTTTTATTACATAAATTCAAAGTAAAAACACATTTTCTAAAACTGTCGTAAAAGGTGCGATTTTTTTAATACGTTTTTCTTCCATTTTTTTTTTTTTAATATTATTAATTTTTGAGTAAAATAGTCTTCCATTAGATACAATGTCATTACTACAAAATAAATTATGAACTCATTTCAATTATTTCTTATGAATTTTCCTGAATTAAATATATTTCTGAACAAAGTAATTTGAACATTTTTTTTTACATTTAGGCTTCAATAGGGAACTGTCGTAATAGAAAATGAAAATTGCGTTTAAATACTTAAACCTGCACACAATTTCATTATTTTTGTGTTTGCCTAGTAAACTTACAAGGTTAGTGTTTACACTTGAGGAATACTAACAAAGCAGCAAGAAGTGCAAACAAAGGCTAATGAACGTATCTAGCAAGATAATGGCATGACGACGTGCGAGATAAAATCGAGGCAGGCAGGGTAGTAGATTAGTGGCTAGTTGCGCACCTGGCCGCAGGGCGACGAGGGCGTCGCGAGCTCAGGGAAGCCGGCGCGCTTTTCGCCGCCGCCGACAAATTTAGTTTTATCAGACGCACGAGGAGAGGCTCGCGAGCCAGGTGTCTGAAGCACGTTTCTCGCCCACCGCATTAAAGTGCATCACAATTCGATTGATCGCAATTCACCGGCAAATTTGGATTATCTTAAATCAGGTATATAATAATTTTCCATTTTTTAAAATTCAGCTTTTAATTTTGTAAAAAAATGTATTTTGTTTTTGATCGCCCTATTTTCCTTAGTATCGCGAGGTGTAAATTTGTAGAGTGAATTTATCTTTGATGAAAAAATAATTTCAAACCTCATGTAGGTTAACGTTTGATGTTTTGGTGTAAACTAGGAGAGATTTAGGAAAATAATCCGCGTATTTCGTTTTTCACATGCTTCGCGAGATGCTGTGGAAACGGTGACAGAAAGAGCTGGAGGAAAAAATTCACACACTTTTTAGTCTTTCGATCTCGAACGGATGGTGAATGTGAGTTAATTAGGCTAGAGGAAAGCTTCCAAACAAACAAACAAAGAAGCCGCTTGCGCTATTTTAATAAAACTCATATTTCTGCCTTGAAAATAGACGTGACGACGTCCCTCATTTGCATTGAATTAAAATATAACAATGTCTCTGCTTAATTTCTTAAATTTGAAAGCTTCTTTCTACTAATTAATTTGTCTGAATATAATTTTTTACAATATTAAATTTACATAGCTGCATAAAATTCCTAGGATTTTGAAAGAGTTACTCACAAAACCTTTTTCAGTTTGAATACTTTTCTTTGTGTTACATTATAGGTGCCGAGCTCGCTATTTACTTTATCAACAAGTGCGTCCCTTGTGTTTTCAAAACAGGTGCACGCCGGCTTGATATTCCTATCATCCTTGGCGATTAGCGCCTCCACCACTATTCCTTTGAAAAAAATTATTCTTTCGTTCTCTTAAAATAGAGGTAGAGAAGAGAAGAGTAAAATTGACTCGATTTAAAATTCAGGAAGGAAGCAGCTTTTTGGCACACACCTGTACCTGCAGGCCGGGGATGCTCGTATTTTTAAGGGGGTGTCAATCATTTTTTTTTTGTGAGTCAGCAAGCAGCGTTGCCGTGCGTGTCAGGTGGGTTGGGGAGGGAGCGTTTGGGAAAAGCAAAATAATAAAAGGGGAGGCAAAATAACACAAATCCACTGGCTGCGCGATCGGGTTTCGGTTTTTATTGTTGTTTGTCTGCCTTTCTCCAGATTAAATCGATACTTTAATTTAAGGGCGTTTTCAAATCATTCCTACCTTTGAAATAAAATATCTTGGAGATATTAATAAAAAATGAAAGGCAGGGGTTTTTTTTAAATGACCTTATTTTATTTAAATGTGATTTGGAAATTTAAATTTGTGATATTATTTAAAATAATTCCTCTTAAAGTTGAAGCTTTGCTTATATTTGAAATTATAAGATTTTCTTTAAAAAATATAAATTTTAAAGCATAAATATTAAGACTGATCTACAAGTTGCCCTGAAATGTTTGTATTTATTTCAAGCTCAGATTACCACTGAAATTTTATAGATATTTGAAATTATTGGAAGATATAAAGTTCATTTTGTAATATTTGCACTTGGAATATGAAACTGATAAAACTAAAATCGTGCAAGTTTTCACTTTCTAAAAATTTAATCTCTTATGATCCTTGCTGGTGAATCACGGGTCTTCAAAATCGGATACTTCCAGGCAAACAGTTTAGAATTTCATCTCGGGGATCGAATAAAATGTGAAACGTCAGCGTAATTCACTCTGTGACCGAGAATGTAGCGTTTCAAGCAGCTCGAGCATATTTTACATGTATATTTTTTTTCTCCAAAGCTGCATTTTCTCACACATGAGCAAATATTTGCTCTCAATTCGTCATTCCATCCATTGACATAATTTCGCCGCGCCGCCGGCAGCAGAAACGAGATTAAGGCTATAAATAATCGCGGACTGAAAAGAGGAGCAGCGAAATTCTCTCCTTCCTAGATATATAAGTAAAATCATTTCGATTATTGTATATTTGCACAATGAAAAAGGCACGTGGCTCTTTCTTTATGTAATTCTTGAATTGCTCATGCCCTTTTGTTGTGGGCAACTCGCTTCCTGAGCGAGATCCATTTCCAGTTCGCTCGCTCATTCACAAAGTGCGAGTTATTATTATTATTGCCGACTTGTACTGTACAAAGTTGGCGCGAAACCGTAACTACACGTAACATAAAATCGATCAGCGTTATATCTTGGCTTGTTTGCTCGGCGGCTTGGCACGACAAAAACTTGTAGCATCTACCTTGATTTGCAGCGGAAAGAGTGAGAATAAATAAAGTCGCGCGGGCCGTTACTGCGCTTTATGCAAATAATTCGATGGGTTTGTGACACTTCCAGGAAATGTCGACAAGCAGCTTTTACTGCTTTGAAACTACTAAACCAATAAACCGGAGGCTTCACAATATTATTAATTATAGATAGTTAAATTTATTGCACATTTTGTCTGCATAACATAAAATAATTAAAATTTACTCAGTAATTTGAACCAATTTTAGAAAGTTTCTAGAAATTTTTTTTTTTTTTTTAAATGAAATAAAAATAACTTTTATGCGAAGTTATCAGAAATTTTATCGCACAGAATGATAGAAATTGTATATATATATTTTAAAAATTCCAGGTTTGTAAAAATTGACTCAAGTTTTCCAATACAAATTCGAATATAATTATTAAAAACTCTACTTTTAAATTTTCTGTTTGCAGTTGCGATGAATTGGTGCACCCTTTAGAATGGCCGCTCCTTGTCTGGGGGGTGCTGCAGAAATGCAGCCGAAGGTTGTCGCCAACGGCATCACCCACCACCACCAACACACAAACTCGCGAGATTCACTCGGCTTTTCCAAAGGCCTGCTCAATGGACCAGGACAGAACAATTGCTTCCTCAACAGTGCCGTGCAGGTAGGAGAAAAAATTATCAATTGACTTTTGTCTCGCACTAAACTGAGCGGCTAATTTTGATTTCGCGCCGCCTTGATTGGACGATTAAAAAACGTCAAAATTTTTACTACGTTTTAAAAAAAGGGGTTTTCTGAAGGATCAAATTTCTCAAACTTAATCCGAGAGGAATATCGCAAAATCGAGCGTTCACGCGGGAACCAAAAAATTCAGGCGACTCCTCAGGGAGGTGAAACCTGAGAGCGTGGCGTCTCTTCTCTTGACGACGTGACGTCACTCGGTTGTTCGGCGGACGCCACCTTTTTTCCTCTATCGCGTTTGGGCTGCAGGAGAGAAGGAGAAGATAGGGTATACCAATTTACACACGTGGCATCTCAGGTAGAGAATCAAGGTTGCGTACAAAAGCCTTTTAAAAAGCATCTCGCGTCTCGCGCGCCACAGAGAGGAGATGAATTTTCGTTGTTGTTCCCTCCAAAAGCATTTTTGGAGCGCTGCCAGTTTGGAATCTTTTTTATTCCACGCACTGCAGCCCCACCGTCTCGGGATTATTGTTATTATAAACGCATCATTACTGCTCGCTTGTGGTCAAGTGCGGTTGCCGAGCCCTTCTCATTAACTCCACTGACTCGGAAAGTCAACCAAAGAGACAGACGGAGAGAGCGAAAATAATTATTTTCTGTCTTTATGACAAGACAAGTGTATCCCACAAAAGTCATCGACTCGAGATTGAAAATAATAATGCCATATAATAATGGGAAAAAACTTGAAACCGAAGACGCAAAAATAAGCAATAATTATTTTTTTAAGTTTAATTGCTTCCAAATTATTCACGGTTGGATGAAATTATAATATAAAATATTGAAATTTTATTTAAAAATAAATTCAATTTTTAAATTATTTTTACTTTGCTACTTTATAATTTTCTGTACAAATTTAAGCTTCATTGTCCCTTTAACTGTTTTTGATTCATTATTTTCGCTCAAGATTTTTCTACCGCGAAGCGACAGGAAATTTACGCAAAGTAAACTGAATTATTTGAACAAAAGAAATTAATATTTGCCTTTGCACTTCAAAGCCGAGAAACACAACTCGCTAATCAAACAGCCCGGCCTCTTTCTTTCCGAGCACAAACCAAAATGACGAAGCACTCAAGCCTCTATTTCAATAAAAGAATTGCGTCTATTACGTTGTGGCGCCAATTCGCTGAGCTTTCTAATTAAAAATCAGACGGTCCCGCCCCGCACTAACAAACACAATAAATAATCTTTCTTAATGTTTATTATAATTCCGCTGGCGAGACTCCAAACTTTATCAACAGCGTCTCCCCCACTTTTCTGTGATAGAATTTTATTGCACGTGAAGATAAAGGCGTGGTGGGTGAAATATGACGTGAGATTATTCTCGTGCCATTCGCACCTCTAGTAAATAAAATGCCGAGCAACCGCACGCTTTCTCGAAGTAAACAACAACGCCCTGTTTATTTTATTCCGTTTAAAATTTTAATTGAAGTTTCAAAAATTAATCCGTTGACGGAATATTAATTAATCAGGTGTTAATTCCATAATCCAATCAAAGGTTAGTTCTTTCATCAAGATTTTCGTTTTTTCCTCATCTTCTGAAAATTATAATCCCGCTTGGTTTGTTAAGACGAAGGTATATCTCTGCCTAAATCTGGCCCTGCCGGAATGCTACCGTGTTGGAATTAAAAAATCCATCATCGCACGGCCACTGACGGAATTAATAATATTCAGGCGTCTTTTCTCACGTGGCCACTGCCAGCGCGAGCGAGATCTATGCTGGACGCGTCGTCTCGCTGTCGTGCACGCTGCATAACCCTCCGTCGAGCAGGCGCTACGGAATTTTTTTCCGTCTCTCTGTGCACAGCAGAGACCACCTCGGAACTTCAATTAAAAATTTATCGGAATAATAATGTAAATTGATATGGAAATTGTTTCACTGACAATTATTTATCGCCTCAATGCCATTCGGTTCGTTCTCAAGGTGAAATTAAATAACCCAAAGCAAATGATTTGGAAATTTTTGGAAGCACCAGACCTCAAAAAATTTTAATTCACCCGAAATAAAACTCCAGCCTTGGAAAATTACTCGGACGATTAATCTCTCCCTGGTTAAAAATGGTCTTCCTCACTTGAATAATGTCTCTCCTGGAAATGAGTTGACCTTCCAGGGCGACAAATTAACCCTGAGAGCTGACCCGCGTTTATTTTCGATGCGGTTCTCCTCGACCACGCAAGCGAGCGTCTCTCTTTTTTTTTAACATAATACAATTTTTCAATTCGGGCGCACACGCAATCACAAAAAATATACAAGTCCATCGCGTGCTCGCTCAATCAGAATATAATTTCGCTTTATGGAGTCTGCCGCGCCGAGTTGTTCCTTCTCTCTTGTAATGTAAAATGCATGAGATTTTCAGCAGAAACGCACCTGGTCGCCGCAATAAAAGGAAAAGTTTGATGCAAAAAAAAAGTTCCGATCGCTTTGTTTCAAGGCTTTTTCCTTCCACACCACTCGCCGATCTGCGATATATGAATAATTTATAATTTATTTCTCCATTCACAAAACTGCAAAATATATAAAAAAAATTCTTTAACTCTTAATTATACTGAATGCAGTTTTTCCATCTTTAAAAATAATTTTATTTTTTCAAGAATAGGTTTGCAGTTCCGATTTCTCTTTTGGGGAAGAAACTCGTCTTTCTGCTCGCTCGCTTCAGAGGGGGAAAAGTAAAAAGTCCGCCCCTGGCGAGTAAATAAAAAGCGTCCTTTTTCTTCTCAACCTGATGCACCTCCAAGTGCATCTCACTGCCCACCTGTATATATGTGCGCTAGGGTAGGAGGAAGGGGATTATTTTGTTATTGTGCTGCGAGGAAAATAAGAGAGCCAGGTAAAAAAGTCAGTGGGCTGTGAACTCCTTATATTACAGGTACGCGGGGTTGCCGCTTCTCCTCCTCCGTACCTATGTGCAGGTTCAAGGGCAAAGTGAGAGAGAAAGAAGGAGAGGAGGGACTTTGTGTGATTCTGCCTGGCTCGCTTGCTCGCGCGTCTACCTCTTCTTTACACCGGCGAGTTTATTATCATGTTTTGTCCCAGCCAGGGAAAAAAGCTCCATCGTCCCCCATTGTTTCGCATTCGCCAAGCTAATAAAGAGAGGCAGACGGGGGCACATAATAATTTATGGCTCCTTTTTACAAATTCAAATATACGCTCTTTTTGCAGAAGCGCTTTTGGCAGCGCTTCTGGGAAAATTGAATTCAGTCTGTGTGACCGGAAAGTTTGATTTGTTGTTTCCTCAGAACCTCTGTGTTTATTCTTTGAATTAGTTTCTGATTGCGGGGGAGATGAGATTAGATTTACAAATTTAGTTTGAGAACCAAATATTCTCAATATTCTCAAATATTACAATAATTATTTACTTCAATTTTTAAAATTTTACTAATCACAATTTTTCCATTATTTATTATTTAAAAATCATATTTTAATTTATAAAATGGGAATTAAATTGAATTATTTTTTAATTTTTCCGCTTCCTTCGCTTTTGTAGCGCACGAAATTCTTTCCCGGCTTAATCCTTATTCATACTCGGCTTTAAGACGAAATTCATTAAGAGGCTTTAAAATCTCTCCAGTCATGATCAAACATTTGCGTTGCCTTTTTCTGCACTATTTTCCCAGGCTAAAAATTAATCTCCCATGCGCAGCACGGTGGAGATGCACAATAATAATAAAAGTCCTTATCCGCCCATTTATTCGGTCCGGACTGTGAGAAAATCGAGCAGATGCGCCGCTCCGAAAACTTCTCTGCCTTTGTTGCTACCACCTACGCCCTGTGCACTGCGAGGCACAGATTTCCACATTCGACTGCATCTTTTTTCCCTCGACCTACCACCCCTCCTTTCAGGTGCAACAACGGACAAAGAGCGAAAATCGACCGTGCACTTCCAAAGGCAGCGAGCAGCGTCCCCCCTGTAACGAAAAACAAAATCCACCGACCGCGACCTGAGACACGCAGCCGATTTTACTGCTTCTCCGAAAACCAAACTAATTATTCAGATTTTGTGTCGGGGTGAAAAATGGTCTAGTTTCACGCTTGTCGCAAAGAGCAAACAGCTACGGCTTCGCTGGGGGGCGCAGGGATGATTAAATGTGACGTTGGACGCGTGACAGGACAGAGAGTTTTTCGGTTCCTAATTTTCTATTTCTGATCTTTTTAGGTTTACAGTTATTGTAATATTATTTCAATTTCAATTTGTTTTCCAAATGTTGTAAATTTAAAAAATATTTGTTGTTTTTTCCTAAACAATTACATAACAACTCACAAAATTCATTGAGGGAAAGCCGATTTTAAATACACCATGAATCAACCCTCGATCGTGAACTTTTACCACAAAAAAAAAATATTCAATAATATTTCTGAATTACATCTATGAAGAAATAAATAAATTAAAATAAGGAATATTTAGTTTCATCTTGTGGTAGAATTTCACGATCGAGGGTTGATTCGTGGTGATTTGAATTTAAATTCGGCTTTTCTTTTGATGGGTTTTGTGAGTTTTTTTTTTATTGTTTAAAAAATCAATATATCCTGCTCTACATGTTTCAGCTGCGGGCTGCAGCCTTAATTCAAAAGCTGTGAAATTATTTTGACAAAATTTAGTACATAAAATAATTGTTATCAAAAGATTTTTCATCAAATAATAATTTTTTCAGTGACAATTTTTTCACTCAACCACAACTCAACAACAGCCGAAACATGCAGAGCAGAATATTTTTTTTCTTGAACAATAAAAAAAAACTCATAAAACCCATTGAGGAAAAGCTGAATTAAAATTCAAATAGCCATGAATTAAAAATAAAAAAAACATTTTGTCTTAAAAATTTCCCTTTGTTCTGAGCCTAAAAATAATTCCTCTCTCAGGCATCTTAAGAAAACATGATTAATTTGAATGACCTATAATCCAGAATCAGAAATAACAGAATGTGTCCAAAGTTCCGTATTTTCAGCCGAACAAAATGCATAATAATGCCACTCGATTGTGGGAATTTCAGCACATTGAATAATTGGCATAAGGCGAGCATGACGGACGAAAAACAGAAAATGACAAAGACTCTTCTTATGAAAAAAAGAAAGGCACTCAATAGTGAATAAGAAATGAGGACAATCTCGCTCGCGTCCATACGCCACGAGAAAGAAAGTCGTGCCAGAGCCGAGGTCAAAGGTCGCTCATCAGGTCCGCCCCCACCTGATGCGCCGGAGATCTGTGCGTCCCGCGATGGGAACTGAGGTTAATTTGTCCAAATTAAGCCGGCGATAATGGTCTTATGGGAAAAAGACGACAGTGTTTTCCGGTCTGCAGGCGAAGGGGGCGAAGCCGCCGCGGGTTTCCGGCCGAAAAGTTGCTCCTCTCGTCGGTCACGCCACAACGAGCTCACTCATCGACCTCGCAATTAGCGCTCGTCATTATGCACCTGCTTTGCGAACACTGCACAGAGAAAGGAAAATAAAGATTGGCCCTTTGACTGTGTTTCGCTGACTGCGCCCGAGAGAGACACGATTGATCGGCAGGCGTTTAGCGTTTTTGACACCCGCCTGGGAATTTCTGGAGGAGATTTTCGACGGCCGTTTATGAGATAATTAACACGTACTCTCACGCACAATTGCGTTTGTCTTCTTTGAAATAATGAAAGAGGCAGAGACAGAAAGAAAGAAAACGGTTTTGTCAAGCGGTAAAATTGGAGATTTGCATTTTTTTAAGCAATGAAAAATATACAATTGAAGAAAATAAAATTTCAGTTGGTATAAAGAAGACTAAACACAACTCATAAATTTTTTGATATAAATTGGATAAGTATATTAAAAATTTTAAAAATCATTGCCATTGTCTATTTATAATAGAAATTCAAGCATTTTATAACTGCTATCTAAATTTTACCAAAGTCATCATCGCAGAATTGAAAAGTACACAAGCTATGAGTCAGAGATCAAGGAAATGTGCAATCTTATTTTATTTTCATTCCTTAATCTAAATATGACCCACTTTCAAAACTATACACCCACTGCGTTCCATTTTGATTTATCTTTAAATTTTTACAACAAAAGGTTCACGACGTGAATAGTTTTCGGAAGCCAGACAAAAACCAAAACCAGCTCGGCCTAGGGGGACAAAATCGCGAGCAGGCATTTAAATTGGGCAAGTCTCTCTTGGTTTTGTTGTGATTGTTGTGCCGAGAGCGCGGCGTGTGGCGTCTCAGGTCGCAGAGATTTACAAGTCAGGGTCCATTGGCCCTACTATGCGCGGCGACCAATCAGCGTGGAGACGCGAGGTTACTCCACAACCAGTTTGCCAGACTCACGCTGTTGTCTTGTCGCCGAGTGAAAAAGCCCCTTCTTTCTTCGCGAGATCTGAGCGCCAACTCGCACGGCGCATGCGCCACCTTCGCTCAGGTCGCTCGGTGTGCGGCGATTTTACAACATCAGCCGCCTTTTAATTTTCGCCGAGATCGGCGCGATGCACTTTTCCTCGGAGTGAGAACGTTCTGGATCGGCCGGAAAATGCGGAAAATGCGTCTGCGTCGCGCCACCTACCAAGTGGCCAAGGTAGTTGAACCCACCCTGACTATACCCTGAGAGAAAAATTAGAAAATTACGCTCGATCTTGCTGAAAGAAACTGGTGGACACGCCTTGCCGATTCACTTTTAGTACCGCCGCAGTTTCCTGCAATTATATTATTCTGCTCCTTTCAGTTTTTCTTTCTCTTTCATTCATTGTCAGTTGCGCTAATTGCCCTTTTTTTATTCGTTTCAGGTTTTGTGGCACTTGGACATCTTCCGCAGGAGCTTCAGGGAGCTCTCCGGACACGCATGCATGTCCGACTCGTGCATCTTCTGCGCGCTCAAGGTGAGAAAAAGCAAAATAAAAAACTTTCTTACTGTCGTACCTTCGCGAAGGAAAAACTCGTTTGCTCATTGAGTGCCGCCGTTCTGAGAATATTATGCAAAAAGCGGTGCGACACCGCAGAGCAGGAAAGTCAATTGCAGTAATTGTCGGCTCGGAGCCTTTCGCCATGAGTCAAAGTTGAAAAATGCTCCTTATTGAGAAAGTCACAGAGAGCAAAATAATTGTACTGCTTTTTGTTTAATGGATTTTTAATTTTAATTCAATTTTTTTTATAAAAATAATTATCTCAAAGCTTAATTTTATTTATAAATAAAACTAAAAATTATGGGATTTTTTAAACCCATAAATTTATTGAGATTTATAAATAAAAAAATTTTAATTTTTAACATCTGCAAATGCTTTGAACAATTTCACACACGACTTGAATATTTTCAATCTATGTTTGGATTCGTTTAACAGGCTTAATTAAACAGCGTGGGTTTCAATTAATAAGCGTTCAAATCGGGATTCGCGTTATTTCCTTTTTCGTGTGCGGCGCCAATTCGCAATCCCGCCAAAAGAATATATATATATCGGTGTCTAGACGCGCAAAAGGCGGGCTTCTGCAGACCCGTGGGTTGGTTGAGCGGTGGTGGCAGGCGGGTGACCTCGCTCGGTGCTCAACACGATGGTCACCAACTCACCACGCAAAACGCAAAGCTGGAGAACAATCGCTCCGCAGCTGCAAAAGCTGCGATAGAATTGTATTTACTTTCAAATTAAGCTCGCTCATGACTCGACGCTTCGAGCTCAAGTACACTTTGTAAAATTGTGTACCGAGTGTTGAACGCCCGACTTAAGTTACAATATGGAGATGATTGTTCATTTTTTAAGGATGGACATTAGCGTTTAGAATTACCTAGGGCTTTTACTGAACTAGTTTTAAGTTTACACAAGAGATAATTTTAATTTATAATCAAATATAGTATGGAAGTGAAGAGATCGGGCTTTTCCTTTTTGTAATTTTTTTTTATAAAATATAAATATATAAGAAAAAAATATATAAATACAAATAATTTTTTATTTATTATAATTAAAAAAAAAATAATGAGTCTGCTGCAAAGTTTTTTGTAAAATTTTTGCAACTCCAAAAAATATCAGTATTACGTACCAGATAAAAACGCTTATTTCCACTTGAATGTTTCCAAACAATAAAATTAAGAGATTTCAACGCTTGCAATTTTAGCACAATAGTAATCGAAACGCGAACAATCAGCATCCTTGCTCGCCGCGTTCAGCCCTTTTTCCTCGAAATTCTTCACTTTCGTGGCAAAATAAATCTTTGTTGGCCAATCTGAAAAGCTCCCCGCCGGCCGGAAAATCGCAACAGAGGTCTCTTGTCTGCATAAAGCACGCAATCAAAAGGCGCTCGCTCGATTTCAACACGACTCTCGGCTTTTCATTTTATATATTCTTTGTATGTACTACTCCATAAAGCCATCTCAACTTACATCGAACGAGCGCGGGAGTGAAAAGAAACGACTGTGGGTGGAAAAAATACATGGCGCTCGGTGCCGAGCGAGAGAAAGAAAAAAGGAGCTCGACGAGAAACTGGAGAGCCGAGTATTATAATAATATACAGTTTGCGACCGGCGGCACATCTTGCTTTCTTGAGCTGGTTTGGCGCGTGACATCGCAGCCTCATATTTTAATTATCGCATTCGCGGCTTGTTTTTCACGTGCCGTCCTGCGGCTCTTTTGATAATGAACCACTTTTTCTCCGGACTGCTACCAATTAAATTGGACAAGATAAAAAAATATACAATTCAATTCTTTATTCTTAATTGGTGCATTTCAAATCAAAGCTTTCACCAAATAAAGTTTACGGTGCAATATTTCATCAAACTAGGGCAAGGAGATGAGCTAGAGTTTTTTTCAAGACTTTTGTCTCAGTTAGCTTTTATTAGATCACGAAAAGTTGCAGATGTTGTTCCTTTAGTTTTTTTCCTTGCGCAACCCAGGTGGTTCTCGTTTTTAAACGCGTTTGGGCATGAAACGAGTGCGGTTAATCCACTTGAGAAGTTCATCAATGTGCATCGAAATGAACGTGAAACAATATAGTCGGCGGTGATGATTTGAACGCTCGATTTGGTCCATTATAAATGGCCGTGTGGGTCGTGATGTTGTGCGATGCGTCACAGAGCATCTTCAATTCGCTCGTGTTACATAAAGGAGGCCTCCCGGGTGGGTGAAAGGCGCAGAGATCGCGCAGCCTGAATCATCTCCGCAGCATTTCCTTCCTCGTGAGAAGCCCAAAGTCTTTTAAAATATTATACAAAGAAATCAAGAGAAGTCCTTGTATGGGAGGTGCGAAAGGGTTAATGGTGGCAGAGATTTTTTATTTTTCCAAAGCGCTCTGCCGAAGCGTACGGATTTTATTTATGAATTAGTCACGCGGTTATAAATGTTATTAATCAATCTTTTGATGCATCTTGGAGGCCCTTTTGTGGTTGGAAGCGAATTCGAACTCATCTCAAGAGAGGGCAATTGAGCGGACATTGATTGCCGTTTTTAATAGCTCTTTGCCAATTATTGCTGACAAAGAGTCAAAAGTCAAAATTATTTAACACCAGAAGGCGTAAAGTTATTTACAAAATTTTTGAAAATTCTACAAAATTGGACACACAGCTCCGTGGAAAATGGAAGAGTGCTGCTTCTGTCTTGATCACGAGAATCGTTTTAGTATAAGTTTTAGTGCCGGGGTCCATTAAAAATCAATCTCGGTCGAAGGATTATAAATTTTTGGAAGGCCAGAAATAATTTTCCTTGTCCAAATCCTATTTAAGCATCCCGAAAAATTCTCACGGTCCTTGTTAGGATAGACTCTGGCAGTAGAGCACGCTCGATGCGGCATAATTGATTTTGGATTTTCAATCCTGAGAAGCGCACTAATATAATCTGCAGGTATAGAATCCATCATAGAAGCCGTCACGCGCACCATTAGTCGCTTATCTGCGCCTAAACGTCCGAAAGCTTTCAAAAAAATACTAGAGGCACTCACGGGCGGAGAGGGAAAATCGGGTTCGAAAACGAGTCACTCAGGTGGTCCAGGGACGCGAGATAAAACAATTTTCCTGCTCGAGCCATTAGCCGGTGACATATGGGACGCACCTGACAGTCAGGTATACGTACAGACAGGTGCAATTAAGGTTGCCGCACACAAAAAACTAAAACAAGAGACGCGAAGATGAACAAACATGCGGGTCGACGTGCAGGAAATTTGATGTTGCTGGCGAAATAATTTTGAAGTTACGAGAATAAGTGCTGGCCGGTTTCTTAACAAGTACGTCTTCTGCTTACAGGAGTTGTTTGCCCAGCTGCAATTCAGCCAGGAGGCGGCGCTGCCACCGGACGCCCTTAGGAGGGCCCTGGCCGAGTCGTTCTTCAACCAGCAGCGTTTCCAGCTTGGATTCATGGATGACGCAGCAGAATGCTTCGTAAGTTAATTTTTTCACATTTAAAAGATATTATAAAATCAATCACACTAAATTTTTATAATTCATTTAAATGTAATTTTTAATTGCAATACGTTCATTTTTAAGCTATAATTAAAATAAAATATCAAGCAATTTTTTATTTGTTATTTAAGTTTGTTTTAATCGTTGATTGTCGAGTTACTTATTGTTCCGCATTTTTACAATCCCATTGTTAACAATCAATTATTGAAAAACAATTTTCATTGTATTCTGGAACATTGATAAGTTTTTTTACTTATTTTTGTATAAATTTTATTTTTCGTCGTCTCATTCGTCTCCCATCTGTGATTTGCAGGAGAACATTCTGCTGCGGATCCACTTTCATTTGGCTAGCAACGAGCCCGACGACATGTGCAATGTCGAGCACTGCGTGCCGCACCAGAAGTTTGCAATGACCCTGGTCGAGCAGAGTGTGTGCGGGGCCTGTGGAGCCACCTCGGAACCACTTCCATTCACACAGGTAAGAAGCAGTGAATTAATTAAACGCGATCCCTTATCTTACGAGAGTTGCTTTTGTCATGGGAAAATGAACACACCGTAATTGCGCGTGGGTACCAAAGTGCGAGGAAGTGTGTACGAAAAAGATCACTAGCTTGAGACGCTCTCCGCAGAGGGTAAAAGGCCAAAATTATATGAATTAAAACTAACCGCAGGAACAATTTGATTAATTTTAACTGTATATCGGAGGTTAATCGATCAATGTTAATGCAAATTCATGCTTCATTTTATATCCTGGGAATTTTTAGAAACGCGCTCTTTGTTCCTCCAAAAGTTGCTCAAAACAAACAACAATGAACTCGATTTTCTTTCTTTCTTGGCAGTGATTTATTTCCTCGGTCCCCTTTTCTATACATTTTCTGGGCGAGAACAATCCTAGGTGTCAAAAGCGAGTTCCTGGCTGGCACCGAGAAAAGTTCAACATGATTGATGGGTCACCTCGGTGGGTATAATTGGGAGCGCCACTCGGTGTCAGCCACTGATTGACTAGCCAGACCCACGTGCGATCGTTTTCGATATCATTAGTCCGCCCGACGCACTTCCTCTTTTTCTCTCTGCGATAGAGTTTGTTGCGGTTTTCGTGCCATAAAGCACTTCCGTCTACCAATCAATTAAACTGTGTACGCCGAGCCCATTCATTCACTGCGCACTGGAGGGGTGTCGAAGGCGCGCGCGAGACTGACGCATGTCGTGCTCCTGATTGCAGATGGTGCATTACGTGTCGGCGTCGGCACTCACGGCACAAGCGAGGCAGATGGCCGCCGACGAGACACCCTCGAACCACATGTTCGGCCAGCTCCTGAGGAAGGCAGGTGGAATGGGCGACATTCGTGACTGTCCCGTGAGTATAATTAATACCAACATCAACACACTCCACCGTTTTATTGCTCACTCGAGTGGACAATCAAAAAGCGGGGGGTGCAAATGCACATATGCAGACCAGTTGATACTTCATTAGCATTCGCAGTTGTTTCCTGTCCACCCGAAATTTTATTTATAAATTCAGGGGAGGTTGAAGTTTGAATTAATTTGGGAGATAAATTGTATCTTTTAAACAACATCAGTTAATTAATTTAATATAAATTTCTCCAGTATTTTCTTGAAAATTTGGCTTAAAAAAGACAACTGATTAATTTTTTTTTTTTAAATATGTAATTGAAAGATAAATAAGGAAATTTAAGATTTAATTCCTTCCTCAGAGTTTAAAAAAAAAATTATCAAAAAATTATCAAAAAATTAGTAAAAAAACAACTGATTAATTAAAAAATTTCCTCCTTCAGAGTCTCTGTGGTGCCAAAATCCAAATCTGCCGCACTCTGACAAACTGCCCGGACATCGTTTCCGTCGGCCTGGTGTGGGACTCTGAGCGTCCCTCTCTGGAGCACATTATGGCCGTGTTCGCCACGCTGGGCACCAGTTTGCGCCTCCAGGATGTTTTCCACAACGTAGTGGAGCGCGGTGCTGCCGGCACGCAACACGAACTGGTCGGCCTGGTCACCTACTACGGAAAACACTACTCCACCTTCTTCTTCCACACCAAGCTCCGCACCTGGATCTACTTTGACGACGCTGCCGTCCGAGAAATCGGTCCCCGGTGGGAGGCGGTTGTGGATAAGTGCAGACGAGGCCGGTTCCAGCCTCTCCTGCTGTTGTACGCCAACCCTGACGGCAGCCCTGTAAACGCAGACTTGGCGCCCAGAACGGTGTTCATGGTGCCCAACCCCAGTAAGGTGGTGCCGCCTCCGAGAAGGGCGGTCACGCCGAGCCCTGAAAAGGCCAGCGTTCTCACCGGGCCAAGAAGAGCGGTCACTCCAAATCCAGAGGCTCCATTTTATGGAGGGTGAGTTAATTTTTTTAATAGTACATATTTTTGATCTGAAATAGCAAGAGAAAATTAATACTAAACTGTTTTTAAATAATAAATTAATATAAAATTAATAATTTACTTTGAAGAAAATTTAATCAACAATTTTTTTGTAATTAAAAAATTGCTCATTTATTTTACAGTGGACGAGATTATCAAAATGTGGCTGAAATGAACAAACTGGCCGCCGAAAGTTATATCAACAGACACACTGTCCAGTCCGTCCTCAACCTTCAGAGAACAAACAGCAACCCTCTGCCGCCTCCGTCACCTCAGTCGAGCACTGGAAGTGGCGAGTTGAGGCACCGAAGGGATTCAGGAAACTGGAGTGGCGATCGAAACAGCGCCTCCTCGAGCTCGTCGACGTCCATGGAGAACCCATATCATTTCTTGGTTCACGGAAAAAGGTAATTTGGCGTCTCAAATTTAGCAGAATAAAGTTTAAAATTTAAAACAGAATTAGAAGAACTAATTTTGTGCTAATTACAGGATAACCAAGGGCCCACCGCAATCTCCACGGAGCAAGACAGCCGAGTGGGGAGTTGATCATGGCTATGATTCGTACTCCCTTTCTTCAAACGATAGCTTGCCATTGCAGCAGAATTTGAAGCATAATTTGCAGGTGTGTTCTCTTTCCTTTAAAAATTACCATCAAACAGAAATAAAAAGAATAAGTAAAATATATTTATTGAATTCAATTACAAAATTTAATAAATGACTTTTCCTTATTTTATATTTCCAAATTGGAAAAAAACCAATCAAAGTTTTTATGCATAATTCAGTAATTTAAATTTTATTTAAAAATGAAAACATAAATTAAGAACTTACTGCAATAACTTTTAGATGGAAATTATAAAATAAAAGTTGGTAATAATAATAAACTTTGATATACTGAAAAATTATCAAAGTCATTTCAGTTAAAAATAAAAATTAATTTTTAAATAATTAGATTCTAATTTAATTTAACTTTCGTTTTAGCTGGCTCAAATTCCTGAGACGCCTCACCAAGACAAAGTCAGAATGGGTTTCAATGACTGCGAAAGGTTGTGCGATGAGGCTGACATGCTGCTGAACAAGTCGCTCTTGTACGAGGAGGAGAACGTTGACCTGAACACTGCCGTTGTTCTGTGTCAGGCAGCGTCACAGAAGGCGCGCGCCGCCATGGACGCGCCTTACAACAACTCGCACACGATGAACCTGGCCATCATGAAGCACAGCACTTGCGTGATGCGGCTCAAAAGTCTGCACAAGCGGCTCGCCTCCCAAGAGTCTTTGAACGGAGACCTGGATGCGGACGGACGACACAGCAGAAGTGGCAGACGAGAGGGCCAGCATTCGCGCCAGAACTCGAGGGACAGCAACAGCAAAGGCTCCAACCACTCGAGGCAAAACAGCAGGGAGCTGCTGTACCCCCCTCCGGAGCACGTCAGACAGAGCAGCCGAGAGCTGATGCCGCCTCCGCCTGCCCCCGCTCTGGCTGGGGTGGAGACGACCATCGAGCTGTACGCCACTCTGCCGAAAAAGACTCGGAACTCCAGGGAGGAGATCAAGGTTGAAAAGTCCAAGAGGGAAAAACGGGCAAGGAGTGAGGAGAGAAAAAGGGCAGATGTCGTTGAACCTGAACCTGAGGGACTGTACAGGACTCTGAGTTCTGCCAGCATCAAGGAGGAGGACCCGAAAAAGAGCAAAAATAAGCAGCACAAAATCAGAAGGAAACTGCTCATGGGCGGTTTGATCAAGAGGAAAAACAGGAGCCTCCCTGACCTCAGAGATGACGAGCAGCAGGCGCCTCCGGTTGTTCCTCGACCGACGACACCTCAGCTCCAGCAGAGTGGCTACCTTTCCGAAGGCAGCACCAACGCTAGTCTTGAAAAAAGCAAATTCATGAGGAAGAGCAGCAGGGGTACTTTGCCTGCCAAAGTGCCACCTCCGCCGCCTCTCAGGACTTCTTCGCAGCTGACCAAGGGAGCCACCGGAAAGCCACCTCTTCCTCTTCCTGAGCCAGTCGTTTACAGCAACCTTCCCGCCTTGCAAGCTGCCATCAATAGCCCCTCTCCTGTTCCTTTCCACCAAAATCAGGCCCACTCAAATCCACCTCCAGTCGAGGAGGACTGCGTGGACTCTGCGTTGCCCCTGCCTCCGTACCCGAGTCCTCCGACTTCGGCGGTCCACTCGAGACAAGGCAGTGAGGACTTCCCTCCGCCTCCACCAAACGTCATTCAGGACGATGACATTCCCGACTCGCTACTTGCAAGACTGCAACAGCAAAGGGCGGCAATGCTGATGGCGCACCAACAGCAAATGAGAGAACCAACCCCACCACCTCCGCAACAACAGCAATCAAGTGGCGAAACTTGGCTGAAGGAACTTCAGGCCAGGCAAGCCCTTAGAAAACAGGGCAACGACCCTCAGCAGGTGACCAACAAAATGGAGGAGTTGAGGATTAACCAGCAGGGTGAGGCCAAACCTCATTACAAACCTCCACAGCAGCCGGCAGAGGAATTACGAAAGAAAAAGAAAAGCGTGACTTTCTGTGATGAGGTGACCTTAGTGGCCACTGCTGACGACAATGAGACTGACAGCTTCATCCCCAACCCCATTCTAGAAAGAGTTCTGCGCTCGGCCATGCACCAGGGCGAAACAACTTATCAAAGACTGAACGACAAGCCGCCGACGCCGCTGATGGAGCACCGAAACCACCAACAGCCCCCGGCGGAAAAGCCTCAAGGCCCCTATCAACCTGTTCCAGTGCAAAACAACCCATCGCCTTATCAGCCAGTGCCGCAAAAGCAGCAGATCTCTTGTCAGTACCAGTCTCACCCCTATCAGCAACAGCAGCAGACCTACCAGCAAAAGCCGCCAAATTCTTGCCCTCCTCCGCAGCAAGGGCCGTACCAACAGGTGCCCTACCACCCACAGCAGACCAACCCTGGTCCCTATCAGCACGTGCCAACATCACAGATCTCTTATCAACCCCCTCAACAACCACCACCGAGCAGCCCTTATCAGCCAATTCCCCACCCTGCGTTTACATACTCCAACTCGAAAACAGTGTCCACGCCAGTGATGGAATCTCGAATGCAGCACCACCCTTCCATTACTGAAAAACCACCGACACCGACCCTTTCATCTTCGCCCTACCACCACTTGCAGGAAAAACCCCCAACCCCGACCTTCTCCCAATCCTATCAGCCCATGCAAAGGGCGCCGACGCCCGACAAACAGCAGCAGATGTACATGCAGAACCAGAAGGTCTACCAAAGGGTGCCGCCGCCTTATCAGAGAGTGCCCGAGTATCAGAAGCCGCCGACCTACCCCCAGCAGCAACGTCTGCCGCCCTATTACGTGCCTTGTATTAATAATAATAATAATATCAACAACAATCAATCGGGGCAGAAAGAGTTCCCGCCTTATCAACACCCTCCGCCGCCTAACTCGAGTGCCAAGAGACAAATCAGTGCGAGCAATGGGCCGCAGAGACCCTGCAGTTTGTGCAGGAAGAAGCAAGTGAACTCGCCCGCAGTGTACTGCGTCGACTGTGACTGTTACATGTCCAGATTTCGACCGAAAACGTAGTTGTGAACTATTTCTTAAGTAATTAATTAATTGACTCTCTCATGATGCGTACCTTTACTGAAAGATCTCGCTGTGATTGATTAAAAAACGCATTTTATGTACCTTTGCCTACGCGTTCCGAAATTGTATAATATATTGAATATTTTTGTAAGAGTACAATTTATTGTAAAGTTCATAAAATATTATTAAATGATTAAAATAAAACTTCAAAATTAAAAATAAAAATGTAGTTTTCTTCCTTGTACAAAAATCAGGAACATATTTCTTTTGTTAGCATAAAATTTGAGCTATTAAAATAAAATTTTAAATTATATTACTTCTTAATATTATTATTCAAAAATTGATTTTTAAATTAAAATAAGAATCCTTTGAAAAATTGTTACCTTAACTTTATATTCTTAAAGGAAAATTGTGGAGTGCATTATTTTTTATTTCCAAGAGGAATAAACATGAAATGGGCCTATTATAACCCCCCAAATAAACAAGCGCAACAGAAATACCTGAAGCGCTAATAATAATAATACGGCTTCTCCAAATAACATTTCCCTCGGATCAATCAAAGCTCACGCAACGAAGGTCAACGTGCGTTTCCCTCGACTGCATTTTTATGTTATTTTTCATCTCGTTTTTTTTCTACCAAACAAGAAGCGATAGCCCACTAATTAAAGTCACAGATAATTGCACATCGATGAACCTTTTATTGCCGCGGAATGCCGGGGCCTTTGCCATGAAAAGTGCACAATAATAAGAAATAGCCCCTTTCAATCAATCACTGGCGCTCACCTTCTTTATCTGAGAGAAATTGACAGCTCGTTAATGAACAGGCGATAAGCGTCGGTGCAAACACGAGCTTCCAGTGACCACACGTCTTAAAATATCGCGGCTTCTTAATGTCAGCGTGCTGACAATGCGGGAAAAAGCTCATTTTTTACACAGGAAAAGCGACGCAATGATTTATCGGTTTTCTGAGATGATGAGAAATGTTGTTTACTTTTGGACACTTGTTGAAAAGTTGTTTGTTAAATACAGCTTCCCAAGGTTTCGGCCTCGTTAATATCTTAAAAAGAGTGTTAGAGATTAAAAAGTCTAAGTACAATCTACTTCATGTTATAGATAAATTTCATTATTATAGTACTATTATGAAATTATTTTACGAATAAAAAAATTTTAAAATGTATGGGCTTTTCTTTGTTGTAAAAATTGTTTATTCAAAAACAAAACAGATCCATTTATTATTGAATGAAAAACATTTTGGAAAAGCCCGACTTCTTCATTTCCATGATCATCTCCTCAAGTGTTAACTTCCTCAAACAAATTTAAAATTAATAAAAAAAATGGAAGTTTTGAAAGTCTGTAAATATGTGTTATACATACAATTTATTTTTCTTTCTAGTAAATCCACAAATTAACGTTATAAGTTATAAAGCGCAGGTAAAAAATTAAAAATTGTATTAACTTATTTGATAATTTGAACTTTGTTGAAAATGAAAAAGAGCAATAAAAGGCGGTTAATTCATCTCTGCTCTTGTGAGAAAAGCACACAAGCGTTGTGCCTTATCACCTTTGCGCCCTCGGCATTTCCTGAAATATTATTTTACATCCGCGTCTCGAGCACCACTTTGGGGCTAATCAGCGCCTCTCTTAACCCTTGCCAGCCACATGGCTCGGCCCCTTAGGTGCACTCGGCGGGCAAGGGCTGACGTAAGAAGAATGACATCACCTCCAGCAGTATATTTGATAACTCAGGCCTTCTTTCTCCTTTCGAACATCCTGCCCACGACCATCATTTTTTTCTTTTGCACACGAGCCCACAGCTTACTACTCCGAGGATGGCTACGAGTGATCTGAATGTGTATTATATTGTTCCGAGAGCGGCGGCGCACTTGCAGGTAGACCACTCGCCGGAGAAGACCACCGATAAAAACGCTCCAACATGCCCAAGTGCCCCAGGTGCGATAAGGAAGTTTACTTTGGTAAGAAAATTGTTTTCAATTCGGATGCCTAGCAAATTTTAGAATCAAACCGTTTTTTATTTATTATTAATTTCCAAAGCATTTGAGATAAGAATTTTATTTATTATTGCGGATTATTTTTCAATATTATTTGTCGTAATTAATTCCAAAATAATTATATGTTCATATAATAAGCAAAGAAGAAATTTGCATTTTGCTCGTTTGCATCATCATTAATTATGGAAAAAATTATAAGTTATAAAACGAATTAATCAAAAATTTGTTAAAAAAAATTGATTTATTAATTTTAAAATATTTTTTAGCCGAGAAAAAAACTTCCCTCGGCAAGGACTGGCACGCATTCTGCTTGAAATGTGAGAAGTGCAAAAAAGTTTTGCAGCCAGGTAGTCACGCCGAGCACGAAGGCAAGCCCTATTGCAACAATCCCTGCTACAGCGCCTTGTTTGGACCTGGAGGTAATTTTCCCTTCTGTTTTATTTAGAAACTTCTTTTCTCTCCCTAATTTCTACCTTTAGAAATGCTTTACTCGACTTGAGAGTATGTACTTGAGTTACGCACTTGAGATAAAAATTGTAATCAGCTTGTAAAACTTCTGTATTATCATTAATGGGCAGATAATTTAATATTACAATTAATTTTTAGGCTTTGGCCGAGGTGGTGCCGAGAGCTACAAGTTCAACTAGTGCGAGCAACACATTCCACCAGCAGATTTCTAAAAAATTCCCAAAAAAGAGAGTCAATCAACGAGTATACCTGAAATATGATACCTGACGGTGGATTATCAAGATTCATACATTAAAATATTTTTCAAATTTTATATTTATTAGTGTATTTTGAATTTTTCAAAAAGGTAGCCAAACCACTAATTCACAGTCACAAAGGAACAGCAATACAGTTGTGTGTCATTTTGCCTATTGCATTAAACAAACGAAGCCATATTAAGGCCAACCTCATTCCCCGACAAAGGCGTTAGATTTTTATTTCAAACATTCCTCGAGCAATGCCCCGCCGACAAGTCAAAGGTTTGAAGGCCTTTCAAGTGAAATGAAAGGAGGGAGAGAGTCTTCTCCCATCGATTTTTTTTTCTTGGTGCTTCTGTACGTAAATAAAAACATTTTGAAGCACTGGTATTGCCTCTGTTACGGCGCACAGATTATTACTATGCTTTCATTTTCCTCGCTCGATTTGCTTTATCGCTTTAGATATATATTTTATCATTTTTGTTAAAAAAAAAAAAAAAAATAGAGAAAATTACATTTTTGTCCTATATTTATAATTTATTATTTCGATGCCGTCAGATTCCATGAGAGAGGATTAATGAAGTCCATTTATGGTTATGAAATAAGAACAGCTGGTTTTAATCAAGGGCAACAAGAATAATTATTGTTCAAGTCTCTAACAAAATTATGTTTAATTGTAAGTTAACTTAATTACTTCTTTTCAGTCTCTTTATTTTCCTTGTTGATTTTTATGCTTGAAGATGATGGGGACAAATATTAAAAATGAATATTTTTTATGTGAAGAGCTGGGTTAATTTTTTTTTATAAAATTTCATCAAGATTATATGAAATCATAATTTTTTCTTAAATTCATTTGCTCCATAATCATGATCATTTTTCTTATATAAAATTTGACGTGAAATTTTATTTTATTTGTTTATTTGCCAATTTCCTTGTAATTTAATTTATTTGTATGTGGCATAGTTATATAAATTCATAAAATTTGATTATTTTTGCATATTTTGCACTATAAAGTGAATAAGCAAATTAATAACCAAGATAAAATTATTACTTCTCTAAACTTGTGGAGGATGAACACTTTTAAATTCTAATAGAACTAAAAATAAAAACGATGCAATTTTCACATTTTGAAAAATACCGGTAAATAGATATTCAATTTTTTTACAATTAATTTTTCATGTTATATGTATTACATTTGCAGCAAGATTGTCTTTAAATGTGAAAAATAATAGCGAGAATTTTTTTAATTTCTTTTGCTGACAAATAATTAAAAGAAAATTTATGGCGCATAATATTTAAATGATTATCTTGACTTGTATATTTCAATAATTAAAAATAATATTATTCCGATGGTGGTCCTACCTTTTTTGTCGGTCGTGCAGGTCCAGGTCTGAAAAAATTAATTATTCTTTTATTACACGCTGTTATGAAATGAAATTGAATGTAAACAATGTGGACAAGTAAACAACAATAATAATAAAATATGAAAAAGATTCTCAACTCTCAACCACCGCAGTAAATTCTGAACATGTTTCTATGAATCATCAACGGTCAACGCTTTCACTCCTCAATCTCTACTTTTATTCATAAAAATAATTCTTGCTAAACAAATAATTAAATTTTCAATGTTTAAAAATGCATTAAAATTTTTTATATTTTCCAATTCTATATCACTGCATTGCTTAAAACCTTTGAAAATTTAAATAAATTTTGCAAATTGAAGTTTATAATAATTTTTGGTATTTATGTAAATTTTAAACATTTAAGTTGCTTATTTTCCTTTTTTCAAATAATTTTAGAGCTTAATTATTAATTTCTTTTGAACTTTTATTATTAAACAAATACCCAAATAATAAGATTGGAGCTTGCCTTCCGCAAGCTCAATAAGGGCACAGGCCGACAAGACACTTTGTCTTGGCCTGACCCATAAAAAAAAAAATTATTCGTGTTCCATTGTTTTCTAAATTTCAAAGTTATGAAATTATGAGGAAAATTGCACCATTGATGGTCATTCCAATGGATTGTAATTTTAGCCAATTTCTGCAAAAAATAAAGAATGAAATTACCTGACAGCACAAAGCGACGGTTTGCCGAAGTCCTAAGCTTCACCAAAGACACTAGACTGGAAAATCCCATTCAAAATTTCTACGAAATTCCGTAAAAAACAACGCGCTACATAAGTGATCAATGCCACTACTTGTCGACAACCGGCAAAGAACTGAAAGAGGAACGTGCAAGTAGGCAACCGGCTCGACATCGTTGCCTACCTGTCAGGATGGTAACCTGCCGATGGCCGTGCCCCGCCCCTTTAAAATGAAAACAACAAACAGCCTTCTGCGGAAGGTGGCGAAGGAAGTGTGAAAAATTATGGAAAATGCGAGTTTTTCGCCCTGCGGCAAGAGCGTTTGAACTTTTGCGCCTTTGGCGGGGCAAAGGGCGGGGCGGCTGCGCTCGGGGCAGCCGTCGTTGGGTTCGGCCGTAGACGTCAAATCGCAAAATGGCAGTGGTGAGAGGGTGATTGGATAATTCGCAGCCTAATCCACTTGATTAAGTGGGCTTTGAAAAGGCCGAGGGCCTCAGGGAGGCGCGCCGCGGCCGCCCCACGTTTCTGCGAAAGCTGCCGCCGGCCCAGTTCGCCGCACGAGGCCCCCAGGGGCCGAGAAAATGGTGATAGCAATGCCGGAGACGAACAAGCAGTCGCCCCTGGCCGTCGCCTGCGTCTCCAACGCTGAAGAGTCGCCCAACATTATCGTCTACCGAAAGGTGAACTTCGCCTTTTCGCCAAAGACAACAAAATTCGGGCAAATTTGAGCTCATTTTTATAAGGAGGCAGTTGTTTTGGTTGTTTGTTTGGGCCTTACAAGGTTCACACCTGCTGCCAATTTGTACATGTATTGACTGTTTTCCGAACCATGTCCTGATTGGCCAGCAATTTTGCAAATTTTCTTTGTGATTTTTAAATACATTTTAGTCTTCATTGAAGTTCAGCATTCTGTTTTGAATGCGTCGATTTTTAATTTAAAAATAAGTTAAATTTATATTTTTACTTAAATAAATATAATTAATTTTACTCTAGAAAATTGATTTAAAATCTCATAAATTGATATTATCTTTGACTTCTTTCCTTTGTTTACCAACACTGCCTCTTTTCTCATTATAAATTGGAGCATCTTGCTCTTTGTGTTGCACTACACACAAGAGCCACCCACTATGTAGCAATTAAACCACTGTGTTTATAAGAGCTCTCTTTGTGTATCCTTAGGCTCATTCATCCTCTCTCTCATCTTTTCACTTTTTTTTTATCTTTGTATGTATTTCAGATGGAGAAAATCGTCGAGCAAATGCAAGATGAATCAACTGGTGTCCCAGTTCGGACGGTAAAAAGCTTCATGTCCAAGATTCCGTCAGTCTTCACAGGCTCCGACTTGATCGCATGGATGATGAAAAATCTGGACGTCGAAGATCAAAGTATATTTTAATTTTGGCTATTTTTACTCTCGAATTGTAAGCATGTCGATTTCCACAGTTGAAGCTTTGCATGTGGCTCATTTGATGGCGTCGCACGGCTATTTCTTTCCCATCGATGACCACATCTTAACCGTGAAGAACGACGGCACATTCTACCGATTCCAGGTTTATTTTAAAATCTCTGGAAGTGATTGTTTTTTAAACAGAGATAAATTTTCAGACTCCGTACTTCTGGCCGTCAAATTGCTGGGAGCCGGAAAATACAGATTACGCCGTCTACTTGTGCAAAAGAACAATGCAGAACAAGGCCAGACTGGAGTTATCGGATTTTGAGGCGGAAAATCTTGCGCGACTGCAGAAGATGTTTTCCAGAAAGTGGGAATTTATCTTTATGCAGGCGGAAGCTCAAAGTCGTGTTGACAAAAAGAGAGACAAACTGGAGCGGAAGGTACTTGACTCTCAGGAGAGAGCTTTCTGGGACGTGCACAGACCTGTGGTAAGATTTTAAAAGCAAAAAATTATTTTGAAGTTTTAATCTTTATATATTTAGCCTGGATGTGTGAACACTACTGAAATAGACATCAAAAAGGCTTGCAGTATGAATAAACCAACCCAGCAGAAGTCGCTTCCGATTGCCAAGCCTTCTCCGAGCCCCATGTTTCCTCTAGAGGCGAGCAACATGGCAGCTGCTGTGATAAATGCCATTAGCGTGTCTGCAGCTGTCACCACCACAGCCCATGTTGAGCCCCAGAAAGACCCAGTTATCGTAGTAAAAAGAGAAATTGAAACCCTAAGACAAAAGATCGATCGACGAAACTTCAAAATATCCAAAGTGGCTGAGAGGTATTAATTGTGCAGAAGTAAAAAAGTATGGGGACTCAAACTGATATCACTTTGCAGTTATATTTCCTATTACGAGCAATATTACGAGTACGATCCATTTTTCACTCCACCTGAATTACCAAATCCTTGGACTTCTGAAAGTTTGGAGACATGGGATCCAGAAAAGCAACTGTAAGAATTTTCTATAGCAATTCATTTTATTATAATTTGTTCCTAAAAATTTCCAGTGAGGTATCAGCTCGTAGGGTTAAGAGGTGGGCGTTCAGCTTGAAAGAGCTGATGATGGACCCTGCAGGCAGGGAGCACTTCAGCAAGTTTTTGGATAAGGAGTTTAGCGGGGAGAATTTAAAGTAAAATCGGTGTTTTAAATGATAAGATCAACAACTTGTAACACAAATTATTTTTCAGGTTCTGGGAGGCTGTGGAAAACCTGAAGAGTTTGCCGCTTTCTCAAGTGGCGTCTGAGGTTGATTCGATCTGGAATGAGTTTCTCGCCCCTGATGCGAAGTGTTCTGTCAACATTGATTGTAGGTCACTTGAGCTGACAAAAGAGGCCATGGCCACGCCCTCAAGATCGAGTTACGATGTAGCTGCTGTAAGAATAAGCAGAGAAAATTTAATTAGTCAACATTAAAAAATCCTTAATTGACAGGCTCATGTTTATCAGCTAATGAGAACTGACAGTTATCAGCGATATTTGAGATCTGAAATGTACAAGGACTTCTTGACTGGAACAAAAAAGAAGGTAATTTAGTATTTTTATTTTTATCAATTAAACGCTCATGAACAATTTTTGCAGACCTCAGTGAAGGGCATCAGGTCGATTGTCAACTTCACCGGCAGAAAGGACACCCTGGTGCCTAGCACCTAAGTTTACCATGGACGCTCCAGTGTTGAATATTTTGATGCCAAAGATGAAAATGAGTGTTATTTTAATATTCTGTTTAGAGCCAAACCGTGAGCCCTCTCTTTCAATGTTGAAAGCGAATATATCAAGAGATGCAATAATTAAAATGCAGAAATTTATGTGTAGATATTTTAAAAACGAACTCTGCAAATAATTGTATAACTACCAGGATACTGAGATATGCTTCACGTGTTACACAAAAGCGGAGAATCTTCCTTACTGTTAAATGTTGTAGATGCTAATAAGAAAATTCACGTGCAGTATTCACAAACTATTGTGTAATAAGCATTTAACTGCTGTTCTATAAGTGTTCTTCTTCTATTTATTGAACTTCACACTCTCTGTACATTTTGTGGAAAAACGTACACGGATCAAAAAATGATGACTAATGTTAAGGCTGCTTTTATCTTAAAAAGCAGATCTACGGGTATTTAAATGCATTTTACGGACAAAACACGCAAAAATTAATGTATTGAATGGAACCCTTTGATTGGCTCCATGGCAATGTATGATCTTTGCTGCCAAATTTATTCCAGGTGTTGCCACAAAGATTGTTGAAATTTTGCTACTTGAAGCAAGAAGCAAAAATGAAATTGTGAAAATTTATGTATAACAATAATACGCAGAGCCAAAGAACAAGAGTTATTTTTAATTTTTGACTACACTTACACCATGAAATATCTATTTTTTCTGAGGATTGGAATTTTGTTTAGATCCACCATTGAGGTCACTCAGATAAATTTTGCAATTCTGCAACAGGTGTGATGAATTTTTGAAGAAGAAAAACTCATTTTATCCAGATATTACATTTATTTCGAAAAATAACCCTCAATTATTGGTGCCGATTATCAAGCACATGAATAATAATGGAAAGGGTTAAATTATATTTTTCATAGTTTTAGTCGTTTTAGTCAAGCTTCTCATGTTGAAGGTTACCGAGAAAAATTCTTGCTAAATAGTCTTGCCTACCTTCCACTAAATTGGCATTACTCAAATGGCAAAATGTATATGCCTGTCATCGTATTTAACAATTTTGCCAAACACAGACGCTTGATAATGTGAGGCACACACGTGTGTCTCTCGGCATAATGGGAAAAAGCTTTCGCAACCTCTTCCTTTTTTATGTCGCAGCCCATCTGCGCTCTGTTATAAAAAGAAAAAAGCTAAAGAAGCTCGCCGCGAGTAATTAGAATTTTATTTCCTGTCCTTCAAACGTGGGGAGAGTGGGGTGATCATTAAATTAAGGAACGCTGCTGCGAGGCAGTCGCGGCACTTGTTTTCAAAAGTAAACGAGTGGACAGAAAAATAACAAACCGGTTAATTAAGTATACCAATAATCGCACCTAAAAAGCACCTACTTTTTCAGAACAAACGTATAAATTGCCTCCAAAATATAAACTCAATTAACCTGATAAATGTTTGTAATTAATTAAAAAAAATATAAGTCTGAGAAAAAGGAAATAAGTTTAATAAAATAACCGGTAAGTTTGCTTTTGCAGCGCAATATAATCGTTATTTCCAATTGGTGCTCAAAAAAGCACTCAAATGCGTATACACCTGGCGGTGGTGGGGGCGGATGTTGTGATCCTCGAGAGAAAAAACAACAAAATAATGAGCCTCGAGTCGTTTTGAAAGCAATGGCCGCTGGTGCACAATTTGAGACGTGCCTTCTGAAGGGTTGAATTCTTTTGCCGTCCGAATTTGGCCCGAATGCAGTGGCCATGGCGACAAGCGGTGAGTCCGACACGCGAATTTGCAGTGGGTTCTCGCGTTTTTAACAAAAGGGGCCCCTTATTGATTCGCAACCTCAAGTCCACTCACCTATGGCATTATGATGATTTTTATGGTGGATTGTGATTCTGCATTGCAGGCAGCTACTCGTCTTTAATTGAGGAAGACAACTGGGACAACGGCTCTGAGGCCAACATGGCCAGGGCCTCTTTGATGAATGGGCACCTTGTTTTTTGGGTAATTTTTTAAAATACAAATTTTAAATAATTTTAAACTTGTTAAGAAGTTAAAAATTATTTAATTTAAAAAAAAAATCAATATACTTAGTAGCCAGTTATTTATGTATGCTTGAGAACTTATATTTTATTCTAATTATTTCTTAATGCAGCTTAAATCTTGCCTTGTCGACTCCGATCTGTTGCAAAACTTTGAGGATTTGATTGACGGACCTCTCCTATATGAAGTTCTGCAAAGAATGTAATTATAAGATTAAGTCATCAGTATGATGGATTAATTTAATCATTTCCTAAAACAGTGATCCTGATGGCAATCCATCTACAGAGGTTCAGGAGTCTCATGGAGACCCTACAGTTCGACTAAAAAATTTAGACATTGTTGTCAATGGCCTCAAAGTTTTTTATGAGGTAAATTTGTAAAAAAAATATGGTATTTTTTCTTTGTTATTTTTAATTCATAATTTTATTTGCAGAAGGAGGGTCAAGGCTCTGTGCTTTTGTCAGTTCCCGACGTCTCTCTATTGGCCGTCAATCCTGATGATGGCGATGTTTCTGTTACCTCTGAAGCACGTCTTCTCTTGGTACTATTACTAGGGGCGGCTGTACAATGTCAGGAGAAGGAAAATTTTATCCTCAAACTCAAATCACTGCCTGTCGACGTTCAGTTGAAAATAGTAGAAAACATTAAGGAGGTACAAGAGTTTTATTAAATTTGACTTTTTTTATTTTTTTAAATTTTAAAATAACAAAGGTCACTGAGGAAGGAAGCATTGTCCTGAGTGGAGAGCAGGCAACAGACCAGATGTCTTCAATTTATAAGATGGCAAAAGATCGAGACCGTTTCATGTCCCAATACATCAAACTTTTGGCCAAGGATGGTCGAGAGGACGGAGTTTCTCGAAGGAGCATGTCTGTGGACGACAGCACCAATGCTATGCATCATGTTGTTGAGATTGCAGAGTGGAAGTCTAAATTACGAAGAAGGACACAAGAACTGTAATGCATAATTTTAAGATATTAATGACATAATTACTTAATTTAAATTATAGAGAGGAAAAGGGAGAAGCTCTGATGGAGTGCAGAGAGGAGTTAGAAAGCATGAAAGAAATTGTTGGAAAATTAAAGCAAGAGGTAATTTTTTTATTTTAAAACCTTAGTATCAGGCAGTCATTTAAATGCAAGCTTTCAGCATCCAGAAAATGAAAAAAAAATGTCCAAAGAACTTGACTATTGTTATTTTTCTTTTGTTTATATTTTTTAATTGGAAAATTTTGTTTGTGAAATTTTGCATGTAAAACTTTGTTTGTAAAACTCTCATCTTTTCTCTCAATTGTATTGAATTTGTATAATTTTGAATGTATGAATGATGTATCCCGTTATGGGCAGCAATTGCCTTTGTGATATATCAATAAACACAATTTGCAACTAAATTATTCATGTACTCTCTTTCAGGTTTCAGATTTAAGTTCTTCTGCTCGATCGGCCAAGTTGTACAGAGACGAACTTGATGCTGCCAGACTTAAAGCCGAGAGGTGAATTAAAATATTTTTTTATTTAAGAAATTGAACTAATTGAATTGAATTTTCAGGTGCGAAAGAGTTGAAGCTGAATTGGGTAGGGCCAGGGACAAACTTAGAGATCTGGAGTATTTGAAATCATTGACGAGCGAACTTCAGAGCGATAATAGGTAGGATGATTGAAATAAAAATGACTTGATAATCATTAAAATTTACAGACTGTTGGTGGACCGAACACAGGACCTTGAAGAACAGCTGTCGAGAGCAAGGGCACGATCAGAAGCCATCATTGATTTGGAGGCACAAATTGCTCGTCTGAAGCAATCGAATAATGATGGAAATCAAGACAGAGAAGAGTTGCAGGAAAAAATTAGGGATTTGACTGAAGAGAATACACAGCTTCAACTAAGACAGCTTTCCCTTGGTCGATCCGATCCGAAGAACGCGAGTCAGGAACTAGATCCCAACCTTAATGACGGAGGTTTGTTTTCTTTGAAAATGCAAATATTTGATTCGCTAATTTTGATAAAACAGTTGGCAGCGGTGGCAGTTTGCTAGATCAGCTGCAAACAAGCGCTCAGAGTGAGGTTGTTAAGTTGAAGATGGAGAATTCTCGGATGCGAGCGGAACTTGACTCTTTAAAAGAAAATCTGTCCTTGGAAACAGCCAGTTTGCAAACTGCCTTAGACAATGAGAAGAAAAAGTCGGCCCTAAAGGCAAGAATTTTAAATTTTACAGTCTTCAACAGTTTTAAAAAAATTTTAATTCAGGTTGAAGAACTTCTTTCTTCTGAACGGGTGCATCGTCAGCTGCAGTCGACTCTCGAAGACACTGTCCGAGAATTGACCAATGAAAAGAAGGAGCTTGGCTCGCAATTGCAAGACTCTGCGATTCAATCTCAAAAGCTTGCCACTGAGTTGCAGGAATCAAAGCAGCACATTGTTGAATTGTCTGACAAAGTGTCCCATTTGGAGTCTGTGCACAGGGCCAACGGAGTGTTGTGGGAGGCTGAAAGGACCAAGCACACCTCAGGACAGCGGGAAATTGTTCTGCTTAGGACAGAGAAAGAAAGGGCGTTGGAAAATTTGGCAACCAAATCTGCCCTGCTAGACGCGGAAATTTCCAAGCGGAGAGAGTTTGAGGGCAAAGCAACTGAACTCAAGGCTGCCCTGAAAGTGGCCAAGGACACTATCCAGAGGTGTGAGCTTTTAGCTGAAAATTCATAAGCCATCTTTTTAAACAAAAACTATTGTGTACAAAAACAATTATGTTGCATTGCAGATCTTCTGAGCTCGAGCAGCAAATGAATGAGACTATCAGTCAGCGAGACTTGTTGAATAACTCATTGAAAGATTTACAAAACAAACTGACGCAGGAGAAAATAGATAAGGAGAAACTAAACAGCCAGCTTGACTCTGTTTTTAGCACTGTCAAGCAAATAGCAAATTGCGAGAACATAGATAGAATCACATTGACCGATTACGAGGCCATGCTGACTTTATTAGCGCAGAATCCTGAACTTATCAACACTTTGAAAGAGAAGCAGAAAGGAATCACAGAGGTTTGTGATTCATAATTTTATTTAATGGGGCAAGTTTTGATAAAATTATTTTAGGGAGGAGTCTGTGTGGAAACTCCAACTGAAGCTGAAATCCAGGCTGAGGTTGATGCAAACAATAAAATGCAGGAAATTGCTGAGCTTCAAGTATGATAATCTTTTTAGTTTGCAAAAAATTTCTGAATTTGTATTTTAGGTAAAAATTTCTTTGCTTGAGTCCCAAATTGCCTCATTACTCAACCAACAAACGGCTCAGCAGCTGGCAAATACTCAGTTGGCAGCTGAAAAAGAAGAGGTTTGGATAATAAAACTTATTGAATTTTATTTAAATTAAATAAATTTTAGTTGTGTCACCAACTTGAGAATCAAGTGGCTCAAAATAGCCAGCTGGCCCAGGATATGGCTAACCTTCAAAAGATCCATGAAACTCTTAGCATGGAGTATGAGGCTGCTAGGAATGAGCGTGAGTCTACAAGGAGTGAACTAAAGGCTGCACAAAAGGAGCTCAAAGTAGCAACAGCAGAAATCAATGCACTCAAAATCACCAACCAAGACCAAGAACTTCTCAGAATTGAAGCAAAGACACTTGCCAACCTTCGAGCCGAACATTCAAAGCTGAAGGTTCGATCCAGAAATTAAGTTAAGATAAATATAAAGCAATAAATCTTACAGGAGGACTTCAGGCAGCTCTTCTCTGCCTCTGAAAGATTGAAAATGGAGGCCAGATCAAGAGACGATGAACTGAGAAGGACAAGGGTTGAACTGGGAACAGCAAGGATAAACACAAGGCAGCTTACCACAAGTCTAGAAAATGAAAAAGAAGTTAATACTAGATTAAGTGCCAGACTCACAAGAGTCGATACTAAGCTTCAGGTTTGTAGTTTTATTTGATAACTATCTAATTGTAAGTCACAATAAATCATTTATACTTTGCAGCTGCTTGTTGGTGTTGCACATTCTCTCGAGGAAGACAGGCGGAGTCTCATGAGCCATGTTACGTCTCTTTTGAGCCAATACCACGAACTCCTTTCAAATTCAATGGAGGACAAGGAGTTTTTCCACAGCCAGGAAAAGATATTCTTGTAAGAAAAAATTCATATATTCAGCTTTCAAAATTACTAATTGCTTTGTGTTAGGGAAAAACTCAATGGACTCATGAGGCAGAAGGAAAACTTGGAACAAAAAATTATGGACCATTATCGGAGGCTCGACAGCTGTTCGACAAAAAAGTATAACCAGAGTTTTTAAATTATATTATATTAAGCCACATTTTATAGGAAGGGGTTTGGTGCCAATTTAGTCAAAAAAGTTAGGAAAGCTGGTTCGGACATCATCAGCAAAGTTCCTAGAGGAAGAAGCCGATCGAGAAACACTGCCGAGGGAGCAGACACCTCTGCGTCCTCTGATTTGAACACAACTCACGATTCGGAGCACAGTTCTGACGAGACAGTGTCCGATCACGGTAGCGGCCTTCCTCTCGATTCGGACACAGATACGTCTTTGAGCACAGTTGGAACCAGAAGGGCTATTTACTACGATGACGATCATCCCTCTTCAAGTCTAGGGGTGTGTTTTTTAATTTGTTTAATTTAATATTATAGTGGTCTTAAAAATAAAAATTGCAGGAGCCTCTGGACAATCCAACCAACGACACAAAAGAGAGGAACATTTTGGTCTACAACAAAATATCAGCGGTTGTCGGGACGACAAACAACGTGCAGTCACCCGGCTCCAACCACAACAATCACGACACCCCTGATCAGCCGAAACCCGAGAGCTCCATCTGGTATGAGTACGGGTGTGTCTGACATAAGGCCCCCACCCCCAAAAACCCCCATTCCTAATCAAAACTTTGATCAGGGCAACTCACCACCACTTTTTGGATACTTAACTTATCGACTGAATTTATTGCCTGTGGTGATTCCGTACAGCAGCTTTTGTAAATCCCGACTTTACATCAATTAATTAACAAGCACACTCTGTAGTCAGATAGTTACCCTCAAGCAGCAATGAATCCATTTTTTACGGTGCTAAAGTAATAAGAAACAGCTCAATATCGAGTGCCTTTTCTTGCAATTAATGAGCTGTATTTTGGCCCAAGGTCAAATGAGACCAGCAAGGCTTTTTTGGAAACTAACATTCTCGCGCACAACATTTTGCAATGACATGTCAATTTCCTATTATCTAACTTTTTTTAGATATTTATTGTTGATTTGGTCTCTTGTTACTAAAAGTATTCAAGTGCAATTTTGAATGCAGCCTAGTAGTTTTAGAAACATAAGGTTAAATTTTGGATTTTACTAATCTTGTTGCACTCTTGTCACAAACTTTTATAGTAGTTTTAGAAACTAATCCTACCATTGCTTAATGTGGGGGCCAATTTTTTCACCATATTTTTGCCGCTTGTATATTTTATTTCAATGATTTCCATCTACGGAGGCCTTTAAACTACCTTTTGGATTTTTTTACTCAAAGTTTTATCGATAGACAATTGCGCATTCTTGAATAATGCATGATGCCTTTTTAACGCTGGAACCATTGTGATTTTCTTTTACTGGAAAATTTCCTTACGAGTAGGGATAATTATTTATTTTTAACAACCAAGAGGTCTTTTGTAAACTAGATATACGAAATTGTGCCTTTCTTTTCGTGTAGCCATGTAAGTAGTTATCAAAAGTAGTGATCTCTTTAAATTTTTGGACACTCTTCTGCGTCACTCATGTTTTGTAATATTATTATGCACTTCTACGATCAACGAAAATTGAAAATATGAAATGATTGTTTTGAGAATTTTAAATACATGATGTGCAAACAAAACGTGAAGATTCATATAATTTCAAGGCAATTTATTCCCTCAGCTTTGGGAATGTCGTTTTCTCAAGTGAATCATTAGTTTGTTTCCAGAGTCGAAAGAAACTTTGCAGAACAAACATGTAACTTGCGCAGTGCATTTAGCTTTGTGTTCCTTGTAGTGGTTGGTGCATTGAAATTGTTGGTCACAAGCTGAACACGAAACGGTCACGTTGTGATCAGTGACCTTTGACTTGCTGCACATTTCTTGGCAGCTAGGGCATCTGACCTTGACGTGGATACGTCTTTGATGAACTTTCAAAAGCGAGTTCGAAGCAAACCGACGTGGGCACTTGGGACATTTGATGGTTTTGGGGAAGTGTCGGCCAGTCAGGTGCGGAATTAGATCGCATTTTTGCTCCACCCTAGAAAATTTATTACAAAAAAATCTAATTTTCTAAATCATTTAATCCTGGCTCACCTGTAATCACACAAAGCGCATCCAAATAATTTCTTCTTCAATTTTTTAGCGTGCGTCGCGTGAAAGTGATTTTTCAATTCCTCCTCCAACTTAAAGTACCGCCCGCACTTTGCAACTTTGCATTTGACGGCCTCCTTTTTGTGGGTTTGGTTGACGTGTACGCGGTACTTTCGGAATCCATCCAGTTTTAAGCCGCAGTAGACACACTCAAATGACGAGATGACCTTTTCCTTTTGGTGCTCATCCTTGATGTGTTTTTCCAAATCATTTCTAGTCAGAAAATAACTCGGGCATTGCTTGATGAAGTTGCATTTGATGGAAATGTCACTGTGTCTTTTTTTAACATGCTTCCAAAGGTCTTTTGTGCGCTGGTACGTTTTTGGACAGTAAACGCACTTGACTCTATCCGATTTTTCATCAGATTCTTGAACATCAGGCAAAGAATTTAAAACCACTTTGCAGGGCTTCGTAAAACCTTCTAAAAATTTTATCCTAATTACATTTCACAATTTAAATTTGCAAGTAAATGTTACCTAGGTAATATTTGTATATTGGTATATTTTCTGGCCACCAAACGCACCAGACGTCATCACCGTCATTCCCATTCTCATGTTCAAATCTTTAGAAATCTTAAAAAAAGATTGTTAAAAAAAATCAGATATTATTACCTAGCGTCGCAAACGCAGTCCCAGCAGCATCGACTCTCAAACAAAGTGTTCAAGTCCAAGTCAACATTAAGCCGGCTAATCCACCAATTTGACAATTTCTCTATGTCAACCTCGAAAAGTGCAACGCCACCATCAACGACCGGAAATGTGCAAAGTCTGCAAATTTCAGGCGTCATCATCCCACACGTTCTGCGCTTTTCTGTTTCCAAACTAGCTTTGGGGGCAGAACAGCTGCTGTAACAATACCTTTTATGGGGGTTGCTGGTGGGGGAGGGAAGTGAATTGAATTCAATGAAGGGAAGAAGGGAAACTTTCTTCTTCAATGGAAAGTTCAATTTTTTTTATTTATTTATTTCTCAATGAAAATGCAAGTATTATTTTATGATATCATAAATATATTTTATTATCGTAATAGCGACAAAGGTGCGTGTTTACAAGGTGAAATTTTCCCGATACATTAATTTACTCAGCCGCCAAAATCACGAATCGTAACACATTAAAAACCCTGATATAACACAGATAGACGAATATTTCAATATTTTCTTTACGCAACATATTTGATAGAACACAATATTTTCAAATTACAAAATTGAAGCTTTTGGTCACGTTCAAGAGGCTCAGCCGACTTCGTCATTGTGTAAGTTGTATCGTTTCAAAGGCACTGCTGTCACCTTCCGACTGCAAAATTGACATATTTTTTAAAATCCATCACCAACTCGCTGCCTTTCTTTACTCACCGTACCTTCCTGGTCATGGCTTTGATTCGGTTGAGGAAGTTTTGCTTGGCGGGTTGGGCGAAGTGAACGTCCTCCTCTTCACCATCGTCCAGGGCGCAGCTCTCGGCAGGAGGCAACTCGGCGCCGTCGCTGCCAGAAGTCGAGTTTTGCACCAGTTTCATGTACTTGTACTCCAAGCGCTGCGTTTTGCGCCAGAAGTGAACCATCAAACCGCACAAAAGTGCCGCAACCATCACCGTTCCACCAATGATGGCCTAATTATATTAATTTAAAAAATTACATTAAAAATTAAAAAGATATATATTTTACTTGAAGCTCGACGGGAATGTGATTTTGGCATTTGACAGCCTTCGTAGCGGGCAGGTCACCTAAAACCCTGCAGTTGGTCGGAGCCAGGTAGTGCAGAAGTTGCGAGCCCAAGGTGCACTCGCCCTTGACCAATCTGGAATTACAATTAATTTTTGTAATTAAATTTAAATTAAAACTATACTTGTAATCCTTCTCCTTGCAAACGGGACAGGCGACGGCCGTCTGCCAAAGAAAGTTGAAGGTGCAGCCGTCGCACGTTCCGTCCGGGCACTTTGATGGCAGGACAATGGTGCCATTTCCTCTCTTGCTAGGGTCACACATCAGACTTATCACAGTCGTCCTACCTTGCGGACACGACCTCGTCGCCCTAATTCAATCAATTTTTTTTTTAAATAATTTTTTTAACATTAATTTTTATTCATGACTGACATTGGGGTAGTGTAGTAAAAGTGGAGTGAAGTGTTAGCAGTCAAAAATTCTTCGATGACCTCCATGTTCATGAAGGTCGTGTCTTTGGTGACAGCCACCAGCTCATCACCAAGGGTCACCGACTGCGTGGACAAAATCACTTCTTCCTCAGACCATGCACTCGGCACCATCGTTGTTCGGCAAACAAATGAATTGATCTGTAAATAGAGAAAAATTATTTACGCCGACTGAAGGATTAAATTCCTAAATCTTACTTGAGAGGTTTGACCGTCCATTTGATATGAAACGTTATTCGAGCACTGTGCCTGAATTTTCCCACAAAGACTTATGTTGAAGACGTGGTAATATTGAGCGCCAGAGGCAGTGAATAAGCGACTACCCCTTATCAGAACCGTGCTAGATATTAATAAAATTAAATCAAACATGTTTCATTTTAAATTAATTAATTTTTAACTCAGCAAGGGCGGAGAGGTCAAAAGAAGGGTCACCCTGAAAAACGCAGTCTGAGGTGCAAGTGACCCCATCCACGCTAGACAGTCCCGGTCCGCAAGGTTGGCAGGACTCTATGCCATACGCCAAAGGGTCGGAAACTGTTGTTCCCGGTGGACATGGCGTACACTGCGTAGAATTAGGGTCAACGTACTGACCCGGAGGGCACGGTATGCAGCCCAGTTCCTCCGTTTCCTGGTGGCATGGCAGGCACACACTAGCTCCACCATCTGAAAAATATTTTATTTAAAAAAGAAATAATTATTTTTTAATTATTTTACCAATGGTATTTGTAACATTGATGGAGAAAATTCTAGCGACGTCCGCGTCCAGCAAATTGGAGAGGATGTCAAAGTCACTCAGAGAGGCTTTTTGGAAGGCCCAGCTGAAGGTGTAGGAATCGTTAGTGTAAACAGGGTGGCTGAATTCGTGCTTCGATGTGGCGCCACTCCAGCTTTGCACCAAAGTCATCCCTTGACGGTCAGACGACTACGTTTAAAAAATAAAATAACAAAATAGCCTTTAAAAATTTCGTCTGGCTGCCAAAAAATAAAAGAATTTTTTTTAAATAGGCAGCCGGCTCAAATCCGGCGTTTGCCAAGTTGCCTAATTGCGCATTCAGCAGGCGTTTGGCTCTACTACGGGCATGCGGCCAATTTATCTTTTTTTTTTAATTTGAATAATAAATTCTTTATAATGAGTAAAAATCTGACCTCCATGAAAACGAATTCGCATTTTGCTTTGCAGTCAAGCTCAAAGGTGAACGCCACTCTCCCAACCTCCAACCTTCTCCCTCCAACCACCGAACCCTTTCCTCGGAATCCAGGTACATTAAGGGAGAGAAGAAGATACGCCCCATCTGCGTGGTGGCGGCCCGAGTGAATGTGAGAGCCAGCCAGTTGCCAACCTGCCATTCCTCCACATTCCGCTCCTGAAAAATTTAAAAACAGATTTTCCAAATTTTCAATATAATTTTTTTACCATCTTGCTGGCGGCAAGTTGAGCTCATCATCGCCGGCATTTCAGCCCACCGTTCAAACATGTACCCGTAGTTTGGGGTGGTGTTCGGCGGACACGTTTTACACTGCCCACCGTCTTCGGAAAAGTGCTCGACCGGACAGAACTCGCAGGAAGTGGCGCCGGCAGTTGCTCCAGTCGAGGAAGCTTGGCGCATTCCCGGATTGCACGGCATACAGGGGTGTTTGGGGCCCGGTTGGGGCAATTCGACACCAGCCATGCAAATTTTTGGCTCCAGCCATCGGTACACGGTCCGCGTTTGGTTATTCGCGTCGCAGGGTGATTTGGCCTAGAATCAATCAAAATTTTAACCTGAAAAAATTTGCCCTTAAAATATGAACAAGATTTCACCTCATAAAAATCTTTAGATGTGCAGACGTGTCTTTTGAGGCAGCGGGGATAACCTTTGGGAGAAAATTCGGTTTCAGGGTTGCATGGCTGGCAGGAGCTGGCGCCCCGAACGGAAAAGTGATTTTCAGGGCACTCTTGACATTTCCGAGAGCCGGATGAGCTGAAGGTGCCGTTTCTGCATGGGGTGCAGGAGGGTGATTTAGCCATGCCTAGAAATTGAATATTTTTAATAGACAAAATTTTTCATTAAAAAAAAAAAAATAAAATAAAAATACATATACGACTGCAAAGGTGTACTAATATTTTGTTCAAATAAATTGAATTATGTTTAGAAATTTTCCAAATTATTATTTCTATTAACAATTTTTTTTAATTTACCGCTAATTTCAATTGATTTGATCAGCACAGGTTTGCCGGGATAAGTTTCCATCCCAATTGTTTTCCACTGAAGCAGGTTGTTGCCCGGCTTCAGCTGAACCACTTGGCGATGCCATTCGCCCTCGGCAGTGGCTGATGGCCAGCGATACTCCTTCGCGTCTGCCACGCTCTGGCACTGCTCGTTTTGCGCCTCAAAGTCAAAAATGACGTCGCGATTCGAGTACTGATACCAGTACGAAAGATTTCCAGCGCTTGCCAGTCGCACCGACACCGCTACTGTGGCTGCGCACGGCCCGCCCAGGGACGCCAAAAAGTCCCCTTTGGCTTGCCATCCATACCTGAAGTGATGATCATTTTATCATAAATTATTCAAATATTTTAAAAAATGTAAGAAAAAAATTTGGAGCAAATTATTTATTCATACGCAGTGCAGTTGATGCCGTTGCCGTATCGACCGATGAACGAAGACTGGAACGATTCAACTTGCGAGTGGAAACCCTCGGGTAGGGTGTCCCAGCTATCAAAAAGAACAGCACCGCCTAAAGAGTAAGTCCCGGCCGAACAAGGACTGCAGCTCAAGGAAGACAGGTCGAAAAATTGACCGGCTGCGCAAGATGACTCTAAAAGTTTTCACAAAAAGGAATCATTATAGTTTTTTTTATAAACGTTGAGAATGCTTTTTTTATACCACAAGAATCGACCCTCTTTGGCTGCTGCAAGGAACAACTTTGGAATTGGTCTGATGATGTGGGCACCTGCACCCGCCATCTTCCTCCCTGAGAGTCGCAGGGCGTCAACTCAAATTTGAAATCATCTCCCTATGAAGTATGCAAAAAATAAATAACTTACATTAAATTTTCGCTTGTCTATCAAACTTATATAATTTTAAATAAAATTTAAAATGATTATTTCAAGGAAAGCGTTTTGTTATATTGTTTAGTTGATCAAATACAATTCTTGAAAGTTAGAAAAAAATTCAAAATTACTTTTTGTAAATTTAATTTTGATAATAATTTTTTAAATGATAAAAAATTTCAGCCATAATCTTCTGGATTTTTCTGCTTTTGGTGCTCCATTTTTTACTTACCAAATTGCAGTCGGCCTTGGACCCCTCAAACGCGAGACCGAGCAGCACCACCACTATCAAGAGTCGGCCCATTTCGGCGCCGCGACCGTCGATTTTCGCCAGAATCGTGCCGATAACAGCAGACGTTTCGCTTCCTTTCTTATCTGACACTGCTCAGCTGCAGCTGCCTGTTGGCTTCCTCCTCTATATTGATCTGCAGTCGACGTACGCCTACACTGACAGCACACACACAGGGTTGGATGTGAAGTGGGGTGGCAAAAGCAGCATGCGCACCGCAGGAAAAACTGGACGCGCGCTTACTATACAAAAGAAAGCCAACACGTGCTTATATAGGCGCCAGTAGTCTGTACTATAACGTGCGGAAAAGTAATTGTCTCTAATTTGGAGTGACGTTTCCACTCAGATGGAAAGAAATAACAAGAAAATGTGCGTCTTGAGAATAATAAACAAATCCATGTAGTCTTAATCATAATATCAAATTTAAATTTAAAATAATTTTTTTTTAAATTAATAAAAAAGTAAATAAAATCCATTTTATAAAAAAAAAAAACAGAAAAGTGTATTTCGTTAAATATAATATTTTATCAAGAGCAAAGATCAATTAGAATTGGCGCAAAAAAATTAGTCAACCCCTGCAATATATGAAAGTAGGCCATCGGCTCAACAGCAGAGGCGTGCGGGTTGCAGATTACTAAAAAATATTTGATTTTCATGTATGCACCCCTCAATTAAAAAAATTTCTTTTTTCACTTCAGCATCCAGAAAATGAGAAATTTCCTTCTCATTTCCACCGCACCCCCTAGATGAGATAATATTTCAACCTCCCACGGCGCGTGTCGGCCGAGAAGCTAATGGAGTCTCTGGCTATCTCCATGGCGACGACCCGAGCCGCGTAATAACAAGCCATCGCACTAATTCGAGAAATAGCTGTCATCAGGGTGCGGTAATTACGAGAGAAGGCAGCCGAGTGCAATAAGAAAATGGGCACCAAGAACAGGCAGTTACGGAACCTCGGTCCACTGCCTTTGCAAGAGACTATTCCCAGCGATCAGCCACATAAAGTGCAAATTGTATATAATTTCGTTCAAATATTCCCTACCTGAAAAAAAATAAATTTCCTTTATTAGGAAAACTTGCACCTTCGGCAAGGTTGGGCTCAATTTCTTCACCCAAGCGAAAGATTGTCTCGACACCACACTTTGTCCAGCGCCCGACAAAGACAAGACTGGTCTTTTCCGACTCAGGACAAGCTCGATTTAGCCCTATCCGCCAGGTACCATCACGAAAAGGACCTGTTTGTTTCAAAAGGCTATTTTTACACACAGCCGGAAACTCTCGGAGAAACCACTTGGTGAAATGAGTTTTAAATTTTTAACAGATTTTTAATTTATATCTCATTTTCAAGGCGAGTTTTACGAAACGAACTGCCTAACTTGTATGAACGGCAACTCATCTTCCATCATCCTCTGCAAATCAGAGACCACGAGCAACGAAATTTGGCTCACGAGGTCAAGCTTGATCCGAGCAGTGATCACTTGGTCCTCACCAGACCAAACTACCATCGAAGAAAAGACGGTGCTTTTTTCAAAGTGTAGAAATACAAGCATCATGTTTTGTCATCTTTTTGCATGTTTGAAAGTAAAAAATTTTGTGTACAAATAAACACCCCTACTGAATAGAAAGGGTGATCTTCTTTTTATTAATGTTTAATTAATAACAGAGATAATCAGAGTAGCATAATAATTACTAACAATGGTTATTCTTCTTGTAATTAAATCCAGCTATCGTCTTGATAAAGAGGTTGTGATTTCATTTTAAGTTTGTTCTCTCCGTTAGGTTTCGCAAATCAGAAACTGCGGACGTAATCGTGTGCCTCAAAAATGGAGCTAGTAGTCAGCAGGGAAACCCGAATTCATTTTTATACTCTCACTTGCACTAGGACACCCTCTCAGTTAAATTTTTACACATAGAATATATTTTTAAGGGGAACTAGTTTTCCTTAATTTTGAGCATCGCTGAAGTCACGAATTGACTTGATTAATAGTTTTTCGCAATAAAACGGCAAATGAATATAAATACTTATGAGGTTGTTTGGCATCTTCGTAGTAAAAAATGTGATAAAAAATTGCTGGATTACATAAATGCTTTTCGATTCTTTGCAATTGGAGGCGACGATCTAAAAAAATGATTCTAATCTCTACGGAAGTGTAATAATAAATTATCCAAAATTATCTTAAGTGCAATCTTTTGGCGACTTCCACTTCATGTATGCACATCTCAAGCAGTAGAAAAATGCGTGAGCGGATGGAAAGATTAACTTCTTGCAAAAGGTATGGGCTTAAAACGACACACCATAAAACTCAAAAAACAAAAGCTCACTCAGATTGGCGTGCATAGGATTTTCGGTTTCCCTGTGGCAAGACATACACAGGAGATTAAAAGCATAATAGAAGGCTGGGCGATGGAATGCTGAGTGATAGGACACACCCTCTCAGCTATTATTTGAAGATAGGCGAACGAAACGACTCCTAATAAAGCGTTTCAAATCACCATCTTAAAAGTACACATTTCTTTTTTCGTTCCATATCATTTAGTAAGAATACTGGAAAATTAAAAAGGGCACGAATCAAAATCGAAGGCACTTTGCTTACCTCAGTAAACCAAATAACTATCAAAGGAGAAAAGTCTGGGTCGTGGTTTTAGGGTAATTGTAACGGCCGAATAGCAAACACTCCAGACCCAAGTTTTTCTCTCAAATTTGCATAAATATTTTCCTAACGGCTGATTTGATCTTTTTTCTAAAAACAAAACTAGGGAGAATATTATAATATAGAATCATTGCTTGATGCGTACAACAAACTAACAAATTAATAATGCAAATCAACGAAGGAAAATAAACTCTCTGCTTGTGTGCCTTTTGTAGAGAGTGAGAGAGATGAAAATATTTTCTTTTGCAAATCACTACTGGCTCCTCAGTTCTCGGCCGATGCTGTACGACACAATCTTGTTCCAGTCTATCTTGGTACGGGTGACCGGCAGCTGGCGACGCAGCGCCTTGAACGTCGTGTCCGACATGGTCTGGTAGTTCTCCGAGATGGCCTGCTGGTACTCCCTCTCAGCCTCCTCCACAACCTTCACCCACTCCTTCGCCAACTGAGCCTCATTCTAGAAACAAAAATGTGTAAATTCTCCTTAATTTTTTTTTTTACAAGACAAACCGAAATAACCAAGGGGGCTTTGATTTCTTTTGAGCTGACCAACTGGACGTTGCCATCTTCGTAATAGTGAACTTGCACCTTCAGGATGCCCTTAAGCTCCGCAGAACCTGAGCCAGGGATGAAGGTCAACGACCACTGAGCGCGCCAACGACCATTCCTATTCATTACAAAGAAAGTTAAAAATGTTGTTTATAATTTAGCTGCTTAAAAAATTTAAAATAATATTGATTGAATGAAAACAAAAAACTTTCCGTACCAGTAGTTTTTGGGTTGAAACTGGTGATCTTCTATGCAGGCAATGAGTGTGATGGAAGACCCGCTGGATTTGGCAAAGACGCTGCTCACCCCGTGTTTGTAGTGGTTTGTGGTGTATTGGGTCAGCTCGGAATCAAGGGCCGATCGCCACGATTCGGCCAAAGCATCAATTTCATACGGCTGAGGATTTTCTTTTTAGAATTCCTCTAAATTTATAAATTATTATTGATTACCTCAAAATCTGAAGCCTCCTTTCTCAAATGATCATATTTGAAACTCTGTTTTGACCTGGGGTCAAAGAATCGACCTCCGCCAAGATCATTGTGATCGGTGACCAGACAGTGTTGGTCAGCAGAGCCGATTCTCACGGGTGTCAGTTGATCTTTGTTGTACTGAGAAAAAGCTCTGAAATTTTGTTTCAATAAAAAACCAATAAAAAATGTGTTTAAATTGTTTACCCCGAGGCGCCTTCCTTTAACAAAGTGTCGTTGTTGAGCAGCACCCTCACGTCTAAAAGTATTTTAAATCAAATAATTTACTATTTACAAACAAATTATTGTTTTTTTCTTACCATTGAAGACTTCGTTAAACTCTCCAGGAGGCGAGTGAAGAATGAAATCGGAGGCGATCCGAACCTATCAACAGCAACATTAAAAGTAAATAAGCAAAAAAATCATGTTATCGCTTTTGATTGTGGTGACTAATGCTGCTGGGGGGTGGAGCCCAGCATAATAAAAAGGTGGGTCTTTTCCAAGGCGCATTCCATTACAAATAAAAATCAAATTACAAAATCTCGACCAGTTCAATGTTTTTAACGATGTTTTCAACGCCAACTCCTATTAAGAGTGACAAATTTGGCCTGATTGTAAGGAAAACCCGGCGAAAAACAAGTTCTGTGACAGCGACAACCATAACAAAGAGCGGCTTTGGTAGGGTCAATTTTGGGCTTAACAAAGGGCAGTACGGTCAAAATTATCAATCAGAAAGATGCTATGGTATTTCATTGCTAGATCGGTTGAATAATTTCAACGTAGAAAATTGTATCAGTCACCTTTTCGGAGTCCGGAATCGGCTGGTCGTGGTCACCTGTGCTATCGGTCGCCATTTTCATAGAGGCGGATGTGGGAGGAGTGCGCCAGTGGTGCCAACAATGCTGCGACGCGCGCAAGGCTGCCAAAATGACTCAAGGCCGAGTCGTAGACGAACGAACTGTAGGTCAGTGACACCGGCGCTGTTATTCGCAAATTAATGTGCGACTCCGTTGCCCAAGCCTTTTGCGATTTGCTTCGTTGGCGTAAAATTAGAAATGTCCACACACCCAGGCGAATCTAAATGCGCCTTGCTTTCTTACGCGGCCAGTGTTTGCATTATTTGCAAAATTAAAAAATCATTAAGAAATAAATAAAGATCAAAATTATAATAAAAGAAGATTTCTGCAAAGAGAAATTATTTTTTAAAATGTGATACAATTTTCTATTAAAAGCAACGTAACGCAAATTTGATAATTTATTAACATCATTTTTAATCAAACGTCGTTCAAACCAATCAAACAACGAGATTTCTGAAATAATATTTAAAGGTAATATCACTAAACAGTCTTTGTTGGTCTTTCTCTTCTGTCCAAAGCAGCGTTTTTCAAGTTGGCCAGGTCCACTTGTGTACAAGAGTATTGAATGAGAGTTCGTGTTATAATATTGCTTGTTTGTTCAGTATGTAGATTTTTTTCAGACCAACTCTCCTTAAAATATAGATATAATGTGTATCCACAGTTACAGCATTGGCAATTCTCTCTATTAAGTAAAAATGTGCATATTTTTCTTCATCTCTTCATCATTGTAATTCAATCCTTGCTTCCTTTGGATCACAGTCTGCTTTCTGCCGAATTTGAGAGACAGGTAGGTGGGTCAAGTGGTATTGAGGGGTTAATCAGGCAGCAGGGTACATCTTTAAATCTAGCAAGCAGCACCACCAAACTTCCAATCTTGACTCGTCAGCACCTTATCATGTTTTCTCGTGGTCCTTTTTAGAAAATGAGAATAGAGCTGTCTTCGAATGAGGCGGCAAAAATTTTAAACTCGAAGACTCGCCAGGCATGGATATGAGCTGCAATTGGCATAAAATTTCAGTTTTCTAATTCAGTTTAAAAAAAATAGCAATTACCTGTGTGGACAAAACTCGAGGAACTTGTTGAACCGTAACCATTGTTTGGCTACCACTGAAGTTTGATTTCTTGTGGTTTTTCGGTTCTGCCAAATCACTCAGTCTGATTAGGGTTCCTAAAATTTAAAACAAAATAAGGCTTGCAGAAATTATTAATTTAAATAAGTTAAACCTTTTGACTTGTTGGCTCGAAGTGTGTCCGCTTCCATTTGAGAGCCGATGGCTGTGGAGGCAGTGGAGGGGTGGGCTGCGGCTGCATCGCCTAAAGCTGAGTGCGGTCGGGAGCTCAACAGACCGACCGCTGTTCTATTGGCCATTAAAAGGCTCTCTCCAGGTTTTGTCCCATTCAGACTCGAGTTCTCTTTGAACGACCCTGCTTTTCTCTTTTTTGTATTCACCTGAGATTTTAAATTGGTAATAAATGATCATAACTTTTGTTTACGTATGAAAATTTACAAGCACTTGTTGCTGAGGTAACTGCTGTTGCTTCTTAGGCGAGATCCGATGGTTTTTGTGTTTTCGATGCCGGACCAGCTTCAGTCGATATTTGACTTTGCCCAGTCGAAGCCGCCGCGCAACCACAGCTCGGCGTCGAATGCGTTTTCGTTTCACTAAATTGTCAGAGGCTTCAGGGTGTTGCTGCTTAATTGGAGGCATCAGGTTGACAGAGGCGGGAGGGAAACCGAGGTAGTCAAATTTGATTTCTTCGTTGTTGTTTTCTTTGGCGTACACGAGACACTGAAACTTGTGCCGCAATACTTGAAGTCCTCGCTGCACACCAAGGTAACCACCAAACTTGCGCAAATTGCTCGTGTTGCAAACCTGAAATTTTTCAAAATTCAGTTGAATTGCTTTTATAAATACCTTATCAAATCAAAAATAAATTAATAAACACAACACTTATATTAAAAAGAGCCTACTTGAAAATTCAATGATGAAGGCTAAATATTGGAATTAAAATTTAATTATATTTTGAATTGTAAATTTTAATTTTTACCATGAGAGGTTTCGGTGCAGGCGGTCTGCAGTCCGTTGAGGAGTCGACACTCCATCGGTCTGGAGGTTGCTGTTTGTGTGGGATGAGGTAGTCACCAAGCAGAGGCTTCTTGGTGACCTCGGCACTTGCAGAGAGTCTCGGAAAGGAGAGCGGAAGGAACTCCGAGGGTGCAATGGGAAATTCCTCCAGCGAGATCTCTGCTTTTGCAAATGAGCCGGTGATGGTGAGGCCATTTGGTCGACACGCAGTGCTACTTGGCGCCTCCGGGATGCTTTCTTCCTCTTCCACCACCACATCACCATCCTCGTCCAGGTGATTGCTGCTCACTTTCTTGACTTTGTGCTGCAACTTGTGCTGAGCTAGGAGGTCATCGAACAAACGTGTTCGCATCGGCACAGCCCTGAGGAAAATTGAATAAATCAGTTTTAATTGTTCTATTTAAAAAAATTAAAAGAAGTAAAACATATTTTTTTTTTTAAATTAACCTTTTCAGGACAAGAGAGTGTATCCGACAGGTGAGCGCCCTTAAACAATTTGTCTTAGTTTGCTCGTTCCAGACGCCGCAATGGATGTCCGGGTTGTAACCACCAGCAGTTTCCACTCTCCGCCTCTTTTCAGGAGCATCTGCTGAGGCCTTGTTTGCTCGTCCGCGTTTCCGGCTTTTCTCCACCTTGACCACCTCAACAACCTGAGGTGGAGGCACCGGTGGAGACAAGGGCGCTTCGGCGAACCTGGCAGCCGCGGCCACCAGAATCGACTGCTTGCCCATAACAGGCAGCAGTGGCACTTTGGGTGCGGCAACCGCTGGAGGCTTCACTGAGGTCGGAGGGGACAACTGCTTTGGCGGCAAGACAGGTTTCGTTTCTTCGATGGTTTTATACTTTTTGAGCATTCCATTGTGCCTTAAAGCTGTAAAAAACGTTTGATTAAAAATTTTATATTATTTTCAGGATTATCATAAGAAAGTCAAAATAAGAAAATTCTTTTAATTACAGCAAAATTTAAGATAAATGCAAATTAGGGAGTCTTTCGCATGACACCCTTCCATAATTGATTTTAATTATATTTGAAAAATTCTAAATCAACTGCCTTTCATTCAAATAATATTTATTAAATTTTAAATCTGTGATTTACTTATCAGTAAAATCTTGTGAACTTGATTTTTGAAATTATAATAAAATATCTTGTAAGCATAATATTTCTTGCTATTCTAAGTAAACTCTAAAGGAGGGTTGAAGGACAAGCGGTGGGGGGTAGGAAGCAAGGACAGAGAATGATATGGCTTGGATTAAAGTCGCAGATTCTAATCAGACATGACTCGAGGCTCGATCAAGGCGAACTGACCAATGTGCTGCTGTAGAAAGGGTATCTTGACGATTGCGTTGCAATGCTCGCAGACAGCGGCCACGAACGGGTCCACCTCAGGACAGTGACCGAACAGCAGATGGTCTGAAAGTGGTAAAAAGTGAGCAGAGGGTAACGATCATGCCAAACGAGTCTTACCCTTGAAGGGCAGGCGCTTGCAGTGGGCCGTCGGCTTGGCGTCGCCGGCGTCAGGACTGTCTACTCCGTTCAGGTCGTCTGCAAACAACAACAACAAATGAGTTGATTGATCATGGGCTACTTTCCATGCCCTCGCATGTTAGGCCGGCCCGGCGTCCCAGCCGCTGGCGGATCGCGCCAAAGTCCGGCCCCGACGGTGCCCCATTTCTAGTTAAAGGCCCCGGCTCACCTTCCGGCCTGTCGCGGCCCAATCGACGGATCCATTTGGCCCAGTCTTGGCCCTCGAGCCCCGACAAACTGGCTGCTTCGTCCATCTTGCCCCGAGTTCGCAGTTTACGCTTGTGGTGGCGCCGCACTCACCCCGCCAGCCAATCAGAGAGCGAGTTGGCAGCGCGAAATCCGGAGGCGCGAATCCCAGTTCGGAGGGCAGTGAAAAGACATTGCGAAAGGCACGTGTGTCGATTGTCGAGATTTGCGCATTATATTGTGGGGCCTACCATATTTTGAACGCAAAAATTCATTTCATAAAATATTGCATGAACAAATAATCATAAATACAACATTGCATTATGCAGATTGCAGCCAAAAATAATTGTAATATGAAAAAAATTGAAAATAAAAATATGAAAGTTTTTTCTTATTTCGATCTTGATAAACATGCTTCTTTTAAATATTTAAATGAAAAATAAACTTCAAGCTCTTAACATAATTTTTTTAACTAAAATTCTTCTTGTATTTTGCTGTTTCATATTAATTTATTGGATATTGATTGATAGAGATGATTATTTCACAAATATTTTTTACAGGGTCTTTATTAAATATACATAAAATTATAACCTTAATTACAAATCAGAAATTTTAACAGAATTTTCGTCCTTCTCACCGATGTAATGCTCTATTGAGATTACGGACATCTGTCTTAACATCATGCTTTTTGTGCTTGTGGTGATGCGCGCTTCTCTTGTTTCTGCCCATGAATTTCACAGTTTGATAGCGCCTCTTAGAAATTTTACCATTGTCTCTCTTTTCAGTACTGGCATTTTGAGAGACATCCGAGGTTCTTGGCGGCATAAAAATTCCTCTCAATGCAGTTCGCAGACGCATAATCAGTTCGTCTTTGCTGGGAGATATAGCCTCGTCATTTTCCTCAGAGTAGAGTGAATTGTTTTCCAAATCGTCTACCAAGGTGGTTTCAACGCTGTCTGTGGCGTTTTTCTTGTCCTCACTTTGTGGAACATGAGGCATGTTAACTCTCAGCCCAATATTTTGATCTTCAACCTCAGAAGGCGTTTCCTTATCAGATTCCTTTTCTAATATCGGAGCTGGGGTCATCATTTTCAACTCAACATTTTGATCTTCAGCTTCGAAAAGTGCTTCCTTTTCAGTTTCACTTTCAAACATCGGAGATGGTGGTGTCATCATTCTAAGCCCAACCTTTGGAGCTGCGGCGGACTGTTGGTTTTTAAGAAATTGATCCAAAGCTCCAGGACCGAAAATTTTATTAAGGAAGTTTTGATGCGATTCCCTCATATTGAAAACTGGGCCTAGAACAACCTTTGGCTGGCCTAAGGCAGGGTCTACCAAGATTCCTGGCAATGATGAAATTTGACCAGGATTCTCAGATATTCTTTTGCCAACGTCAACATTTAATAAATCTCCCGCTTCTCCTCCTTCTGCCGATTTGTCTTCAGCGGCCAATTCATCAAAAATTGCGTCTCCGTCCACATCCTCAGTTATTGGTTCCTCAGTGTTGTTTGGCACTGACTCCTCATCTCCTTCCACCTTCCCTTCTTCCGTACCCTCTTCGCCTTTGGCATTTTCTGCATCTGTGGTTTGGGGCGGCGATTCACTGTTTGGATTGTTGAGAAAAGGTTCTGGTATTTTGCTATCTGGAGTTGCCGGGTCTGTGGTAGTGTCCGGTGTTTCTGGAGGAGTCTCATCAGCAGGTAAATCTGCAACTGGAATTTCGGTTGTGGAGTTTAGTTCTTGGTCATTTTGCGAACCAGGGTCTGCTGGAGGACTCTCGGGAGGAGATGAATTGTTTTTATTTTCTTCTAGGGCTTCTTCGTTTCCAGTTTCAGTTGTGTTGGGGCTTGCAGGAGAGGGAGCGACATCAGGAGCAGCAGTCGGATTTACAACAGAATCATCTGTCAGACTTTCAGGGGCTCCAGGAGTTGCTGGCTGTTGAGCGGCATTGGCCACATTTGGCGGTGGAATCGGAGCTGCTGGTGCTACATTTTGAGCTGGAGGAGCGTTAACAGGAGAGGCAGGTACAGCATTTACATAAGCTGGCTGAGTAACTAGAGGATGGTTTAAATTTCCAGGACACGTCTCTTTGACTTCTTTGCTGGAATCGTAAATTTTTATAATTTTTATGCAACTTCCAGATGAGCTTGAACTGCTGCTGCTGCTGCTGCTTGAACTGCTGGAAGAACTGTCCTCTGAATTATCCTTTTCAGCAACTGGACAAACGCATGGTGTTTTGTCATCAAGAACCTCTCCCCCGTCATTGGCGTCGTCAATTCCAGCTTCATAAGCTCCAAGTAACTTCTTGTCATTATCATTTTCAAGTGGCGCCTTAGTATTCCCTAAATCTCCAATAGCCTGATTATTATCTGCTTCCTGAGCATCAGGTTGAATGACCAATGGTTGATGGGCTGTTGGTACAGGAACATTGGTGTTGTTCGCCTGCCCCTCAGCCTGGTGGTGGTCCAAGTAGTTCTGGATGGCTTCTTGAACTTTAATTAGGGCATTCTCCTGATCTTCGACTTCTTTGTTGAGCATTGCTGCCTCAGCAGCTGTGACCGCGTCCTGCACTTTGTCCGTTTCTGCCTTCTCAATATTATCGCCAATGCATTGCCACATGCTGCGCCACTGTTCCCTCTGGTAACCTTCTCTCTCCAGCTTTCCAGGGTTGTGGGTTTCGTAAGCCTTGAGCGCCTTTTCCGAGAGGAACTCGTAGTCCGTGGACACGCTTTCAGGGTAGTCACAAACCTGTTCCTCCTTGTTGAAGACGAGACTGGCCGGGCAGTCGAATCGAACGGCAGAGTCACTCAAACAAACACAAAACGCATTTGGGACGTCGGCGCGCACCAAAGCTCCATGCTTCTTTTGAGTGCCGTTGGAAAAGAAGCAGCGCAGCGGATCGCAGTAAAGGTCGTTCTCAAAATCTAAATATGAAACTGCTTCTGTGTTCGTTGAGAAAAACGCTATGACAGTTCCAAAAAGAAGACCAATAGGCCCTGAAACAAGTAATTAAAGCAAATGAAAATTAAATTTCGTAAAATCTGCAAGTAAGAATTTGAGAAAAGTTAAAAAAAAATGATAAAAGAACTCACCCATCTTGGAAGCGAAGCTGTGATGAAATGAACAAATGCACAAAAGCCTTTTAGCTTTATACGTCTGATTATTAGATAACAATTAGGAAGACGTTAAGTGCGTAAAGCAGCAAATTCTCAGAGGTGAACTTGAAAACTTTAAAACTGCTGCACTTGCAAGGATATCATTCAACTTGACAGATGTTTTTAAAAATAAAAACAATCATGGTCATAAATCTGAAAAAGTTGATGACAGACAGGTTTACGCATTTTATGTAGCAAAAATAGTAGCTACCATTAAGAAATTTTCTTTTAACAAAAATTGTTGCTGTTTATTTAAAAATATCATTTCTCTCTATACAAAATTAAAAAACTGACCATCCAATGGTTTCATAACAAGTCATATTTTTAACAATCACATACTTATCACTCGGAATAATTTGGAATTTATAACTTTGAGCTGGTCAGCCAGGAATGTGCCTGAGGTTTACGGTCAGCACTTGGGTTAATGGCCACGTTGATAAAGCTTGGGCCATCAGTCACTCTGAGTGACTCAGTCACAGCCTTCTGCAGTTCAGGAATTGTTTGGCAGAAGTAGCCTTGTTTACCAAACATCTCCATCATTTTCTCATAACGAACGCTCACGCTCAGGCTGGTCGGAGGGCTCCTGCAAATTCAAAGATTATAATAGAAAGCAGTGAAAAAGCATGTTTGCGTTTCCTTGTTTATGCAGCTTTTTATAAATAAAAATAATAACTTATTTTCAGAGTTTATGCTGCATGCAAAACATTCAAGTTGCGCAGGTTGCATACACATATTTGTTTTTTAGAGTAAGTTCAATAAATTTTTAACCATAAAAATATCCAAAGGATGAAACAAAACTTACACAAGAGCCAAGTCTCCTTCCTCTCGTAAACTCTCCCACATCTCCTTGTCAAATCCTCCGTATATCCCGTTATTGTTTACCACAACCACGATGACGGGCAACTTGTATCTGCAGAGATAATTCAGTTTTTAAATTTGGAATTTTTGTTGAAATTTTTATTAGTTGTACCTAAATAGAGTTTCTAACTCCATTCCAGAAAATCCAAACGCTGAATCCCCCTCAACGCAGATGACTCGCTTATTTGGCTCGTACTTCCTGCTCCACGCCGCAGCAGCCACAGCAAAACCCAAACCGACCCCCATTGTTCCAAATATTCCTGAAAAAAGCAATAAAATGATTTGGGAATTTGAAACAATAAATAAAATAGTGGTACCTGCGTCTAATCTGTGACGCGGCTTGTTATGCAGGAGCACAGCCCGACCAATGTCCATCGTATTCGCCCCTTCACTTACAATAATGCAGTCTGAAATTTAAAAAGCAGAAAAAATTGTAAATAAATAATTTATCAGTTGGTGGCAAAATAAAATTAATCAATTGCCTTTTGGTAGAAGCTCTTGCAAATGGTGAAAAACTGCGTAGTAGTTCAGAGGCGTTGACACATCAAGGGAAAGACTCTGTCAAACAAATGAAAAATCTAATTAGTTCTGCTATTTTAAAAGGAGGACATTATGAAAGCATCAATCAGCCTAATTATAGTGGAAAATGACATTTCATCGCAAAAGTAATAAATAATGATTAACATGTGTTCTTGCAAAGTCATGGCAGGATATAAATTGCAAAGGATGTATAGCAAAAACTTCCATATACGTCCTTTGATTGAGGATAAATTTTCATATTGTTGGATCAAATTATTCAGCAACATGTGGAGTGGCGTGGTTTTTGTGCTGTTGCTGATTGTGGTAAGAAAATAACTTTTTTATGCTTGGCAAATTAGCTAATTTTAAATTTTAGTCCCAATCCAAGGAGGATCTTATTACTGGCAGAGACGTTGCAAGTAAATTTTATTATTTGATTCATGTGTGCGTTATAAATGTGTGAATATCTACTTTGCCAGAAAATTATTGGTTCCGCTCTCTATTAGTGCATTCGGAATCTGCAAACTTCATGGGGTGCTTTTTGAACAAATGCGTCACTCAGCCAATTCCGCTCATACCCCATGTGTTCAACAAAGTTTTCACAGAGGAGCATAAACCACCCTGTTTGGTATCAGCTTAAAAACCTATCCTAAATTTCTGTCTCTTTTATTTTTATATGACTAAGAACGATTTAAAATTTTACTCAGGATTCTGATTACATTTTGGAAGATTTTTGCTCAGCGTCCACAAATACTTTTCAAGTTGATAGAACAAGGTTGGCAAAGGTCAACAATTCTTACTATTATTTCCCTTCAAATTTAGTAAGTTTTTACATGAAAATATTAAATAAAGGATAGCACGCATAAATTATCTTGAAATAGGAAAACTTTTTTGGTGCTGAAAAGTTTTGCCGAAAATTTGGATTTTTCTTGGGCACCACAGAAAATAATTCAGTGGACTTACTCACCACTTTACAGTGCAACGGTGAAGATATTTATATAGATTCATCAGATTAATGCAATTTGAAAAAATAGAAGTTTTAAAAATATGGACTGGCGTCCTTCGGCTCAAATCGAATAAAAATGTTACGTCCCAATTCTGGCTGTCGAGCGGAAATTTGCTTCAAGGTGATCAGCGGCGCCCGGGCGACAAAATTAATTTTAATAATTTCACATGCATTGCTGCGATGGTGTCCGATCCGCAAAAAGTCCTAGAGGAAGATTGCCGCTCTTCAAATAAATTTTTCTGTTTGATTCCTGACAAATGCATAAGGACAGTTTGCCCCAAAAATTCGAGTGACAATGACAAAGTTTGCATGCCTTATTGTCACTCCTCGTTTTGGATGAAGCCTCACGTACTTAAAAACTTTTTAGCGAAATATTTTTTAATTTTTAAGCAGCTTTCACACCGGTCTGTAGCGACGAGTAAGTTACTTTTTATTAATGATATAAAACTGATTTGTTTTTTAATGAACGCAGGGTTCCTTCCTTCGTTCAATGAAGGTGTTCAAAAGGAAGGATGTGGAGGTTACTTCTATTTTTCACAAATAGCAGTAAATTAAATGGGAAAATTAAATAGAGAAATTTACAGCCTAATATTTTTAGAAATCTTTTGGCGGTGCTCAAGAATACTGCAGAAAATTTGATCTTCGGCTGGTTAGTTTAGAGACACTTGCAAAATTTAAGTGTGTCAAAGATTTGGCCAAGGGTAATTAATATTATTTTTTATTACTTGGGAAAATTGAAATAAATTACTGCAGAGAGATTATTTAAAAAAATTAATTTCAGATGCACGGCCAGAGATAATTTTAGTCAGGTCACGAACCTTTTGGACCTCAGCGACTGACAGCGGGTGCAAAAATAAACTGGCCTGGTGTGGAACGGGCGAATTGGTAGAACAAGAGATGCTAAAAAAATTTTCAAAATCGGAGGGAGAAAATTTGAAAAAGAATTGCTTTGTATTGGACAGTGACAAAGACGTGATGATGGAAGAGTTTTGCATAATGAACTATCGTTTTATTTGTGAAGTAAAAGGAAAAAATTTTCATTTCTTTTTAAGTCTGATTTAAAATTATATAAGGGCAAGATTGGGCCCAAATTTTCCATCATTAATCACCCAACGTGTCCAACCTATGAGTGCTATTTAGACGTAAAAATTCCCAAGATGCATTTTTCCAATTTAAAAAAAAAAAATATATTTCAGTTTTCCAAATTTATGAAATTTTCAACCAATTTGGTGCCTAGTATGAACATTATACCTATTTGAAGCATCACACATCACAAATAATTCCTAAAAGTTCACAGCCGGCACGATCTAAGCTATAGTTTTTCAACTGATCAAGCCGCCTACGTCATTAGTAAAGTTAAGGTTGATGAAAATAATAATTTCATTCTTCCGAATCTGCTGTTTTTAATAATTTATAAAAAATATAGGTCAATCACAGCAAGGCGATTAGAGAGTGCTGCGAAATGGGTCGCCAGCTTTATAATTTTCTGTACAGGGGTCCCTCTTCGATCAGCCCGGAATTTTTGAAAAACAGCATAAAAATAAATTTATTTTAATTTTCTAGTTGATAAAATTTAACAACATTCAGAAAAATTCAACGGAATGTCATTTTGGTCACAAGAAACGTTGGACGAGACTAGGAATGAGTATCAAATGTGTCCTTTCGGCAACGTTGTTTCAGAAGGACGCCTGAATAAAAGTCTGGACAAAAAGTGCGTTGCCTTTGACGTAAACGACACCAGAGTTTCTGCAACAACAGCGGACTGCGGAGAAAAGAAATATTTTGTGTGCAGAGTTGAGAAAATATTTTTTTCTTGATAATCATTAAAATTAATATTTTCCAAAGGGTGCTTGGTTTTTAACAAATGATGTGATATTTTACGAGGAGAGGGAATCTGAAATTTTTTGTGATCCAGTTTGCCCTTACTCTCCACCAGAAGACACAGTAACAATATAATTAAAAACAGTCTACGTCAGTAAATTTACATTTAAACCACAGAAACATTTCTTAAAAAATATTCAAGACGTTAAGAGAGGTAACAAATATTTAAAATAAAATGATTAGTTAATAATTCATTTTGAAAAGCCATTCCTAATGAAATTTCCGTACATGAAGATTGTGGAGGAATTTATATTTTTCCAAATGAAAGCGTGACAATCGTTTTAAATTTTTCTCTTCTGAAAATTAAAATGCTAGATGCAGGAAAAAGTAACCTTCTGGGAGGCACTCAGGACCTGCAGAGGTTGGGGACTGCAACTTATAGAGCTACGTGACAAAAACCAAATTGACTGCATTTTTCAAAAACTCTTATCCAGTCAGTAAAAAAAGAATAAACGGGAAAAGAAAATTTTGAAAAATTACGCAACAGAAAAACCGGCTGTAGAAATATGGACAGGTGGAAGTATCATTGGTTGCAGAACATCTTTAAGGTTTGTAGATAAATAGACTGTATTTTTTAGACTCATACTTTTAAATTTTCAGATGGTGCGGATCCAATAGGGTTGTACCTAACGGCCAAAACATATCATTTAATCTAACAAATTCAAATGATGATGAATGCTTAAAATTGACAACTGGATTTCTTAAATCTAGCAATCCTAAACCAATACTTCAGAATGCATGGTGCTATTTGAGTTTGAATTACATTTGCGAAATCCCAAATTAAATTTAGTAAAAATATGTAAAAAAATGGCTTATTTGAGGACTTTTTTTTTTATTTATCTAATTATTTTGACGTTTAAGTTTTTCACTTCCTATGGATTATTCTGATTAAATAAATACATTATTAATATTGAAGTGGAATTGTCTGTGCTCTCTTTTTAATTTGATTGTGAGATTGACATGACTGCGGAATTGATTGATTGAGACAAAACCAGGATATACATTATGTGTGTTCATTAGCTGACACACGCAGACATTTTGCAACATCATGCATGGTGCCATGGATAACAGAGTGCCCATAATTTTGCTCGCATTTCTAGTAAAAATAAACTTTTTAAGAAATTTAATTTAATATCAATTTTGCAGTCCTATTTGCACGCTCAAGAAGAAAAAATCATCAGCAGAGATATTAATGTTGGAGGTAATTTTATTTTATTAAAAAAACCAAGCCAGATCCAATTTGTATTGCATTTTTTTTTAGAAAGATCTTGGTTTCGCTCTCTAAGGACTAATGTGTCCCCTAATTTCATGCAGTGTTTGTTAGACAAATGCGTGACTCCAGCACCTCTCAATATTCCACACGTTTTCACCAAAATCTTTGACAAACCGAAACGACCACCGTGTTTAAATACTGTATTGTTTAAAATTCAAATTATTATTCAAAAGAAAAACTGCCACAATACACATAATTTAGGACCCGAACTTTGTATTGAAAGAATCTTGCTCATTATTTACAAGCACTTTGTTTGTCGATACGAAAAAATTGGTCAACGTCAACAACTCCTACTATTATTATTTCCCATCAAATATGGTAAGTTTTTTCCAGACAGAATAAAAAATAATTTAACCAAAAATCTTTTGCAGGAGAATTATTTTGGAGCGGTAAAATTTTGTCTGAATGTCGGATTTAAATTAGGCACTTTGGAATCAAGCCCTGATGCCGTATTAGCCTCATTAGTTGCAAAAGGTATTTGGAATTTTTCGGATCTTTTTCTCGTTACCGTCAGATTTCAGGTTATTCGAAAATATGGACAGGATCCGTAATGCTCAGAATAAAGAATGCAACGTCTCTTTTCTGGGAGTCGAGTGGAAATTTGTTCAAAAGTGATTTGAAGCTTGACAGTTTCAATGTCGCATGCATGGCTGCCAGTGTGTTCAGCCCTGGAAATTTGCTGCAGGAAGAATGCAGGTCACAAAATCGATTTTTCTGTTACGTTCCCACCAGGTGCATTCGTGCTGTTTGCAAGGACGAAAATGAAGCAATTACGGTCAGCAACACAAACAGCGAAGTTTGTGCACCTGATTGCTATTCTTCATTTTGGATGAAACCGCATGTAATGACGTTATAAAAAGAAAACACTTGAATAATAAATTTTTTAATATAGTTCACGCATAGATCTGTGGCAACAAGTATGAAAATTAAATGACTCTTCAAAAGGGTTTCAATTAAAAAAAAAACATCGCAGATTTCGAGCCCTGGTTTAATGAGGGAGTTCAAAGAAAAGTCTGCGGAGGCTACTATTATTTTTCACAATTAGCGGTTGAAAAAAAATTGATCGCTTGAAATTTGGGGATGTTTATTCTGAATTCTAGAAACCATTTGGAGGTGCTCAAGACTATTGTAAAAAATTTGGATTGCAACTTGTATCTTTAGAAACTCCAGAAGAGTTTAAGTGTGTGAGAGATTCAGCGAAAGGTTATGCGATTTCCATATTGATTAAAAACTAAATTTCTAAATTAATTATTCAGACGCAAGACCAGAGAGAATGGTGGTCAAATCTAGAATTTTTTGGACTTCCGCAACCGACAGAGGTTGCAGGAATAAAACTGCTTGGTGCGGCACTGGTGAAATGGTCAGCGAAGAAATGCTCAAGTTTTTTTCACTTCCGAGGGAAGAAAATCTTGATAAGAATTGCTTTTTGTTAAACGGCGACAATGAAGTGATCACAGAAGAGTTCTGCGCTTCAGAATATCGATTCATTTGCGAGGTAAAAAGCTTAGAAAATTTTAGAACTACCAATTACATAAAAAATATAGGGAAGAATTGGACCAAAATTTTCCATAATCAACTATCCAACGTGTCCAATTTACAATTGCTTCTTGGACGTGAGCACAGTTAATTTTTCAGATAATTATGAACTATAAGAATGTTTAATAAAATTACAGTTTACAAAATTCGTAAAATTTAAAGCACAAGTGATCGCTGGTAAAGTGTTTGAATTTGAAATTTTAGGCATTAATTTCATCGTTTCTACAGTGCAAAGCCGTCATGAAACCAATTTTATATTCGGCGCTGACAAAAGAGGGTACATTATAAGTAACGTCAAGGTGAACCCTTAATTAACAAATGCAATTAAAATAATGAAATGGAATTCTTAGGTGAGTTACAGCAGAGCTGAAAAAGAGTGTTGTGAAATGGGGTACCAATTACACGGTTTCCTTTCCAATGGTCCCTTATTTATTCAACCAGAATTTTTACAAAACAGTAAGAAATTATCTTTGAAAGAATAAAAAATAAAAAAAATGCTTCATTTTTGTATTAGAAAAATTTAACAATATGTCGTTTTGGTCGCAAGAAACTTTAGACGAAACAACAAACGTTTACAGAATGTGCCCCTATGGTAATGTTGTTTCAGAAGAAAATCTGCGAATTAAAAATCGACGCAAAAAGTGCATCGTCTATGAGGTCAGGGACAATAACGTGACCGCAACGACGGCGGATTGTGAAGAGAGCCATTATTTCATTTGCAAAGTTACTGTCTAACTATATAAATACCTTCTTATTTCAATTAAATTTAAACATTTTAAGGATACTTTGTATTACACTAACGACTTTCTATTAAAAGAGAAAATAGAATTTGGAAATCCGTGTGCTCCGGTTTGCCCTTACATTCCACCAGAAGCGCCAGTGAGTTTTGAAGAAAATCATAAATTTATTTATAAATCGGTTATAACATAATTAAATTAGAATCATTTTTTGACGAGCATTGAAGCTGCAAAAAAAGGTAAAATACTTGTTTTGACTAGTTAACTCATATAAGTGAAAAAATATAAAGCATTTCCAAAGGAAGTTACTGTAAAAGAAGTATGCGGCGGAGTTTACGCTTTTTGGGGTGAAAACGTAATTGCCGAATTTTGGGAGGCAATGACAATCTGTAGAGGTGTTGGACTGCAATTAATAGAGCTGCGCGATCAGAGTCACATTGATTGCATTTTTAAAAACTTCCAGACAAGTATATATCAGTTTTTTAGCAAAAGAGTTTAAATGAAGAAATCTAAACTTAACTTTAGGTAACAATATTTGGACGGGTGGCAGCTTAATGGGCTGTAAAACATCTATAAGGCAATCACCAAAATAACATATTTTTAAAGTTTTTAAAACAGTATATTTTTAAGATGGTGTGGATCAGGCAAAGTGGTCCCAATTGAGAAATACCAAATGCCCACTCCATCAACAGCGGAATGCATAAAACTTATCAAGATCACTCCAGCAAACTCGAATACTACAAAACTTTTGCTCAGAGAAAATTGGTGTTACAACAGTTTTAACTACATTTGCGAAGTTCCGTGATTTTGCAATTAACTTTTTTATTTCATTGAATGTTTTGTCCAAATAAAAATAATTGATTGGAAAAATTGTGTTCATAAAAATAATATTCTGAAGAATAATTATAGCTGCTAATTAAATGTTTAGAGATCTGCATGTTAATTAAGGGTACGAAAGGTAAAGATGGCTTGGAAGAATTTTGAAATATGTGAAAGAATAAAAATCAAGTTTTTTCTGATAATTACAGGAATACTTTTTAAGTAACACTTAAGTGTGTGAGGTTGGGGATTGACTTAAGTTTGAGCTGAATTTGGAGAGTCCCAACTAAAATAACTTCATTCTTGTTTTTAAATGCTGAAAATAATAAAGGAATAAAAAAAACTCACCACGACAGACTTCTTGTTCTTTTGAATGGCTGCGTCCAGTTCCAACCACCAAAGACGAGAAACAGTCCAGCGTCCTTGTAGAGCTGAGGTCAAAGCAGAAAGACTGGAAGTTAAATCCCCGCCAATTGGAACTGTGGCTTGGACGCTCTCATGCAAATCATTTGGATCGACTTCAAGCTAAAAAATAAAATTATAAATTTGTTAAAATAGTAACAAATTTTGGTAGAGAAAGCAAACCTGGATGAATTTCACGTCAGGACTGAATCTGGGTGGCCGACCAAAGTGCATTTGCCAGTTAAGCTGGTTGCCTACAAGCAGAACAACGTCCGCTTGTTGCAAGGCAAGGCTGCGAGCAGACCCGACGTTTTGAGGGTGCTCGTCAGGAATCATGCCTTTGGCCAGTGGCGCCGTAAGGACGGGCAGCTTAAAGGCCTCAGCCATTTTCACCACGGCGTTTTCGCAACGCCAGTACGCAGCACTGGGACCAACAATCATCAGTGGGCGCTGGAGGAAAAATTCAGTTTCAAATCAGATTTAGATAATAATTAAAACATTTAAAAAATAAAAAAAATTATTTGAAATTGCATATTTCAAAAAATTTACCTGCGCTTGGCTCAAAAGTTCAGCTGCTCTGAGAATATCTTGCTGGTGAGGCAAAGTTGTCGGAGGAGGCAGACACCGAGGGACAATTGTAAACTCATCTCTGGTTATTCTCTGCGTCAACACATTTGCAGACAAGTCTAGATAGGCCGCTCCAGGTCGACCGTGAGTGGCAGCCCTGATGGCTTTTTCCACATGTTGAGGAATGAGGCCAGCGGCGCCTGGTTTTCCTGAGTACTTGCAGTGCAGGCTGCAGGACTCGACTTGGGGATACTCCTGAAATCCACCGATGGCTTCGTGGTCTTGAGGACATGCTCCTCCCAAGAGTAAAACGGGCCTGAATAATTTTTGAAATTATTCTCTGCTAATTATAAACAGAAAATAAAAGTACCAGGCGTTGACTTTGGCATTGGCGAGTCCTCCGACAGCGTGCAGCACACCAGGACCTGACACAACCAGACAGGCTGCCGGTCGTTGAGTGAGGTAGCCCCAGGCTTGTGCTGCGTAACAGGCCGCCTGCTCATTTCGCATTCCGATAAACTGGATACCTTCGAGTTGCATGGCCAAACTCAGTTCAATTACAGGGACACCAACGATGCCGAAAACTATTTCGACGCCCTAAAATTTCAGAGACACAAAATCAAACAAAAAACATTTAATCGATATATTAAATATTATATATTTTTTGTATTGAACATTATTTTTAACCAAAACTTTAACTCCATAGGTGTGGCTTTTATAATTTCCCGCATCAATATGCGATTATGTACCTGTTGCTTGAGGGCCTCAGCCAGAATTGTGTTGCCATCAACTTCCTCAGCCATTGTTAGTCTGCAAGGTACACAGAAAAGCAGAGAATTTTCAGTGTAAATCAATTTGTAATTAAATTGAGGAATGTGTTATAGAGGTTTGAGATTTTGGCACCTTGATTAGAGAACTTCGAACTGTTAAGATAGGGTCGACGTGAATGATAACGAGACGATAAAACATTAAAAGTCCAAAAGGACAAGAAGACAACACACAAAACTTTTAACTAAACGCGACAAGCTTGCAAAGTCACGCCCGTTTGTTTTTGTTTTCAAAGAGCAAGAGAGGAGGAGAGTAGGGGGTTGATAAAAGGGTAGTATAGGAAGAAGATAAATGGTTCTGTGAAAAACGTTTGAAATAAATGAAAAACTTTAATATTTTCATCTAATTTAGCAAACTTTTCAAACTTAAATTAATATTTAAAGGAATATTTTGAATTAATGTTGTAATATAAATTTATTAAGTTACTTTTTCTAGCTAATTATTTATCTCCTTAAATAAACACGTCAGACCAACGGGGCGTGGCCAGCGGCTGTCAGCAGCAAAAATAACAGACATCAGATTTGAGTCGCTTTTTATTTACTGCAATCAAACCTTGCAGTTTTGATTCAATTAGAATGAACTGAGCGGCCTCGAAATGACTGTGTCGAACGCGCACCTTAGCCTGACCAGCTTCCTGCTGTCCGGCTGTCTGAGCCTGCTGGCCGTCGTTTCTCTTTTGATCGACGAAGAGACGGTTGGACTGGTGCGCGAATACACACCTGTGCTTATTCTCGCCAATTACGTTTTGGTCAACCTATACTACAAGCTCTTCTACCAAGGTTACCATTACCAGGTAATGTAACATAATATAAATTTAATTTTTCATTAAAGTTCTTGCTAATTTTTCCAGATTGCCGTGAGAGCAACATTCCTAGGCACAGTTTTCTCGACGGGATGTCTCATCTCCGTTTTCGCTTCCTTGTCCTGGATGCCGCTTGGATTGTAAGTCTCTCTGATTTAAATGAATATTGAGAGTTTAAAGAACATTATTTTGTTATCAGGTACATGATAATCATGGCGATTTTCCACTTTTCCGAATTCCTAGTGACTGCGCTTGTGAACGCCCGGACACTGTCTCTCGACTCGTTTTTGCTCAACCACAGCAAAGAATACGGAATTGCCGCTCTTGCTAGTTGGATTGAGTTTTTCCTCGAAAGGTGGCTCCTCCCTGGTAAGAATCTCATTTTGGTTTAAAATTAATTTTATATAAGTTAATTTCTTGCAGAAATGAAGGAGTTGTGGTTGTTTTTGCTGGTCGGTGTGGTCTTTTGTACTGCTGGAGAAGTACTCAGGAAAGCCGCAATGATGACAGCCAAGACCAACTTTAATCACATTGTGCAGAGTGTCCGGGAAGATGGACACCAGCTAGTCACTCATGGTGTGTACGGATTGTGCAGACACCCAAGCTATGTTGGATGGTTCATCTGGTCAATTGGCACACAGGTAGGAAACCATTTTTTCCTAAATATTATTTTTTTAAATTAATAACAAATTATGAAATTGAAAGTGAGAATTTTTTTAAATTACTTTTCGCTGATTTGAGCAAAATTTTAGTTGGTTCTGCTGAATCCACTTTGCCTCTTGGCATACACAATGGCGTCGTGGAAGTTTTTCCAGACAAGAGTTCTCATTGAAGAGGTGTCACTGCTCAACTTTTTTGGCGACCAATATTACGAATATCAGCAGAAAGTACCGACAGGGCTACCCTTTATAAAGGGTTATATGTAAGAGCATAAACGAATTATCCGATTTTACAAAAAAAAAAATAATGAGCATTTTTTCCATAGACTGATCATTTAAGTAGAAATCTTAAAATAAACTTCATCAGGTTAAATTTTAATTACAAACTTTTTATTTCATTATCGAATTTTTATTGAAAACTGCTCCATGGGGTAACACACATTCCCAAAGAGCTGTTCCTGCCCAGTTCATAAATACAAAAAATACAAAAGTTTGTCTGATTTACTTTTATTAGGCACATGCATGCACTGAAAATATTGCACACTTTAAGTGACTAACCTAGTTTACAAAAAAGTATACTGCATTGTCACATGTAACATGGTTTTGCTGAAATCCCCATATGTTTGGTTTCTTTCTCCTCATTGCACTTCTCTGCCAAAGGCGATTCGTGTATAAAATATATAGATATAGGTACTACAAGACTTGGTTCTTCGATTGAGACCCCCGTAGATCACAGAGAGACATGCTGAATAATTGGCTTTAAAATTGAATGGTTCTAAGACAAGGGTGAATTAGGCAGACGAGGCCAGCTCGGTCACTCCCCCGTTCACTGAAGGCACAGTTTTGCTGCCGGCTTTCTTAATAACATCCTAAAATAGAACGTAAAACTTCAATATAAAATACAAATTTTATCTGATAGGACTGCACACCTTTTTGTTATAAGGCAGAATTCTGGGTGTTTCATTTGTTGGCATCGGAAGGGGACTCGATTCATGATTTTCCAAAGGTCCAAACTTCCAGCCACCCTCTCCGTCGAATTGGAGGATGTGAGTGTGATATTTCCTGTGGAAAAATTAGGCATAAGTTTTAATTGGTTTTTATTAAAAAAAATTTTACCAAAGAGAAGGTCTGTGGGTGATGGTCAGCAGGGTGATTCCTGCATCTTTGGCTGCTTGGTACATGGCACCTTCAACGTCCAGGCTGACGGCACTGGTACATTCATCCAGAAGTGCAAACTGGGGCCTAAATTTTTTTTATTCATTTAATTTTTAATAATAAATATCAAAGATGTCATTTTAAATTTTCTAGTATTCGTCATTTTTTTCTAAAGTAGGAATTAATAATAAAAGATTTTTTAATTCTTACCTGTGGTAGAAAAGTCTGGCCACTCCCATTCTCTGCTTCTCACCTCCAGAGAGCACGTCCTTCCAGTCGGCATCAACGTCCCATCCACCCTCGCGAGTTACAATGTGCCTCAACCGCACAATTGCAAGGATGGCCTCGAGGTCAATGTCGGTCAGACCCTTCCTGGTCATTTCCTCGACTGTGTCAGGGTAGATGACCTGGTCACGCAGGTTACCCAGGGACATGTATGGCCGCTGAGGAATGTAGAACATCGAGCAGTTGGCCGGGCGCATCAATTTACCTTGAATTGATTTTTTTGTTATTATTTTTTCCTGAAATTCAAAAAGTTATTTACCTGCGTAAATAGGCCACAGACCGCTCAGAATGCGGAGCAGGGAGGACTTTCCGCATCCGTTTGGACCGGTAATGAGCAGATGAGTGCCAGGTTCGACGCTCAATGAAAGGCTGCCAACCACTATGTCGCAATTCGGGGTCACAATGGGCACCTCCTCGAGGCGGATTGCGCCGTCTTTGCTCTCCAAAATACGACCTGATTTACATTTTCAATAATTAATTTATTTATTCTATAAAAAATTTAATCTTGAATTTTCTTCAAATTTAAGAATATTTTTTATCTTGCAATACATATAACAATATACCTTTGATAAGGGGTTGGTTAAGGGAGTTGTACTCAACCAAGCAGCTCTGTGAGTTGACGCCTTTGTTAGAGTTTGTAACCACCGTCTTTTGATAATCGCCTCGGCTCACTTCCTCGAACACTTGCAGCATTTCAGCCACTCGAGCTGTGTATCCGGCCAGCTCAACAATTTCCTTGAAGCACACAGATAATTTTTATAAAAAAAGCAACGATTCCGACTTTTGAATTATTGCTTAAAAAATTAAGGCTAAAAAAGAGTAATTAATTAAATTAAATATAAATATCACCAACATATACCAAATTGGTAATGTTATAGTACGCGCGACGTGTTTCCCAAAATCCCTGATTTCAGTTGGCATCACTTGCATTACGTCGCGCGTTTAATAGTGGTTTTACGTCGCGCATACAATAATGGTTTTACGTCGCGCGCTCAATACTGGTGGCGGTGAAATTGTTAAGGAAACCGATTATTCCATCGATACCTCGGCAACATGTATAGCACGCGCGACGCAATTCTTTTCCTACAATCTTAATTAAGGGGACTGCTAGGAAGAATAGGGGCCCTTGGGATGGGTTCAGAATGGGGCAAGACGACCTCTGGAGGGCCGTGCGCACCCTTATAGCAGGCGCGACGTATCACTATGGGACGCGCGACGGTCAAAAAGCGAACTCCGGAGGGCGCTTTTCACCATCGTCAGAGGCGCGACGCATGGCTATAGTACGCGCGACGCACGGTTATAGTACGCGCGACGCACGGGCGGAGCCCCCTCATGAACACAGCCCTTTTGTCCTCGCCCTCCGCACGGCCTTCCCCACGTCCTCGGGCGAGCGCGCCTCCAGCCCGAAGCTCGCAAACCCACAACGGAGTTGCCCACAAAAGGTGTTGTCTGCAAAGGGAGTTGTGGGCACCACACTTTTTGTTTCCTAAGCCCTTTTTGCAGACAATTCCTTTTGTAAGCAACTCCGTTGTGGGTTTGCGAGCTTCGGGCTGGAGGCGCGCTCGCCCGAGAACGTGGTGAAGGCCGGCTCCGGGCAGGACAAAAGGGCGGGGTTCGTGAGGGGGCTCCTGCGGAGCCCCCTCATGAACACAGCCGCCCTTTTGTCCTCGCCCTCCGCACGGCCTTCCCCACGTCCTCGACCTCGCTGCGCCTCCACCCCTCGCTCGCGGCTTCTGCAAAAATTAATCTTGGGGGTGGCCCACCTCCGAGTTGCCGGTTCGTGGGGTGCCCACAACTCCGCCCGCGTGCAACACCTTTCAATTAATTTGCCGCGCGTGTCGCGCCTCCTATAATCGTGCGTCGCGCGTACTATAAGCATGCGTCGCGCGTACTATAAGCATGCGTCGCGTGTACTATAAGCGTGCGTCGCGCGTACTATAACCATGCGTCGCGCCTCTGACGACGGTGAAAAGCGCCCTCCGGAGTTCGCTTTTCGACCGTCGCGCGTCCCATAGTGATACGTCGCGCCTGCTATAAGGGTGCGCACGGCCCTCCAGAGGTCGTCTTGCCCCATTCTGAACCCATCCCAAGGGCCCCTATTCTTCCTAGCAGTCCCCTAAATTGAGATTGTATTAAAAGAATTGCGTCGCGCATGCTATAGAGGTTTCCGTGGTAATCGGGAAATAAAATCGGTTTCCTTAAAAATTACACCGCCACCAGTATTGTACGCGCGACGTAAAACCATTATTGTATGCGCGACGTAAAACCACTATCGAACGCGCGACGTGATACTTTTACATGGGAGCATAAGTGCTGCCAACTTATGAAAAAACACGTCGCGCGTACTATAACATTACCCATAAATTACATATTTTATCTTTTTAATAAATATAACATTTATATAAATTTTTAAACGCGCTTTGTTTTCCTTTTCCTATTTAAATGCAGCAGTAGTTCTAACATAATACAAACAACGCAAGATGCAACCCTATAAATGTTCTCGGTTTCATAACCGCAAACAGACAAAAGAATGACGGCCGTTGTATGAGCTCACCTTGTAGGAGGACATGAGTCGTTCAACTGCGTCGCCGCCAGAGACGAGCAGATTCTTGGCCGTAGTAAAGTACTGGGTCCTATGGCTCACGCTCTCACTGCTCGCGCCAGAACCGATGGCTATAAAGAAATAATTCGAAATTACTTCACCTTTGCAAACAGCAGGTCAATGTACAGACGCAAAGCTAAATTGTTATAAATAGCCGCACTAAAGGTGAAAATTATTTCAAGTCAACCTCACAATCAGAAGAGACCATAAATTTAAATTTACGTTTCAAGTAAAGATTTTTTTTCTTTAGTCAAAAATCACTGACTGTGCATTAACAGTTGCAAAGGTCAAGGTGTTAGTAAAACGCTGAATCAACATTTGAATAACAGCAAAAAGTTGTGAATGGCTCTTTTGTTGATTCAATATTATTATCCCTTTCCATACCTTTCACTCGAGGCCATTTCATTTTTTCTAACACAAAATCTTATATTTTCACAAGGACCCACTAGTCATTATTATTATTTAACGTGTATTTGTGTGTGGGAAGGAATATTATTTTTTTACCTTCGCGGGAACTTGTGAGGATGGGCAGCGAGACCATGACAAGGCCAGTGCCGCTCCAGACGTACTTCATGAGGAACTGTTCGAGCATCACATACCACAGTCGCTGCCGGAAGATCTTGTTCATTTGATAGACGAGCGATCTGTACGCGCGCCGCAAATGATTCAACTCGACCTGAGGGCGCAATTATTGCAATTTGAAAACAATCAAAAAAATTAGCAAACCTTGTGGCCATTGTAGAAGGCGATTTCCTCGGCATTGGTTATCACCCTGGAGTGAATGGACCGCAGGTAGCCTTTTCTGTTGGCCTCCTCGGACACCAGTTGGCCAAAGTGAGGAGAGACCGCCTTCAAAATGTGGCCGGTCACTGTAATAACGGCGCACGCCAAAAGTGGACCTACAGTGGCAAAAAAGAAAAAGGATAAAATGAGACGAGATTTGTTCCGAATAAAATTGCCTTGGACGACGTTGGCACCCATTTGGTGCGTGGACCTGGCCAGAGCTATTGTGACCAGGGCACAGTCAAACAGCGGCTTTGTGATGTGCGAGTAAAGATGAGCCACTGAAGATGTGAAGGCACTGATGTCATCAGTCAAGCAGTGGTCGGCATTCTCTACGCGGCCGTCCAAATTTGAAACTCGGTAATAAGTCTGATCCTGTAAATGTAAAAAGAAAAAAACGATTTTAATTTTTTAGTTTTAATTTGAATAAAACTAAAAATAACAAAATATTTTCTTTGATGATTTTTGTAATTATTTTTCAAAATTTGGAATTATGAGCATCTTTATTTCATTTATTTTAACAAATTTCTAAACTCACTTTGAAATAAAGTCCATAAGCGTGGTCAACGAGACGAGATCGGAATGCGAGTGCGAGTTTGCACTCGAGGTACCTGATTGCACTGTTGATGAAAGTTGCAGGCACGGCCACGGCAAACCATCTGCGGGCCAAAGGTTACCATTAAAGCAATTTCTCATTTTTTCTTTATATAAAGTTTTAATTCTATATTCCTTAATCATGACAGAGACGCGATTTGAATGCGAAAAATTCCATCAATTTTTGTTACGCCATGGAAATCACATTTTATTAGCACGTGGAATTTTTTTCTTATCGTTGGACCGAGATTGGAATTGTTTTGCGGTAGAGATAATTTTGATTCTTTCAAAGTCCTTTACAAATCTGATTGAGGTTGTCTGACCTTGTGCGCAACATACCGATAGCAAAATATATATCTTGAATGGTCGATGACAATGTCAAATCTAATGGCAGGGCATGCAACAAGAAAGCGCGTGAATATTTTTGTGATTGTCTCTTCGCTTTTTTGCAAGGTTGACGTAACAGCAGACGCAGGTCCAAGTCAACAAACAGAAAAAATGATAAATTATTGTGGGTTTAGAAAAGGAGTGCTCAATCATGGTTTCTCAAGCAATTTTTTTTCTCTGCCAAGCAGCACACAATTTTCTCTGTGGTTGGGAATATTCGCAACATCACCGCAATTTAACGAGTATGAAGAGTAATTTCTATTAACTCTCAGTACACTAAAATTATATACCAAACGAGCAAAATAGCAATTATAATCGGAGAGTCGCTTTCTTCGAACGAAAATGATCAGCACATAATTGGTTTTAAAGGGGGTGAAAGAAATGATTAGTAATTCATTTGACCTTGTTTTCACTGAGAAGTGTACAGTTATAAAAGAAATGTACGCGTCTAGTTGAAGACGAAGAAGATCTATCTGTCGAGTAGAAAACATACGGGACTTTTCTTTTATTTGCCTCGGCAAACACTCTCGCTCTCGTCAGTCTCCGTCGTCGATTTATTACTTCTTGATCAAACATAAATGAATCCAATGCATTATTCGGCTGTCAATCGTGACAGCAAATATTGCGTTTTTGACAACAAACAAAAAAGTCAAAGCCATTAAACAAAATATAATATTGTGTGTACAATTTCGTCACATGCTTATTATTCCAAATGTTAAAAGGCACTTGTGACGAAGGGCGATTGCGGAAAAAATGACCCCGGGCATTACTCATAATATAATTTAACAGAATCACGCGGTTACAACGATGAGTGCAGCACACTCTCGCATGTTCTTATTTTGCTTCTGTGGGAACGACAGAAGCTCTGTTTTTATTTTTATATATAGTCGACGCGGAGCAGTGATAAAGGCACTAATTACGAAACTCGTGATGAGCGTCGCAGAAGAACGTTTAAGCAGCTGCCATTAACTCACATTAAAATAATTTTTAGTTTCCTCGACGACAACATGTATAGATTAGGAAGGGCGTTGGAAATATATTCATGTTTAATGTCCAAATAATCACAGGCTGCGAATTTTTTTTACCTGAGGAGCATAAGCATGAAGCTCTGCGCGTCCTTTCGAACGATGTGTTTCACTATGTGGCCCTCGAGGGAGGCTACGTAGATGGACAGGAAGGTTCGGGCGGCGAGGGACAAAGTGTGGACGATCAGAAGTCCACTCTCTTTGCACCATAAGCCAGGGACCATCACACGCAGAAGCTTTTCCAGCTGAAAATTAAAAATAAAAAAAATTAATAAATAAATTTAAATTCTTTTTTTTACAATTGCACCAATGGACAGAATAATGCAATTATATTTATTCATTCCACCATTTTAGTTTAAACTCATTGAGAAATTTCAGTATTCAATTATGCTTTGAAAAATTTTAAATTTTATTAAAAAAAAAAAGTAAATAGTTTTTTTATTTATTTATTGTGATTGAAGTTAATTAATAAAAATTTAGAGCACAATTTGATTTTCTTTTTCAATTAAAACGGTCATATCATAAGAAATATTTTTACTTTGTGTAGTTTTTTATCGATCTAAACACCTTTCTCTACTTTTGTGTACATAACTGTTTTTTAGACCATTATATTATTGACTTTTTTCTGTGACACTAGGAAACGAATAATTTATTTTGTTAAAAGCAATGCGATGATATGATAATCATGCACGCGAGTTCTGAAAAACGCGTGTGTGTGTCTGTGAAAAAGTTGCTAGGTCCACATAAAATATACAGCACGCTGTTTTGACGTCAAGGTTAAGCAGCTGGACTGGCCGCGTATTTAACGTCCTTTATTTTTAGGCCTCTTTTACATTAATACGGTCTGGCTTCCCGGTTTCCCAGGACGCCAAGTTTCTTCCTGATATGCGAGCTTGTTTCGCACAAAACAATTACTCTCAACAAGAAAACTGCTGCTTAACTGAAAAAAATAAAATTAATATTTGAACTTTAATTGCTTTCTTTTCCTGTTTAAAGATATTGATCAAAATTAATTTCCTGCTCCAGAATTTTCTGTCTCAAAAGCAAACCGAACCTTTGCTCAACATTTTAGTTGAAGAGAAAATTTACTTTCAGTGCGATAAAACGAACATCAGCTTGCCAGTAAAACAGGGACAAAAATAGCCCAGAGGCGTGCAAATTAAAAAGCTATACAACGCTACACACAATGTTCAACAGCGGACAGAATCTGTAGCAAAAATTTTACTAAATTTGAAAGGTTTTAATTCCTGTAACTTTTAGTTTTGATCTTCATTTCGGCGACTAGTTATCCCTGACTTTTGAATTTTGTGCATGTTCCATTGTTCATGATGAGAACTGTTTGCAGATTGTGAGAGTTGTTCAAACGAAAAATAGTACAAGCTTTTACTTTCACACTTGACAAGCAAGGTCCAGAAAAGATTTAGGCTTCGGAGGGCTTAATCATTATGCAATGAACACTTTTTGGGTTACCACATTACAAATTATATTGGTCGTGCGTGAAATGAGCAAAGATCCAACCAACGCACGGTTTTTACGAGATGAAAATAGACCTTGAAAGCTGTCAATTTCTTACGCCAACTTTTGACCAAGGGAAAATTTACAAAAGCGTTAGAATCGCTTCCCGATTTGCTGACGTAAATGAGACTTGTGATTGAATTGCACTAAACTTGCACACATTCAAGCTGCAATAAACGCTTTGTCGGCAGTATTTTGTACTCGCCGTTATGTTCTCAGGATAATTGCAATGTTGTCTTGACCGACATGAGAAAGGTTTCACATTTCCTAGCATTCTAATTTGAATTCAATCACGAGAAAAAATTAATTACTCATTGAATTTTTTTTACTTTTCCGTAAAATTTGGTTTGTCATTCAATAAAAAAATGGAAAATTAATTTTTTTTGCAGCAGATTTTATTTCCATTATTATTTGCAAAAGCAATAGATTCTGCCGAGTAATGTCAAAAAATGTTTTTGCCAAAATGATTTGCAGAAATCTGATCTTGAAAATGTAATTCACGGATAAAATTTCTTCTTCAAATTTTTTGAGCAGAAGAAGCAGCAATTAACCTTGAATTTCCCAAAGATTTGCTTCAAATTTTTATTTGCAATGCGAATGATTATTCTCAAGGTCTGCAACTGCGGTTAAAAAGCGGCGTGATTTAATTTTTTCCGTCTGCAAAAAAAGAGTGCAGAGTAACAGCTGCAAATGTTTTGATTATAGCGCTTGAACGCGCTCGTCTTTCTGCACCAGCAGCTTCATTTCTTTCTTATCGTCCTCCACCAGTGGCAGCAGTTATTTGACTTCCTCCTATCTTTGTTTCGTTTGCGTCACTCTTCATTATTAATTCCACACGTTATACTCGCGCATACACAGCGAGGAGGGCCCCTTCGTTGACGGATTAAATTGCACGCCTTTCATCTGTACCACATGATGCACATGATGTGTAAAACAAAAAAGAACTCCATTTGTTTTATAAGATAGTCAAATTAATTCATTACATGCAATTTTGAATAGTTTTCCAACAATTGGTTTCTATTTTGTTGCTAGAATTAATTAATTCATTGTTGACTATGTCAGCCAAGGCTCACTGCGTCATTTATATTTTTTTTTAAATAATTTGTAGTAATGCAGTTTTTTCCTACAAATGATTTTTTTTATTTGAAAAAAAATTTTCCTTCACAATACAATTGTGACAACTGGATAAAAGCAATAATAAAGTGGTTTTCCTGCAACGATATTTTGTTAAAAAAATAATGATTTTAAAATGTGAATTGTTTACTTTCCTCTGGTTTTGACAAGCCTGCGAAAGGAAATCCACTTTTCTTTGAAAGAGCTCCTTTATCTTTATCACACTTTTGGTTTCTGGTTAGCAACAAATATACAAATTTACTGTTTCCTGCTTAGCTAAAAGCCACTATAATAACAACGATAGTTTCTATGCGTTGACACGTTTGAATGTCTTAAAATTTTAAACACTCATTTCGTTCTAGATCACGCTGAACATTATTAAATTTCTTTTCACTTGGAAAAAAAATAGCCACCGGAAATAAAGTAGACGGTCAGCAGTGGAAGACAAAAATAGATTTAATCACGAGAAAATTAGCGGATGTGGCAACGGAGCAAAGGAGTTCAATGGAAAACATTATTTTAATTGAAAAAAAAAATCAAGAAAATTAATTATTCAAATTATTTTCCATGTTTGCAAATATTTTAATTGTAAAATTGTTACACTTAAAAATACGGTCTGATTTATTATTTTCATTTTATAATATCCGTAAATCGAAAGAAAAACACAGAAAGGAGATGCAATTAATTGAAAAATTCTTTAAATAATACAAAAAAAATACTTCAAATTTAAACGAAGGATAAATTTTATAATTCAGATAATTGAACATTTATTTTTAAACGTTTTTTGTGTTATTAAAAATTAAATTTCATAAATTGAAATCTGTAGTTTAATTTTTGAAAAATTTAAAATACCACACTGTTTTCATAATTTTTCATTGGATATTTCTTTTATTATTTAAATTGGATTTTATATTTTTTTTCAATTGAAAAAACAAACTCGACAACTTGTCCCTCCGTTTGAAATGCGCATCACACGCATGTATGATTATCACGTTCATTATATTCAAGCCAAGTTCGTTCACCTGCAAAAGGAACTCCTTGTTGACCCGGTGCAGTTTGTTGATTTCGCCGTGGCTGCGGCGCTTGCTGGGCACGGGCAGGTTGTTGTTTTCCGCCGGCTCCTCATCCTTCTGCAACCAGCGCTTCACGTGCGGGTAGGACACTTTGGCCGCATAGGCGGCCACCGCAACTACGGCCACGCCGCGGCCGACGGCCTCCCGCGGCACGTTGTACTTGTGCAGCGTGTCGTCCCACATCTTGGACACCACCCCCGGCATCGTGCGGCTTTTTCAGAACTTTTCCTTTTTTTCGAACACACTAACTTTTTTCGGCTAGTTCTAGGACATGGTCGTGGCCGCCTGCTCGGAGCACTTTTTAAGTCACTCACACTCACGCTCGATCTCTCACACCGACTGACTCACACTGGCGGCACTGGCGCGAGGAGAGCGGCGGCGTGTTGGTCAGGTGGTCCCTCGCGAGCCGCGGAAAGGGAACCCGCGGAGGGGCCCTCGCGGCGACCGACGCAGCCGCGCAAAACCATGATCCAGCCTCGTATTGAAATTCACCGACGGATATAGATCGATGTGTGAAAAAAAAAACATACGCAGGCGGTCCTTAAATAAGGAGTTTTTACAGTTTGAGTTTGAATGCTGCTCTCGTTCTTGTCAAAGACGAGATAGAAAACTTCGTCATAAAAGTAGTGATGCTTGTATTATATTCGCGACACATATAAAGACGTGGGAAAGTTGATCTTGCTCGGATCAAGCTACACGTCACTTTATAATCATTTCCTTAAAAATTTATAATTTCAAATTAAATAAGATAGAATAGGAGGGGATAATTTCAAATTATGAATTTTTAATCTTGAAATTTTATGAAAAATTAAATGCATACCGATTATCTATTTATTTCCGTTCTCATTACAATATTTGTTATCAATAATTTAAACGAAATTAGTAATTCAAAATGAAAAAAATTATCAAAGAATTATAGTTAATATAATTAATAATTTATTTTTTGTCACTTAGCGCCTTTTCAAGACTAAATCCTTATTGTATTTATACCGCAGATATAAATGAAAAAACAACAACTCCTCCACTTTTCCTTTGTGAAATTTTTTGCTTTAGTTGTCATGTACAGCGAGATTTCGCTTCTTGATAAACTCATGCTAATTTGAGTGAATTTTTAATGCGTTATTTGCGCAAAGATTTTTTTACCTTTTTTAGAAGTTTATAAAATATGCAATATATATTTTTTTTCAATCAAAGCATGTACTAATAAAGGAAAAAATTATAGCAAGTGTTCAATTATTTTTAAAAATTCTGTTTGTCAGGTCTGACTTTTTAAATTTAATTAACATCAGTATCGACTAATTTTTTAAACGACGCAGATCTAAATGGATATTTGAAAATTTAAATTATGCATTCTTATTTGTTTGAATTAAAAAAACGACCTCTATGCAGAGCTGAATTTTTTTATTATTTTGGTCAGCTTTGTAAAAACGAATTGTTTCTTGATTATTTTAATATTTATTAATATTAATCCTAAATCACGAATTAAAATTTGATTGAAAATTATAACATTAATACCACGCACTCTCACATAATTAAAAATGACAAAAATTGAATTTAATAATACAATATAACCGCCGATTTTGTGATAAAATTTCAGGAGAATTTGTTTATGCAGTTAACGGGAGGTTCAAAGTTTCGCCTTTGTTTTCAGGCAAACATTAAATTCCAGCTATCTTATCCCTCCTGATTGAGTTTGGAAATAGCCTTATCTCACTCTTGCTGACTGACCTTCGTCACTTTTTCTTATCGATTTTGCGATTGTGCAGCTCGATAAAGCACGCGTTTCATACTCCGCTTTACTTTTCTGCTGACAGGCGCAAAAACGTCGCTAGTGAAATCAGCTTTGCGCATAATATTGTATTTATGTACTTCGATGATATTAAAAATCATTAATTATTATTAATTGAAGATTATTTCAGAATCTTTTTAATTTAAGGGGAAACAAATGTTCTAATTTATAATGGTTTGAGGTCTTTTTATTGCCAATTTGTTGTGTTCTTTTAAGCAGTGAATATTTAAATAAAACCTCCACTTTCAATTTCAAAAGATTTTGTTCCAGAAATTTCGCGAACACAGCGCCCACACATGTTCACGGGAGAAAGCGATTGGCGATTTATATTATTATTAAACAGCGACCAACTCGTTTGCGAGATCTCGCAAGGGCCGCCGGCGAAGAACTAAAAATGCGAGAGGCTTTTGATCAGCAGACATCCGCGGCTTCGCTGGCACAATTATTTTGCTTTTTTATAAACGTATAGCAGTGGCTTTTAAAAGTTCTTTATTAAACGTGTGAGAGCTTTAACAATGAAAATAATAAATAGTAAAATTTTTTTAAAGGCGCAAAAGATAATTAAAAAAATATTTATTTCCAAGTTGATATATGTTTAGATTTTTGATTAGCTTCTGTTCTGTTGAAAAAATATAAAAAATTAATAGTCAATTTCGTTCGGTCTTCTTAAAACTTGTAGGATTTGTTGCAATTATTAAGCACGTAGTTGTAATTTTGGGTTATTAGCATGATTTCGTCTCACGCCCTCTATTTATCTTCGCGCCTCAAGCGCACCTTAGCTATCAATATAATAATTTGGCTCTGTCTCGAATCTGACTTCCTAGAAAATCGATGTTAATTAGGACTGCGAAAACAGCCAAACATCGCATTATCCAAATCTAAAATCACTTGCTGCGGCGCCGGCGACTTGCTGTCCTTGCCAAACTTTCAAGACACTGCAAAAAAAATACAATGCATAATTTACGTTGTTCTTAATGAATTACGCTTCAATAATTATATAGTAGCGCACTTATGAAGTCATCAAAATGAACCTTGAAAAGTCAATAAATTTTAAACAGCTTAATTTTGATTGTAAGGGAGAAAAAAATTTAAAATATTATTTTTTTATAAAAAAAAATTAATTTCAAAGAAGAATGAGGCATCAAAAAATATTTTAATAAATATGAAGGATCCAGAAAAATAAAAATATGTGCACTTTCAATTTGCCATTTACAACTCACTTTAGTGTCCGAATGCCATTTTCAAAATTATAGTCGATTATAGTATTATTTTAAAATAGTTCTCAAAAGTCCAGACGCTTTTCAGAGAAATGTGCAATTATTCGCAAATTACTCTTCCGCGTCTGAGCTTAAAAAATTATATAATTGCAAGTGAAATTAGTCGAATGAGTCTCCTAGTTGGTTGAGTTCCCATTTTCCCCGGACACTTTTCTCAGATCGCGTTACGCTCATTCTACGGTCTCAAGGTCCCGACCTGGTCAACACTCTTTTTTCCGCAGTCGGTGTCAACGGGAGAGAAAGTTGCAAGAGCATCGAGTATACATAAAATAAATAAATGCACTTGAATTGCGCTAATGTGGCGCCGAAGAAAAAGTGTGTGCATTTTACGAAAAATCCCCTCAAGCGAAACGTGCAGGTTATGCAACTGGCCGCGCATAGACTTCAGACGTGACCAACTCTGCTATTATTACACACACCGTTGAAGACCGGTGGTGCATGGATTGTTGACGGGAAAAAAATCTGTTCGGCATTAATATAAGTGACGGCGGTTCTCACTCGGCTGCAGCGAAATAAGTAGGACGGGGATACGTAATAGTGACAGTGCAATGTGCATCTCTCAACAACTGCAATAAACCTAATCGCGAGTGATGCGAAGCAATGAAAAATAGCACGCTATAGGATTTGATTGGCCAATTTCCTTTAAAGTTTCCCAAACAAAAGCCAAGGCATGAAATTTGTTATTTAAATATTTTTCAATATAACTATATAATAAATTAAATCTGATTAATTAATTCTCATATTTTCTATAAAAATTTTATAGATTGGGGAAATTGATGGAAATATATTGAACAATTTTGAGAAGTATTTTAGTAATTTTTTGTTTAAACAGTGTTTAAAAAAGCATCAGCTCAGAGATATTCCATAAAATTAATTTTTTGTAGGTATACAGATATCGAAAATATTTAAAGTGAAATTAAAATCAATAAATCTTTACCTTTTCCTTTTTTTTTAGAAACAAGTTTATATAATTATTAACAACTCCTCCAATACTCTTCAAAATTTTGCATGTATTATTTAATTCAATCATCAACTATAAAGCAGTAATTTTTTTTATCTGATAAATCAGATGAAATTTTATTCAAATGCTAGAATCCATTAAGGAAGTAGAATTTCGTCGCTGGGATTTTTGATCATTGGTGCTCTTGTATGCCCATGAAAATCAACGGCGCTCAAGGTCCGCGCATTTCACAACTTGTAATCAACGGAACGGAGTGATATTGAGAATTTCAATATAGGCACTCGCGTAATTATCAATACCATCCTTCAAACGTAATTATATATGGTGACGAGTCGTTGATGAAAACCATGTGCATCTCGCGAAACAATAGAAATACGAACGCACATAAAAAAGCAATATGAAGTTAAAGGGGACGCGTTAAGGGCGTCAGCCTCAAGGTGTGCAGATGTGCAAAGAAAGAATCAAAGTGCAAAATCCACGTTGCTTAAGCACGTGCTCTCTTAATTATCTCTTGCGTTTGAATATAATTTTATTTTTAAGCTTTTGAAAAAAATCCCGATGTAGTCTCAAATGCACAGCTGGATTTTGTTTAAAGTTGTCCTCTTGAAAATTGAAAAAAAAATTAAGGCGCACTTTACAGACGTCATCATAAGAGTTGCGACTCGCACCAAAATTGAAGATGCTGACCTCATGCAATTAACATAATGCAACTCATTCCCTTGATCTTTCAAGAAAAAGAATGAAAAAAAATACATTCCGAAATTTTCTCTTCAATTTTTATTAAATAGAATTATTAAAATTCCATTGTCTTCATTTTTGGGGAAATTTTGAAGACTTCATTTGAATTTTTTTTGAGCTTGGTATTTGGCTGAATTTGAAAGTTCCGCTAATTCAGGTCGATAAATGTAATTAGTGGCCAACTTGACAAAAGCTGCTGCTGATATGCACATGGGCCAAATTTCTCTCCGCAAGAACCTTTACAACGGCGTTTCTTTTCAGAGCATTGTGTGTCTCTGTTTGATATTTCATGTCACGATTGCGGAGTCATCCAAAACACAATTGTTGTCCTTTCTATAGAGGCACCGCGATGTTTTTTTTTTTTACTCTGTCACGCTGTTTCATTAACCAATCTGTTTTGTGCTCTGCGATATGAAAGAAATCGCACGTGTATTTTTGCAATAAAAAATAATTTCACGTTGAAAAAGAATAACATAAAAAAAGTTTAAAACAAAGTCGTGTATTAGGTTATAATTTAGTAAAATTTTAATTAATAAACAAAATCAGATTAATGAGGAATATCAGGATGCAGTTATCATTAAAATTTCTACCTTGTTATCTTTAAAAATGCACTTGTACTTTGAATGTTTCAGAAGTTCAATTTAACCTCGTTCACATCCTTGAGGTCTTCCCTAAATAAGATAAACGACCCCAAACCGATAGATTGTTTTTGCATTCAAGGCGGTCGCCCTTACTCGATCTTTGCTCGTATTGGACGCAATCACTGTTCAACAAGTTATGTATTTCTTAAGCAAGAAGTGCAATGTGCAATAATTACCAACTGAGATTGAACACACACCTTGCTATCGCAGCGCGCAGTCTACTTGCATCAATCAGCTGAATTAACCAATTAAATGAACACAAGGGGTTACTTCTTTGATTTACGTCAAAATAAGGCTAGTTGAAATAGACTAAGGATATTATAGTTTATAGAATTAACCAAATTAATATTTAAACAGGACTAAAAATCTTCATTATTTAAAAACAAATTTAATATTTGTTTTCGAATAAAATATGTGCAAGAATATATTAACATTTTGCTGCATTTATGCCTTGTTCATTCATCTCATTATAATTTTATAATATTTGTGTTTTATTAAATTCACTAGCTTTAATATAATCTAATAACTTCAGCTGTTAAAAAAAAACTTTTTCACCTTTTGCAGTGATTTAGGGGCATATTTTCATAAATTTATGATACGAAAGTATCACTGAAATATTGTAATGAAAACTTCTCGTTTTTAATGACTCTTTATTGACACAGTGAAATTAAAGTCTACAACAATGAGAGCAATGAGAAAAAAAATTTCCAGTAAACCCAAAAGTTATATTCTATTGTTGTAAGAATTTGATTGCTTTGAATATTATTCCAATATCTATAAACTATGCCAAGAAGTCCCTAAAATACATCAGTAGCAAGCATTGCGCGCTTCATTCCCTGTTTCGCGCGCTCACCCCCTCCACGTGGCCTTCGTCGGTATCAGCCAATAGCGTATCGGTATTGTTCGGCTTCTCTCGGCGATCGTCGTTCATATCCGCGAACACCGTAATGGCGGCCTAGATTTCTGAGTAGGTTGGAATTGTGTTGGATTTGCTGGCGTTGGACCTCTTCCGTGCCGACCGGCCGCCGGATTTGAGCCCAAACGTTCGTCAACAGTCAAGCACACCCTCAGGAAGACCAAAGGGAGCCGCCGCGGCCGATTGTGAGACCGAAACGTCGGCAAATCGCCGTCCCTTCAAAATGGCTGCAGAGCGACGATCCAACTTGGCTCCATGCAGGTACGGAATTTGGCACTGGCATTGCGCAAATTCAACAAATTATTTTGTAAATTGTAGAAAATTTGAATCCTGAATTAACTCATCAAGTTTTTAGCCGGAATCGTGCTTCGAAATAAAATCCGGATTCTCAAATTTGGGGAAATAAACTCCAGTGTCCAATTTGACTTTCATGCTGACTCGTCTGTTTTTGCGTGTTTGGACAGGTTCTTCTCCAACAACGGCTCATGCCGTCAGGGCGACGACTGCCCGTACCCTCACGTGGCCAGACAGAGCCCCGTGGCGTGCCGATTTTTTCTCGAGGGACGCTGCATGTTCGGCCGACAGTGCAGGTTTGGAACATTTGAATAAACTAAAGGACACTTTTTGTCTTGCTTTTTATTTGCATAAATTTCCATGACATTTCAAATATATCTCACCTGATTGCTTTTTCAGAAATATACATTCAAGTGGCCCAAGGAACGAGGACGATGACGACGACGATTCTCTGGGGGCAGCGTCGATTGCCCGCCAGCAGCAAGTAGGCCGTCGAAATCAGGAAAACAACCGTGGCCGCTTGGCCGCCTCGTCCAGTTCCTCTTCCAGCAGCAATGCAGATTCCAGACGCTTACCACTGACTGAAAACCACCGAAAGCTTAAGTGAGAGGAGATTACAAGATTTTATTTATTTTGATTTTGAAAAGTCATGGTCATTCAATAATTATGTTTAAATTATTTCATTGCTCTCTCTCTATTTTTTTTTTTTTACTGTTTTTGCATTTTTACACTCTTTTAATGAAAATTTTTTACAAACATACCCTTTTTCTTGATAAATTACTTAACGTTAATCAAATCAAATTTATTCTAGTTATATTTGTTGTAAATTGACAGTTTGGTCAATTGCTTAAAATTATTTTAACAAATTTTTATATTTAACTATGAAATATTTTTATCCTTCAAATGTATTCCACTTACAGCTAATTTAAATTTTCAGCTTCAAACCAAACAACCGAAAAGGTCGAGGTCAGGAAAACAAGGCTTCGGGCAGCTCCATTTCGCCAACGCACTGGGCGGCGGCGCCAGAATTTGTGCCAAAGGGTAATCAACCTCCAAGAACTCCAGTGTCGTACGCTGACGCCCTCAACGTCAAGCGAACCAAGGCACCTGAAACTGCCGCTCTTTGCGTCATCCATGAAGACTGTCTTATATGCCCTGATGGTCAAAACTGCATATACGTGCACGGAGAGTTCTGCGAGCTGTGCTGCAAATTCAGCCTTCACCCATTCAATGAAGAACAGAGAAAAAAGCACAACTCGGTAAAGATGGCAAAACCTTTTTGGATTTTTTTTCTTCAAAGATTGTTTAATTTATTGTCTTGAATTTATCTTTACAAATTCTCACACTGGAACTATTCTTAATCCTTTTTTAAAATCTTTACTTTTACTTTTCCTACATCAATGAAATTATATAACTCAATAATTTTTAATTATATTTATTATAATATATCAAATCAATGTTTAGGAGTGCATCAAACAGCACGAGAAAGACATGGAGTTGTCTTTTGCTGTGGCTCGCTCCAAAGACAAGATGTGCGGCATTTGCTTTGAAACGATCGTTGAGAAGACACCACGAGAGCAGCGCTTCGGCATTTTGCCCAACTGCAACCACTGCTTCTGCCTTAGCTGCATTCGTACCTGGAGACAAGCGAAGAATTTCGAAAACAACATTACCAGGTAATGAGCCTGAAAACATTATTTGGTTGTTTTATGCAATTTCATTCTTTCCAGGGGGTGCCCCGAATGCCGAACCGCGTCCGACTTTGTGTGCCCTAGTATTTACTGGGTCGAGACCAAAGAAGAGAAGGACAAGCTCATTGACGACTACAAACATGCCATGCGGTGAGGCTCCTGTCAAAATTTTTGTAAAATTTGACTAATCTTTTAATATATTCAGCTCCAAGGACTGCAAATATTTCAAGCGTGGCGAAGGCAAGTGTCCTTTTGGCAACAAATGCTTCTACCAGCACAACCTTCCCAATGGAACTCATGTCGACGTTGGGCCTCCGCCTAGAGCTAGAAGGCGCAATGGTGGAGACGGAGAGATGGATTTCATGCAGGTAAACAACGTTCGAAGTCAAATATCCTCTCAAATTTCATCTTTGATTAAAAAAAGCAAATAACATATTTAAACCTTTTTTTTTTTTAAATTTTTGCAGCACATAATTCTGTGGGACTTCTTGGAGGAGCAAGACACACACTTCTTCTACCTTGATGACTACGACTTGGATGACTCGATCATGACCGACTCAGAGATCTCTGACTCGGACTACGAGTACTTCTTCTAAGCGCCCCCGTCGCTTGTGATTATCGTTCCGTACATGAGGAAAATATGTCTGTGATTGTCCCAGCTGGCGGCCTCGCAAGGGGGCGGCCACCGACGTGTTTAATTCTTTGCTGTTTGTGATAGAGCCCTGATCCGAGAAGAGGGCCACTCTCGATTGCAACGATTTCCACTTCCTTTTTCGCCTTGTTTGTATATTCTTACCATAGTTTTTCTGCTGAAGAGACGGAAAACTATGACGTGACCCCGTACATTCTGCTTCAATTCAACACGCACTGAGCCGGAACCAAGGGTCCGCCTGCTTAAAAAAAGTGACACGCTTGTGCACATTCAAAATCCATGCAATAATTTTTGACAACTGCTCTGGCATCCAGCTTGAAAGTCTACCTCACCCCTGTTGGCTCCAACAGTCAAAGCCATCGGAATCAAAAGTCAAAACATGAAAGCTTGCCGGTTTTTACAAATTAAAAAGAAGAATGATTGCTGGATTGCTTGGAGTCAAACATTTTGGCTCAGAATGTGTCTGGAAAATTTACGAATCTCAGCGTGTTACCCTCACAAATGAATCTAGTGTGTAAAGGCGCAACAAAAATGTTTGAACCTTGAATCCGCTTAGAGGCCTTATCGGTGTGTCCTTTGTTGCTGCTGAGCAGATGATTTGATGTGATTTGACGACGGGCTGGTATGTTGCATCCTCCTCAGCACCGTCTTTTAAAAACAGCGCGCTGCTTTTTGATAAATTTAAATATAAACCTAAAAAAGATGAAACATGCACACGGATGAAAAAAAAACTATACTGCCCACTAATAGCTTTCCATTTGGCGTGAGATACATAAATTATTAACCGATAAATATGGATTTTCTAGCGGCTAAAAAATTTTGGAAAATAATACACAGTGAGTAGCAAGCATTGAAAATCCTTTGATTTATGTAAGTGTTCAATATAAGTGCCTCGACATAATGTTATAAAATTAATTATATATCTCACCCTTCTATCGAGTAATGATTATATAACAATACATGATAATTATTATTATACCTACTGATATATATTGCAGATGATATTTAAATGTAAGAGCCACCAATCAGCCCCCAATGGAATATTTACAACCCTGATGGAAAGGAAGTAGTGGAATTGGTACAACAATTATTATTACTAATAATCTTCACTCTCTCGTTCCACTCGCGCGCATACATATGAATGTATTACTGTATTTATAGACTGATTATACTTTGTCTGCATAACCGAGCACACTTTGGCTCCCGTCTCTGTCTGGGAAGCACCCTTTCTTAAATTATTATATTCCATTCAAAAGGCTCAAACACACTTCTCTGGCCTGCTTCGTTCAAATTTTTGAGTCCGACGAGACAGACCGGTTTTTAAACAAATACTTAAAAACACTCTCCTTGTGTCATTCAATTTTAAATGTCAAAAGGTGCATGAATTTTTCAGTGGTGTCGTCAACAGAATTAATTAACTTACAAAAATTGTTCGATGTTACTTTTGACGTTCGCCACAAAATCGATTCTGTTTCTCTTGATGTTTACATACCCTGGGTGTGCTTGGATTCAACTTTCCTACTCGATATGTTTTTTAATGGAATTCATTATTAGTGAAATGCATAAATCAATTAATTAATTATATGTCAATATTTCCCGAGAGTAAAAAATAACAAGGATTTTTTGATGTGCTGTGCTTATATAGTGAAAGAATCGGGAGAATTTTGTTGCCCGAGAGAACGGGTTGAAACTTTGGGTGTCACTATTATTCAACAAAACCATTTTTAGCAGTCCGCAAATCACACGTATCCAGATATAATTATAAAGGTTTTGCGAGTAATTTTAATTAATCTTGCGCTTTTTGCATTGAGAAGAGAAATCCAAATCTTTAATTGCAGGAGTACTTTTAACTGATGAATCCTAACCAATCTAAAAGTATAATTCAACCTCTAAAAGTAATTTACAAGCTAAAGTGGTTTAATCATCTAAAGTTAAATGGAGTCTTTATACATAATCATTGGGCCTTGTGGTCTCGTCTGCGGAGACCATCAGTGAGGCCCAATCCTCTCAATAATAATTATACGGTTATCAATGGAGCTGTACCGGATTTTGCTTATAATGTGCAGTACACACTCTCAGACTTAATGGAATATGATTATATTTCAAGCATAAAATTATGTACTATAATTATATAATGCCATATTATGGTTTTTGATTTCATTAAAAATACTACTATGTAGGAAAAAAATTCAATCGTTTTATTTTTGAAATTATCAAAAAACTATGTCGTATGCACTTGCAGAGCAACTTTTAAGCCAATTTGAATTTTCGGAATTTTCATTTTGGTCTTAATTTTTCATTGTGACAATTTTAAACGTGAATATTTTGTTATGCATTTTATTGAAAATCAGTTTGGCTAATTAAAATCCGCATGATTTGTAATTTTATGTCTCAAACTCTGACTATTGAAACTATAATTATGTTGCCATGGATAATTATTACGCGAGTTTTTTGAAAAAGGAAAAACATTGACATATAGTGCGAACTATATCATTAATAATGAAAAAATGATAATAAGAAAAGAAATTTCATGGTGATTTGAATTTAAAATTCTGTTTTTCCTTGATGAGTTTTTATTGTTTAAGAAAAACAATATCCTGCTCTTTTTTTTTCTTAAACAATAAAAACTCACAAACACCCATCGAGAAAGAGCCGAATTTTAAATTCAAATCACCATGAATCAACCCTCGATCGTGAACTAGTTCTACTAAAAAAAAAATTCAATTCTATCTCTTTCTAGTTTCTACGAAATTTAGAGAAAGACACCAGATGTATTGCCAGCCGCATTCCGTTCGTTCCGTTCGTTTTTTCCCTTTCCAAAAACCAAGGTCAAAAACAGCCAATCAGAATTATGGAACAAATTCTGTTTCATTCTGTCTGGTTCAGTCGCACACTCCTTGTTGTTGGTCGTGTTCAATGTTTTCACCAGAATCAGATTTCACGTCTGGTCTCGTTGATTACTTGTCGAAACCAGTCGAGACGAGACTGCATTTTCAAGCCAAGCCAACATAGCCATTTTGGATTTTAGCCATTTTTAGAGAGCAACTTGTGAGCAAGCATACCAAGCGGTCTTTGGCTTTTCGTTGCCTTTCAACGTCCGATTTAGTTTGATTCTTTAGGCAGAAAGACTCGAGGTGAGATAATTAATTGCATACCGCAATACCTGAATGTTAGAAAGCCTCGCAAAGACAAATTTTAAAACTATCTATAGCATCCACGTGGCACACTTGCAGTTTGCAGTCGATCCTTGACTCTTGACGACTTTGCTTTTATGTACATTTTATATATTTATGCGTGCATATTCGTGTGTTTATTTTTGTTTTTATTAAAATATTTGAATCAAATATTATAACATTGCGCGCAGAAAAATGTGTAATTATTTTTCTGCACGCGCTCATTATTTCTGGCAATTTCTTGGTTTTATCCTGGATTCATAATTTATTTACAAATATTATTTACCTGATTTTCAGAAATTCTCCTCTGATCTCGCTTACCTTTGGCAAAATGGCAGACGATCAGTCGTCATTTGAGACGAGACCTGAAAAGACTAGGAAAAGATCCAAATCCAAGTCATCTAATGATGGATCCCCTGCAAAGGTTGCACACCTCAGAAAAATTTTGATCGCACTTTTATATTTCCAATTTTCAGGCGGCTCATGGCAGCAAAAAACACAAGATGCAGTCCAAGGTCGAGTTTCGGACGTCGACCCCTGATAAAAATTCAGGTCAAAAGAAGAAAAAAGGTATTTTTTGTTTTGCTTATCATTTAATGCGTCATAAGTTTTTTTTTATTTTAGCTTGAATGTATTTTGCAATTTTCTCATTTTTTTTTTTTTTGGGAAATTTGAATCGCTGTTAATTAATTTTCCTAATTTTCATAGGGACACGCTGCTCTCCGAGAGCTGCAAAGCCAAAAGTGGCTTGGTCTCCTGCAAGTGGTGACTCTCAGACCAGAGGAAAAAAATCTGGAAACCCTGATGTCTATGGTGATTTCTTGCTCTCCGTTTTGGAAGAAGGACAGGAGAAGCAGCAGGAACTTGATAAGCCAATAGATCCAATAGATCATACTTATGACGAGGATGCCAAGATGCAAGAAGAGGGGGCGCCGGAGAACAAGGAAAACAGTTCTCCTGCTGTGGAATTACCTTCGAAGGAAATAGAAGGTGAAATGGACAAGATTGAAAAGGAGAAAGAAGTTTCTGCTGAAGATAAGCAAAAACAGAAAGAGAGTGAGCGCATGGAAGCTGAGAAGAGTCAGTCTGAGGTGGAAAAGATCAATGGTGCAGATGTTCCTGCTACTAAAGCTGCTGAAGAAATCATGGAAACATCATCCATCGTCAATGCGCAAGAAGAGTCAATTGAAGAGAAACTGAAGAAGTTTAAAAGAGAGGTAGATCTGAGCATTTTCGTGTCACCTGAGAGCAACCTGACTGTCGGAGATGCTGTGGTGACCTTGGCTAAAATCACCAAAACCTACAACCTGTCTCAAGAGTGCCAAACCGACATCATGAGTATGTTTTCTTCAATGATCCCCAAGGGTCGGGTGTTCGGTAACACCAACATGGTCGAAAAGGTCAGCGAGCTCTCTCCTGACCTTCCCAGGCCCGTTGCTGAGAGCTACTGCAGAAATTGCATTGTCTCGGTCGAGGAAGACACAGTTTGCTCCAGCTGCAAGGTCAGCGTTGCGTCTTTGGGGAAATTGGCCATCCATGTGCAGAACAATGTGGCCGAGTTGCTTCAGGTCATGTTTGAGAAACACGACTTGGCCAAGATGATCCTCGAGTACAAGCAGAAGGAAAACCAACACAAAGATGGCCCGAAACTGACTGACATCTGCAACGGACAGCGCTACAAGTCTCTTCCTAGGACCTCTGACTTGGATGTCTCCTTCATCCACCACATGTCTGCCACTCCTTGGTCCAAGGGCACCACCCTGCTGGCCAACTACCTGACCATTGCTGAGCTGGAACCATCCCTGAGGAAGGAACTGGTCATTCTTGAGAGTTTGTGGCTCATCCCGAGCCACAATTGGAAGAAGCAGGAGCTCCTGGCGCCCTTCTGCGAGACCATGCTGAACCTGAGCACCGGCGGAGTCAACTGGACAGACCCCAAAACAGGCCTGCAGATGAATACCAAGGCCTTCTTGTTGGTCTCGGTGGTGAACACGCCGCTCAGAGGCTTCATGCAGAACGTCGGCCACTCTGAAAAGAAAGCATCCTTTGCTTGCAACTACTGTGAGCAGCCCTTTGTCGGAGAGAGCATCTTTGGCTTCTACTTTCCTTTCAATGATGACCAGAAGGCCTCTCTAAGGACCCACTGGAGTGTCCTCAAGTTGTCATACGAGCAGAACAATGCTGCCAAAAATTTGATTGCAGTCAAAAAAGATAAGACACAAGACAAAAACAAAGGCAACATATACAAGATAAAGGTGCCCAGTTACAAAGACAAAAATGAAAGCAGTGGATTAGACACAAGTGATGAAGAACAGTCTGACATTGACCAAGATAGCTCATCTGTTATTTTGGAATCACCAGTCAAGGATGGGTGCTTCTCTGACGAGGAAAGCTTTCGCATAGAAGAGGATCTGCTGTCATTCAAGGGAGTGCGTGGACACTGCCCTCTGGCTCACATACCATACTTCAACATCGTGGACGGATTCTCTCCAGAGTACATGCAGAATCTGCTCAACAGCCATGTTCAGCTTGTGTTCAAAGAAACACTGGAGAGAAACCAGAGCAAGAATAAAATTGCTGGCAATTGCCTGATGGAGGTTGTTGCAAACAAGACTGAACAACTCACCAAAACTTGGGTCACAAAACCAGCTGCTGGCAAAGTCCTCGAGGTTAGTATATTGTTGGTTAGGTTAAAAAAGTTAATTACTAGAAAGATGCACAACGCTACACTAAAGCTATTTAATCTTAAATATTTTCTTGCTTTTATATTGCCGTTTCTCTTCCTTATATATTAATTTTCAAATTAAAAAAAAAAAATTGTAAATCTAAAGTGCCATTTTTTTAACTTTTCAGAAAAACAACCTCTTCAGCATGGGAAAATCTCTCAGAAATTGGCTCCTCTATGTGTGTCTGCCCTGCTTTCACGAGATTCTTCCTGACGAATATTTTGCCAACTGGGTCCTGCTTGTCAAGGCTGTCTACAACCTGTTGAAGGATGAGATCACTGCTGAAGATGTCCAGCAGTCTGAGAGGATTCTCATCGAGTACTGCAAAAATTGTGAAGAAATGTTCGGCCCGAGCTTCCTGAACCTTGAGACCCACAGTCTGCTGCATTTGGCCAAGAATATGCAGCAGTCGGGACCTCTCTGGAGCTGCTCTGCCTTCACCTTCCAAGATGCTCTCAAGTTTGTAGGTGAGAAGAAGAAAGGTCTGCTGCGTGCAGATTTGAAAGATGCTGTCACTGAGGTTGCTGACACTTTCAACCAGTTGCTGACCCTTGAGGCGTTCTGCAAAACTGCCAGTAAGAAAAAGAAGGTCCATTTCTCCAGCAAGCCAAAGAAACTGGATGATTTTGATCGTGACTTTTGCGAAGAGATGAAAAGAACTTTCTGGGACGCATTGGATAATGAGTGCCCTTTCTACACCAAGGGTGAGGTTCAGGGTGTCACTTACACCTCTGAGGAGTACTCGCAGGGCATGACGACTGGCATCAAATACTTCCTGTACAAGGACAAGAAAAAAAGTGAGCTGAAAGCTGCCAAACTGCTGTACTTCTGCAAGGACCTGACAAACGCAAAGTGCTTCATTGCTCTTCCTGTCTACCTAGACTCAAAGTTCACTAACAAAACTCACGGAGTAGAGATTGATCACATCAAATCATTTTGGGAGTTCGATGAACCAATTCTAGGATGTGCTGAAGACATTGACCGACCCCTCCTGATGGTCGGAGAGTATTTGTGCATCCCTCCAAATGCCCACGAATTCAATTTGGACACAATGTAATGTAGTTGATCAAAGACTTGAATTTTGATAATCATTTTAAATTAATTCTCACACATTTTTGTATAAATTTGGTATCATTACCAATAAAAACCAAATAAATAATGTTTTAAAGTTTTTATTTATGAATAGGTTCAACAGTCCATTGTACAATCATAGATTTTAGTGATCATCTCGTATCAGTCAAAGTTACTCTTCTTGATTAACCTCTCTGGAGCCTATGGCACGAAAGAAGCAAAACAAAGAAAATATTGCACACAGGAAAATATGGTTTCTTCGGTAGCATGGAAGCATTTTAGCAATAAGGGACGTCACACGAACTTCACAGAGTTAATTTCTCTAAGGCACTTTCTAGGGAGCACATAACTGACAGTTAGTCAAAAACTTGCTTTCATATCAATGGGATCAGCCCAATATTTTTCTTACAATAAGGATTGAAAATTTACACTTATAAATTTATGATAATGGATGTCGGATGAGCAAAGTAGACTATATAAAATTAACTCAAAACAAGGGCTAAGAATTTTGTAAAAACATTAATAATGCAAAGACAACATGAAGTTTTTTACAATGTTCCAGCATTTCAATTTCCTGCATTTATATACTGGCCATTTTGAGATTGAGCGCCCTGTGAATTAAATAAGCTGAACAAATCAGACAACATCTTCCAAAGGGACCATAGGACGTATGAGGGCACCGCAGGCATCACAGTAGTCGCGGCCGACAAAATTTTTGAAGGTGCACTTTGGACATTCCGGGCCGTAATTAGGATGTTTCTCTGGAGTGATGTCTTTCGACTTGAAGCAGATACTGCATATGTTACTTTCAGCGCGGTTGAGGAACGTGCAGGCATTGCACTTCCACTCCAAGCTGCCGTTTTCCTTCTCTTTGGGTGCCTCCTCTGGTGCTTTCTTGGCTGCCTCTTTTTCGCGCTTGGAATCAGAGAGGATGTCCGGTCTGGAACCCAAATCCTTGCTGTAGCCTTTAGAGCTCAAGTCAGAGTATACATAGTCCCAAGTGTGGTCTTCACTCCCAGATTTTTTCTTTTCCTCCTTAATCTTCTGTGGATGCTTCTCCAATGCACGAGCTGCCGCTGTGTCCATCGAATTAGCTCGCGAGTGCTTTCGGGATGAGGAACTTTCAGAACGGTGCTGCTTTACTTCCCTCTTTGGCTCCTCCTGAAAGAGAAAAAATATTTAAATATACTTCAATTAGAAAAATTCAAATAAAACATTAACTTCAGTCTCTTACTGTTAGTGTTTTGATAATAAATGTTAATGATTTGCAATATTGAATTTTTACTGTAAAATTTGCTCACTTTTCCCTACCTTAATATTCATTTGCCCAAACTGGTTCACAGGTGCTTGACTGTGAGGATGGTAGGGATCAAACTGCTCGTAATAAGGCTGCGTGTAGTGCTGCTGAGGCGGTGGCGGCGGCGGAGGGGGTGGAGGAGTCATCTGCTGATACTGTTGGTAGGGGTGGTGGTACTGCACAGGTTGCTGCTGCGGTTGCGGGTATGGAGGGTAGTACGAAGTTGGCTGTTGGTGCTGCGAGTGATTGTAGTAAAGTGACTCATCGTGCGTCTGAGGCGGACAATAGGCTTGAGGGGGTATATTTTGCGGCGGGTGATAGCCTTGCTGCGCCTGCTGCGGCCACTGCTGATGGGCCACTTGCTGGTAGGGGTAGGTCTGAGGGTGGGAGGCGTATCGCTGGGCACGGGCTTGGTAGAGCAGGCCTTGCACAGCGTACTCCCATGAACCGACGTGGGCCTCTCGATATTGGATCACTTCGTCTAAAGTGATGGTCGGCTCTTGGCTCTGCACCGAGTTCAAAATCCGCGATATCATCTGTAAAAAAATCAGATTCAGTGTGTTATAAAAATTTGCCAGTGAAAATTTAAAAAAATCCTAAAAATCAAAATAATTTAACGTCATTGAAAAATATCAACAACGCACATCAAAATTTAATGAAAGATAATTTATTTATTGTTTTCTCTAACTGGGTACAAAAAGTTGTGTTCACTAAACACACTTTGCAATTATCTAAATGGGCTCAATTTTTGGCAAAAAATATTTTATCTGTAATTTTGGTAGTTAATTATTTAATTAAATGAAATTTACTTTCCTGCAAATGTAAACCTTTTAAAATTAATTTCAGATTATATTGATTTAAGTTACCTGGCATTCTACAGCAGCCACAAAGCAGTCAAGTGAGGCCCAATGGATTTCTCCAAGCGTTTCAACTGAAATATCAGTAGCCAACTCCCAAATGTGCTCATTTTCTCTGGTCGGAGCATAGCCCAGTTTGCTGAGAATCCAGTTAGGATTGTCCAAAATGACTCCCACCTCGTGGAACCAGAAACCTCCATAAAGCTGTAAATTGATTTGTTTTTAACTTCAGAAAAAATCAAAGCTCTTCAAAATTACAGTTATCTGTCTGAATTCTGGTCTCCATGGGTTAGAAAATATATTTCCAGCGTACTTGGCAAGCGCCAAGAAAGAGTCGGCCACCTTTCTGGCTGGGTTTTCGGCATTCTGTGGTGCTTTGAGTGACCTCGTGACTAGCATGTGAATTGTGTACCAGTAGTACTTCCTAGATATAGGAGTGGAGCACACCCACGATTCAACCAGTTCTGGAAAAGATCAAAATCTTAGCGTTTCTGGCATAATGTCAAATGCAAAATATTGCTCTACCCTGCAGCTTGTTCCGCAGCTCAATTTTTAAAGGACCGTCTTCAGCCGTGATGTACTCGAAGTTCGTGTTTTCCATGAGCATCTGCATGGAATAAATTTGGCCCTCGTCAGCTGTGCCCCTGGCTCGGGCAATTTTTTCCGAGAACTGTGCCGGAGACAAGTGGTACATGCTGCGAAAGGCATCGTCCCTTGCTCCATTCATGTCTGTCGCCCTGGAAATTTGAAAACATAAGCAAAAGTTCAATTTGAAATAATGTTTTTGAGTGTTTTTGTCACTCGTAAAAAGTGATCTTTCTTATGATTCTCAGGAAAAATAAAATTTACAAAATCAACATGCTGACGAATCTTAATTGTGTCCCATGTCTGCAGTCGAAACTTACACTCCGGTGCGGAAACAACTTATGGAAACCGCTTCTTTTTCACGAAGAAGGGTTGAAGCTTCAGCTGACACTTTGTGCAAGCAAGTTTCGGCGTTGTCTGTGCAAAAATAGAAGCTAATCTGCAGATATTTTTACAAAGTTCAGCGAATGAGTTTCGCCATTTTTAAAGGCAGCTCATTCTGCACGCTGATTGGTGCAAAAAGGGGGCGTTCCGCATTGCACATTTTCACAGTTTTCCGTTCAACGAAAGTAAACACGGTCAATTTTGTCTTCAATTTTCCAAGTTTCACCTCAAAGGTTTTGGGTAAAGTGAGCTATTTTTAATTTATTTGCTACTTAAACATATAATCTGTGTATACCGTGCATAATTTACCTTTGAAATGCGTTTTTATTTCATTTTCTACGAATTTTATTTGTCAACACCGGTCATCACAATTTCTATCGTTTTTCGATTTTTACAACTTGACTGTTTTATTTCCTTTGTAAATATATTTTTTTCAGTTTCAGATTTTCCATGGGAAGGCACGCATCCTTTTTGGCGCGGACAGTCCTTGTCCGCAACGGAAACATCGAACAGGCTTGCAGATTGCTGAACCGGTGTGTACCCCAATTGCATGCTTCTTCTTGTATAATTTTCGAGCTAAAATGTCTAAATGAGACTGTGTAATTTGTTCAGAATTATGGGACGCGAAGGCTTCTTTGAGCAGTACCGCTTAACAAGATATTACGAAAAACCGTTTGAAACAAGGCGAAGGATAAACTTCAACAAGTGCAAAGCGATTTACAACGAAGACATGAGCAGAAAAATCGAGTTTGTTCTGCGAAAGAACAGGATCGAGCCATACCCTGGCTACTGTTGAATGAACACAAAGTGAAATTATGCGCGCCTGTGGTTGTAATTAGAAAAATATCAATAATAATTTTAGCCCAATTGATAATTTTTTTTACACTCAGAAACCATACTTTTCGTTCAGGTTAAATTATCTTTTATTTAATAGCTTGACGAATTTTGATTTATTGATGCTCTACACTTCAAGCATTGCTCGTTTCTTTAACAATAGATTTAATGTAGTTGAAAATATTCCTTTTTCCTGGGGGCGCTTCTGCAGATTTAGAGTCGGTAGAAGATACTTTAACTGCTTGGACGCTGACGGGAGAACCACCCGAAGGGTACAGAGTGCGCATCAGAGGTTGCGTGCAATTCTTCCAAGTGGCCAGTGTGGCATTATTGCATTTTTTGTCCGCTGAGGGAATTTTAGAATTTTACTAAAATAATGGCTAATTAAAATGGTTGTCGAAAACTTACCCTTTGTGAAATTCTTGGGCTGAGGGCAAAGCTCAACAACTCCCATTTGCAAAAACTGGACCAATACCAGCGGTTCAATGGTTACATTCAAAGTCGAACCTTTAGTTGTTCCTGGACACTTAATTCCAGATTCAAACCGTGCGGGGACGACTATTATTTTGATCAAATAATTAAAATTGGGTTTTTTTCCCTGTGAATTTTACATTCGTCAAGAGATTGAACGTTGCCGATTCGATCCGTGATTATTTTCTTCCAAGGGTCGCTGTCGTCTCTACTGGAGGTTAAAAATCCTACCGCTGCATCAGTTTTGACATCATTGTTTTCATCCTTCAAAAATTTCAGACAGTCAATAAAAAAAGAATAAATAAATTTGATTATTACCAAAAGATTTGCCTTATTAAAGAGGCAGTTGACAAAGGTCTGAATATTTTTTAAACTTATAATATTTTACGTGGAAACAAATAATTTCTTACGGCCGCAGAACAAAGAACTTTCACTAAAAAGTCGAGAAATTTAGTTATTTAGCATCAATTGCTTACGAGAAGAACTAAATTACGTGTATTAGCATCAGTTATATTGATAGTGTTGTTCTTTTTGAAAATCTGTAACGTGTTAAGCATGTAGTCATTAATCCACGAGTACAGTTTCTTGTCCTTCTTTGGATTGCAGTCGACCATCATATCATTTTCGGCCAAATTTCCAATTGGTTTCAAGCAACATTGATCAAGTACCTTACAAAATATTATTGTTTTTTTTTCTTCAAATCAGAACGTAAATAACTCACAGTAAAATCTTGAGTGCTGCACTCAATAAGTTTCGGAGCCGCTGCACCGAAAACCTAATTTTTAATTGTGATTTTAAAATTAAGAATTATGACAATTGAAATTCACCAGAGGGACCAAAAGTCCAATGAGAGCAAATAATACCGCCTTGCACGACATTTTCTGCGCTAATGATCTTTCCACACCATACGCGACCGTCATTTACTAGGCCGTCATCAGTCCGTGGATTCCCGGACGTATGCAAAAGTGCTTGGTTCATTTCCCGACGTCACTCAATAATAATATGTTCAGAATGATTTATTTTCAAACTATAGAATATGATTTGCAAAAGGGAAGTCATTTCGCACAACTCTTGCAAATTTTTCCATTCCGCTGAAATTTTTCAAACGAGACCGTCAATTCAAGGCTGCATTGGGAAATCGCGAAAGGTCACCTTGACGCCGTTCGACAAATTCAGGAAATTCATGGAATTTTTTCAAAGTACAATATAAAATAATAATGAAAATAATAATATTTCAAGAAAAGTATAACCGTCTGATTAACAATGAAATTTTCATAAAGAAAAAGCAATCTTATAAAACATTGGGAAAAAATTTAAAATTAAAAATCACAAATAGACAAAACGATAATAGAGTTTATTTTTATAATTAACAAGACGCTACAAAATTTGGTGCTGTAACTTAAGAAAATACAGGCTTGAATAAAATGCTTTTATTTTCTAAGATTGCAAAAGATCCATAAAAATAGAGCAATTTAAAATAATTCACGTCTTATTATTGTGAAGCTGCTGCATGAAAAGTATGTACGAAGCAGAGACGCTCATTATCTGAAACAAAACTTTAATCAAAATTCAATTTTTTTTAATTAATATTTATACCCGGGCGTAAAATTTCATGGAAACGCTGAAATATCCAAGACCTGTAATATCGTCAGTGTTCTTCCCACAGCAACGGGCCATGATAATCAACAGAGCACTCTTGCCAGGTTCCTCCTTAAAAGCACCGGAGTCAATTTGATTCGCAGCGAGTGTTGCCCTGCTCAATTTTTCGCTCTGTTAAGAAAATACACAATAAAATCAATTATTATATTTCAAATTTAAACAGTCAAAGTTAACAAACCGTGTTTATTATCTGTTGGCCTGCGTAAGCATACATGAAAAATTGAATTGCAAGCCCAACCAGAGAGGCCAAACTTTGGCTCCTGATACTCTCTTCTTTGTCCTAAGAATTTTCAAACAAATTATTAGTGCTAAGGGAGTTTTGTTTTTTCCAATAATCTGGTTTACATTTATGATTATGAAGGTGTAGACCATTGCGTTAACTGCTGCAAAAATGTGAGTCACAAAAACGACTGGACCAAAAATTTTGTTGGCTTCGATCAACAAGCTATTGAATAATTTTTTATTCGAAAATTTGTTATTATTAAGAATATTGTCTTACTCTTGGTACTTTTGGTGATAATTGATCCAAGCTTGAAAAAACGGAGTTATTTCTCCACTTTGGTCAGGACGAAGGGCATTTGAAGCAATTTTAGTTAAAAACTTGCATCTCTCGGAAAGAGCCACAAAAACGCTGCACGTGAAAGCGTCCGAGGTGCAAAAAATCACAAAATAAACAGCGATCATTGAAACTGAAATTTTTGAAATTTTTAAAATGGAATTTTATAATCATTTGGGTGGAAACTTGCTGTTGAAAGCGTACAAAAAGTAGAAGGTCGGCAGTTCCATTGGATCCGAAAACCACCAAAAATCGTAAACATACAAAGGGTTACTTCCGTGTGCGCAGAAATCCAGATCCAGGTGGCGTTTGTCTTCGCAATAGGCTATTTTAATACTCCTTCAATTCAAGATTAATCAAATTTATAATTATTTATAATTAACAAAAGTAAAGAGAAAACCTAAAAACTGATGGAAGGAAAATGCTTGAAAAGGCGAAGGCGTTGTACAAATAAAGGACCAAGCTGAATCGAAAAATCCTCCGTTGAGAGTGTTCGCGCATTAATTTTTCTTCCTCGTTGAACTCAAGCGATTGGCTTTTTGGATAATCTAAAATACAGGCACGGATTTAAATTATTTATATTCTGTATTTTTATTTTTTCCGGTACCATTAATAGTGTTCAAAAGTTGCGTGACCTCTTCCCTGTAGAGAATTAAATGCAGAGGCCTCATGACGGTCTGAACTCCGTTGTTTGTAAGGAACAAAGTCAATAGGAGTCTCCTCAGTTCAAAGGGTTTGACGACAAACTCTACTATCGCGAGAATGTGAATTAAGATGTATGGGATTTGCACAGCGAGGAACCAAGAAATTCGCCAGCTGGACGGCTTTCTTCCATTTGGCAATAAAAAACCAGCTATCGAGAGTCCCTGATGATTGACAAAAATTTAAATGTGAAAACAATAATTTTTAAATAATTTTAAAACCTCAAACTAAATAATTGATTCGCAAAAAAATTAAACTAAAAATTAATACCAGACAGAGACCCATTTTGAATAAATATAAAATAATGCTCTAATTAACACTTACGTATATTAAAAAAGAAACTCATTAATTTTCCCCATTTTAAATAGATATGCTGCAAAATTTATTTTGTAAATTAAATTTCAATTTACTAGCTTTCATGACTAAAAATAAAAACAAATAGTAAACATTTGCATTCAAAATTTAATTAAACTAAAATTTTCTAGCAATATGTCAAATTAATCTGAAAAAAAAATTGATTCAAAATTAATTTACCTGAAGATTAAATTTAAGTTCAGTCTTCCTCATTTTTATCTCACCACTCTTGTAAATTTACAGAACAATTTCGCCTCTTGCTAGGCTAAAACTGACTGTGCGTTCAATTTAGGCACCATGAATGTCCCAATTCTCCCTCCAACCCCAATGTACTTAAAGGGGTGGCTTTTGTTTGTCTTTTGAAAACAAAGTATCGATCCAACTAAAAAGTGGCTCACGGACAATTTCGCCTATGTTTATCTTGCATAAGTTAGAGACCGTGCCCTTCAGATATTTAATTCTATTATTTTCACATCAATGATATTCGGAATTTAAATAAATGACATTTTTTTATTCTTGCTTACAAACTGTACTCAAAGATTTTCCTCCTGGAGTTGGAGCATGAATAAAACGTAGGTCGCCGACACGCTGATTATCTAATGTCATTAGAATTTTAGCTCGATTATCAAATTTGCATTTAAAATTTACTCTTGCGTAAAAACGCATGGAAATGGTGAAGTATCCGAGACCGGTGATTTCCTCGGTCCGCTCGCCGCAGCTCCGCGCCATCACAATCAAAAGGGCGCTTCGGGTCGGTTCCTCTTTGTAGGCACCTCCGGCCACTTGGCCGGCAGTCAGGGTCGCTCTGCTCAGTTCAATACTCTGATTTGATAAATTATTATAAAGCGGGCGAGCGAAATTAGAACTGGAAGCACACCTTGTTTATGATTTGCTGACCCGAGAAGGCAAACAAGTAGAACTGGATTGCAAGACCGATTAGGGCGGCGAAACATTCTCTTTGGGTGCTTTTCTCTTCACTCTGTGTGCAAAACAGAATTAATTTAAAATTTAAGAAATCGTGGAAAATTTAAAATTAAAATTTAAAAATATGTAGATTTTAACGTTATGTACAATAATAATGTAATAAAGTTGGTCATTTTCTCACAAAGAATTTTAATAAAAAGATAGTCTCTCAATTCTAATAAAAAATAAAATAGCGCCAATTTCCAAAACTTTTATTAAAAAAAAAAAAATAACTAGCAAAATTACCGGATAATCTAGATAAGATCAATTCGTTTTTAATGAAAGTAGAAATTAAAGTTAATTTCTCACGTAAATAACAGTGTAAACGTAGGCCATAATGTTGAAAGCCGCCAGAACGTGGGTGACGAAGACGATCGGGCCAAGCGTTTTGTTCGCTGACACAATCAAACTAATTTTACAAGTATGGATTTCAAAATTAAAACCATCAATTAAGAAAATCATTTTTACTTGTAGTAATTTTGATGATATTTGATCCACGCTGTAAAATAAGGCGTGATTTGGCCCGTTTTGTCAGGAAGAAGAGCTTTTGGTGCTGTTCTGGCTAGAAATTTGCATCTCTCAGCGACAGCTATGAAAACGCTGCACGTGAAGCTGTCTGACGCGCACAGGATCAAAAAATATGCCCCTACCATCAAAACTGCAAAATTTTAATAAAGCAAATAAGAATTGCGATATTTGATTTTTTTTTATTCAAAATGATAAAAATTAAAGGACATATATTCACCGTTGAAAGCGTAGCAGAAGTAAAATGTTGGCGGCTGTAAAGGGTCGGTAAACCACCAGAAATCATAAACTAGATGTGCATTACTCTCGTCAGCGCAGAAGGTTAGATTCAAGTTTTCTTTTTCACCGCAATATCCAACCTTAACCGATCTAAAGTATAAAATAATCAGTAATTAATTTATAAAAAAAAAAGAATTTTCATGCGAACCGGATGATGGCGGGAAACAGAATGGCTGCAAATGTCAAGGTGTGGTAAATGTACATAATTAAGCTGAATCGGAAAATTCTCCTTCTTGAATTCCGCCTCATTTCACTTTCAGCCCGACTAAATTCCTCGGAATCACTTTCAGGATGATCTATTTTAGTAAAATTCAAATCGAAATAAGGTAAAACGATGTTAAAAATTTTAAATTATAATTATTTTAATTCCTTATCTAAATATTTTCTAAAATATAATTATATGTTTCCAAATTATAGTAAATTGAATTATATTGCAAAGCACTTTAGAAAATATTGTAACAGATTATAGGACTTTTTTAAAATTACACAAAGAACCTTTTCAGTTGATAAAAATTGAGATTTTTAAAGATTTTAGATTCTTTGAATTATTCCATTATTTAATTAATTATATATATATATTTTTTTTCATTTGATGCTATATACTCACTGTTTATTAAAGCAAGTAAATCCTCCACTGGCCTCTTGTACAGCATGAGGTGCAGCGGTCGAAAGCAAGTCTGAAATCCGTTGTTGGTCAGGAACAAAACTGTTATAAATTTCAGCAGATTGAACGGTTTGGTGAAGAACTCGACGATGGCCAAAATGTGGATCAAGATGTAAGGCACTTGCACTGCCAACAACCAAATTATTTGCATTCGTGACGGTGCCCTGCCATTTGGCAGAATAAAACCGGCTGCAGCAAGACCCTTTTTAAGGGAAGGCGTTAGAAAAAATTAA